GTGCTGCTTACCTTTTCTATCTAGTCGTCTACTTTGCTATCCGACGATATAATAGTGTACGTAGTATAATTTCGGTTAAATTTCTCTGATCAATTATCAATAAGAGTAATTCTCGTATTAACTGGTTAATTAATTGTAAGGTAATCAACAGAAATATGCATGCAACGGGAGAAAAAAGAATATATTGTAAATCATTGCATTACTTTTTCGTACACTTATACAACTAATTACTCTATACTCGTGAATCAAGCTAGTAGTTAAACAGACATTATACTTGGATTTTGTGCTTTGTTAGTCAGCGTCAGGTCACTTGCGACGTCAGCGAACTCAAAATAAAAAAAATTTGGATTTTGAATTTAGTTAATACTTGGTTGGTTTTCTAATAACAATAATAACAAGAAAATATAGTGCATATATAGTTCGGGCCAGGTGAAAATTTTCAGAAATCATTGATCAAAGTAGAAAGTTTAGATATAATTCGGGACAAAATAAGCTATTAACCTTAAAAATAAAATAGTACAAAAGTGAGGTCAACGTTTATACTTTTGTTCCGAGAAGCAGCCGTTTCCCCATTTCCTGAGGCGAAGAAGAACAAGTGGTGGCAGTACCGCACGGCAATGAATGAGCAGATCGAGTTGGGTCAAATTTTCAAACTAGTATAGTGGTGGGAGTGGCGCTGGTTAATTAGTTTGACCCTGACGAAGTTGGACCAAGTCTGAAGAACAGAATATATATTTATTTGGAGTAGGATTAGTAGTTATAGTACGACTTCTCCTCCTGCAGCTAAACTTGCCCACCTTTGATTCCTACCTGTTTCAACCTTTCAACCAACCTTACGCGGGCAACCACTTTACGGTACTACTATTACTATATAATAATAATGTCTTTCTTTTGGTTACTACGATTGTTTTAGTGAGATCGTTGTAGTGTGAGATTGTTGGATTATTTTTTTACATAACAACTAAAATCCAAAGGACTTGTATGAACGACGGGTAATCACTGAGCGGTGAACTTTGATGCGATGTTAATTAAATTGTGTTGATTTGTCAATTGTGCTTATATGTTCTAAAGACAAATAGATTATTCTCTTTGCTTCGATATTTCACATGATTTATCATCTAACCAGCCGGTTTTCTCATTATATATATCGTTTATTAATTATTATTCTTCAACTACTATGGTGAGTTTCATGGATTTGGAGAACCAATATCATTATGCATAATATGTTGGATAAATATGATCAAACCAATATGAAATAAATGAAATAATTACCAAACATTTATTATGGTCATGACTTTTTGTTTTGTTTAAATCTTTTTTTTTTTTATAAATCCACCCCTACAACTATATCAATGGAAGAGTGAATTAAGTGTCGGCTCAACCTCCATACTCTGAAATTACAACTCCGACATAATACTACTAGACTTTAAACTTGTTGAGTTATTTCTATAACGAAAAAATCGACAATGTATGAAAGTGAAGAATGCACATATCTATATGGTTCACTTACACAGTTACACGATGTGTTAAATAATCAACGTGCAAATGACCAATTTCACTATACATATTACATAGATTGAGAGGGTTTCTACAACGTCTTCTCTAGACGACCTAACCTTAATCCAACCTGAACCCCACCAAACATCGAGTTCCCGTAAGTTCCAATCAACAACATATAATCTATATTCAAATCATACCACTAATAAGTCATTTGTTTTAACATCAAAATCAATACAATCACTTTAGACATACACATAGTTGGACAAACGAACAAATTCATCCTAATTCATCGAACCTACACATCCCCCCAGCAAAGAATCATCACCGCCGCCGCCTCCACAATCCTCAAACCTGTTTTTTCTTATGGATTTATTCTAATTAAGCATGTTTAATTCAGTGAACAACTCAAGAGCAGATAATTCATATCAACCAAACCCCACCCATGTGCAAATATTCCATTTGCGCTTGTGCTAGCTAGCTAAGATTAAGAACATGAATTTAAAAAAAAAAAGACAACAATTAATTCCCCACCTAATTTAACTAATTTGCTTGCTTTAATTTCCAAATGCCAGTTGCCATCCATTCCCACAAACAAATCCAGCACTAAGTTATTAAGAGTCACTTCGACGTTCTGGCGAACCGACCGGTCGAGTTGGAGCTGTCATATTAAAAAAAAAAAACACTCCATCGGTATCGGATATGGCCAGACCGGAAAACAAGGACATGTTATTATCTTATCTGTAAATGGATCATGATCCATAATTCCTTACAATATGTTCCAATTGATATATTTAGTTTCTGTTCTTACCAATAAATTCTGGGTACGAAGAAGATGGTTATTTATTTATTTATGACAGGGGGTCACAGTTAGGAGAACAATTAATTGACGAAACACAGGATAGCTCATTTACAGCAACTACAGCTCACTCCAATTTATGAAGTCAAAGCAAAGATAGCTCTGACGTTATGCAAAGATGAGGACTTCTCACGCCACTTTGCGAATAGCTCGATTCGCAATCTAGAAGATCCAACTGTTATTTTTTCTAACATAGACATCTGCATAAAGGTTAAAGAGCAGTGAAGTCATAATACAGTAAGTAATTAACCAAACTCGATAGTCGACCTATGGTCGAAATATCGATGAGAGGATCTTTTGTGTCACTTGATGGGCAGTCCTATTTGTGCATCCAGTTTGTCGATGGAGGGGTCGAAATAGATGTAGAAAAGTATCAACGATAATCGATTGAAATTGAGCTATGTGTCTTGGATGATGAGGGGCCGATAGCCTGTGAGTATGCCACTTGTCGACATTTGCTTACTGCATGATCTACATTTTGTAACCTAAAATGAATTGTTTAGAGGTGGTATAGCCTAATCTAGACAACATGTAGCTCCGCCACTGCAAAAAAGTGACAAAATACAAAGTGGCTAATGCCAAAAATCAATATTTGGTCGGACATGGTGCTCTCTTACACATCTCTTCACTTTTATTTATTATACTTATGAAAATGTTTATTTGTTTTTTCAGAAGTATCCAGAAGGAAATAACAAGATACGACAAAATACACACGACCTTTGTAGATTACTGTTGGGGGTATTACAAAGAGGGCCCATTTGGTCACACGAGCGGGCGCCCGAGCGCAGGACGAGCGTTGAATGATGACAAGGACTTGGGGGTCAGAAAGTTAAACTTAGGCGGATAATTGAGCGCCGCCAAGAATGAGTGGTGCATACTAAGCGTCCAGGCCAAGAGATCAGTTAGGCACTCAAGTAAGGGACTATGAGCGCCTAACTGGGGGGCAATTGTTGGGGGTATTACTAAAGGGGCCCAAGAAGAGCCCATTCAGGTGAAGGTAGCCCAAGGCAATGAGCCAGGAGAAGAAGCCCGGAATTGTTGGGGGCATTACTAAAGGGGCCCAAGAAGAGCCCATTCAGATGAAAGTAGCCCAAGGTAATGGGTCAGGAGAAGAAGCCCACAAAGCCCATTGCACTCCAGGCAGCATAGGCATGGAGACAAAGCACTAAGGGCCAAAGAGGTCCAGGCTGGCAAGTGGTCCCCCGCCTGTGGGCGCCTGCCAGCCGACAGAAGCCTGACAAGGTGGTTGGGGCTTCTGACAGAAGTGAAGGTACAAAGCATTTAATGAGAGGGTGACGTGGAGGATATCCACCTCGATCTCGGTGAGTATAAATAGTGGCAGTTGGTAGCATTTACGCAGGTTGGACTCTCTCACTAAACTTATAGTTTCATACTTCTCTCTCTATAATTGGAACTAACTTGGGCGTCGGAGGATTAATGGGCCCAGGCGCCCCCCTCAGTGTGTGTGTGGGTCAGGCGCCTAAGGATTGGCAGCAGTACTGAGGCGCACCAAGGAGCGGGCTTCAAGTGCGTGTGTCAGGTCAGGCGCCTAAGGATTGGCTAGCAGGACCAAGGCGCCCCAAGGAGCGGGCTTCAAGGTGAGGCGCCTACAGGGGGTTAAGTAGGAATCGGGCGCTCAGAAGATCAGGCTCCAAGGTAAGGAGCCTAAGGTGTGACCAGTAAGGCGAATTGTTTGGGCACAAACAATTGGCGCGCCAGGAAGGGGAATATAACCAATAATCATGAGTGAGGAGGCGCCTAAAAGTGGGAGAGGAAGAGGAAGCGCATGACACAAAATAAAGAAGGAAAAAGAGGCGCTTTCAAAATTAAGAAAGAGAAGGCTTTGTGCCACGACTAATTGGCGTCGCAAAGCTAGAGGCGCAATAGAGGGACATTAAGAAAGAAGGAAAAAGAGGCACCGAGTTCATCTGCTCGACACAAGAAGCACTATATTCGTCGCATCAATAAATGCGACTCCAACCCAACATGGGCTTCAACATTGAATCAGGCGCCTATACTAGTGGACTACTATAAAATTCTCATTTCACCGGAGGCACCTATAATTAAAAGAGCATTTCAAGCTAGGCTAACGTCTGGGCACCCATCTCCTATTTGGGCTCGACGCCTCCCTATCGGGTTTAAAAGAGGCCTTAAGCGCCTAATTTCATTGAGGTGCCTAATTCATCTATGAGCTAGATGTCTTCTCCTATTTTTATCTTGAAATTTGGGAGCAAGTTTAAAGCCCAAAACAAAGAGGCTCGTTAAGCCCAGGTGCTCGGTTCGAAGCCCAAGAGAGGTTGACACGACTTATTAAAGCCCAGATGCTCAGTTTAAAACAAATGGCTAATAAAATGCCTGAGCGAAGCTTTGCACCTCATACCTTCTAAAGAAGAAGGGCGCCTACGCCATCAGGCTAAGTTACAAGTTTTTTATCATCTATTCGTATGCGTCATTATTTCACTTAGGAGCCTCGCAAGCGTTAACATGGGCTTCGCCGCGGTTGGCATGAGCTTCAACACACTCAAACCAAGCTAAGTACTTTGTTTTTTGTGAAATTTGGTGTTACCTCCATGATATATCGCTTTGTTTTGAAATGTTTGGTGCACCCAAATAAAATCTTTTGTTCGAAATACATAAAGCGCCAGAAATATAGCGCCCTTGATTGGAAATACTCTCCACGCCCAAATCTAGCGTCCTAATATTTGAAAGATCTCTAAGGGAGATGTAAAGCGCCCGTAATACACAAAGCGCCCCGCAATACCTAAAGCGCCCGAAATACTCAAAGCGCCCGGAATATCAAAGTTGTCGAGATAGAATGTAACGTGGCACTCCAAGCCTCAAGTTTACACAATTGAAACGAGGCATTTTATAAGAGTTTGTTTCGAGAGTAAGGATGTTGGGTCGTGTGTCTTGCAAAGGGAGGCGCCTGTCATGAGTTAGCAACGTATGCAACGGTCAGGCGCTTGTCACGAATGTGACGATGAACGATAGGAGGCATTTTGCAGGCGCCTGTTTCGAAAGTAAGGATGTAGGGTGTGTGCCTTGCAAAGGGAGGCGCCTGTCATGAATGAGCAACGTATGCAACGGTTGGGCGCCTGTCATGAATGTGACGATGAACGAGAGGAGGCATTTTGCAGGCGCCTGTTTCGAAAGTAAGGATGTGGGTTGTGTGCCTTGCAAAGGTAGGCGCCTGTCATGAACGAGCAACGTATGCAATGGTCGGGCGCCTGTCATGAATGTGACGATGAACGAGAGGAGACATTTTGAAGGCGCCTGTTTCGAAAGTAAGGATGTGTGGTGTGTGTCTTGCAAAGGTAGGCGCCTGTCATGAACGAGCAACGTATGCAACGGTCGGGTGCCTGTTATGAATGTGACGATAAACGAGGGGGTATTTTGCAGGCGCCTGTTTCTAAAGTAAAGATGTGGGGTGTGTGCCTTTCAAAAGAGGCGCCTGTCATAAACGAGCAACGTATGCAATGGTCGGGCGCCTGTCATGAATGTGATGATAAACGAAAGGGGGTATTTTGCAGGCGCCTGTTTCGAAAGTAAGGATGTAGGACGTGTGCCTTGCAAAGGGAGGCGCCTGTCATGAACGAGCAACGTATGCAATGGTCGGGCGCCTGTCATGAATGTGACGATAAAGGAGAGGAGAAATTTTGCAGGCGCCTGTTTCGAAAGTAAGGATGTGGGGTGTGTGCCTTGCAAAGGTAGGCGCCTGTCATGAATGAGCAACGTATGCAACGGTCGGGTGCCTGTTATGAATGTGACGATAAACGAGGGGGTATTTTGCAGGCGCCTGTTTCTAAAGTAAAGATGTGGGGTGTGTGCCTTTCAAAGGAGGCGCCTGTCATAAACGAGCAACGTATGCAATGGTCGGGCGCCTGTCATGAATGTGATGATAAACGAAAGGGGGTATTTTGCAGGTGCCTATTTCGAAAGTAAGGAGGTAGGGCGTGTGCCTTGCAAAGGGAGGCGCCTATCATGAACGAGCAACGTATGCAACGGTCGGGCGCCTGTCATGAATGTGACGATGAACAAGAGGAGGCATTTGCAGGCGCCTGTTTCGAAAGTAAGGATGTGGGGTGTGTGCCTTGCAAAGGGAGGCGTCTGTCATGAACGAGCAACGTATGCAACGGTCAAGAGCCTGTCGTGAATGTGACGATGAATGAGATGAGAAATTTTGCAGGCGCCTGTTTCGAAAGTAAGGATGTCGGGCGTGTGCCTTGCAAAGGGAGGCACCTGTCATGAACGAGCAACGTATGCAACGGTCGGGCGCCTGACATGAATGTGTCGATAAACGAAAAGGAGTATTTTGCAGGCGCCTGTTTCGAAAGTAAGAATGTGGGGCGCGTGTCTTGCAAAGGGAGGCGTCTGTCATGAACGAGCAACGTATACAACGGTCAAGGCGCCTGTCACGAATGTGACGATAGACGAGATGTGGCATTTTGCAGGCGCCTGTCCCGAAAGTAAGGATGTGGGGCGTGTGTCTTGCAAAGGGAGGCGCCTGTCATGAACGATTAACGTATGCAGCGCTCAATTGGATATATTGCGCACCTAACTGGGGGGCAATTGTTAGGAGTATAGAGAAAGCACAATTTTGATAAAGTGAATATTTAATTTCGGGTGCCTATCGTAAAGTTGTTAATAAAAGTTGGGGGCGCCTGGCATAAAGCGGTCACTGAATATCTTGGCGAGTTGGGCGCCTGTCACCATGCAACGTATCTCGCAACGGTCGGGCGCTTGCCATAAAGGGTCATTGAATGTAGGGGCGTATATTTGGCAGAGGTAGGGCGCCCGTTATGAATAAGTCAATAAGCGTGTGAAGGGCATTTAACAGACGCCTTTTCCAAAAAGAGGCCTATCCAGAATGAGTCAATAAATTTGAGGGGGGCATTGAGCGAGCCCCATATCAAGGAGACTTGTGTGAAAAAGTCAATCAGAGAAAAAAGAGACAGGCGTACCACTATGGAGGTAGTTAGGCACTCAAGATACCAAGTGTTGAGCGCCTAACTGGGGGGCAATTGTTGGGGGTATTACAAAGGAACAAGTTCAAGTAAAAGCTCAATGTAGCACATTGGATCAGTGGAAAGAAAACCCCACATTTGGGCCCAGAAAGGTCAGTAGGTCGAATTTGGGTAGCAAGGAGAGCACGCAACCCAGGTGCCTAGGTCCAGAAGGAGGAAAATCAATAATTAACAGGCGCATGATTCAATAAGACTGAGGCGCCTGTAACAAGGAAAGGGGGGCATTTACTACGTAAGGACGAGGCATCCCACCGAGCGAAGATGCGTGAAGCGCCTAAGTACGGAAAAGTTGCTCAGGAGGAAGCGCCCCACCTTGACAGAACCAGGCGCCTGCCACGAGACACAGTGAGCGCCTTATTCTAGTGGTGAGACGAGACAGTATAGTCAGGCCCTCAAGCTTTGGGAACTTGAGAGCCTAACTGGGGGGGCAATTGTTGGGGGTATTACAAAGAGGGCCCATTTGGTCACACGAGCGGGCGCCCGAGCGCAGGACGAGCGTTGAATGATGACAAGGACTTGGGGGCCAGAAAGTTAAACTTAGGCGGATAATTGAGCGCCGCTAAGAATGAGTGGTGCATACTAAGTGTCCAGGCCAAGAGATCAGTTAGGCACTCAAGTAAGGGACTATGAGCGCCTAACTGGGGGGCAATTGTTGGGGATATTACTAAAGGGGCCCAAGAAGAGCCCATTCAGGTGAAGGTAGCCCGAGGCAATGAGCCAGGAGAAGAAGCCCGGAATTGTTGGGGGCATTACTAAAGGGGCCCAAGAAGAGCCCATTCAGATGAAAGTAGCCCAAGGTAATGGGTCAGGAGAAGAAGCCCACAAAGCCCATTGCACTCCAGGCAGCATAGGCATGGAGATAAAGCACTAAGGGCCAAAGAGGTCCAGGCTGGCAAGTGGTCCCCCGCCTGTGGGCGCCTGCCAGCCGACAGAAGCCTGACAAGGTGGTTGGGGCTTCTGACAGAAGTGAAGGTACAAAGCATTTAATGAGAGGGTGACGTGGAGGATATCCACCTCGATCTCGGTGAGTATAAATAGTGGCAGTTGGTAGCATTTACGCAGGTTGGACTCTCTCACTAAACTTATAGTTTCATACTTCTCTCTCTATAATTGGAACTAACTTGGACGTCGGAGGATTAATGGGCCCAGACGCCCCCCTCAGTGTGTGTGTAGGTCAGGCGCCTAAGGATTGGCTAGCAGTACTGAGGCGCACCAAGGAGCGGGCTTCAAGTGCGTGTGTCAGGTCAGGCGCCTAAGGATTGGCTAGCAGGACCAAGGCGCCCCAAGGAGCGGGCTTCAAGGTGAGGCGCCTACAGGGGGTTAAGTAGGAATCGGGCGCTCAGAAGATCAGGCTCCAAGGTAAGGAGCCTAAGGTGTGACCAGTAAGGCGAATTGTTTGGGCACAAACAATTACAAAAAAGAATTAACAGCCCTTGATCGACAAACCAACGATTCAATGACGAGAGGGCATTTTTTGCCAAAATATGGATAACCCTACCGTACTTACATGGTGCGAAGTGAAACGAGGCATGCTACAACGGGAACCTAAAACCTGAACACCAAAAAAGGAGGCTTCCATTCAACGCATGCTCAGAATCCTTCAAGTTAACCAAGCAGATGGTCACTTGCGAATCACCGCAAAACAAAACTTTAGTTACTGAATGTGAAAGACACCATCTGAGAACATCCCTAAGGACCAGAAGCTTACTAGTTAATGTATTATCATTATTATAATATAATAATGATAAAACGGACAAACCATTGGAATGACCATATGTGCACCACTACGAACATATCTGTCAAAACAGAAACGTGGCAATCGATAATCCAAACCAACACGAACGAACACAAATTTAACGTGGTTCACTAACACAATGTGTGCTAGCTAATCCATGGGCAGGGAGACAAATTTCACTAATTTGAGGAGAGTACAGGTTACAAACCAAATTCCAAACGAACAAACCAAACAAACTAACCTGACTGACCTTACTACAGACTAGGGTGATGAAGAGTATTTATAGAACTTTTCTCCTAATCCCAAACAGAAAAACCAAACACTTTTTCCCAAACATACAAGGAAGAGGTCAAAACAAAACCCAATCCCAAACCCAAACAGAACAGGCCTAAAACACAAAACAAACCCAAATCAAGTCATATTCTAACAATATCATTAGAAAAACTTAGCATCCGATTGTTAACAACAGAAAGCTTGTACACTCATCGTATGCTACGTTTTCGTCCTAATAAAATCTAGAGGACTAGGGGTCTTGCGGTTCGTGGATTTGAATGGTGGATTTAATACCTAAATCCATTCCATCATGGATTTAAGCCGAATCCATCGTTTGCTTAGATTTCGTTTAGGAGGGGCCTACGGATTTTAACGGTTCAAATTTGTGGACCCCACGGACCTGTAAATACTAAATCCCACATATTGATGTGGAATCTGTAGCTTATCAAAATTCATGATGAGAATTTACCCATATACCCTCATGAACTTTTAAAATTCCAAGTTTGCCCTCACGTATTGTACATTATAAATAATCAATTAATTAACAACAAAGAAATAATATAAATACTGAATTAATGTGCAAACATGAGTTAGATTTTTAATACCCTTTCTTGAGTTCTAGTTTCCTTTGACCATTTCATGGAACGTGTAATTCTTTGTTCCCCGGTTCTAATATATGTTGCTATATGTTATTTTTGAAAAGGAGGACAATGAATTGATAACCGATATATATTACGTAAAATGTTAAACATAATTTTCTTGTTTATTATTATTGTCCATGTGGCAACATTATGCTTATTAGTACGTATTGTTCTTATTTGGTGTACATATCATAAACATGACAAACAAATAGAGAAGAATCATATGATGATTTTTTACTTTAAGTTCTAAATCCCAAACTCCTTAAATTCATGATAAAACATCTCAACAAATAAAGAACTGTTACAAATCCATAATGCATCAAATCCTTGATAAATCATTGAGTGTTTAAATTACAAATCCTTCCTTTTTAAATCCATGAAACAAACGATACTAAATAATTCAGATGTTGTCTAGTCCTCCATCTTTGTTCCCCAGTTGGTCCAATACATTATCGTTCCACAACGCTGGATCTGTGCTCAAACAGCACTTACGTTTGGGCGTCGGCCGAGGAAGACATATGCTAATTTGGGCCCAACCAAAATGGAGGAGCATCATCGGTAGCCAAGTACTGTATGGGCTCTATATGGGTGGGCGTCGGTCCACTACCAATTCATGATGCATTCATGATGGGCTTTCGGTTTTTACTGAAGTTGTTAAGATATAGGGCCAGCCTATATCTAAAGAACTCAGGGTCATTTGCTTTATGGATTTAAGGCATTGAATTGGGTTCAAATCCATAATCATTATGGATTTGGTATATTGCACCAAATTTTGGTGGGAGGACAAAATTTATGGGACTCATGAATTTTGAGGGTCTAAATTTATGAACTTCGCGTGAACTTGCAAATCCCAAATATGATTGTGTGATTTGGAACATGATCACAAATCTCTGGATCCCATGATAAGAATTGCTTACATATCATAGGGGTGGGTAACGGGAAATGGGTATTTGGGTATATCCGTATCCGTCCTGTTTTTGTAAGGGTTGTGGGTACCCAAATACCCGTATTTTTTTAACGGGTTGGGATTTGGGATCAACAATCACTACTTTGTGTACCCGCGGGTTACATGTTAATAACCCGTTTGGTATTACGGGTACCCGTTATTCCCATTAGTCCAAAAATCCCAAAACTCGTTAGTGCAAAGAAGGGATTCAACTGGAATTTTGGAGTCAAAGAACAAAGAAGATGCTGCTCCTGTTTTGGAACCAAAGAACTAAAGAATTTGCTGTTGTTTTGGCGGCTTCTCTTTCACTCTTTTAATGTTCAGATTATGTGGTTTTGCAGGGTTTTTTTTATTGTTTTATTGTGTAATTGTTCGTAGGTTTCTCATATTAGCCTTTTAACTCTCCTTAATTGTATGATTTGTGTGTTCATGATAGTGATGGTGGCAGCTTCTCATTTTAGGTGGGTTTGTTTAATTGTGTGTTAAAACTTTTGTAGTTCTTCCACCAATTGAACGAGTATTTACGAGTATTATGGGTACCCGTTATCCGTCCCGTACGGGTAATGGGTACCCGTTAACCCGTACGGGTTTGGGAATGGGATGGAGATTGCTCTCTAAATGGGATTGGTTACCCGTTTCAAACGGGACGGGTATCCCGTCCCGTCCCGTTGCCCACCCCTAATAACATATCCTATTGCCTCAACAATTTATAATAAATAAATAAATAGGATAGTAAAGTAATTTAAATAAAGCTACAAAACCATAAAAACAAATCCATGATCAACCAAATCCCAGGTTTTCCAAAACGCATGTTTTAACCCAAAATCCTCATGTCTCCAAATCTACGAAGCAAACGAGTCCCAAGCTTTTATAGGTTTATGGGTGGGCAAGATGAACTCGCATTAGACCAAATTAAACCAACTCAATATCTAGATTGAATTGCATTGGATTGACCATGTGAATCATATTACATGTGAGAAAAAATGGATCGGGATCGGAATCAAATTTGAATTGGAGTGAATCCAATCAGTCGTATTATTGTTCTAATTATGCTCCTTATTTTCCCTTTAATCTCTTTTAGATCCAATTTTGAATTGAATATTATCACAGATTCCTTCTACGACATTTCAAATGAGAATCAATCGAAAATCATCGACGAGTCATTTATCGCTTCTTGCTATCCTTTACAACGATGAGGTTAGTAAACCTTGTTAGCCATGAATACATCGTCCTAGTTGAAAGTTGAAACAATTTTGTATTTACCTTATTGTTGGATTCAATAGGGCATGCACATGGGTTGCACTCCATCTCCATGCTGAATTTGGTAGAGTAGAGGAGAGGAGAGCCAATAATAATAATAATAATAATAATAATAATAATAATAAAAGAAGAAGAAGAAAAGGGCGGTTAGGGCCATGTGGTCGTTAACATGAACATGCACATTCCACATGCTTATAATACGACCATTCGATTTTTGTATCAAATTTATGGGCCGGGAAAAGGACAAAAGTCCGAGACCATATGATGAGACAATCCCATATGCAACCCATCAACCAAATTTTAATGAGGCCATCAAATAAATTAAACTCATCATCTCATGTAGCTACAAGAGTTAAGGTATGGTGGTTGATCACTTTGTTTCTATTATCATAAATAAATGAATAATGAGGGTTAAAGGTTTAATACTTATTCATTGAGATAGAACTAGCTCTGAATAAGTTATATAAAGATGGTTGTCAAACCATTGGTATGTCGGACGATTTAATCGAGTTCAATCGGTACCAGACATCAAATAAATTGGAAGATCATCGACATAGACTATAGAGTGATAGTTAAATTGAAAATGTAAGTCGTTCTATAGGAATGATCTGTTGGAATAATTAACAAAAAGAAATACATTTGTTGGATTTAAATATGAAGTTTAGATGTTGATGTTGTTTGTTGAATTCAAGTATAAAGGTCAAAATATGAGGATTTATCATTTTATTTTTAATGAGGTATTTTATATAAATAAGGGTGTAATTATAGAGAGATCTATGTTGAAATAAATTATATATATGCACAATTCATTGGTGCTAATGGTTTCACATCTTCCTCACATATTTTTGTCACAACCAGCATCAATCAATATCGAAATTGGAACCTTACAGAACAATACTATTTATTAAACCGAATTAACGAATTAAACCGATTGGACAACCTTACTTAAAGAGAGTATGCCACCAATCCTTTTTATTTTTACATCTTTCCTTTGTATAAAATCCCAATCCAAAAGTCCTTTTGTCTTTTTGGAACTTTGCAAAGAAAGATCGATCACTTGATCCAACGCATCTAAACCCAATGATCAACTTCCCCCATTCCATCGACACAAAATTGTTTTCAGCTAAGTAAATGAAGAATTGGAAAATAATAATAAGGTTATGTTGTGTGATTTGTTGTCCCTTCTCCAACACTGCAATATAAGATTCTTCACGATGCAACATGATTGGCAGCCCATGATTGGTTTTGACTACTTTTTTATTAGTACCTGTTAGGGAAAATCTCTCCTTATACTCGTTTGTTTGTTTATGTGGGATAAAGTTGTTGATTGAAAAGAAAATTATTTGAATTTATGATATAGTAGTTCACCATTTCGTGTATTGATAGCAATTGAAACAGTGTTGATTTTGTTTGTCAGATTGATTGTTCACTTAAACGTTCTGTTGTTGTTGGAAGTCGAGGTATTGACGATGCTTATAGATTTGGCCTATGTCAATTGAAACAACCATAACCCATTAACCTGTTTGCGATCAAAATTCAAAGTTCTTAGATTTAATTTACAACAATAATGAGGACATGTTTTTGTTTCCATAATGGAAAACATATTAGCCATCAATCCAGGCTTAATCCAGTAAATGATCAGGACATCTATTCCACTCTACTACAGAAGAGTGAAGTTCTACTGTGGAATCAAGCCCACAAGAGAACAAGCTACTTATTACTCGAAGCAGTTAGTTGTCTGCAATCCCATAAAGCACACGGAATTTATATGATAATTAACAGTGTGGAATTCACCATGGCTACTTTTGAATTTGATTGTTGGAGTGAGTGAAAAATGGGGCTTTCATTTTCATACATTCGTCGAAATCAGAGAAAGGTTAGAGCCCCTAGAGGTTTGGTTGGCCACAGCCGTGAAAACATCATCATGATCATGATGTATAATGTACTTTGAAAATATTATTTGTATCGTACTTTATAGAGTCAATTCACTAAACATACACAATCATATTTGTGTACAACATTAAATGTCAGTTTGGATGAATTTTGTAAACACATTATCACTTATAAATTGTATTACAAATAATGAAAAATTATATGAATCTGCTCCAAAATTATTATAATGTATTTATGATGTAAATCGTACCATCTTTGATGAACAAGGTTATGCAACGATATCAAAATCCATCATATGGATCAATTTACGAGTAAAAGTGGATAATTACTTTTAAGTATAACGATAAGCTGATTATTATATTAGACAAATGTTGGATAATATATATATACACTATACTTATAGTGTATAGAACACAGTATGTATCATGTACTCATTGAAGGGCTTGTGAGATCAATTCACATCGATCGTACAAAAAGATTCTCACCTTTTCATATGGGTCAAGGGAACTTTGATGAGAGGTTAGATTCGAGCTTGAGGGGTTACTTAATTAAACTCTATTTTACGTGATTCTTTACCCCTAACTCATGATGTTTTCCTCATTTTATTAAACTTTCTTTGAGTTTTTTCTTAGTGGTGATGTTATCTACCTTCTTTTACACTAAAATTCCTGGTTGACCATATGTAGTAGAAGTCTAGAACTATCTTGTATTATCCCTTTTGGGTATTGAATGACAAGACATATAGAAATCACTAATTTAAATGGTGGCACCAACATTCCAACAATGAGCCATCTACCATTCCATACATGAATAGCTAGTACCTATCTTTCTCCCTTACCTTCAATTCCCTCCTTTAAGATGGCTAAAAGTTCAAACTCCTAATGATGGAAGGAAAACTCACTACCTAGCATGCCCATGATTTTTTTGATAAACTTTACTGAATCAAAAGTAGAACAGAATCATGAAGCTAACACATCCCAAAACTTTAACCCTGACTTTCTTCATCTTCCTTTTTTCCATTGTTGTGGGGAACAGAATCGATTTCCCTCCACAAGCTCAACAATCATCAAGTTCCATTTCTTGACATGGACTAGACACCAACACCCACAAATCAGACACCTTCCTTTTTGTTGATTCTTGTTCCATCTTTAATTTTACATTAAACTGTAAAAAGTAAAAACCTTGAGGGCTTTTGTACATTGATCCTCTCTAACCTTTTCGTTAATTGGCGGCAGGTAGAAGTTATTAACTAATGGTACAAGATTCATACATGGATGATCACAGAGACAGACAACAACTTGAGTTACCGAAACAAATTAATCTTTGGCTCGGTATCCAAGAGTTTGATCGATGGATCTCAACTCCAACTACCAAAAACAAAATTAATCGTTGTCCTGATATCCGAGAATTCGATCGAGGGGCCGAGAAATGGTAACCCAATCAACAAAGCCAAAGGTGAAAAACTACAAGTGGGAAAACAGAGGTGAAAAAGGAGAGATAACTTACTAGTTACAGAGTTTCGTTCTCCATGGTGAAAATTTGGAGGACATGTGCAAGTAGAAAGGCATTATTTGCTAGTACTGTGTCTGGGTCAGTTAAAAATAATTGAAACCCTAGGACTCGATTTAATTGTGACCCGTGTGGTAAGTGATTTTCTTATGAGAGGATTTTGTAGCAACCAGGAATCTCTGTCCCTGGGCCGGCTGCTGTAGTTTTCTATCAGACTAACTCACATGAATCCAAAAACATTTCAAACACCAAACTTGAAAGGATTTCATAAAGGGGCTTTCAATGTTTTGATGTTTTTCAGTCCCCCATTGAAACTTGGCCACTCACTCACATGATGACTAAATGGAAAAGGGGAAAACTGAAGGGGAAAAAAAGACATGAACCCATCAAACTAATTAGGAGTTGATTATACTCTAACATAAGTGAAGAGTCGATTTTTTAAGCCCCATCCTTTTATTTATCTGGTTAAAATATTGTTTTCATATAATGGACTCTACATATCCAAGCTAATATAACGCAAAAGACTTGCTACAAAAGGTTAAAAAAAATCCAACTTACTTACTATACAGACAACTCTGATCATGATTAGAATTTTGTTTATGAATCACATTGTTTTAATTTGCTAAGATACATAATATTAGTACAGCATAGTATTTCAAATAAATGTTATTACAACACCAATGCTAAATAAGTCTAGTTTGAAAGTCATCCCACAATTTGTTTGCGATTCCATCACATCATACATTCATTGTTCGGGAGTTTTTTTTTTTAGAGTCATGACCACTTTATTGGGAGAGAAACGTGGATATTTATATTCGGTCAATTGTTGGTTAACCATTAACCGACTATTTAGTTATTGATTACACCAAAAGCCATTCCAACCTACTGATAATCGTACCCTTAGCTTAAAATTGATTAACTATATAACCATTAATCGTCTGTTACCGATTAGTTTAACAGTGTGACCCTTGTTTCTAATTAATTTTCAAAATAAAATAGTATTTTTCTTAATGGCTCAATATAAATCACTTGGGAAATTCCTACAATACCTTGAAGTTATTGTAACTTGATGTTTTTGACCTGCAATAACAGGTTTCACAAGTCGCATTACGTAAAATACAATAGACATTACGTAATGGTTACGTAATGTGTGTTTATCTTACATAATAGTTGAAAAATGTCATTACAGAAACCTTACGTAATAGACACTCATTTTACGTAATGAATATTAACCTTTCGTTACGTAATCTATTAAATCATTACGGAGACTTACGTAACGCTTCTAATTTAACTGTTACGTAAGAAATAACTATCATCACGTAACCTTTACATAATAGATGCATATTTTACGTAACAGTTGTAAAGTGGCATTACGGAAGCCTTACGTAATGGATGGTCCTTTTACGTAATGAATATTAATCAAGTTACGTAATGTGGTAAGTCATTACGGAAGTCTTACGTAACACTTCTAATTTAAGTGTTACGTAAGATATAACCTTCGTTACGTAACCTTTACGTAATGAGCGTGTATTTTATGTAACAATTGTAAAATGTCATTAGGAAGCCTTACATAATAGAAGATGCTTTTACGTAATGAATATTAACCTAGTGTTACGTAAAATGATAAGTCGTTATGGAAACCTTCCGTAACGCTTATTGTTTAACTGTTACGTAAGACTAACAAGCATTACGTAATTGTTACGTAATAAACATTATTTTTACGTAATGCGACCTATAAAACCTGCTATAACAGGTAAAAAAAGCCAAATTATAGTATCAAGGCATGATAGGAGGTCCCAAATCACTTAACTTGAAATTACTGTAGGGAAGTCCCAAACATATTATAGAAAGGGATATAAAACCCGTCAAAAAGGCATTCTACAATGAGTAGCAATACCATTAACTCATATATTTTTTAGGGTAAATACAATATATTAGCCACAACTATTATGAAGCGGGGAATTATAGCCACAACTATTGAAATTCAAATTATTAGCCAAACTTTAACTATCTGCTAACAATTTCGTTAGTAATACTGACTAAACTTTTATGTTTTGAAGTTATAAACTAAAAGCATTCCTACGTGGCCGTTGTCGTGGCCGATGATGTGGCCTTCTCCGTCAAAAATTCAATAATAGTAACAGACGGTTACCCATATCTTGACCTACAACAATAGTTATGGCTAATAATTTGAATTTTCATAGTTGTGGCTATAATTCCCCGCTTCATAATAGTTGTGGCTAATATATTGTATTAACCCTATTTTTTAACGACGCTTTTGTTTTCAGTCGCAGCCAGTGTTTTCTTTAACTGGATGCACGGGTAAAAGGGAAAATAGCTGCACTTGACTTGAAGATAAAAAAGAAGAAGATCTCCACAGAACATGCAGACCAAATTTGTTCCACACACCACGCTTAGAAGTTCGAAGAGAAAGCTGTTTATGTCCCCACCCACGACCCCAATTGAAGAAAAGTTGAAAAGAGCTATCTCTTTGTTTCCCCCATTTTTATTTTACCACCCACAGCCACAACTGGCATCCCCATTACTCAAAACTAGCAGCAGTACTTGCTCCAAATTCTTCCCTCGAGAGTGAAAGCTGAAAGCCTGAAAATGGCTCTCAATTGAACAAAAGCTGCAACCTTTTTCCCACTCTCCCCTCTTATGTTCCCTCCAATCCACAATGCCGTTCATACTAACCCCTTTTTCTCTGCACACTACTGTGCTGAAGTCTCTCTAGCTACAATTTTACTTGTTTGACAAGTATGAAATGGATGCACCATAACGCCGCACTCATTGCCTTTCTCTATGGCATTTATCTTCTCGATTCGAACACCAAATCTATAGCTACGAAAACTAGTCTGAAGAAAATGTGAGAGCCCATTGGAATATGAATAATCCCAACTTGGAAACATAACTTATAATGCCATTAACATAAGGCGGGGGAACGTTCAATTTATGATAAGCAGCAACATTGATATGGATATGATACGACCTACTGTACATTAATGAGGTAACTAAGTAGACACTTTTTCTAGAGATGACCCAGAAGAGGTCTGGATGGCTAAGTAGCTAGTAACAGAGGTAAAAAGAGAGATGGCCCTTTTTGAGGAGAAGGGCCATGAAGAATTGAGGTTAAAAATCAGACCAATTGCCAAAATGGGTAGTGTTAGTAACCACCGCCACACATGGCTGGCTAATGAAAGGCTCGAACTTTGGATGCAGGGCAGGGGAAGTGAATTTCTAGAAAGGCTGATGTGAAGCGGAAGAACAGAGCTCAATGGACCCATAATGAAGCAGCTCCTCGATCATTTGCTCAATTTGGTGATCCTCCAATGGCTTGAACAGCTGCTGGTTGCTCTCCACTTGATCATTCTTGCAATTCACACCGACCCAATTCGACTCTGTTTCATGAACTTGCTCCAATTCCTCTGTTTTCACCCTGGCATTGGCATAAGAAGCTGATGGGGGATTGGAAGATTGCTGCTGGTGCTGAAGGGAAGCTTGTTTGGTCATTTGGAGCGAGGCCATGTAGCACCTGTGCAGCTTGGCGGTGAGATTGGCCGACAGGAGTTTGGAGGAGGCCGATTGAGGCACATTTGGGTTGTATGGGAAGTTGGTCCTGGTCCTTGGCCCGCACATCAGCCGAGCCGCTTCGTCGTAAGCCCGGGCCGCGTCCTCCGCCGTCTCGAACGTGCCTAGCCAAATTCTGGTCTTCCTGTTTTCAAATAAGCAAACACAAAGCAACATGAGAAAGTCTGGGGAAACAGCGGATCGAAACGTTTCGTGGTTAGGAAACAGGGAGTTTGTGAAACGTTGGAGGGGAGTCTGACTTACAGTAATGGGTGGCGAATTTCGGAAACCCAGGAGCCCCAGTGGCGCTGTCGAACGCCTCTGTATCGTTGTTGCGGTCTGGCCATTTCGGTGAAAAGGGGAAAAGTGTTGCGGAAGAAAGGTGTTTGATGAAATGCCTGAAAGAGGAGAAAGAAGGAATGAAGGGAAGGTGGGGAAGTGGGAAGGTGACGCTTTGAGGGGGTTTTTGTAGTTGGTATTGTTGACAGAAATGGGAGCAAAGCTAATGGCAAAATCTATTTTTATTTTGGTTTTTTTTTTAAGATATTCCTTTGGCTTCCTCTGGGAAGCAATTTAATAACTAGTTTTTTAATGGGTTTTGGTGGGCTTTGTTGTTTTGCTAGTGATACTTGTGATGAACCGGCTAGAACGAGATTATCAACTTAGCGATAATCTATACTGTTAATCAATTTGCTACAAATTAGCTACTCAAGATCAACTTTGATGTGGAAGTTCATCTGTTGACACCTAAAATTAATTTGGCCGAAATTAAATGCCGTATTAATTAGTCTCGGCATTTAATTCGATACCGCGGGTTAAAAACGATGTCGTTTGGAGTTAAGCGGCGTCGCGGAGAGTTAAAACGGTACCGCAAGGAAGCTCGGCGGTACCGCGGCATGGGAAACGACACCGCTTAATGAAAAAAAAAGGGGCTGCGCGTGTAGTTGGGTTGGAGAAGGGAGTTTTATAATTAATTATTACCTTTATTCCTTGTAGGAAGGGGAAAATCGGTACCGCATGGAGAATTAAAACGGTACCGCAAGGAAGCTCAGCGGTACCGCGGCACCAGCCACCAAAAAAACAAAAGAGGGGCCGCGCGTTAGTTGAGTGTTGAGGAATGAGTTTTGTTTTCTCTAATTAATTATTATTATTTTTTACTCCTTGTTGGAAAGGGAGAAGCGGCACCGCGGAGAGCTAAAACGGTGCCGCGGAATTAAAAACGGTACCGCGATAAGCCCAATGGTACCGTGGATTAGCAAACGACAGTGTTTAAAATAACAAACAATGTCGCAAAAAGGAAAAAACAATCGGAGCTGTGGTGGCGCTAGCGATGTCGTTGGCCATAGCTAGTGATGGCCGGATTAATTAATTAATGTTTTAATGACTTTTTAGCACGGTGGCGTTTAGTTGAAAGCGATGCCGTAAGAGGAGAAACGACACCGCGGGACAAGGAAACGATGTTGTTTAACTAAGAACGACGCCAGGGTGAGAGTTTGACGGCGAGTTAACAATGAGGGCTGATTTAATAAATCGGTAATTTATGAGTATTTTAGACGGTGTCGTTTAATGAAAAGCGATGCCGCGAAAAAGTAAAACGACATCGCGGTAGTGGTAAGAGTTCGGCCGAAGGCAGCCCGCCAAGCCTAACGGCGTCGCAAGAGTATAGAACGACGTTGTTTGATGGACTAACAATGTCGTTGGTTAAACCGGGTCGGGGCAGTTGAGTTGGATCATAAAACGACATCGGTTGGTGAAAGGCGATGCCGTGGTATTGGTGAAACGTCATCGTTACATGGACAAGGTGGTGAGTCGTTTCGCCAAGTTTCTGCAAAGCAAGAGCGGTTTCGAGGGCACGTGGTTATCACGCAACAAGGAGGAAGTTACCTGCACGGTTGACAGGAATGAAGACGTGGGAGACAAAGGCGCCAAGGCAGTTACCACGAAGGGGAGAAGCGCGAAGTATAAAGATTGAGAAGAGAGAGAGACTGGGGACGGCAAAATCAAATCACAAACTGCACCTACGCAGATTTATCCTTTTTCTCTCTAGTTCGTAGATCTGCTCTGTCAAAGACCTCCTTTGCAGAGTCGTAGTAGTTGTAGTCGTAGTTGCGGAGCTCTCCAGAGGAACCTCCATAGGAGTAGAGGTAACGTAACTTAGAATACTCTCGGTTTGGTTTCTCGTTTCTCGTTGAACACCCTCGTTCGAACGTAGTTTGGAGAGGTGGTGAACCGAGTAACGGTTGTTTGATTAGAGGTCAAAGGTGCATCGATCAAATCAACGACGCCGATACCGGCGGCGGATATTTGACGATCGTCTTGGTTTCTGCTTTAATCGATCAAATCAGCGGCGCCGACTTCGGCGGCGGATATTTGACGATTGTGTTGACTTTGTATTTTTGTTTCCTTGAAAACAGAGCGCATTGAACGCGCGAGTTTCGCCAACGAAACATCATCACTCTTCTTACTGTCGTAATTCGTCATTCGGAGATTTCCAAATCTCATCTTGCCAAAATTGCTACATGTTCGAGATGTTATTCTCTTGATCTGTGATGCAAGACTTTTGGGGTGCTATGTTCGAATGGGATTCCGAAGTCATAATTCGTAATAAGATCAACGGGCAGACTAAAGGATGATATCATTGGTGGCCCGATTCTTAGAGATTGTCGTGAGGTGTTGCTGTAATATATATATAAAATTAATTAGAGTTTTGTACGATTTTTTCGGATAACATTTGAGTTGCTCATACTATTGCAAAAAATGCCATTTATCAGGTATTGTAAATTTGTTGTCATTTGATTTTGTTTTTGGGAAAGGAGGGATTTTCTAGTGTAACTAAGTTTAGCTTTATTCGACCTGTCTGGTAAAAATAGAAGAAGAGAAATCCGTGGTAAGAGGTTCCACAAGTATCATGCATTATGCAATAGGCTAAATCAGAATTTCGAGTATCAATTATGTTTATAAGGAAATCAACTATAAACAATCACCCTTACGTAAGAAAAACAAGGATAAGACGAACCGATCGATAAAACGAAACCAACAGGTAATTGGTTGTTGCATCGATTAATGAAACAAATATATTTGCATTTTCTCCAAAATGAGAAACCTGACCAAGTTCAGTTCACATGTGATATGTCCATTATAGTTGACGTTATTTTAGTTACCAATTTCCAATTTCATTAGTGAAGAAAAATATTTAATTAATTGATTAACAATGAATTTGTGTAGAAAATCTAGGGGTCGTAGTCTGATGGATTCTTCATGTGGGATGGCATCCCATAAGCAACTATTTTGTTCTCTCTGCGCCCACATGCACCAATGTTGCATGTGGAAAGACTTTCCTTCTTCTTTTTGCTTTCTTTACTTCTCCTACCTTCCAATATTACATTAATCCAATCCAACCAAAAGCAGTCTATTTTCAGCTACACAATTTATGCCTTTGAATGTGTCCTCCTCATGTATCAATCTTCGACAGCTAACAAAGAATTATCGGGAGATTTTGTGGCTGACCTTTGCAGGGTGATCTTTGAACGATATGTTGATTATCATTTGATTCGCTGAAATCCTACGATCTAACATCTTGAAGTGAGGGTGATCAACGCGTGTTGTGATGGACTTTGTGCATCACACTAATTTCTAGCCCCTGCTTATAAATTACTAACCAAGTTAAAAGAGAACTATTTCCAACGCGTGTTGTGATGGACTCATTTTCTCTGGAGTCGAAACTGATGATCCCTGGACCCAACCTTATCAATATTTTGACCTATAAAACCACAATTGAATAGTGAATTTAGTTGTCCGTCTTTCATATATTGGATCAAACACGATGGTTATGAAACTCATTGGGAACAACTGCTATCATGTGGAGGCGATTTGATCACAGTGTCGGCATGCAATGAACCAACCCTCCAGAGTTGCATTTGACGAGGGGAAAATTAAGGGAATAGGGGAGATACTGTATGGTCCTAAAATGAGCAGTTTTATTGTTAGCGACTTCAATTAGTTTGTTGTCATTTCATCAGGAAAAACCAAGTTCTGTTTACAGAACTTTTAATAATTTGGTCAAATTCCAATTAGGGGATACCGAAATCAAACAAAAGATTCCTGGACAACCCTAATAATTGCTCTACCAAATCAAGATCAAAATCTCATTCATCATAAGTAGAGGTGGCAATTTCAATCCAATCCACCAATCCAATCCATCAATCCATTAAAAATATCCACATAATCCAATCCATTTAAATCCAATCCATTTTATCCAAATCCAATTGGATTGGTGGATTCATGGATTGGATCCATGGATCATTGACTTGATTCATAAGCGAGGAATCAAGTCACATTACAACCCGTACAAAGGGCACCTAAGTGGAAAAAATTAACTCAACAGTTAATTTTTTTTTTAATCTTAAAAGGATCCTTTTTCATCTGGGTCTTTACCTGTTTGGTAAAGAAACCATTTTCTCTAAATGGGTCTTTTAGTTTTATTTGTTTTCATTGTCATTCCCCCATTTGCCAATAATTACCCTTTGGCACACTTTGAAGATAATGTATTCAAATAGGTACCCCAGATGGATGAAGAAACAAGCTCATGGTTTTGGGTTTCTTTAGAATTTTATTAATATAAAATTTACCTTTTGTTAAGAATGGAAAATAATTCAAGAACATCATGGCTGCTAAAATTGGAAAATTTTGGCTAAATGCCAAGCCTGAGGCCAGATGATAGGGTAAGAACCCCAGAAAGAAAGAAAAGGAAAGAGGTAAAAAAAGTTTAATATCAAGAGGGGTGCTTTGTTTGGATCATGCCATTCACTGTTGTCTCACATGCCATGAACAAATCCCTGCTTTCCTTTATGCTTTGAAATTTAAATTAGTGTTTGATGTATCATATTAGTTTGTATTACAATATTTTTTTAATGGTATATTATCTATTGATAGTTATAGTTATCAATTTGATCTATAATATTATTTCATTGTTTATGCTCTAAACTGAAACTGTTCAATCTAAGTCGGTTCGATTTTTATTTAACCGAAACAGATTCCTTACAAGAAATCTCGACACTCTTCCGTAATATATTTTCTAATTGGATTTTACTTGATTGCACCAATAAACCTCTAAGAACCTGCGAATACCCAAAGCTTGTCATGAACTAACAAACACAAACATATATAACAAAGCGTGTTAAGGATTCGGTTCCTTCATACCAAATTCGAGTCATTAAAGATTTCTTAGTGGCTTCTGCTAACCGTTGCTCTTAGTGTTCTCGATTCGACTATAAGAGAATGTGAACTTATTAATATTCGTCTTTACAGTCGACAGTGCCCACCCATTTTACCATCCCTGACTAAACTACATTCATAAAGAACCCATCACAGTACTGAAGTATTGCTATTAGCTAGTGATGTGAGAGTCGGAAAATGTTGTTAAATAAGAAGTTTAGAACACTACTCGTGACATGGAATGCTGTTTTGTCTTTACACATGCAAAACACTTTCCCTAGTCCCTTGTCCCTTTAGGGAGGCTTTTTTTATCCTCTTTCCAGTATTTCAGTTGAAGTATGATCTAAAGCTAATTTGGCGATATCCCATGCTGATGCATGTAGTTGCAATTTCTGACTCGAGAAAGTTTAATCCTGATCCCAAGAACTCTTTCACATGGCTGGATTCGAAACATACCATGTTGATAATCATCTTTCTTTCCCTGTATTTCTTCTTCTCTCCCTCTATCTTATTTCAAACATATTTCCTTTGATCATATCCATAAAACGAGGAAGATCTTACGGGCTAAGTTCAGGATCCCATTTAACTATGTTCGCTTACTTAATATATCCAATCAACCAACCCCAACTCTCAGTTCGAACCGGAGTAATGGTGTCATATATCTATCTATCTATACATAATATTATGGCAATTCAAAATTAAATTTTTGCCACATAAGCACTTGGAGAGATCTCAAGTTGCCAAGGTGGACAAATTTTTTACCAAAAAAATAGTTATTGACCTATTTATGGAGTTGTCCCTCTCTCTTCATTTAATATTTAATTCTCTTTTATCCAATAATTATTTTGCTTTTGTTTTTGTATTATATCTATAAATAATATATGGAGAGAAAAGTTATCAACCCGGTTTAGCAAGTGGAATGGTTTTACTAGTGGTATAACCGGTTTATGTCGTTTCATGCCGGTTAATAAAATATATGTAGAAATATAAAAAATCATTAATGTCAAATGAATTTAATCATATATAAACCATATTTGAAGACAATTCACGTACAATTCATATTGATATTTGAATAAAATATGATATTTCAAATAAAATTACATGTACTCATACTTAAATTCACTAAAACTACGTATTTTACTAAGAAATTCGTAAAACGATCATACCGTTCATACCGATGGTGTCATGTCGATTTCAGGACCTATACCGGTTGAATGGTTCAACCGGTGACATGCCGACCGACGTGACAATCATGATGGAGAGTGACATATATCACATTTTGGTTTTGCATTATATCGATGTACGCAACAATATACTAATGTTCGTAGAGTGACATATATATCACACTTTTTAAATCAAAAAAATATATGATTAAAGATTACTATATAAATTTCTGCTCATTTTTACTAAAACTTAATAATAATTTACATTTTAATGAATAATTTAAACAAACACACAAAAATAATAATATTTTGTCGATAATGTCTGAAAGAAACTTGACAAATAAATAATAGTTATTTATTAAAAAACTTTTTTTTCATTCTGATCAAGTGAAAACATATAAATCGTATGTGCAGTATTAATAATGTATCCTAAGTTCACATTACTAATATTTTCTCTAGGTCATGTGGATTGAGCAAGCTCTATTGAGGTCTTACATCATATGCTAAGAAATTTTCTTTTCAGACTTGATGTTATTTATTGATAAAGATTATAAATTGAAGTTTCCAAAATGACTTGAGTATAATAGTTGATGAACTTTGACTGAGACACGAGATCACTTGAAAAATGAAATGTGTGAAATTTAGAGAAGTCTTTGTTAAGGATGTACGTTAAACATCACATTTCATGCTAAGAAAAATCTAAATTCGAAGATTGAGATAATAAATAAACATTAATGTTTTACTTCACATATAAAACAAAAAATATTTATAGTTAAAATAGTGTAAACCGAGCTATTGGGTCAAAAGAAGAATATTTAATAAATATGAGTTTAGTAAGAAAATTGTAACAAGTCTATATAGTTGTGAGTCTGTGATTTCATACCAAATTTTGGCAATAACAAAAAAATTGATATCATGTTCCACCCAATGAGCTGAGTTCAAAGGTATTAATTAGTGTTGAAAGTAAAATAAACTCTATATATATAGATATTAACAATAGATGTGTCTACAATACATCCAATAATTTAAATACATGTGAAAAGCCACAATGTTTGTATGAACTTTTAACTTTTGCAATTATAAGTGAATTATTCAAGGAATACATAATTTTGAATGCACCTGAAATATTTGTCTGTCGTATACACACTTTACCAATTATTAATATAAGTAATGAAATATTTGTTCTAGAACAAACATCAAATATAAAGAAATTTTAGTAAATGAACATTCAAATAGTTGAAAAATTATACATAGAAGGAACATGTTAAGATGAGAACTTTCGATAGTGTATATGAATCCTTGGATTCAGATTCTAAACAAACATCTAGACAAAAGGCATGGGTTGAGGGTTTGTACAAACTTAAAATATTAGCAATTGTAATAAGTTGCTATACAAAGACTTCATGAACATCAACAATAAAAATGAGTGAGGTTTAGAGAATTTAATAATTATAACGGATACGTTGTGTGTCAAATTTCAATTGGGATAAACATAATTTATCGAGTAATCAAGTATCTTTTTTCAATAATTTGAACTCTGATTAATTGGCTGAGAGTTCGTACAAACTCGAGAATCATGAATTGATATATGTTGTATAAGATAATAAATTTGAGCGTCTTGGTGGAAAATTTTTTATATACGATCCTAAATGGGACGTGATAAACCTTTACGACATGATTTATGATCAGAGAATAAAAACATTACAAGCGAGTGTGATAACTATTAAATAATATTCGATATAGGCATACCACATATTTACTTATGAAGCGAGAGCAGAAAATGTATACAGGATCCAAAAAGTTCAAACATGTAGATAAGTTAACTAATATAAATAATAAAATGTAGATAAGTTAACTAATATAAATAATAAAATGAACTTCTCCGGTCAACTGGCCGGGTAAAAAACTAGTTATCATGATAGAAGATCAGACTCTTAAAAAAAGAAAAGTCGAGGGAGTAGTACTTATTATGAGTTCAGAGCAATTTGCGAGGCACTCATTGCAGATCGTTCGAATTGTTTCCGCTCGTCCTTACTGCCACTCTATCAATTATTACGATATCCACAATTTCTTTACATGGATAAATATATAATAAAAAACTAGCTAGACCAACTACATTTATCGAAAATGTGAATTCTGCTGATTATAACATTTTTCAAAAGTTCGATCGATAATAGTTTTTCAATCTATGGATTTTCAAGTTTTGTCATAATAAGAATCCTCGTTCATCTTCAAATTCAATCACCCAAGAAACTTCACTTCATCAAAAACACACATTGACCGGTCTTGATCCCACTTGGAGAAGATGACTCCACATTGGTACACAATGAGGCGTGAAACTAGTGATGACGAAAATGGAAAAAAGGAAGGTAAAAGGACAAAAGAAAAAGGAAGTGATCACAAGTTGTAGAGCACTCATGTGATGATGCAACAAGAACATATTTTTCTCAACTGGGTTTGGATTACAGCTAAACACCAAGCAAGATGGTGGAGATGCTCATTATCAGAAAAGTCAAGATTAACGAAAAAGAAAGACAGCAACACCAACAAAATATATGCGCGTTATGAACTGGTTTCGATCGGGCCCCTTTACTATGTAACAACATGGGTAGTGATGTTGTTTCATTCATACCCAAACATACATAAAATAAAGAAGCCAAAATATGCATGTTATTAGTTAGATATATATCTTTCATAATCCTTTGACCTTCCAAAGAGAGACCAAGACCTAGAAATGCGCTCAAATATTTCAACAAGGTAGTAGTGGTAGCTGGATGCATGGAGTTTGATTTCTTTAGTTAATCAAAAGCCATCACGATTAAGGGTCTAGAAGAGTTTGGTTTGACATGGTCCTGAGTCCGGATAGATCCGATCCAACAGTAAATAAAATTTGAGCATCATAACCGAATCTGAAGTATATTTGGTCCGATCCAAATATTAATTTGTATCGTGTCCTTTTTAATATTTAGAAAATTTATGCTATTAATGATAAGACCGCGGTATATTCTATCTGGAAAAAAAAAGGTTGATTTGGTGCTCCTATTGTTTCACACCCCCCTTATCACAACAATCATCATTCATTGAGCTTAATAATTGGCTCTTCATACTTTTCAATTATGGCTTTATTGTGACACTATGAGATATTAGGGTGGTGACCGTGTTTGAGTTAAGGCACGAAACATATTCGTATTAGAATGTAAGCTAGACTTCTTACGATCAGTGAGACGATTAGGCTGGATTATACTGTCTCACATGTAAAATCTAGTACAAAAATAGCAAAGTGAGATTTTCTAAAATTTATTGTGCATTGTCGAGATTGTGGAAAATGTGTATCCCTAACTTATATCTCAACTTGAGTTCATAATCGCTCGGCGATACGCAAATTTTACTAAATCCATCCTATTATGATATTATAAATGGTGATTCATAAATGAATTATGTGACTTTTAGCTTGAAATTAATTGTCCCTAGCAAACAAGGAGTCCGTCACATGCACACAATAGGCAAGACAGAAGAAAACGAGTGTTCATTGAACAAACCCAAGAAGACTAGCTAGCTAACTGATGTATCGATAACGACATTTCTTCTTCTCAATTTCCCCTTAAACCTAATTTTAAATTATCACAAGGGACCCATATTAGAGGGAGTGATGTCAATTTCATATCTGACTCGCACGATTAGACATGTCCCAACCTCATTGGACCAGGTATTAATTACCTGATCGAGAGTAATATATTGCAGGACATATGTATGGGTATAATTTCTAACTTATCACGTCCCATTTCATCCGTTCTCGTTCCTTATATCATTTTTTACATCGATATCTATATGTATTTCTCCTCATTTAACATTTCTAAAATCATATTTTGATTCCAAAGAAATTTTAAGATTATTTTTCAACTATTTACACTCAAATAATCATTCTACTATATTTCTCAATCATTTATGAAGTATCTTCTCTTTGTGTTATTGTAATTTGTAACAGAGTTAAATAATAATTTATTTCTTTTCAAATACTCATATAACAATTGATCGATCTATTAGACTCCGTACCCGCATAAGTATTACCCGACCTAACTTGTGCTTACTACTTAGACAAATATTGGTATGGAGAAATCTGAGCAGCCTTATTACCATCACTAATTAGGGCGGCCAGCCTTTTCAAATACTCATCTCCCTCTGCTGCTTGCTTTCATAAATAAAAATCAAGTGGGCCTGCATGTCTTTGTGTAGTATATAAATATGTAAATGACTAAACTCTAATGGTTTTGGGCCCGTTTCTTAATCCACGACAGGCTTATCTTCTCGGCCCGCATTGAAACCCTTCCAGTCTTCCAACCTATTAGGCTTGCTAGCCACTGTCCCACACTGCATTTTGCAGAAATCACTGCCTTGACCAATTTATCTGTTCGGTTTTCGGCTTAACCTTTGGTTCTTTTCGAAGGGATAAGGGCACATATGTCTTTGACAAGTACCATCATAGAAAACGTTAATCTATTTCATTTCATTTCATTTCATTCCATTCAATATTTGACTGAGGTAGTCAATACATATTTTGTACCATTTCTTCTTAGCATGAAATGTAGCTTACACCATCTATTTAAGCCCTACTGTGTCGATGCGATCACATCGAATCAGACGATCTTGAACATTTGCGGCTCAGTCGTATTAGGTGGCTGGCTGGCTGATGGGCCCATTTAGGCTTGTGCTTGGGCTCATTTGTCATTACCAAAATTGGGCATAGCCGCATAGGTTTTTTTGAATCATCGGCAGAAAATGGGGAGAGGCAGCCGGGTGGATGGCAAATTGGCAACAGAGTATATAGTAACGCAAATGTGCATCTGTCGTTAGATAGCGCAGATATGGACAAACACGTATAAATAACAAGTACGACTCTTACTGCCTACTTTCTCCACAACTACTTCAACAGTGTCAGCCCCATGAATGAATGCTCTGCTTGCACAACACAAATCCCGCACACCCTTTCACCGCTCAATTCTGTGGTTAGTTTGCTTGCTGCTGCATTCCCCGATTCCGCCTCGATATCGAACCATAATCACTACTGGTACTTGTTCTATCAGCAATGAGGACGGCGGCGGCGGCGGCATCGTCTCATTTGGTCACATTGCCGTCATGGCACGACAAGAGGCTTCATAATAATCTGCACCCAGGTGATAGCTAGCTAGATAGATTAATCGATCGATCTTTAACATGTTCGATATGCCAATGGCTAATTATATATGTGTGAATTCTTTCTTTCAATCAGCTTGTTGTGTTAAGCTGCGGACGAAAGATCATCATCAGGTGGTGGCGATGAACAGAAACAAGGCATCGAAATTTGGGTGCAATTCGACCACCAGAAGAATTTGTCGACGTTGCAATCGGCAGGTAGTGTTTAGTAAGGCTGGAGTGAGTTTGCAGGAAGGGTTTGGCTCGTTTCGAGAGGATGAAGGGAGTTGGCATAGTAGCTTGACAAGTGGTGTGGTGGAGAAATTGGAGGCCTTTTACAGGTTCTCTCGTCCTCACACCGTCATCGGCACCGTGAGTTCCGACATCTTTATCTTACAAACTATTAATCTTCACAGTATATTGTAGATTGGGTTGTGGTTCAAAATTCATCTGGTTTTGTTGTTTCGATTAGGTCATCGGGATAACGTCAGTATCACTGCTTCCCTTGCAAACGAGCAGTGAGATCTTTCCTGCGTTTGTGCTGGGTTTGATCAAGGTTAGTGAGAGCTGAATTCCTTGACCTTCTCTAACAATCAATACTTTTGGAATGTTGATAAGATTCTGGACTTGCTTGCTGTGAATCGTTTTGGGCAGGCAGTGGTGCCGTCTGTGTGCATGAACATCTACGTAGTGGGATTGAACCAACTGTTTGATGTGGAAATTGACAAGGTAGGTAAAAAAACACACACACACACACACACATATTGATTGCAATTACCACGCTTGGTCAGTGAAATTCTGAGTTTGTTCTTGAGGCAGGTAAACAAACCCACTCTGCCACTGGCTTCTGGTGAGTTCTCGATGGCAACTGGGGTTACAATTGTTGCTGCATCTCTAATCACAGTAAGTGACTGATGTAATCCATTTTGATTTGAGGATTGGTACTGGTTAACATGTGGCTGATGAACACTTTGGATGCAGAGCTTTTACTTGGGCGTGAAATTCCAGTCCCCTCCTCTTCTGGCTGCCTTGCTCATTAGCTTTCTGCTTGGGAGTGCATACTCTGTTGAAGTAAAGCTTAGATTTGCATCAACCCTTTTGCTGCATTGTTATATGAGCAAAGTTTGATTAGTTGAAGGTTTAGACAACACTTAATTGATTAACCCTTTAATCTTGGTAGTCATTTAAGTTTGCTGTTGCATATAGCTTCCGCTTATGAGATGGAAGAGGCATGCATTTCTGGCAGCTAGTTGCATCCTGATCGTGAGGGCAGTCGTTGTCCAACTAGCTTTCTTCATACACATGCAGGTAAACTTGTTCTCAGGGTTCCTGTTTTTTTTTTTTTTTTTTTTTTGTTTTTTTGTTCCATGTCACATATCCTCAACAATAATAACAAGGAAATGGATGCAAATGTGTGCAGAAATTCGTGCTTGGAAAACCAGTAGCCATTACCAGAACCTTGGTGTTTGCGACTGCTTTCATGTGCTTCTTCTCAGCTGTCATTGCACTCTTCAAGGTACAAACCAACCCTAACTTCCAAATGGGTTTGCTTTGTCGCCATATATATGTAACTTCTGGCGCAAATACTTTTCATTTTGTTACATTGCAGGACATACCTGACCTGGATGGAGACAGGGACTTTGGAATCCAATCTTTTACTGTCAAGTTGGGACAAGAAAAAGTAAGGTTCTGGTAGAGAATCAATACAAGTAGCAGAGTAGTTTACTCTATGGCATTACTAGTTTACTACTAATCTTAATGAAACTAGGTATTCTGGGTATGCGTCCAACTGCTGTTAGTAGCGTATGGAGCTGGTGTGTTGATGGGTTTTTCTTCACCATGCCTATCGAGCAAGATAATCACTGTATGTATAATAGATCACAAGGCCTTTTGGATTCTTAATTGCTGCGTTAGAGAGAGTGAGTCTTTGACCAATTGATGCAGGTTGCAGGCCATAGTACACTTGCAGTGATGTTGTGGTTGCAAGCACAATCAGTGGATCTCACCACCAACACTTCCATTACTTCTTTTTACATGTTCATCTGGAAGGTAACTTTTGCCCCCAATTTCTTTCTGATCACTTCTTTCCTCGTTGTTTAAGCCATGGTAATTGATGTTCTTTTCTTTGGATTTTTTCCGCAGTTGTTCTATGCAGAGTACTTCCTCATTCCTTTCATACGTTGACGAGGATCAATATCGTTAAAATCCGAGAAATGCAATGCTTATTGTCGATGATGGTCTATGTTTTTTTATATTAGGGGCTTTGCTAGTTGTTGAGGAGGAATTTGTAACTCTAAATCCAGTAGTTTTATCCCCAATATAATTTTTGACATACTTATGGTATTTTAATGGTTTTATTCTCGTCTCTTGATTCACATCTAATGAACAATTGTACACGGCATGCATAATGTGGAGTAATTAGAAGACTAAGAAGATCTGATAACTTATCATTTTATTTGTGATTATCTCTTGATTCATATTTATTGAACAATCGTACATGGATGGATAATGTGGAGTAACTAGAAGACTAAGAAGATCTAATAACTTATCATTCTATTTATGATGTTTGTAAGACGGTCCATACAATTTATCTCATAACAAATAACAGCGGAAAGATCAATTATATTCCCTAACGAATTTTATATTATATATTACGGAACATTATATGTAAGTGGATCCACAACAAACAACTTCATAGCATCTGGCCTGTCCTTGAGACATTATGGGCCCAACTACAGTGCATAACCACAAAGCCCGCACAGAAAAGGCCCACTAAGCGGACTACCAAATATAAAGACCTATAAAATCCCATACTCTCGCTGCCTTAGGGTTTCTTTCTCCTGTATCAGAGTAGCAGCCGCTCCAGCAACATCTCACCGTAGCAGCATCTCGCTAGGTCAACTCCAAGGAGGCGAAAATGGTGGGTTTTTCTTCAATCTCTTGCTCCCTCCTCATCTTCTCGAATCTCCCCTTCCATCGTTTTGCAATTTAACTTGTACAACTTTGGCTGACCGCCGATGTGTTTCTCGTTCGTTATGAATTTGCACAGCCGTCGCACAAGTCGTTCATGATCAAGAAGAAGCTGGCGAAGAAGATGCGCCAGAACAGACCCATCCCTTACTGGATCCGCATGAGGACCGACAACACCATCAGGTGAGCGCTCGCGCGTTTACAGACTTGCCTCTGTTTTTTTTCTCTTATGCAAATGCGAAGTTTTTGTATATCCCTGGGTTTCTTTGTGGTGCTAGGGTTTGAATCGATTGGAAAATTTGTTTTTGCTGTGGGATTTTGCAGGTACAATGCGAAGCGCAGGCACTGGCGTAGGACCAAGCTTGGGTTCTAAGGTGTTTGTTTGGGTTTTACTTCAATTCCCTTATCTGTTGGAACCCTTTTCTGTTTTTTTCCGAATGAATTAGCTTTGGTTGAGGATAGTATTGAACAATCTGTACTGGGATTCGATTTTTGTTCTGGCGCGAAGTTTCTATGCAGTCTGTAAGGGTTTCATTTCGATGATTCTCTATTTGTCTTTTTAGTTTGATTTTGTGCAATTGAATCCAGTTTGGCAAAGCATCATAGGCTTCTCTGGATCTTACAGTTATCTTGCTACGTTGGTTGTGAGAACGGATGGATTCCTCTGCGCAAGAATAGTCTTCCCCAACATTATTTTGGATTTGTTTCCCTACTCTGTTCCTTCTTTCAGATGGTAACGTTAATCTAGGGCTTCATCTCTTTTGGGAAAGAAGAAGAGAGATGGTGCAACCGTGTTTGATCTGTGACTGTATCACTTCATTTATTTGACCATTATCCTTCTGTTTATCGTATTGAAGTTTTGAGGCAGCAGCCATGGCCTAACCTTCAACCGGATTTTAAGGTCCAGTTGATGGTCTTTCATCTTTTGTGGTTCTTGACAGAAGGTCCAGTTGATTGCTGTTGGTGAATGAATGTTAAAGTAGGAGTTGATTTATTGTACCACTTTCTTTATAGGTGGGCACAAAAAGAGTTTGCAAAATTTGGTTTCGAGTGCATGTTTAACATTATAGCATTATTTTCTGCACTCTTGTGTGGTTGATAAATATAATTGTCTTAAGAAGTGATCTTTACCGAGGAAGCCTAGCTGAGGGAAAATAGTTTACTGAATATTACATTAACTTTTAATTAATGAATTAATAATGGTTACATATATCATCCTTATGAAAAATATACATAAATGACCGTAAGCTACACATAATAACACTGATTAGGACAACGAAACACAATTCAATTTAGCAACCCAGAGGCGTCGAGTTTATGATGAATCGGTGGACAAGTGGCGGCAGCAGATCCGGAGAGGGAGAGCAAGAACTCGCGGGAGTAGTGCCGGCGTGGTCGAATCTCAGTTGCTGCTTTCGCAATAATGGGGGCTTCTTGCTCTGTAATCGTGCCTCGACCGGGAGTGTGCAGGCCGCCGGTCAAGAAAGAGGGGAGAGGCAAGGAATCCGGTGGCGGTGAAGGAACGAAGAATGACGCCCCACTATAGTAGACTACTTTCTTCTTCTCCGTGCAGTTAGAATCAGTACATTGTCGTTGGTACTGCACCTTCTTGTCGGTCGTGGTGGTCGTCGTCGTCTTCTGCTTCTTGGCTTGATTCTGGCGGGGAGGGGACGGTGACTTCGATGGTCGCGGCATGACTGAGTTGATGCTGGAGCTCTTTTGACTGCTTGATTTCCGGTCATAGCTGCCGCCAATGGGAGTGGAGAAACCACAAGGGAGTCGGGGTTGTAGGAGGCGCTTCGATGGCGGTGGAGTGGGGAGCAGTCCACCGCAGGAAGGTTTGAACACCATCGATGTCGGCGGTGGAGTGGGGAGCAGTCCGCCGGAGGAAGGGTTGAACACTATGACCGCCATTCTCAGGAAACGAGAAGGACTAGCTACGGAAGTAAATGAGAAGACGGCAGAGAAGAACGAATTGAAAGTGGAAACAGAGAGTTAAGTATTGCTAGCAACAGCGGAGAGGAGTGTGAGTGTGTGAGAAAATGAGAGTTGCGTTTGGTGGCTCGTTTTTTATAGGCTCTCTGACGACTCCTTTTCTGTGTGGCATTCGGTTTCCTCTTTTTCCCTCTGCTGCCATTTTGGGGTTTCCGTTTCCGTTTAGGATTTCCACATTCGGACAATGAGAAAGGCTGGAAACAGTCAACTCTGGCTAGCCCATTTCGAGTTTGTAAATTAATGGGCCAACTCCAGCACAGTCATTAATGGATTATCCTATAAAATGAAAAGGCTTTTGTATTGTGAGCATGGTTGTCATGCCGGTGGCATGTCACCCGGTTCAACCTTGTTCAACCTGTGTCGTTCATGAAACCGGCATGACACCACCGGTATGACCGGTATGATCGACTTACGCATGCTAAGTAAAATGATATCATTTTAATGAATTTAATGAATAAAAATAATAATTTATTATTCATTTTATGAATGTAATAGTTAAAAGTTGATGATATTTGTTGGATTGTAATTAAATTGTCCACAAATATGTTTTATATATGATTAAATACATTGGATATTAATTGTTTTCACATTTTTTTAGACCGGCATGAACCGGCACAAACTGGTTATACCACCGGTCGTACCATTCCACTTGCCAAACCGACACAACGGTATAAACCGGTTTAACAACCTTGATTGTGAGCCAGGCGCGTGAGGTCCATGTCTCAGAAATTTGAAAAATCAATAAACAAGAGGAAAAAATCCCAAAATACTCTAATTATTAAAAAAAATTCCCTAAATACAGTACTTATAAACTTATTTCCCAAAATACAGCAGTTTCAACATCACTGTTGTAGACCAAGACAGTGATTGCAATCACCGCTTTTGTTTAAAACGGTGAGAGCATCACCGCTTTTAACGACAACAGTGAAGCTATCACCGTTTTGGACAAAAACGGTGATGCAATCCCCGCTCTTGTTAAAAGCGGTGATTGTGTGACCGTTGATTTGAGAAACGGTGAAGCCACTATCACCGTTGATGGGGAAAACGGTGAAGAGGGCGCGGATCGCTGACGTGGTCGCCCGCGGGCACTTCACCGCCAGTAGAGAAAAGCAGTGATAGCCCCGCCCCGCCACGTCATCAATCCGCGTCGTCCGCGCCCTTCACCGCTGTTGTTCGATGCGGTGAGGCGCGGATTGTGGTTTTTCTCCACGATCCGACGCCTCACGCCTCGCCACGTCAGCAATCCGCGCATCACTGCCCTCCTCAATGGCGGTGAATTCACTGCTTTCGACGAAAGCGGTGATTGGCTGAGGGAAATTTCCAGCGCCCCCTTCCCCCTATAAATACCACCACCCCCCCCCCCTCTCATTCCAAACCACACCACCATTTTATACTTCTTTCTCCCTCCATTACTTCACTCTAGTTTCGTTCTAAGTATGCTCTGTGGTTGCGGCTAAGTCCGATCTTCCGCATCAGAAAGAATTACTAGAGTTTTTGTTTTGTCGATACTCTCGCTAGCTTTTCGGCAAAAAATGGACGAAGAGGCTTTGAGAGTACGTAAATTTATTTTATTCTTTTGTGATTTTTTTTTACATGGGTGCTAAAATTTAAATTGACTTGATTTCATATTTTTTTATAGATGGGTGCTGAGATATACGACCCTCGATTGTATATCGATCATGGCCCAAGGGATCGAAGGTATTTAACCGAGCAAGCTCAACATCGCTCCCGTTCAATTTGGAACAATAATCCGGTAGACACACTAAAATGATTTCAATAGTTTTGAAGTTTTTATTTTGCTTTCTATTGACTAACAATATTGTGTTTTTTGTTTTGTAGGAATTACTTATTCCCATCAGTCATCGAGGGACATGTAGATTGCCCCGTTGGCATGCTCGACTGCAACCCTATCTAGAGAGGACGGGATTGCACATGCTGAGGCACTTTATGAGGCTTGATATTGACAACCATCTGCTGACGGCAATGGCAGAGCGATACAAAAACAATATCATCCATGTCTGCAATTTATAATAATTAAGTATAGTATATAATTAGTACATTAGGGATACAAAAACAATATCATCCAAACCCATAAACAAACGCATGTAATTGATCTATCATGAGAAAACTAAGCAAATTCATCTAAATTCATAACTAACTAACTAACATCTATCATATCATAATTAATCTAAATATTTCATAACATATTTTCCAATAACCGCAATTCACTAAGTACAGACATATAATTACTAACACATCAACATGTAAACAATACATAATTATAACATACCGAAGCCCGATCTATCATGAGAAAACTAAACAAATTCATCTAGATTCATAACTAATTAACTAACATCTATCATATCATAATTAATCTAAATATATCATAATATATTTTCCAATAACCGCAATTCACTAAATACAGACATATAATTACTAACACATCAACATGTAAACAATACATAATTATAACATACCGACTCCTGATCTATCATGAGAAAACTAAACAAATTCATCTAAATTCAGTACTAACTAACTAACATCTATCATATCATAATTAATCTAAATATATCATAGCATATTTTCCAATAACCGCAGTTCACTAAATACAAACATATAAATTACTAACACATCAACATGTAAACATTACATAATTATAACATACCGAATCCCGGCGAGTTCTTGAGCAGTAAACCAACTCCAAACCAGCTGAGAAAACGACTAATAAAACACTAATTTTTGTACTAATTTGCTGTAAGGCAACAAGAGGAGAAGTGGTGGTCGGTATTTATAGGAAAAAATGGCAGCTAATCACCGCTGTGGACAATTGCGGTGAACACATCACTGCTTTTGTCCAAAGCGGTGATAGCTAGGTCGCTGTGACCTAATTTCCCACCTACCAGGGCTCTAAAACGTGGTCAATTATCACCGTTTTGGTCGATGGCGATGATGTGATCAATTATCACCGTTTTTGTCGACGGCAATGATGTGGTCTATTATCACCGTTTCGTACAAGCGCGGGGAATGCATCACCGTTTTGGTTGAAAGCGATGATGCTATCACCGTTTTGGTCCAAAACGGTGATAGCATCACTGTTTTGGTCCAAAGCGATTATTCTATCACAGTTTTGGTCAAAAGCGGTGATTGCAATCACTGTCTTGGTCTACAACAGTGATGTTGAAACTGCTATATTTTGGGAAATAAATTTATAAGTACTGTATTTAGGAAAAAAAAATTAATAATTAGAGTATTCTGGGATTTTTTTCTTGTTAGGGGGAGAATCAGAATTCAGAATCCCACGAGCTTCCCACCAGGTACCAAGGAATTTGAAAAGAAAGTAGAAAATTGGCCACAAGTTTTTTTTTTTTTCGTAATTAGATTTAGATGTATGCCAGAGCTAATTTGATTCTTCCATTTTTCTAGCTTGGTTGTTTCGGTAGATGAAATTTCTATTTGGTTTAATAAACAGACTTCCTATTTCATAATCATCACAACTAATGTAAATTTATGTGTCTATGAATAAATTTGATATTTTCATAACATCTATGGTTTTTTTAAATTGTCGATGTTTTGTGTCAAAACACACTTAAACGATTTAAGAGCCATGTTTGGATCACTTGCACATAATGGAATTCATGGTAATCAAGATTTATCTAAAAGGAACCTAGAGTGATACTAATCACTTGCTTGCATGTTTGATAGAAAGTAAACAATTGTTAAATTACTATCGGGAACTCGATCACCAACAATAGAAGAAGACATTTTAAATATCCACTAATGGTAGATTTTAGAAACTATTGCTATGTGGAAGAAATTTAAGATTTGCAGTTTCCTAAGGTTAGAAGATACGATTTGATATATGAGATGTCGAGATAAATTCTAGTTGTTGAAATTTGTAATTCAACTTTATAGAAGGTCACACAATCTTAATTCATACAACACGACAACTAAAAATAAAAATGTAATGACTATATTTGGAAAGGTGTGTAAGTGAGGGGAGAGGAAATACAAATCTTATCAAATTTACTTCTCCTAATTGCCAATTAGGTGATATATATTGTTTTAACCCATTGTAAAATTTATGGATCAAAGGGACTAAATTAGGGAAGTTAAAGGTTCAAATTGACCTTGTTGTCTTAAAATATATGCAAAAATAACCTTCTGTTTCTGCTGGCTCGCCCAACAGGCCTCTCGTCATCGTCTTCGTACAAATCGCCTCTCCCCACCATTTCATAGTTCCCTTCTCCTTTATTCATCTCATCTCCCAATCCAAGCAGCTGAAAACAGCAGCAGTAGCATCGCCATTTCCCCAATTACAGTCGAGTCGAGGCATTTCTCCCCTCTCTCTCGCAGGTAAACACTTTGCTCTCTTCGTCTCCCCTTTGGAATCTCTTCCTTTCTACCCCCAATTCGTGATCCATTCTTATTTCTTCTGGTAGCCATCAAGCAAAGGGTTTCCCCGGTACCAGTTGCAGCCACCGAGCTGCATCCCCAGCTATGTGAAATCTGATTTTTTTCCTCCTCGTGTTTTCAGATGGCGTCCAACGTTATCTCTGCTGCAGCTTCTGCATCTCCTTCGGCTTGCCCTGTCACTGACCTTCTCAAGGTAAATTGTGATCTCTGCCCTTGTGACTCTGAGACGGATTGAACAACTCGTGGTTTCGCTCTGATTATCGCTTATGACTTTTTAGCATAGCATAGATGGCACTAGATTGATTGATGCTAAAGTGATCATCTTTTGAATTGGGTCAGTAGACTATGTGCGACTATGTGAGTAACCGCGGTTCCTTTTACCAGGGGAAGGCAAAACTTGGGAGTGGCAATGTCGGTTCTTTGTTTATCAAGGACAAAGGCAATCCCTTTCTGAACTCAAAGGTACTTACTTTCTGCTTGTGGGTTTGTGATTTTCTTTCCCCAATTAAAGTAGCAATTCTGTGTTACACTGAGATGGTGGATTAATGGGGGGATTATGGCTTGTGCTTTTGGGTTTGTAACTTACTGAGTTTTGTTTCGGCTTTTTCTCGCTTGCAGTCTTGTGGGAGGATTAGTATGGCTGTTGCTGTCAATGTCTCACGTTTTGAAGCCATTACTATGGCTCCACCCGACCCCATTTTGGGAGTTTCAGAAGCTTTTAAGGCGGACAATGATGAAAAGAAACTCAACCTTGGAGTTGGTGCTTATAGAACTGAAGAGCTACAGCCTTATGTGCTTGATGTTGTTAAGAAGGTGAGCTAATTTTGCATTTCATTCAATCTGGTGAATGTTTTCCCAAATGACAAACTGGGTTTGTCTTTTCTTCTTCAAACAGCTGAAATGATTTGTTGATTGTTTTTTGCCCCAGGCGGAGAATCTTATGCTGGAGAGGGGAGAAAATAAAGAGGTATCAAACCTGCGTCAATGAATTGAATGATTATTCTGTTTTTTTTTTAATGATAATCTAAATTGATATTCTTAGTTGACTTGTCTTTGGCTGATTTTGCTTATTTGATCGCAGTATCTGCCCATTGAGGGGTTAGCGGCATTCAATAAGGCGACTGCAGAGCTGTTGTTTGGAGCTGACAGCCCCGTGATCAGTGAACAAAGAGTATGTGCTATAATGTTGCAACCTTATATTTTTGCTCTTCACCTACAGCTACCAGGCTTCAATAATGCACTTATTAATTATCTTTCGCATGAAACCAAATTCAGGTTGCCACAATTCAAGGTCTCTCCGGAACTGGATCCTTACGGCTAGCTGCAGTTTTAATCGAACGATACTTCCCGGGTGCAAAAGTTTTGATTTCCTCTCCAACTTGGGGTCAGTAATGTTAACTCGCTTGAGATCATTTCTTATCCTTTCTGAAGATGCGTAACTAACATACCCCCCATATTTCCAGGCAATCACAAGAATATTTTCAATGATGCTAGAGTTCCATGGTCCGAGTACAGATATTATGACCCAAAGACAGTTGGTCTGGATTTTGAGGGCATGATAGAGGACATAAAGGTAAGTTCTTAAGAATATTACATTGTTTTTCAATCAATGTACACAGAATAGAATGCATTCAACTTCAAATTTTCTACAAGACATTCAGCTTTATTGGATTTCTCCTTTTAGGCCGCTCCTGAAGGATCATTTGTGTTACTTCATGGTTGTGCTCACAACCCAACTGGCATTGATCCAACCCCTGAACAGTGGGAGAAAATTGCAGATGTTATTCAGGAGAAGAACCATATCCCCTTCTTTGATGTTGCATATCAGGTATTATATCCTATATATCTTTCACTTTTGTTAACCTCTAAACCCCTTTTCTCCAACCAATCTACCTATTGGGCTTGATAACACTTGAATGTGTAACTCAGGGATTTGCTAGTGGGAGCCTTGATCAAGATGCAGCATCAGTAAGACTATTTGCTGCTCGTGGCATGGAAATTTTTGTTGCTCAGTCATACAGCAAAAATCTGGGCCTCTACTCCGAGAGAATTGGTGCTATCAACGTCGTCTGCTCATCTTCGGATACTGCGGCAAGGTTAGAATCCTCTCTTAATTATATAAAAAAAGCATCAAGTTACTGTTTGCCAGCTGCTGAAGAGTCTGACTAATTATTTTCCCCTTCTCTCTTCATCATTTCATTTTAACTCACAGGGTTAAGAGCCAGCTGAAGAGAATCGCCAGGCCAATGTACTCAAACCCTCCAATTCACGGGGCTAGAATTGTTGCCAATGTCGTTGGAGATCCAGCTCTCTTTGGTGAATGGAAGGCTGAGATGGAGATGATGGCTGGGAGGATTAAGGGAGTAAGACAGAAGCTCTACGACAGCCTGACCTCAAAGGACAAGAGTGGAAAGGATTGGTCTTTCATACTTAAGCAGATTGGCATGTTCTCATTCACTGGCTTGAACAAAAATCAGGTAACTAATCAATCAGCAACCCTTCTTCTATATCACAAATCAATGAATTCTCAGTGAATGATTCGAGCTTTGGCGACTATGTTTATGGTTGTGTTGACTGTTTTGCAGAGCGACAATATGACGAATAAGTGGCATGTGTACATGACAAAAGATGGGAGGATTTCATTAGCTGGACTGAACTTGGCCAAGTGCGAGTACCTTGCAGACGCCATTATTGACTCATACCATAATGTCAGCTAAATCTCTGTGCATTCATCATCATGCCACAGACGGTAGAACCGTAGAGGCCGACTATTCAAGTCTTTTTCTTTGTTGAGTTGATTCTACTGCGACCTGTATGATTTGGTTACTAATAATCCCTTTTTTCTCTCTACCACCATGTATCTGGTTGGTTGGGGAAGCCTATTGTTACACCGGATTTTTTCAGCCTAGTGTAGGAAAAGCTATCTGTACCCAAGAGGAAAGGTATTGGTTTCTTGTTTGTTTTATCGACTTTATTATACGGCGGAGGCTTTGGTTATATATATGACAGAATAAAAGTTTCTCAACTTCCACTGAAAAAGTGAAGACGTTGAGTATTTGTTTTTCCCCTTGAAAACCTTGGGGTTGTCCATTGTTGGAGTATACGCTCATTGGTTTCTTTGGCAATGGTTTCTAATAGACTATTGATTTAGAAACCAGTAGGTCGGACCGAAAATATTGATATCAAACTCAAATTAGTGGAAAGTTTTAGTGATAGTAAAAAATTGAACTACGTTAAATCAAGAGATTAGCACAAATACTCGTTGATAAGAACCGAACCGGATCAACGGCTAGGCCAGTAGAATTGCCAAACCAATTATGATAGCTGTTCGGTTCATTGTTTGGACGGTTATTGATGGACCAAACGGTTTTTCAGTGCTCAACATAAAATCATATGAACCACCACGGTTTAACTGGTCCACTAGGTCACTATTTTAACCACAAACATTTTAAAAAAAATTCTTTAACTAAAACTAAGACCATCAACCATAATCTACTTCCTCTTTTCATTTTCCAACCTTGTTGTCGACTTTACATGATTCACTATCGACTAGGACCGTAATTTTTAATTTGAATTAAAAACTTGTGATTTGTTTTGTGAGACTGTTTGAATGATTTATTAGATATTTTGGTGATGATATGAATTTGAAATTGTTTATGGTCAATGATAATTTCAGTCTTAAATTAGTGTAATATACAAGTCTTATATGTTACATATCATGAACAGTTCTGTTAACGGTTAACCAATGATTTTGTAACGGTTAACCACTGAACCCTAAATCATCAACTTTTCCAGTTCAGCCTCCGGTCCGATTCTGAAACATAGCAAAATACCCTACCATTTTCCTTTATGATATAACCTCAAATACCATCTCACAATCGGTTTGCTTCCTCGCCTAATCCTCAAGCATCTCAAACCGTTGGTTAATGAATCTTATCCTATCACCTCCGAGAAACTGATTTGGTGCTTCGAGCTCAATGATATATAGGTTTCATGGTGTCAACCTTCCAACCCCTAAAATGGTCAATCAAACAAAATAACCCTTACATCTTCCCATGAAGCTAGTTAATCCAATTGAGTGAAATACAATTAATTCTTTAACGAACGAGCTCCTTCAATTCAAGAATAAAGAACCATCACACAAAGCGACAACCCCATTAAACCCTGACTTAGAAGTTAGAACGCCAATTCAGTAATTCGCCGAGGATGAAGGACCATCAATGGAAAGTCAAGTACTCTGTACACAGAAATAAATTGGCTGCAAATGTAGCTTTCTCAATGAGCGTTCAAAATTCTACAAAACGTGGAAGAAAAATTCCCAAACGTGGAGGAACTCCTCTAACCCTACCAAATCTCTACCCAAAATGAACCAAAAGGGTATTAATAAAGATTCAAGCTCGTTGACCGAAAGAAACAACCCATATACAGAAACAGTTCAGTTTATTATCATCAGCAAGTTACTGCAGACTGAGTGGTCCTAAGCGTCCCTCCTAGTTCGACTGGAAGCAGAGGTATCAACGAATGCACCACGTCGGTTATCAGAGGCCGGTACGAGGGTTCTGGTTGCACACATAGCACAGCAACAGCTGCAACCTGTAGAGGATAAGAAAGCAAAGGATTCTCCAGAACCTTAGAAGGTGCCTAAGTTTAATAATCATTTTGCTACTTGAAGGAGTAGAAACTGGTTACAGACCTGGAACAGGTACTTCTCATCAATGGTGTCTTTAATCACAGGATCCACAATGTTTGGGAGCATGTCCCTGTTGGTTAGCTGAGGCATGGCCTACAATTTTTTAAAACAGCACACCATCACTCTTATAATTGAGCCATTGAATCTAATGACAGTAAATTTGTTTATTCGGGAAACCCAAAAAAAGCATTTTAATTTATCCTCAAGATGGGAGAAATGGTACATACCCATGTGACAATAGATTGGCAATGAGCTGGTGCCAGTTTCTCGACGGGTCTTCTTCCCAATAGAAGCTCTAACAGCACTATTCCAAACGCATATACATCACTCTTCTCAGTCAACTCCCCTGTGCCAATCAACATAACATACAATTTTACTATAGAGAAACACCAATGGAAGAAGAAGAACCCAAATGCTGGCAATGGTTAAAGAATTGCTTACCATCTAGCATGTACTCGGGAGCAACGTAGCCCACAGTGCCGGAAAGTTTAAGCTTGTTCTTATTATGGGTGCTATCAGCCACGGCTAAACCGAAATCTGAGAGCTGCATTACAGGAGTGTAGACAGATGAAAAGATGAAGGATGATGGTGGGTATAAATAATTGAAATGAACAGAGAGATCACTGAGTTATGTCACCTTAGCGTGGAAATTGGAATCCAAGAGGATATTGGATGATTTCAGATCTCTATGGATCACTAGTGGCTTGCAGTACTCATGCAAATATTCTAATCCTCTGAGTCAACAATTGGGATATAAAAAATGTGACCGGGTGTCAGAAACAAAAACAGCAGAAGGAAAGAGGATCAATGGTTCATAAAAAACCCAGAGCACATAGCTCAGTAAGTAGCTCACCTTGCTGTATCAAGAGCGATTTTCAGCCGCATATGCCAAGTTAATTTAGATCCTCGAGAAGGTCCTGAAATCCATAACACAACCCAGAAGAAGAAGAAAAAGACAAATTATTGGCCTTCCTTCTTTTTTTCCTATTATGAAAGTCAAGTCACAGCGTGTTCTTCCATTAAAGACAAAAACACAAAATTAGGACGGAAAGATTTACCATGCAAAAGATCTTCCAGTGACCCATTAGGCATCAACTCATAGACAATGAATCCAGAACCCTCATGAACACCGTAACCCACCAAGGAAATGATGTTTGGATGCTGAAATCTGCTCAACAAGTCCACCTCATTCTACAAAGTTCCATACTGCATATGAAAACCTGAACAGCAGTACTAGAACTCTTAACAAAGAAACAAGTACAAAGAGGGAGAACAGCCACCTGAAACTCTCTTTTCGCATCTTCAGTTGCACAATTGAGTTTCTTCACTGCGACTGCAGAGTTATCATCCATAGTGGCTTTGTAAACAAGTCCAAATGCACCCCTACCCAACAAATTCTCCTCTACAAAATTTTGTGTGCCTTTCTCCAGTGTCTTGTATTCAATCAATGGAACACATCCCCTGTTGCTAGGCATCCTCAAGGAACGGAATTTACTGAACAAGACCCCTTTCTCCGCATCTTCATACTCAAAATAAAACCCCCCACAAATCAATATACCACATGCTAGCACTAGCTTGTAAATAAGCATATCATTCGTCAATGGACTTTTTTTTTCCTTTGTCTCCAGCAAAATTCATCAATCAAGTTTCTGGTGGAAAAACTAATACCTGGTTTTTGGGCCTTTTCCCTCTTCCGAAGAACTTTCCAGTAGCAAATGCAACCAGCAGATACGAAGAGAAAGATAATCACAGCCATGATAGTGCAAGCAACAGCAAGTATGATGTGCGTTTTCTTGTCCAACTCCATGTGCTTGTGGTGCCCTGCTTCAACTCCCAGCTGCAATTGACTGCCTGCTCAAGCAATGAAAGTCAAAACAAGATCTAGCACAGAGAGAAAAGCGGGCACAGGCTTGAAAGAACAAAATCTTTGACAACTTTGATCAAACACCTGGCGGGGAAATTCTCATCTCGCCAAGTTTTAAAGCCAGAGAGAAGAAAGCAAACTACCCAATTCCCAGGCAACGAAAATTTCCAGTATACGATATCTTAAATGCTCCCCCCGCATTTAGTTCCTTCACAGATTTCATAGCATTAAACAAATTTTGAATTTTGAAAAGGGGTTGAACCAACCCACCAATTTCTGCATTTCAAACAGGGACACGAAACCCGGATTTTAAAATCACCCAAAAATAACCACTGAGGTTTACCAGGAGAGAAGGCAGCCATTGGAGTAGAATCCTTGGGAATAGCAGGTAGCGAAGCAGGAGATTGAGCAACAACAAGTGGTGAAGGAAGAATAACATCCGGAGCGGCGTGAGCTGAGTCGAAGGAGACAAAAATCCAAATGGGCAAGTGCGCAAGCACCAGAGAGCGAAGAAGAAGAAGCAATTGCTGCTTCCCCTTGTGCTTCATTGTCGGTTTCTTCCCTTCTATACGAAAAAACAGATCACATGGAGACGACAATGGCGGATAGGGAGAGATACATTCGACCCCCCACCAGGGCTATCCCACTTATCAAGAAAAGAGAAACAGATAAGGGAGAAGAGAAGATATTAACGTTCGGGAAGGAAATGGCGTTTTTCGTCCTCTTGGATCTTTCCCACAGGGGACTAATTTGTTGTGTTCTTAAACTCGTTTCAAAACCAAGCGAACGCTACTATATAGAATAGAATATGAGAATTGTTTTTGCTTTGGGTGAAGAAGAAAAGGCCAAGAGACAAAAGGACATGAAAAGGCGAGAAAAGGGTTCTCCCCTTTTTAAATTTTATCATTCAGCTTTTGCTTTTCTCCTCCCCGCAAGCTCGTACAGTCCTTTTTAGGCGTAGCCATGGCGGATTTGAGTGGCCCGGCGAAAGGGAGAGGAGAGGGAGGAAGGAGGAGGAGAAGAAGAAAGCAAAACTGGAGCAGCAAAAGATGTGGCCACTACCACCACTACAACAGTCATGTGGGGGCAGTTATGGAAAATTTCCCTTTCAATCCTCTCTCTTTCCTTCCGCGTCGTTTTACCACTTTCTGTCTGGAAATTTAACACGAAAGTTATTTTACCGAGAAAAGGGGGGTGAGGAAGTTTCTGTTTTCTCGGGAGACAAACGGAAACGACACGGAATGCGCAGTTTTCCCAATTCTCAGTTTCAAAATCACCGCAGCTGCTTTCGTTTGGCGGGTAACTTTCTGGGTCACTGTAATTATTATTCTTTTAAACATTGAATTGTCAATTGTGAAGGTTGTGGCCTGTGGGTGGTAAATCCATGATAATTACACCTTGGTAAAATAATTCAAGGAAATTACATGTGGGAAGAGCAAAATTTACATAATACACTGGAATATTATGTGTATATTTATCTTTGTAAAAGTGCTTCTAATCTTTATTACATTTACATCTTGTAGACGGTACGTGTTGTGAGAATTAGATGGTGTCAATGTTGTTACACGAAAGAATTGAATACCTTTAAAAACAAAAACCTCGAGACAATAAATATAACATGCACTAACAAGTAACAAGATCTAGATAATTTCACTTTAGTGAAAGAGTAATGATCAATATATTCACGTTTAGTTTGAATAACTAGATCGCCTCTCAAAGTAAACAACTTATCTCGTATTGATCAACATACCTTTTTTTTATATATAGAAAATCTGGTTAATTGGATTGAATACTCCCCTTAACTCTGAAATGTACAACATAATTCATTTTCTGATTCACTTTCATTGACAGATAAATTCTCTAAATATAGGAACATCATAAAATACATAAATGAATTCACTTTACATATTACTTTTATTTTGTTTATGTGGTCCAAAAAACTTGTTACTATTGAAACCGGAACTACAATCTGACTTAATCTTAAGCACCAATAGGCTACCAAGATGAACTCCCTAATGATAAAGGGTTTTCCTTCCAATTCTTTCTTTTTTTTACCCCTTTGTTTATCTATTCTGGTATCCCTTTTACATGATTGTTTTTTTTTTCTATGAATAATCATGTCCAGCCCAGCCCAGCCCATTAATAATGCAACAATAATCAAACCTTCCAGCGATCCAATAATTTAATACACACGCATCAATGGAGAAAGAGATCGACCGAGCAAGGCAAGGAAAGGAAAGGATAGGGATTCCAGAGAAGAAGATAAAAACTAGACCACCGACTGTCTCTCACGTGTTAGGTGGTTTCCTTCTTCAGTTCTTCCTCTTCTTCTGGATGAATGAACTAATTAACTTTCTTTTTGTGGTTTTGTTGGGGTAAAGCTGGCTTAAACAACGTGAACTAATTCCTTTGCTCCATACAGCCCATATGACTTGCGAGCCAGATTCGATTCGACAGTGGGCCGCCCCTCTGGACTGGATCGGCCTGGTGTGGGACACCTCAGCTAATCGTCGGCCGGCCGGCCTTCACATTCCCGCCCGCATAGTGATGTCAATGGGTCGGGGCGGGTACCTCAATACCCATGTTCCGCCCAACGCTAGTACGGATCGGGGCGGGTAATACCCGCGCGGGTACAGGGCGGAACGGGTCGACCCACTCTAACATGCTATTTGAGAAAAAATACACGCACAAATTTACTTTTTATGATAAAACGAAGGGGAAAAGACTTGGCGAATGAATAATAGTGATAATATAATAAGTAATTGAGTCTATTTAGTTGAAAGATCAAGTTTAACTAGTTGAGTAAAAGCCAAAATAGGAGATATATGAATGGATGGGGTAAAAAATTGACCTAGAACGAGTTAAGAATGGAGGTGGGGCGGGACAGGACGAGTCGGAAGTTGATACCCATGCCCCGCCCCACGCTAATGTGGGTCAGGTAATACCCGCCCTATCGCGGATCGAATCAGGCGGGTTCAAATGGTCATCCCTACGCCCGCATACAACGTAGTCAACTCAAAACCCACAAAAAAGTGGCGCCGGTGGGGCGTCAAAATCATCACTGGATTTGGATGCCGGTGGTGTCCCTGCCTGTCTCTCCAAAATCATCCATCCATCCATCCATCATTGTCATTTGGTGAAATGGGGATTCAAGAGATCGATCTACACATTTGTATCCTCTCCCAAACTCCAATGGCCAAGATTCATTGTGTCGTGGAGTATAGGCGGAGTTAGGAAAAACTGAACGATTTTTTTTTTTAATTGTCCAGGGAGAGTTATAGATTTACCAACAACTATATTTTTTTCAACCTCGCTGAACATTTACATGTACTTTTATGTGATTTTGAGAATTAAGTGGGACTATTGTCTGTTCTATCCTCAACATTTGTTATGCCATCTCCGCTAGGGATGGCAATGGGGCGGGTTTGGGGCGGGTTTGTCTAAACCATCTCGATCCCCATATTCAAATATCCAAACCCATACCCGCCCCATACTCATGCGGGGGAATGTTTGGCAAACTCATTCCCGTAGCCGTGGGTTTCGAGTATCCATGGGTAATACCCGTATCTATATATCCAACATTATTATCCTAAAATTTACAAGAAAAGTTTTAACTACAACTCTAAACGTACCTATTATATCACGAATTCAACAAAACACGATCATTAATACATAATATAGAGTATAATATTTTTCAAATTATTATGTTTTATCCTCAACATTTGTTATGCCATCTCCACCGGTGTCTTGCAATGGATATACTAGTTTGAATTAATTGACTGCATTGAATCACCTCTTACATATTGGAAAATATTTGAGCACTATGTTCATTGTTCGTGGCATGGATTGATCTTACATTTACAATATAATTGCTCATTTTGACGTATTTTCAAACCATCTATAATTTTTTACGAAGAAATATATATAATTGTCATACACGTGACGCACTGCTTTGGCAATGGATAACGATTTTTGTAAATAATTGTTACCGATATACATCAATTTTTTATTGTATATATGAAATTAAAATGCACGACCCGCTTATCACTTTTTGCTTTTTAAAGTCGCGGTTCGAAATCGAATTTTTAAAGGATAACTTAATTAATTAATTATGTCCAAGATTTATAAGTCACTTCAATCCATGAATTCGCTTTATTTAGCCCAATTCACCAAATCATAAATCTAAAAAAATCGTTTTGATGAATCAATTGCGAAACGAGATGATTTACACAATTGTTTCGTTTTACAAAATGAGTCATTTAAAACGAGTCAATTCGAATTACCTTCCCTCACTCCAAACAATTGTAATTGCCTCAAAATTAGTCAATTCAGAATTCCACATGCACATTGTTTCATTCGAATTTCTAATGTCAAACGAGTCAATCTGGTCCAATTGTCTAAAAAACTAGACAATTATATCATATTGATCAAGTAGAATTCCTCATAAAAACCCGTCGTTTGGATGGGTTAATTGTCAATATGGTATTTGTAGAGTCAAATAACTCATTTATTGTTCATGTGGTATTTCAGTGTTATTTCAGTGGTAATTGAAATAAAGTATCTCGTTTGGTTGAACAATGCAAATGTGGTATTTGACATGTGGTATTTGGTAAAAGCAGAGTGATAAAACAAGTTATTTCGAAATAACACATGAGTATAAGTTATTTCAAATAACTCACTGTCCAAATAACTCATTTCAGTAAAACGCTGTCAAACGAGTTATTTGCGTCCAAATAACTCATTATGAGTTATTTTAACCCAAATAACACATACAAATACTTCATCCAAACAACTCTATTTACCTCCTTTTCTTCCCAACCCCTATTTTTTTTTTTTTTTCTTACATTCTTCCCAACCACTATGGATTACATTAATTCAACAAATCCGATAACTTAATTATAGACGCCTCTACAAGAAGAAGAGGAAGAAAACAAGCAGAGCAGAGCTGCGCGCTTGTAAATGATAGGTTCTCCTTTTTGCGTGAATAATGAAACCACTCCCATATTCCCCTCACCCAATCCTTCCTTTCCTTGGCGAAGCAAAGAAATGCTACGTATGTGGACCGCCCACCAGCAGGAACCCACCTCACAATCTGGAATGATGTTTAATTACTTAATCAATTCATTCATTGTACCATTATAGACCAATTCCATCATTAGTTGGATATATCAAGGGTAATCATTTAAGCGGTAATAATTTAAGATCGTATTCCATTTACATGCAAATTGTTGATTGCATGAACGTCGTTTCACCTTCTTTCCTGTGGTGGGTTGTGTTTAGTTGAGTTTTTGAACGAAGTCGTGTCTTGTAGTAAGCTTTCAATCATTTCCCATTTTCATCCCGTGAGTGGATCTTAATTCGCTGCGGTATTGCGATGATTTTGTGCATCAGTTATTTGTTTAATCTAATTAGCCTCGTGATTCACGGGTTGAGTTAGAGTTTTGTCTCGTACAATTATAATAACATTCCTTTTCTTTTCTAACTAAACTGCATGCCATTGAATCAATTAAGGAGTTGTTTGGTTTCTTTGATTAACAAATGGATGTATTATGATCGATATCAATTTGATACAATTTATCCGATACAAAAACAACTTATAACGATTCTTTTCAATGCAAAAGTACTTGTAAAAGGGTAAAATTGGAACAAAAAAGATACTGCAATCTCAAGAAAATATATCACAGTAATATAAGTTAAAAGTTTTCGATTGTACAATCATTCATTTAAATAATTGTGCGTCATATCAAACTATGCATTGTGTGCTTCTAAATAATAGGTTTTACATACCGTTTGGTATATATGAATTCCATCAGTTTTGAGGAATTTATTTTGAAATGAAATATTTTTGTGTTTGGTATTAAAAAGAATTCATTTTCAACTCTAAATTTTGAATTCTACGGAACTGGAACTAGTTATAGCAATTCCGAGGAATTGAGATGGAATTTCCAAATGAATTCCCCAAGTATTTACTAATTAAAATAGAATGACATGATTATCCTCATTTATTAACTAAATTACTTATACATATGACATACCAAACACAGGAATTTGTTTGACAACGAATTCAATACGATACATCATTTTATTTTTAAAGATTCGAATATAACATACCAAACATAGGATTTCATTTGACAATGAATTCTACCAGATTGTTTGGTATCAAATGAATCAAAAATTCATTTCATTGTAAAATAAATTACCGTGTAGAATTCATTGTCAAATTCTTGAGTTTGGTATGTCATATTCAAATCTTAGAAATAAAATGAATTCATGTGTTTGGTATATCATATGTATAAGTAATTTAGTTAATAAAAGAGGATAATTATATCATTATGTTATAATTAGTAAATATTTGTGGAATTCATTTGGAAATTCCATCTCAATTCCTCAGAATTGCTATAACTAGTTCTAATTCCATAGAATTCAAAATTTAGAATTGAAAATGAATTCTTTTAAATACCAAACACAAAAATGTTTCATTTCGAAATGAATTCCTCAAAATTTATGGAATTCATTTATACCAAACGATATGTACACGATAATTCATTTACAATGAAATGAATTCTGGATTCATTTGATACCAAACAGAGTACGAGGGTTATAATAATGATCTTAATATGCTATAAACCAAATGGGCCAAGTATTTGACTGGAAGTGAATATCTATCTAGCGATGCCTATGAAATGGATTTGGGCCGAGCTACCCGAACCCCCATCTTGACCCATAGAATATGAACTTGGATTTACTCTCCTGCTATCCAAATTTTGGTTGAAATAGCAAAAAGCCCAAATCTTAAACTATGGGCTTCTGTGACTGCCTAATCTCCCAAACTTGCTGTGTTAGCCACCTAAATCCAAGACGCCCAAAGAGGATTGGCCCGGAATCACATTAATGTGCAGATATCATAATTTTAGCACATTAAAGAAATCACAATTTTTTTGGAGAGGGTATACCGTATATATGTAGCACTCCTCCCACCAATCCCATGCATTGACGTGGTCCACGTTCAGCTGGGAAGAGGAAAGAGCGGTTCAAACCAACCGACCCAAATATAAAAATAATAATAATAGAAAAGTGGGCTCAAAGGCCCAATTCCGAAAGCGCCAAAAGCTGGGCTGGATTCAATCGCACGTCTCGGAGTTGACGGCTTTACGCCATTTCCACACACCACACGTTAACTGCCACGCGTCCTAAATCCGCTTTCTTAGCCTGTCTTCGTTTTTATATTTTCATCATTTAATTTTATTATTATTAGTGCCTCTGGGCCCCACGTTCTTCTTCCTTTATTTTCCACGGACCAGACCATACCGTCCCAACAAAATAAAAAATACCCCATGCTTTACCGCTAAATTACCATTACTACTCCCAACGGCCAACCTTATCTTTTCCTTTTTTCCACTAAATTATTTATCTTCGGGTGGTTTGGAAGTTACGATAGTTTTGTTAAAATTATCATTATGCATGTATTCTTTACAATGTATTTTTTTTTTTTTTTAGCAGAAACAATACATAAATTGTTTTTGTGATGTGACAGAAACTATCACTCATTTTGAGTGATTGTTATATATCAACTTTTAGTTGTGATTGTTGAGATAGTTGAGTTGAGATTGTTTTGTCTCAGCTTTTAGCTGATGCGACATACACAATCACACATACCAAACGTTATATTCTACAATGCATGAAATTTGACAATACATGTATAATATTATACATGCATTCTCAACAATACATCTATTGAACAATCACAACTTCACTTTGGTTTTACATAGCAGTTGTTTGCGCTTTGCGGGCTGTAGGAATTTTAAGACAAACAAGTAGGTAATTTAATTTTACGATCAAATTACATTGTAAAAAGTTAGATGAAAGGATAATAACTGCGATAAAGAAAGAAGAAAAATAATCCCAACTTTAATAGGAAAGAAATAGGGCGTCTGACCAAAATAATAAATGAAAATCAGAATAAGAAGAAACAAAACGACGGTGTTTGATAAGAATCAAGAAAGGCGGTTCCGCGTGGTGGTGGGGAGAGAGGAAAGAGATGAGCAACCCTAGCTAGCTGCTGAATCCTCTTTCCTTTCACCTTCCTTCCTATCTTCCTCCTATTATAAAAATACCATATCTTCCTGCCGTCCTCTGCTATCTATTCACATTCCTACACCTCCAAGAGAGAGAAACAACAAGAAAAAAGAAGGCAATAAGCCGAAGCAAAGCTCTGCCTTTCTCTCTCCGCCTTCTTTCTTCTTCCGATCAAAATCCAGAGAGCCTCTCTCTTCCTTCCTCGTAGCAAACTCCGACCACCGCGATGGCAACAGCCGTTCTCAGCCCGCAGGACTGCCTCCGCGACCCCTTCTCCACCCGCGGCGGTCTCCTCACCACCCCGCCGCGCAACAAAATCCGCCGCAACCCTAACCCTAGCCCCGCCACCGCCCCCAGCTCTACCAAGCACGGCCGCGGTCAATCCAACAGCCGCAGGAAGCGGAGCCCCAACTCCTCTCCCCCTCCCCGTCCCACTGCCGACTCGTCGTCCCTATCCCCAGCCAAGGTCCTTTCCATGGGACAGGTCAAGATCCTCAAGCGAGGCGAGCCGATCCAGATGAAGAAGAAAGACGATGATTCGACGGCCGCAGTTAAAGTTCAACAGAAGGTCGAAATCAAGCTGGATCTGGCGGTTTCTCCGCCGGTGACTCCCAAGAAGCCAATCGTTCGAGTCGCCGCACCTCCTCCACTAGTGAATAGATCCGTAGCCGGATTCTACGCCGGATCCGGATTCTTCACCTCACCGCCTCCTAGCTCCCTCCCGGTCCCCGTCTTCCTCAAGAAGAGCGCCGCCGTTGGTGTAGATAGCGAGGCGACCAACGACCTGCGCAGGCTTCTGAACCTCGCCTTGTAGTGGTGGGAGAGAGGGAGAATCCCAGATCCGGGGAGGGTAACCTTGTAATTTGTTCATCTTGTTCTTATGCTTGTTTTCTTCTTTCTCCTCTATTTTCCTTTATTTTGGGTTTCTTCTTTCTTCGCTCGATCTTGCCCTTATTTTTTCAAGGGGATAAGATCGAGGAGTTTGGTTTAGACTCAAGTTAGGCTACAGCAGCAAGAGTAGCAGCAGGTGTCGAAGCATGGTGAATTGGTTACGAGATCTCTTCAGGATCTGTTGTATAGTACTACTACTACTACTATTACTATAGGTGAATCCTTTCAATCCGGGGCTGTTGGTTGATTACGAGTCAGAAGTGTAGTATAGTTGGTGTGTAGAGTTGGATAGAAAGTAACTAGTAGCGTTTGTGTCTGTAATCTGCAGAAGTTTGTTTCTTTCAGTTCGTTTCATTTCATGGTTGAAAAGGGTATTCTGTTTAGTTCGTGTCTGTTCATCAGTTTATGTAATCATATCAAGTTTTAGTTGAAATATATTTCTGTTTGCGTCATTTCTTCTTCACTTTGCTGGTGAATCATTGTGTTTTGGTGGTCTTCAATTTGTAAAAGAGATGTGCAACAGGAGACCAAGATGGGTTTTGATGTGAGCCGAGCTGCCACTCTGAACTGAATCGCCCGGAGACCCATAAAGTAATTGGTTCTGCCGTGAGAAAAACAAAATTGTCTATTTGTTGATGGAGAAGAGGATCGGTACTTCGGCATATATGATCCTTTGGCATAACCAGTCTTCACCAATGATTACGATCGGCTTCAAAAATTAACCTGATTGGGATTAGAATGCGTCCTGCTTTCATCGACGACGAGTAAAATGTGAAGGTAACAAGGAACTGGTCGTCGACGAGACCTTTCAGTCTTCATGTGAAGGGAATGAAAAGATTAGAAGAGAGAAGAACGCGTGGTTGGACCGACTAGATTATATAGCTGGTGTTGTTCGGCTTCCCAGAATTGCAAGTTGGAATTTAAGTAAGCCATGACCGTGAGAAAAACATAATCTACAGAAGACAGATATTATACAATGGAAGTTCAAATGGTGTTTGTTCAATCAAGATATCAGATCTATTTCAACTGGATTCTTTTACAGCAGATGAAATACGACTCGTCAAAGCTATACTTGTTAGTCTCGAGCTATAATTTTTACAACAAATCCAAAGCTCAAATTGATCTTCAAATGCTTTTCATGACGTCACGCGTTGGAGTGGGACAATAGACAGTAGCGAGTAAGACATCGGTAAGTAAGAAAGTAAAAAACACAACAATTTAAGTGGTTTACTAAAATAACTGAGTGTTAGCCAGCTCACCGGTGGAGAGAGCCAATTTCAATATACTTGAACAAATTACATAGGAGTATAAGAAGTATTTGTAAGACTTCAAACCATGATTCATTATGATAAAAATATATGAATATCAACTCTATCCAACACAAAAAAATCAAACGTGTACAAGTCCGTGCAACGAGATTCCCATGACTTTCAGTCGATGACAAATCATTCGATTCAAGTAAAATCACACACTGAAAATACTTGAACAAATTACATAGGAGTATGAGAAGTATTTGTAAGACTTCAAACCATGATTCATTATGATAAAAATATATGAATATCAACTCTATCCAACACAAAAAAAAAATCAAACGTGTACAAGTCCGTGCAACGAGATTCCCATGACTTTCAGTCAATGACAAATCATTCGATTCAAGTAAAATCACACACTGAAAATAAAGCCAACGAAGTTGGGGAGGGAGGAGAGACTATCAATGCAACTTTACTTCTACCCGAATGACTCGTATGATTAAATTATTGCCATCATGACTAACAAATGCGAGGATGATTGTGACTAAAAAAGTTATCCTCGGTCACCTGACACCTAATCTCTCATCTATATCTACAAATCCAGTCACAGAAAAAGACATCTCATTAGTCATTAGACTTTGTTTATCCGAAGGTGGAACGGTTAAGAACCACCAGACTGACCAGAGTGATGTTTGGGCTGGGCCAAGTCCAGTCCGCCCATTACAACAATCTGGCAATCACGTATACCAGGAAGCCCGAATCGCCATGGCCTCTTTAATTGTCCACGTTTCAGTCTTCTTTTTCCCCCATCTTTCTCCCTTTTGGTAAAATCTAAAATGGGCGTCATCGTCTTCAACCCTTCAACCTCCGGCGGGCTTCTCCTCCATCAAGACGCCTAGTGCCATGGCAGCAGCAACAACAACTTCCTTGTAGTACAAGTTTGATGCCCACCACTACCAACTACTTGCATCTGCCCTTCCGTTTCAACTTTCAAGCGGCACGAGCTCCAGTAACGCAAGGGCATCGTCTCCTTCACCATCCCCGGCCCGCGGTCATAATGATGAGACAGAAGACGACCACGACCGCAACCACCAACAACAAGCAACAGCAGCAGAGCGTCGATGATCAGAACGAAACGAAAAAGAAGAAGTTGTACTACAACGGGGCATCCTTCTTCGTGTCTTCCCCGGCTCCGGCTTCCTTGCCTCTCCCTTCGTTCCTTTCCACCACCCTCCACAGTGCTCCACAAGAAGAAGAAGAAGAAGCTGCCGCTAGTACTATTACTACTCCGACGAAGCCAGCGGTTTGTAGGCGACGACAGTATTATTCACGCGAGCTCTTGCTATCGCTCTCTCGATCTGGACTCGAGACTAATTGTCCAATTCTACTTGAACCCGATCTTACGGTGGTGATTAGCTTAGCTGATAGATGTGTACTTAATTGATATTGCTGAATGATAAATTGTTTTTTTTTTTTTTTTAAGTGTGAGCTGGATCGGACATTGTATTTGTATAGCTTCTTTGGTCTTACTTTGATGTGTTAAATATTAAGTAAACTATTTCCTAATTGATTGGTTTTATACGTTGGCTACGTATTCTACTTTTCTTATAGTCTGGGCCTGTTAGCATGTAATTGTCATTGGTGTTTTATTTGGGTAGTTATTTGTTATTTTGCAGCTTAAACCTAATTACCCTAGTTTGCTCACGTAGAAGCCAGAAGGGTATTAGTAGCTTGTATGCGGCTGCCTCTGTAACTCAAGAGAGACAGATTTCTATTCTGTTCTCCGTAATGAAAACCTACTCGAGCTCTGCTCATCGTGGACTAGTCTCGTCTATTGACGAAGATAACATGTAAATCATCGTCTCATTTACTTTTCGCACTCATCAAATCTTACAGGGACAGATTCAGCAAGTTGTTTTATTCCCCATAAAAAACCCAATATACAACTTTTACGTACCTTATATACAAATTTGGTGCCGTTGGCTGCTGCTAGCAATTTTTTTGGACAAAATCACTTACTTCATTAGAGATGTGCGTGGATCGCTAGTTGGTCACGATCGAAACTGATTCAAGATGGATTCATTTTTACTAACTGCGATTCATAGTAATTCGCTGCTTACTCTAGAAAATCATTGCCTAAGCGCTAGAAACTCCAACTAACTGGGTCAAATTTGTGTGTTATGGAAAATTCTTTTATAAGTCTAATATTGTGTGGAATTTTTTTATAATAAGTGTGGTCTTTCGGGGAATATAGTTGTTTAGTTGATTTTCCCTCCTTATTTATACTTGTACTATATAATCAAATCATATATCGGATTAAATCGGTGATACACCATATTATCATAGCCATAGCAATTCCACATTCATCGAGCCTGCCACTCTCTGTTCGTCTTTTTTTGTCAGCAAACCCTTTCTTGGATCGTAATTTTGACGTTGCCCTTTTTATCTGACTTGTTTAGCTTGTTTTGGGGCGGGGCTTTCATAGGTATTTTGATCGATCTAACCTGATCTGACTCGCTTCATTTTCGACTCGATCTTGCCTAAATTATATGTAATTTTAGTCAAATTATTTACAATTTTCATTTTATTACATCATATTTTAGCTATAATAAAGTTGTAAATTAGTAAAAATCTCAATTCCTCCAATAATTTAACTACATTCAAAAAATAACAAATATTTATAAAGTTTTCATAAATTACATACCCATTGTGTCGATTTTATTAGCGTGTGGTATATGATCCACGATTGAACCTCTCCTAACAACTCGAGTTATTGGGATCAACTGGTTTTTGACATGGTATCAGAGCTTTCTGTTGGAACGTCGAGTTCGGGATCCAAAGAAAGTAAGGAATCCATGGATGTCATCGCCGAGCCTCAGTCCACTGGTATTGGAGGGAATCTGGAGCCGGAAGCGACCGCCCTGGTGGGTTGTGAACCCCCGCTGGCGAAGCCGGCGAATTAAGCGTCATCCCGTGTGCTTCTGCAAGTCAGGGAAGTTTGTGCTTTTTCTCTTGTCTTTTATTCCTTATGTTTAGTATTTTTAGTTGGAATTGCCGAGGGGCAAAACACCCCAAATTTCTAGCAACGTTTAAGGAGTATGTGTTCGCCCATAGACCAAATATTGTCTTTATTGTGGAACCACGGATCAGTGGTAAGGATGCAGAAGACGTTATTAAGTCCATGGGGTTTGATAAGTACATTGTGGTTGATGCTATTGGTTTTTCTGGTGGTATTTGGGTGCTTTGGAAAGATACTCACCTTGATATTACTGAATTGGATCGTGACTCACAATTTCTCCACCTTTTGTGCACAAATCAGAACAGATTCTCAGTGCTCTTGACTGCAATCTACGCCAAGCCTAATGAGCATGACAGGCAACCCCTTTGGGCGGCCATTCGAAGACTGGAACAAAACATTGAGAGGCCGTGGCTATTAGCGGGGGATTTCAACTCAATCACCTGCCCTTCGGAGCGCAAAGGAGGTGCTGCGTATAATCCGAGCAGAACGGCTAGCTTCAATGCTTGTATTCGAGACTGTGGGCTTTTTGACGTCGGCTTCACTGTGTCACATCCCGATTTCTAAAACACTTAAATAACAATTTTGCTCCGGAGCATATTTAAAATTTTGAAGGAAAGAAACAATAATGTGCTCGAAATACCAATACTGAAAATACACCTTACAATTTAAAAGCAAAGCCCTAACATTTGGGCAAACCTCAATCCATAAAGTCTTATCCTTTTAAATTCTCCAGTCATTACTCATGATCATAAAGTAAATAACTAAAGATTACAAACGCTGCTTACTCCGATCCGTGGTCAGACATCTTCAGAAGTGCTCACGTGGTCCTCCTCGGGTAGCCTGCTCTCTCACTGGACGCTCCTCGACTGAATGCTCCCTAGCTCCTCCTCTACGACCTGGTGAGTGGGTTGGGGTCAATCTACGCCATTACTTAAACTTGAAGCACTTACGGGTGTTCCCTTAAGTGTTCACCTCAAAACTTGTGGAAGTTGTTCATACTTCCACCCTTTATATTTTAACCCTTAAAAACGTGGGAGTTGTTGTTACTCGCCACCCTCAAAAATATTAAACATTTGACCAACACTGGGATCCCCTCACTAACTAGTCCAACCGCCCAGCTCATACGTATGAGGGCCAACATAGGCCTTTCCTTAAACCTTTTTATGGGAGTAATCTATTCAACCCCATAAACCTTAAGAGTATATCATACTCTTCCTTTAAACTTCATGTGATGTCTAAGTGATTCATCCACATGTTCCTTAAGAGCAAACTTGCTCTTCCTTTAAACTTTCACTCGGGCGGGGGACTGCGTTAGTGAACTACCTTTAAATCTTTTCACCCTAATCTAATTAGGAGTGAAATACCTCTTAAATGTTGATCCTTAAAGATCAAGTAACCTTCATTAAATAACATAAATATAAAAGCTTCAAGTAAATACTGACAGCTCAATAATCATATACTTCACAATCATAACTCAAATAGAGCATCTCAGATAATATCTCAAATATAACATGCTTTATCAATCACGGCATAAATCAATAACTGGCATACAATTCATATAAACAGACATACGTAAAACTCGTAAGTCAAATATTTGAAAATACGTAAGGCGTAGAATTTACCCCCTTAAACCACTCACCTCGAAAAGATGAATATTCTCAGACTATGAAAAATTCCAAAACTCCCTCCTATAACATTCCCCTCGCTTCTACGTTTCCGTGAGCGCAGACGGTTCCTCGATCGGACGTCTATTGATCGAGTTATGGCCAAAATAAATATTCTGTCAGTTTAGAAGTACCAAGTACCGCAACTGATATTTTCCAGTCAACACAGTTGACCACGACCTGCTGGAAAAATTACACATTTAATCCTCCAACTTTTTTGAATTTCCACGAAATGGTACCTGATAGTTGACATGTTCTTCCTCAAACTTGGGAGACTCGGTTCTCCCTCATCCGACGTCCGAATTTGATTTCGTCGACACCGTGACGCTCCTGAGATCGCCCTCTACGCGACCGTATCCACCTTTTGAAGTTTGGTCGAAGTTGATTTTTTTTTTTTCAGAATCCGGCGATACTCCGGCGAGACGCCGATGAAGCTCCGACGAACCACCAAACGACCACTAACTTGGATTCTGACTCCGTGGAATGATTTCTGACCTTCTCCCGACCAAAACCCAGTGCCCAGACTCCTTCCTTTCCCTCTTCTTCTATTCCCTACTTTTTTTTCCTTTTCTTTAACGTGGAGGTGAGGCCGCGGTGTACGCTCGACGTGAACCGAGGCGAGTTGCTGCTTTCGTTGGGCGTCGGTGATTTGGGACGTCCCACGTCCTGCTTCTGATCGAGGTAAGTTGGTGATGTAGCCTGGGAAGTGATGATGATGGTGTTCGTCGGCTGGTGGTGGCGATGTGTTTGACGGCGGGGAGATGGTGATGGAGGTAAAGATGACGAGAAGGTGATAGTGATGGTAAGCAGTTGGGGGAGGAAGAGAGGAATAAGTCTGGCATAAAGCCCACCGACTCTCTACTTCTCAAACATGGCCCTTCAATCAGTTTCTCAAGAACCTTGCTTATGCTATGCTTGACATGAGGTTAAATTTAACATACAATGTGTTGTCTGCTGCGAATGGGAGGAGATGAGAAGGAAAGTATATGTTGACAAGAGTAGTTCAGATCCAGAGTAAATGTTGTAGGGACTGGATGGTTGGATGATTGTGCTGCTAGCTGTAGGGAGGAAGTGTTCTCGGTTGGATCTGTATTGCAGGTGGGGATTAATTTGATCACGGGAGAGAGGTGGAGAAGTGGGGTAGTGTACATATATGGGGTGGGGGTGACGTGGGGTGGGGTGGTTTTTTTTTTTTTGTTTTGTTTTACTAATAATAATAATATGTTATTATTATTATTATTCCTAATTCGAAATTGTAACCATTCGTACGTAATCGTCTATCCAATCGATAATTTATCATGATCGAACTTGAACTCAAATGTCAGGGTGTTACACACTGGACCTAAGTTTACCTGGAGCAATGGTCGGCTCTCCCAACGTCTTGACAGAGCTTTATGCAATCAGGAGTGGATCAGGCGGTTCCCTGACACTGTCTCAACGAACCTGCCAAAGCTCCGCTCAGATCATAGACCAATCCTCATCAACAGTAATAATGACCATGTCCCCCCTAGAATGGTAAGACCGTTCCGGTTTCTCGTTCCGTGGTTAGCCCATAAAGATTTTCATGCTACACTTGAGGCCTCATGGAACCGAGGAAGGGACTGTTTATTGTCTTTGTAGGATCTCCAAGCTCACCTCACTCGTTGGAACAAAGAGGTTTTTGGGAACATTTTCTGGAGAAAAGTGAAACTGTCAAAGCAGCTTGCACGCCTGGAGGTTTTGAATGAGACGGCAGCGAGTGATGCATCCCTCAGAAGGGAAGGGGAAGTTCGGGAGGAGCTGGAGCAGACTTTATGGCAGGAAGAGCTCCTATGGCTTCAGAAAGAGAGGGCAAACCAGATTGTGAACGGGGACAGGAACACTCGATACTTCCACACTGTAGCTCTTACAAGACGGCGGAAAAATAGAATAACCAAGTTACAGCAGGAGGATGGGACTTGGATCGAGGATCCCGAGATGCTGAAGCTTATGGCCAGGGAGTTCTATGTCCGACTCTACTCTGAAGACGGTACGGGGCAGCAAGATATCCCAGCTCTTTTCGATGTTTTGACAGGGACCATGACGTCGCATCTTACAGCTAGCCCGCTCCCTGAGGAAACGTACCACATAATCAAGGAGATGGGTGGTCTTAAGGCTCCAGGGAAGGATGGATTCCATGCTACTTTCTACCAGAAATGTTGGGACAGGGTGGGAGCTAACCTCCATGAGCACATGGTTGCCTGTTTCAGGAATCCAGAGCGGATCGAGAGGTGCAATGAAACCCTTCTGATGCTGCTGCCCAAGGTGGATTTTCCGAAGCAAGTAGCTCAGTTTAGACCCATTGGTCTTTGTAATGTGAGTTACAAGGTCGTGGCCAAGTGTCTGGCGAACAGGCTCAAAAATTTCATGCCTAAGCTGATCGACCCTAGCCAGTCAAGCTTTGTCCCTAAGAGACACATCACAGACAACATCATCATTCTGCAGGAAGTGGTTCACACTATGTCACTCAGGAAGGGAATCAAGGGACAAATGATTCTAAAGATTGATCTGGCCAAAGCCTATGACAGGATAAACTGGAAGTTCTTGGAGTTAACCCTACAGGCGGCTGGCCTACCTGATGAGTTCGTCAAACTGGTTATGGCATGTGTGACGACTGTCCGTTTCCAGGTGCTTTGGAATGGTGGCTGCACCGAAGCTTTCCAACCTACGAGGGGTCTTCGGCAGGGATGTCCTCTCTCACCTTATCTGTTTACTCTATGTATTGAAAGACTTAATCACTGCATCAAGGACTCAGTAGATAGGAAAGCTTGGAGACCTATTACTCTATCCAAGGATGGACCTGCACTGACTCACTTATTTTTTGCAGATGATTTGGTCTTATTTGCGGAGGCGGATCCAAAACAAGGAGAAGAGGTCCTAAATTGTCTGAACCGTTTTTGCGAAGCCTCGGGGGAGCAAGTTAGCAAATCTTGTGTCTTCTTCTCGAAAAACACCAGGGAGAGCCTGAAGAGAAGTATCAGCGACATGTTGGGGATCAAACAAACCAATAATCTGGGGCGCTACTTGGGTGTTCCGGTCATCCACGGCAGAGTCACTAAAGATACCTACAAGTTCATCTTGGAAAAAATTGATCAACGGCTCTCTGGATGGAAGGCGAGGAGTCTTTCCCTGGCAGGGAGAGTTACCTTGGCAACCTCGGTTCTCAATGCCCTCCCGAATTATGTCATGCAGACGGCAGTCCTCCCAGTTTCTGTCTGCGATATCATTGACAGGAAAGTTAGAGCCTTTATCTGGGGAGCAGAAGACGGAGTATCAAAGACTCATTTGATCAAATGGGAAACCATTTGTAAACCAAAGGAACTTGGTGGTCTGGGCTTGCGGTCTGCAAGAGCTCTCAACTTATCCTATATTATGAAACTGGGATGGGCTTTCCTTAACAAGTCGGAGGAGCTTTGGATCCGTGTCCTGCAGAGCAAGTACTTCAAAGTCAATGAGGCAGGGGCTTTGGTGATGAAGAAAAGTAACTTCTCGCGGCTATGGAAAGGAATTGTTAATTCGTGGCCTATCCTTAAGCAGCGGGTGGTGTGGGACATCCGGGAAGGCCATAATGTTCAATTTTGGACGGATCCTTGGCTGGCAGAGGGTACTATCTTGAGTAACCACATCACAGGCGCTGGCGAAGGGATTAATTGGCAGGCTACCGTTGCTGAGATGGTCACTAGTGAAGGTGAGTGGAATTGGCAGGATATTGAGACGCACCTGACTGAGAATTTGGTGGCTTTGATTGCAGGTACGGATCCTCCCATGCCGGGAACAGGTGAAGACATTACGGCCTGGGGTATGGAGCCAGATGGGAAGTTCAAGCTTCGTTCAGCCTACTCCGCGGCAGTAGAGTGGCTAAGTGACGAAACATGGGAGGCGGAGGAGGACAACAGGCACCACCACTGGAAGCGTCTCTGGAAATGGACAGGCCCGAATCGCATTAAACATTTCCTTTGGTTGGTGTTTCATGACAGGCTGATGACGAATGTGCAGCGTAAGAGGAGGAGACTGACGGCAGATGATACGTGCCCGATGTGCAAAGGAGGACCGGAAACGACTGAACACATTCTGCGCCAGTGCCCGAGTGCACTACAGGTATGGAACAGGCTGGGTATTCAAGAGACATCACTAACTTACGGCCTTGGGTTTGCAGCTTGGCTTGATGAACATATCAAGAGGGATCAGGAGGGGCTTTTGTTCGGTGTGGCAGCTTGGTACCTCTGGAAAAGACGGAATGAGAAGATCTTTCACAACCTGACTCAAGAGGACCACGTTTTGGCGCAACGCATTGGTTGTTGGACGTCTACAATCAGGCAAGCTCAGCAAAATGACACTGCTTCACATAAGGACACGCATGAGAGGTCCTCACAGCAGCTAGCTTGGAAACCACCACCACAAGACTGGGTTTGTGTCAATACCGACGGCTCAGTGAAGCAACCAGGATCTGACGCAGCTGGGGGTGGCATTATCCGGGACTGGACGGAAAAATGCATGGGAGCCTTTGTGGAGAACCTTGGAGTGTGCACGATCACCCGGGCAGAGATTATGGCGGCCATTCGAGGATTGCAGATGGCGTGGAAGAACGGGCATAGGAAAGTTCTACTTCAATTGGACTCCACAACTGCAATCAACATACTTACCTCGCATGATCAGACGGAGCACAGATACCATAACCTGATTTTGCAGTTTCAGAGATTGCTCCAGCAGAACTGGGAAGTCAGAATTTCCCACATCTATAGAGAATATAACAAAGTGCAGATTTCCTTGCTAATAAACGCCACTCTACTAGTATAGGTTTCCATGTTTTGGCGAGTTCAGATCCGGGTCTGTCCTTCTGGACTCTGTATGACGTGTTGGGTATTTCTCAAAACCGGTTAATCTAAGTTTCAGGCTGGGGCGCCCTTTAGCGCCCCTCTTTTCTACCAAAAAAAAAAAGAGCTTTCTGTGATCGAGAAGTCTTGTGTTCGTATCCTGGTAACTCCTATTTGTTAAGCACATGATACGGACCTGCCCATTGCTATTCCTACTTCCTTGACCAATCAAAATGAACTACTCTTCCGGTAATGGTGATGATGTTGTGCTACGACTTAATTCGTCAAGAGGATGGATCGGAGCCGGCACCGTATCAGACAAGGCCCGACGGTTCTCCGTTCTCCCGGTCACGACACCGTATACCCGGCGTCTCACAATCTATAAGGCCAGGGCAACTGTTTGGGTCGCTATTCACCTAACGGGCCTCGTCAGTTAGGCTTAAATAGTGGGCCGGATCGTGTTGGAAGCCCACCAGGTCAAAACAGCGGGCCTGGTGCTTGTTCACTTTGTTGTTGTTCTTTATCGCCTTTCTTCAACCAAGACGAAATTGTGCTTATAGCGGGGCATCCTTCTTCGTATCTGCACCGCCGCCGCCGCCGCCGCCTTCATTGCCTATCAATCACTAATTTCCTATCGACTTTCCACACTCAAATAAAAGCTGCCTCTATTCGCCGGCGACGACTACGGCTGCTTGGACAGTTCTTCATGAATTCGATCCTTCAAAGAGCAATGGACAGTTCTTGCTCTCTTACAGTGCTTCTGCGCTGGTTGTCAGTGGTGTAAAAAACTTAAAACGAACACAAATCCTCTCAGCCTAAACCATTTTACTCTTGTTCCTGCCTCCCCTTCTTTTCCTGGGTTTTTGTCCTCTCAAGAATATAGGAATTTGGGCTCCAATCCAAATAGGTACCAGGGGACCAATGTTTCCCTGTCCTCTTTTGCCCCTTCCCTTATACCACATCGCTTGTTTCCAAGTAAGCAACGTAATATAAGTTTACAGTTTCTCCGTTAGGTAAAGTATGGCTGGAAGGGGATGAAAAGAGGACTGACTTGTTACAAGCATGACTCTCAAGTCTCATCACCGACCACCTCTTTTACATTTTTTTTTGTATTTACATTTTTTGTATGCTGATTCTTATAGTACTGTTCGAGGAGTCGATAAACTAATTTCTGTAGATGTTTATTTGCCGGGCTGCCCCCTAAACTCGAGGCCGTTATAGATGCTATAACAAAACTTCGTAAAAAACTATCTCGCGAAATTTATGAAGATCAAATTAAGCCTCAACAGGGGAATCGCTGTTTTACTACCAATCACAAATCGAAATTTTTTGTATGCTGATTCTTATAGTACTGTTCGAGGAGTCGATAAACTAATTTCTCGTCGATAAACTAATTTTTTGTATTTACATTTTTTGTATGCTGATTCTTATAGTATTGTTCGAGGAGTCGATAAACTAATTTCTGTAGATGTTTATTTGCCGGGCTGCCCCCTAAACTCGAGGCCGTTATAGATGCTATAACAAAACTTTGTAAAAAACTATCTCGCGAAATTTATGAAGATCAAATTAAGCCTCAACAGGGGAATCGCTGTTTTACTACCAATCACAAATTGACTTGGCAACATGATACTGATTTGGAAGAGATACATGAAGGTCAACATTACCATAATTATTAACAATAATGTCTATTTTTTATCCAAATCTTTTTCAGATTCTTTTATATTATCCAAACCTGTCGAAATACTAAGAATTAACCAAAGGTAAACTTTCAATTATCAATTTTGTTAGTAATATTGAATTGGCAACATAATACTGACTTGGAAGAGATACATGAAGGTCAACATTGCAAAATTTTAGCATTTTAACTAAGAAAAGAGTTACAAAATTATTAACGATAACTATGACTAATATTTTGATGCATTGCTATCGATTTGACTAATTGATAAAATTTTAATAGATTTGGATAATATAAAAGAATCTGAAAAATGTTTTGATAAAAAAATAGACATTACCATTTTTTTCTACCATTGAAACTTACGATATTCATTTACACGTTCAGATATGTCGCACTCGACAAATGGAACCTTCAACAATTTTCTTTTTAATTTTTCTATAAATGCATCACGATTCTTAAAACGAAATTATATCAAAATCCTTACCATAACTTATCAATGAGTATATTAAAATAATAGGGTTAAAATAGTGTACGTCAGACATATACTATATGTCAGGTACTATTAGTGAAATATCTCTATCTATGAATTAAATCGAGTTTGGGGTATGATATCGCATCCTAACCTCTAATGGATAAACCCCGGGCACCGATTTTCTAAACTCCAACCCAAAGTTTGATTTAATGAAAAACAAAAATTGACCGTTGAGATCTGCCGGAGCTCATCTAAGAACTTCTAACGGTTAGATCACCTGTTGTATACTATACGCCTGACGTGCACCTGTCATTACCTAAAATAATAAATCAATTATCAAAATAAAATAATGAAATATGTTAATTTTTCTAAAAATGCATCATGATTCATAAAACGAAATTATTTCAAAATCCTTACCATAATTTATTAATACCAATATTAAAATAGTAAATAAATTATCAAAATAAAATAATGAAATATGTACCAAACTATATTGAGATAAAAGAAAAATAAACTTTTAGAATTTGGTACTTTAACTCTCCCCATTAGAGCATAAAGAATGATAATCAAAACCACCACTGCGGGTATTCGAATGCACGACCTAGTCAACATCGAGAATCTTCATATTGATTAGGTATGAGTAAAACTCACAAAAAAAATTTATGAAGATGTGGTGAGTACCCATTTTCGCATCCACCCCACTAGAAGTATTTTTGTTCTCAATAACATGAAGGATAATTGAAAAATAAAGGGTTGAAATGTAATTGAGATGTCACTCAAATCATACACAAAATTTTCCCCGGTTTATTCACCCTTCACTCTTTAATTTTTCTCTCCTTTTAACAATAGTATGTTAAGTAATTTTTTATTTAGTAGACGCGTGGGAGTCGGAGATGGATGAGTGAGATAGTATATTTTTTTTGTGGATTAATGAATGTTTTAGGATTGGATGTTTTGAATGTGTATCGAGAATGATTACAACTTTGCTAATTTCATGACCTGTCATATTGCATTTGTGTACATTGGTTGGAGACGGTGTTCGTCATCGTTGAAATCATGGCTCGTCTCCTCCATTCATCTGACCAGAAAATGTATCGTCGATTCCCTTTTGTTTGTTTACCCACGTTACACTGTCAAAAGAACAAAGCATAAGCAAAATCTTTTTTTTCCAGAACCCTTTTTTCGTTCAACTTGACCAATATTCATATAAGATCAACCAGTAGTAGATGCTCATTAAAGCGAGAACATAGATGGTTCATATTTTAACCAAAATCAAATTGATCCTATCCTGCTACTGAATGTGGATCGGAAACACTATTTGACGAAAGTCCTTTGCAAGCAGGCAGCTTGGGCTGACTTTTCACGGCTGGCTGTGCAAATTCCGAGTTCTAGGATTCCCAAATTTACGAAAAGAGGCGCATCATGCAGCGCTGTGTTCACATCTTCTGCTATTCTATTCTAAGTATAAAGAAATGGAATCATGCTTCCTTGTGCAGCTGTGTTCCTTCCCTTGCCAGTGTCTCGTTCGGGCGGCGGAAGCAGGATGTGAAACTACCCTTGTCCTATTTTCTGATTATAAATATATAAATATTTAATAAATATAATTAAAATTAATACTATCCAAATAATTTATTCATAGACAAAGAAATAACCGACTAATACAATTATTGTTTGCATAAATACAAACTTACATTCATTATTTACACTCTTAACAAGTGATACTTTTTTTTATCTATCCCACTAAACAATCATTAACAAACTGATCACCAATTCAACTTCGAAACTTGTTCTTAATATATTAATCTAAAAATGCTCTTTCTACTTTTGCAGTTGCAACTAGCAGTATCAAAACTAGTTTCAGAAGCAAATAAACTGACTGATATAACTTACGCACTTTTGTCTCCAACATGATCCGAGATCATTTATCGTTTCCTTTCAATCCAACAAATCTCTCATCAACCATAAAATAATTATAATACCATACAAGTTGTTGTTGAATAATAGTGTTATGAATGAAATCAATAAATTTATTATTATTATTGTCAATTAATGAACAAATAATGAGTTGTGGGATAGTGTCAAAATATCCTTATATTACTTATATAGTTATAGGTATAGTTCAAACATATATGAGTTGTTTTTTTTTCCTTCCAAAAATTACCCTTGTCCTGGGACAATGGCAAACTGCCCTCCCTCTGCCTATGGTCTCGTTTACAAGGACTCCAAACCCACTGGTTTTCGAGTGAGTGGAAGAGAATATTATTCTTCGGATTGTTGTTGCCAACACACGGTTTAGGGTATTAATGTGTATCTATACGGTGTAAAGTTATCAAATGGAAGACTTGTTTGGGTGGAAAGAAACTGTAGCAGAAAACTTTGTGTTCATAAGTATCCTAAGCTTCTTCCAGGGATCGTTTGAATGGAACATTATGATGGATCAATCAGCTCATTTTGAGTCAATTGGGCCAAATCGACCCATTTGACTACAAAAAATTGAAATTGGGTCGGGGAAATGAGAATTGCTCCATTAGGGTTCAATTGAAAATACCTGGGGTGGGGAGGAATTTCAATTGATGCGAATTTTGTCTCCCCCTTCGAGAGAGAGAGTGAGACAAACCACTCTTATCTTCTTCTCTTTCCTTTCTTTTTTCTTTTTTCTCTGCAACTATGCTACCATTCCTCTTTTCTTTCTCAGCAACTACGATGCCATTCCTCTTCTCTTTCTTGTTTATCTATGGCGGACAGAGGAAGAAGAATCAAGGTTATGATGGTCGCCGACGGACAAAGGGAGGAATAGAGAAATTATATTGCCGGATTTGCAGAGAGGTTGTCGCCGCCAAGCTATCGTCGTATAGGCAAAGGAGCGAGTTCTTGGGGACCAGCCGGTGGGACGATTGAGTCCACGCTAAGGGATTTTGACGCATGTGTGTAAGCAGTGGGTCGATTGACTCCATCCTCGCTAGGCTCAAAAGACGGCGGTAATTGTTGGAGTTCCTCACCTGCAATCCAACCTCTGATTCAAGAAACGAGAAGTCTCAATCCTTCAAATCCAGTCGTCTCTGCTCTGAACGCCCAATTTCATTTGTGCCCTGAACCCCCCAATTTCTCATAGGGTTAGAGTCAAGTTGCAAAAAACGAGAAACAGAAAGATCTCGAATTCCTTCTCACCTAACATCTCCGTCGAGATTCTAATCACCAAGATCTTGAATTGTTTTGAGTCCAATATGTTGACAAGAGTTATTAATGTGTTCTTTTATTCAAATTGTTGCTATGCAAGTTTCAATTAAATGCAGGCTTAATTAAGCAATTAGTAAAATACAATATGAGCAAGTTACAGATAAAATAAATATTTGCATTTTATTTCATTTATAAATTAATGGTACGCTTAATAATGTGTCAACAGTAATAAAGATTTTGTAATTAATTATTTCATTATAAATAAATATTTATATTTTGTTTAAATGATCAATCTAACTTTTAAATGTATCTTATAGGTTTTATACATGTTCAATACGAGAACATAAAATAGATGAAAAATGTAACGGTTTGGCAATATTAAAGAAACAAAAGTTTTAAATGATGCATATGATTATCAAGGTGCGAGTCCATTAGATTACATAAAATTTGTATTACAGATTGATCGGATTACTAGTTGATTATGTTAGAAATCTTACAGGTCAATCCAATTAACATCAATTAAAATTATAATCAAACCAGTTACGAATGAATCAAGTTGCGAGATCATGGGATTATAGTTGGGTCATTTATGGGTCACTAATTTTTCTACAGTGAGAGTTGAGAGGGTAGCTGGTTAATCAAGTGGCGAAGACACTTTCGATGAGATTTCGGTATCCAAATTTGTTAGATGTTCGGATTGAATTATACTTGAGCTTTATTCATCGAAATACCGTGACAACCAGAATTAGACTCAACCGAATTATGATTATAAATGAAATCAAGCTACAAATGATTGAATAGGATACTAGTCAGTCGAATTACATTTTGCGTGTGCATGTGATTTAGGTTTAGTCAACTTGGATTGCTAATGAACTAACTCTGTTCGGGTTAGGTTGGTAGCTAAATACTTTCCAGGGTTAGGTTAGGAGCTTGCATAGGATAATGCCCTTAAATCCTCAAATTGATTTTCAATTAGCCAAATTAGTAGGCAGAGAAACCAGTCAGTCCACTATACTCTATTGGTTGGCTGGAGTCAAGAAGTGGCACCAAAGTGGCCTGGAGTGGATAAGCTGAGCTGGGCTTGGTAAATGTCCAAAACTCTCCCAATGGTTATTTTTGAACAGTCCTCGTAGTTTTCTGTTGCTCAAACATAGTCCCCTTAGTTTTTTTTCTCTCTCGAGCATGGTCCCCAAGAGGTAAAATGGAGTAAAGAGTCAAATTCCCATCCCTACCAAAAAAAGGGCGAAAAGAAAAAAGAAATAGATATATGCGTGGACCTTTTGCTTTTAGTCAAGACAAAAAAGAGTGGGCATTGGCTCATCGTTTCCTTGCGTTTGTTTTACTCCAAGCAACAATTCTTTAGTTATTGGAATATGAAGTGCTCTATGGAAGGTTAAAACATTTGACATCCAATTATAAAGAGTTTAAGGAGCATGCTTTCTTGATCGTTCTTAATTACCAATTCGTTCCACATATTTTGTAACAAGGCTTTGTTTGGTGTTTATATGTGAAGAATTTTCCAGATGTACGAGTAATTGGTTGGCTAGGTTGATACTAGCGAGTGAATAATATTGTCAAATATGAATTGGAGGTATCGGCGAATTAGATATCCCGTAAGCTGAGGTGGAGTCCGACATGAATTCATTACGATTTTTGAGAAAATTATTAATTACAGGATAAGTATATATAAATGAGGTTCTCATACTAGAGCTATATGTTAATACGATAAAGTTTTTATAGACAACAAAATAAACTCAGTGAGAAATTGCATGCGTAGATCCCCTTTCAATTTCAAACATATATATATATATAACTATTTCAATCAATCAAGCCGCGCCATACTTTCTAATAAATCTGTCACAATACTTGAATTCATAAGCATTCAAACTAGATACTCTCTTATAAATGTGTCCTCGTGCGACACTTCGGAATTTGGATAGTCATGTTACCATTTGTGAAATACCTATATTATATATAGATTTTTTTTACGAAAAATAATACAAAATTTATACAATCGAATTCATTGTACATTAGGTAGGGATTAGGGAATATTGAACGCACAAAGTGCACATAATAATATCACCCAAAACAATCACCGAATCACCAACAGAAAGTGCACAGAAACTTGGACAGCAACAAAAACAACAATGGACCAGTTTAGATAAAGGCCCAAAAAAGAAAGGGCCAAGCCCTAAAGGCTGAAGCCCAAACTGTGGAAGCAAATAGACAACCGTATGGGCACATAATAATTAGCGTGTGGTGGAATTTACAGAATTTAAGTTAATCAGCGGTGAAAATTCAAATTAAGTCTGTGCCACGTGTCCACCGACTGGGTCCCACCATAGAAAAAGGTCAGACCCACATCCCCACGCCCCCCCAAACCACAACACACCCCACTGATCCATCCATCCAACCCTAATAACGAAACCAGTAATATGGAAGAAAAGAAAAGAAAAAAGAAAAGCGAAAAATCGAGAAAAGGAAATTTGTTGGGAGATAATATAAATTCCCTTTCCTTGGAAGAAATAAGAATCAAACTATAAAAATGAAAATATTTTAATGATAAAAACTGAATAACTCTCACCAAAAGCACACATTAAAGCCACAAACCCACCCCTTTCTTCCTTCCACCTTTTTTTTTCTTTCTCCCATCTCTTCATATATAATCCTCCGCCTCTTCACCCCTAACCTCCCTTCCTTCTCCATTTTGATTTTCTTTTTTCTCTTCCCTCACCCAACCCTTCCCTGCTCTCCTTTCCCTTTCCTTCCACCACTCTCTCGTCTCCTTCTCTCTCCCCTGGACGGCGAGCTGTGTCAGCGGCGTGGAACACGATGCGGGCGGACGAGTGGGTGGCGGCGGCGATGACCGACGACACGGTGGTGGTCGAGCTGCTGGTGCGCCTGAAGCAGGCGCAGGCCGCGGTTCCAGCCAAACAGCAGCTGATGCAGACGTATTATTCGTCTTTCGGCGGTGGCGGTGCGGTGATTCCTGTCAGATGGGGTCTCCGCCTCCCGAGGTCCAAGTCTGCGGCCGCCACGTCAGCTGGCTCCATGAGATGCGGCGGCGTCGTTTCTAGAAGGAAGGAAGGCGATTCTTCCACCAGATGCAGCCCGACGACTCCGCTTTCCTGGAGCGGCGGCGGCGGCGCCGCGTCTCCCTCCGCCGCCGGCGACGGCTACAAAGAGACGAGCAGCCATCGCTCTCCCTCCGGTTCCAGATCCAAGGTTTGTACATCCTCCTCCTCGCCTCTCTCTACTCCTTCTCCCTTCTCGTTCTGGATTCCGGTGGTTGTTGCGTCATTAGATTCGCCTCCAGCTGATCTGTTTAGGTGGGGAGGGTGTGGTATTTGGTGTTGTTTGACTGGATTTTCCCTCGAGGTAGACTGCAATTACAGCTGGCGAGCCCCGTCTTTCTTTTTACCGGTGGCGTTGAGTCGAGCCGACGAGACATTCTTGTCTCCAGAGCTGCGGAAGGAGTCCAACAATGGACCAACCGCTTTTTTCTTTTTCTTTTTTCTTTCCTTTTTGTTTTCTTCTCTCTCTTCTCTCTTTCTCACCCTTTGCACTTGACCTGCCTAATTTGTCTTTCCTCTCCCCTCGCCTTAATTATTGTTCTCCCTGTCCTCCGATTTTCCTTCCTTCCCGGCGAAGCCGCCGGGAGTGTGCGGAGTTGATTGATCCGCGGCGGGCCGCCGTCTCTGTCATCAGCTGACAGTGATGGCAAAAATCCCCGAATCCTGATCTGTTTCTGATCAACGGTGGGAATAGCATAACCGTCGATGAGTAGCTTGCCATCCACTCTTTTTCCCCCTTCTGTTAATTTTTGCGTGGGTGTGAGTCAAAGACCGAACTGCCCCTTTGTCCCTTTTCTCAAGAGGTCACATGAGGTCAGAGCTTTGCTCAAAGAAGGGGGAATCGGGGAATTTGGAGGGGTAAAAGTGGGTCAGCAAAAATAACTTGAAAGTGGCTCACGTTTTCCTCTCTCGCCTCTTTTTGGGTCACCTGTCATTCTTGGGTTTTAGTTCCCCTTCTCCTTCCATATATGAGAGTTTGTTTGGAAATTGGAATAGACGGAATCGCCCTCCCTTCAATTCTGAACTTGCAATTTATCATTGTTAGATTCGGAGTGGTCTGTACGCTTTCCCAGTAACGGGACGATTTTGTCAGATGGTCGACGTCGATTGGACTTTTCTTTTATCATTTTTTCCACTCCCTAATAATTATACCATAAAATAAAATCCTAATTCCTTCACCCGTCGTAGGCTCGTAGCAATAAACCACGAAGCTTCCCGCACCGGATCTTTTTTCCCCTCTCCTTTCTTTCCTCATTTTGTAGTTTTGGACGGCTTTGTTTTCATCACTTCCTTACCCTTTTGGGGTATTTTAGATTTTGATTTTTCTTGTTTGAGTGTGGAGCCCAGGAGACGGTGGTGGAAAGGTAGACCCGAGCCCAGCCGAATTTGGGCTCGGGAGGTCCAGTTGTGATTGGCGAACCCGAAATTATTTTTTTTATTATAATAAATTTTAGGGGAGGTCGGCGCGTGTTCATTGCTTTGCATTGTGGTTGTCATCATTGGTGTGATTGAATTGAATGTGGCGTTTGGCAGCCGGGTCGGGTACGGATACGGGTCAGGCGGGTTTAATTAGGGAGAATGGGGCGATGATGGGTGGCGCGTCGCGGCCCAATACACGCTGTCGGGGGCGCGGGGGCTGTCACGTGCATGCTTCACGTGACTATTTAAAGATAGAGAGAGGGGTTGGGGATATTTTAAGCTTTGCCTCTGTAAAATGTGTCAACACGCTTCCTTCTGCTGACGTGGCTTCCTACTACTGGTTGGGGGTCTGTCTGTCGTCGTGAATTCCCGGGGAAGCCACTTCCTTCTTCTCCTTGGATCTTCGATGGTTCACCATATCTGGATCGGATTGATTCCTCAAGGCTGAAGGTGAAATGTGTAGGAGACTACTCTCCTCTCCTGGGTAAAATTCCAGCTGTCGCCATTGACGAGGAGGGGTCTTTACTTTTAAATTAATCCCTTGACGATCTCTCTCCACTATAACTAGGGTTTTCATATTTGAATAAAATATATACAGTATCTCGTTCATCCTAATCCCATTTATTATATATTGATGGGAGGTAATTGGTGGATCTTTAATAACTTCGGTAATGGGAGTTACTACAATTTTTGTCGTTAGATCAGCCGAACTGAGGAGCTGGCTGTCTGTTTCAATTCGTATTTTCCGTTTCTGTCTCTAAAGTTGGAATATTTGCCTGCGCTGGAGTGGTGGGTTGGTTTGTATTTGTGTGGAAGTTTGGCCTCTCGTTTCTTCAATTCTTTGTCACTTGTGTTGGATTAGGGTTGGGACATTTATCTGCTTAATAGTTTTGTATTATCTATACCTACTTATTATTTATTCTGGATTGAGGAGTAGTAGGGGGTTGTTGGTATTTTGCAACGGGACCCAAATCCCCAATCCCGGGATCAGGCTGGCGCACTTTGGAACGCGTGCACGTGGGGGGTTCTTCCCGCTGTTTAACATGCCATTTAGTCTCCTCTCCTTTCCTCTCCTCTTCTTTGCTTCCTCTTTGGGCTCTGTGGCCTAAAGATTCCAGTTTCATTGCTTTGTAATTGGTAATTGCAACTTGTCGAGAGCCAAATTTATAGTTCATAGTGTTCTGTTTCACTGGGATCGTGCTGATCCATCTTCTCTTGTTTTCCGCAATTGCAGGGCAGTGTTGCTACTGCTGCGGAGATCACTAGCACTGGAACCACCACCGCCAAGAGAACTAGAAGAAAGAAGGTACTGAAAATGTTCCCATCTTTTCGTTTTCCCTTCATTTTCCATCCAGCCTTTGCTCTGCTTCAATGGGTGCCCTTTGATTTTGGTTGCTAATCATTTTGGCCCTTCTCCTTCGGCGTTTCTCTGCAGACACTAGCTGAACTTAGAGAGGAGGAATACTTTCTCTGGAAGCAAAGGACACACCTAAAAAAGGTATCAAATTCTTGCTTCTCATTTTTCCACCCAGATCATCCCCCTCTAATCTGGCTTAAGGTTCATACCTAAATCTCCCTTTTCTCAAATTTGGCGTCTCTCGCAGGAGATAGAATCTCTACACGCTACATTTAAGGACGAGAGAACTATAAACGAGAAGCTGAAGCGAATCAAGGTACTTACTTCTCTCAGTTCCCCTACTTTCGCCATCCATTCGTTCGTTTTAAGTGAGATCTACAACCTTTCTTAATACTCTCGGTGTGTTGAACAGATCGACTTGGATTCGAATTATTCCGTCCCCTCCAACGATATTGCTTCTTTTGAAGAAGGGGAAAAAATAACAGAGGAACAGCCTACTACTCAACCTTCCTCAAACAAAGTTCTGCTTCATCAATCGGAGTCTTGTAGCAGGACGGATGAAACAAGTTGCAGTGGGGATGCTTCATTCTTGCTCCCTGACCTGAACATGATGCCCTCCGAAGAAGATCCTCCATCAACTCATTAGCCTGGTGGTCGGCACCTGCGTCCCATTAGGATAGTTAACCACATAGTACACTTTGCTCTGCTTCGTCAGTTCGTTCGTTGGTTCAGTTCTTTCGTTGGTTCGACTCCCTGCCCTCCCAAATAAGGTATGCTGGGGAAGATCGAACTCAGCCCTTCAATCATAAGATGATGATGGCAAAAGAGGTGGTGGGTGGGTGGTGTTTGTAGCATTGTGAAATAACCTTGTTGCAGCTTAGCTAGTTGAAAGGGAAAGGAAGAGTCCCCTACTTTTTTTTACCGAAGGTGGGGGCCTCTCACTGCTTTCTGACCACTTCTCTTGGTGGTGTCGTCTCTCCTCCAGAATGAAGGCCAGCTGCTGATGCATGTATAAGGAAGTTTCTTTCTTCACTTCTCTTCTCCATTAGCTGTTGAAGAAAATGCCAATGAAGGCCTTACTGCTGTAGAGTAGTGACAAATAGGCAATAGCCCCCACTATTAGAATGTGCAGAAGATAAATATAAAAATAGCAGATATATATTTGTTCTGTAGCAAGTTTAGCTTTTTCCTCTTTTCGTTCATCCCAACAAAAACCTGTGGGGGTAAACTCTCATTACTTCTGTTTGTTTCTTCTTCTAATCACTGTTTCCTAATTCAGGGACCTTGTAGAATATTATGCTCTTGGAGATTTTTTTGTAGCGCAGTTGCTGTACCTGTTTGGATTAAGGGAAGCTAATTTTTTGTTAACTATTTTGCTTTGTATTCTTCGCGTGATAAATGATTGATGATTCTTTCTAGTGAATGTATTCCCGCCGTGTTCAAATTTCCATGATTGATGAGAAATGCCTTGTAAAAGTTCAGGTGAAACGTATACGTATCCAAATGTTAAATGATCGATGATGAATGCTCCGTCGATGTTCAGGTGAATTCACACTGTATTGATATGTGAATCAAATCATACAATCTGGACTTGTTGGCGGTGACCGGCATAAGTGCAAAATCTTGGCAACACATATCTCTTTGCAGTGAAGATTACATTGTCTAGCTAACTTGATGATTAGGAAGAACAAGGAGACCAAGAAGTGCTAGCAAATAAACAAAGTCTAACACTATTCTCAACAGCCTAAGGTGAATCCGGGTTTGCTGATAAATTCTGTTCAACAAGCTCAATACAGTGGTACAGGACTAACTCAATTGGATTAAGCATGCCAGCAACTTCATCTGGATCGTTCTCTGGGTCTGCCATCGTGCTGCTCACAATAGTCCGAAGAGGAACGAGCCATTCGTTGCACGCCCTCAGCAGATTCTTCCTGAACAATACTCCCGTCTTGTTCGTTTTACCTGTATCCAATTTTTAAGAAAAACATGCAGGTGCCTTAAGTAGAAGCAAATTAACATATCTGATTATGACGAAATTAATTTTCGGTCTTATTCTTGAGGACGGTTAGCAGTAACTTTACCTGCTGATTCTTTCATTAGCACAAATCTATATAGGTTGAGAGCAGCTAGAACCTTTCGAGCATAAAATAAAAGAAAATTGCAGCATTAATGGTATGACAGGAGAAAGTAAAATTTACATGACTTTTATAGCAAGGCGATTGAAGATAAATGTGCACAGAGACCAGGTAATTACCGCTTCGCCATGTTCTGGAAAGGATGGTTGTCCACCATGCGGCGGCCTTAGAACTAGCTCCACCAATTCCAGGATTCTCTCTGTCCAAGCTGATTCTGTCGGACTTCCATGATTACCAGCTTCATCTCCTCCTTCGTTTGTTGATTTTTTTGGGAGAGTTTCCTTGCGCAATTCACCTCTAACGAGATCTAAAAGGATTGCAGTCTGTATGGAATAGCAGCGTGCGCTCAGAGAATGAAACATTATTGCCCACATCTTGAATATATGTAAAGGCATGAAAATTCCACACACAAGCTTGCAAGGGAGTTTTACCATGGAGGACGAATCTGAATTTGTTATCAGAGCTTGTAGGATATCAATCCTTTCAGGGATGGGAGTATCTGCAAGTACCTGATTTCATTTGGCAAATCCCATCCACGGTCATTCTCTAGCTAACTGACATGTGTACTTTTACAATGCAAGAGTTCAAAGATGAAAAAACTTACCCTTTTCAGAGCTTCAAAAGAATTTTTCCTTAGTGTGGAATCAGGCGAATGCATGATAACCTTGGTAATTGCCTAAAATTGTTGGTTCCAATGGTCAAGGGAAGAATATACATATAAGAGGTATACTAATATTACCAACTTGGATTTGTGAGAATGTACCTGTGCTGTAGCAAACAACGAAGGCATGTAGATTGAACAGTCTGTTATTGGTTCATCATTATGGCAATTCGGTGTGAAACATCCATGAGTAATACCAAGCAAGAATTCCACGGTATGCCTTTTAATATCCCAGGGAAGAATCACTGAAGAAAATATGTGTTTTAACATGCCTATTGCTTCCCACCTCTGAACTTGGTTATGTTGAAGCTTATCCTTCAAAGCAGACATATTCTCTCCAGCTTGCTCAGCTATCTCGTTGGAGATATGCCCCCAAATGACTGCAGGTACAACCCAAAGAAGCTAAAGACATGGAAGCAAAATAAACAACTTAAACAATCAACTTATCTCCAGAACACAGACCAACCTGATAGAGACGCACCCAGCTTCATGTCAGGAAAGGAGGTCATTATGTCATCTTCTTTATCTGTCCAGTTGAGTAATGAATATTTTCAGTAAACAAACTAGACAACTTTGGCTTGCTCATACCAGTACAATCCTAGGGCCTAAACATGGTATCACCTTTTTACCTTTGGTGACAATAGAGATCTTGGCATCAACATCGGATTCAGTTATTAAACCAAGATATGTCAAGCCACACCGTGGAAGAAGTTTACAAATCTCTGACACCAGAGGAGTGCAGCCTGATTGTTCAGATGGTATACTGGCTGACACAAGAGCCTGCAAGTCAAATCCAGATCCATTGTTGTTGAAATCTAAGGTGGAGATTAGATATCGCCAGTTCGCCACAAAAGAAATAACAAGTATTTAGCTCAATGGACGAGCCCTACCATAATTTCCAATATGAACAAACCCATCAGAGACTGAAGTTCCTCAGATTCTCCACGATCCTATTTAAATCCACAAACAGATGTATCAACAGTGAAATATCAGGAAAATAGGTATGAAAAAAAGTGAGTTCAACTAGCTTACCAGTTTCGTACTAACTACGCATATAGAATCTGCCATAGCCAAAGCTATGTTGAATAGTAGTACACGCTCTGCATCTCTTTCAGCTAACTCAACAGATACCACTTTCAGGACATTCAATACAACAGGAACTGCCAACTTTGCCTGCTTAAAATGATGCCGCTTAATGGAAACAAATACTGCAAAGCAGTATAGGAAAAACGATAAGCGATCGAATCAGTTAATCATCTGGAAACACAGAACATTGATCACATGGCTACCAACCTTTCGAGAGCCCAGTCAGGAGAGGAGCAGCATAACCAGGGTCACTGCTAGTACTCAAGGAATCCAATGCCTGTTGCAGGCAAATAAAAAAAAAAAAAAAACGAATCATTAGAACAAAACAAATGGAAAACCCTAGAAACTCACGGAAATCTCATTGGCAATTAACCAAATAGAAGTTCAAAAGCACCCCCCAAATATACCTCAGATAGAATGGAGATCATGTCCCGTGGATTGCATCTACCAACAAACCAATCGATTATGGAATCAGCAATCTCCAAACACCTATCTGAAACCCCTGCGAACTTTGAAACTGCTTTTGGCAATTCAAACGAGAGTGCGTCGACCACCGCCTGCAGAGTTGAATTGCACAACCGTTTGAAAACCCAACAAGCGGCGGCTATAGTAGCTCGACGAAATTGCAGGAATAGAAGCATGGAAAAATCTAGAACAAATTGGAGCAAGAAGACTGAACCTGGTCTGGCGAGGAAGAAGAGACGAGAAAACTCTGAATCTCAAGGAGTAGTTCAACCGCATTGTTCCTCGCTTCTTCGTTTTCAGGTTCTGAGGTTGCAGCCTCGCAAATGGAATCCAGAAAGCTCGCAAGCTCCTCAAGAAGGCCTGAGGTTTCCTCTTCTCCTCTTTCGATTGACTGGCGAAGCAAGAAAAGTCAAGCATCATTTTCACCCAACGCGAGGGAAGTAGAAGCTTAGCTTGTAAAGGAAGCTTACTTTGCAGCAAGAAGAGAGGCTATGGCGAAGCCGGAGCACCACCGCTCTTAGTTCCTTCTCTGCCATGGCGTCGCTCAGTCGGTCTCTAGTGGCCTGCTTCTCGATTCAATTTGAACAGAAGACTCGTTTATATACGAACGAGAAGAAGCGCACAGTACGAAATGTTGTTCGGGTCGGGTTATTAACCTAACCCAACTCATGGTCTGGATAAAACAGGCCCGTTTTCGAAACGAAAGAAGAAGAAGTTCGCCACTCTGATCGATCGATTTTTTAGCTTTCGCTCGAAATCTGAATCTTGGCGCTCTCTCTGAATTCTGCATTTGCTGTTGCTCTGTGAATGTTGGTAATCTGAAATTCAGGTTGTTCTTCTACATTTCCCGGCGGCCTCCGTCGTTAGGGCGGTAAGAAAATGGAGCCGGACGTGAGCATCGAAACCTCGTGCATGATCCGGATCGCGGTGCTTCCAGTCGGTACAGTGCCGGCGAGCGTCCTCAGAGATTACTTCTCCATGTTTCTGCGGCACCACACCATTCCTCTTGCCGCGATAAGTTCCTTCTACACGGAGCACCAGAAATCCCCCTTTGCACAGCAGCCGTGGGATGCCGGATCGATTCGGTTCAAGTTCTTGCTCGGCGGAGCTCCACCGAGTCCCTGGGAGGATTTCCAGTCCAACAGAAAGATTCTCGCGGTAATTGGAATCTGCCACTGCCCTTCAACACCCGATCTCGATTCCGCGGTGGAGCAGTTCGCCGCGGCGTGTAAGAGTTACTCGTCGGCGTTGGTCCAACGGTGCTTTGCATTCTGCCCTTGCGATTCTCAGCTCGAGGACGGCGGGAAGAAAGAGGATGTCCTGAGGCTGTTCCCTCCTGCTGACCACCAGACGCTGGATATCCATTTGCAGACAATGATGCAGGAAATCGCCGCTTCGTTGCTGATGGATTTTGAGAAGTGGGTGCTCAAGGCGGAATCGGCAGGAACTATACTCAAGACGCCTTTGGATTCTCAAGCCAGTCTCAGTTCAGAGGAGGTTTATGTTTAGGTGTCCTAAGTATTATCCTAAGTATTTTGAAATTCTGCTATTTTCTCTAGTGAAGCTTTTCCATATCCTGCGCTGCCATTGCAACTACCCCTTTGTGGTTTTGATCTTAATTTTTTCTTGTTCACTTGCAGGTTCTCAAGGCGAAAAAGAGAAGACTTGGCCGTGCACAGAAGACCATAGGGGATTATTGTTTGTTGGCTGGATCACCAGTTGATGCTAGTGCCCATTATACTACTGCATTAGAACTTGCCAGATTGACTGGGGATTTCTTCTGGTTTGCTGGCGCCTTGGAGGGTAGCGTTTGTGCTTTACTGGTACTCACCTCTCTCCATTAGTGGTGGATCGTGATTCTCAGCAATGTGTGGAATATTTTTGGGCGTAGAAACATCCATAGTTATTTTTTATATAGATTGTTTGTAATCCAATTGCCCTGCCATAGAAACATCCATAGAATTCACATGCACCAACGTCTTATTGTAAAATCAATTGCCCTGCCATAGAATGGCTAGGCTTAATATCTGTGCCTCTTGATCATTGATTTGCTTCTGATCTTCAGTAATGTCTTCCTCCTTTTCTCTGCTATTTAGATGGATCGAGTGAGCCACATTGATGCAGTTTTAGAAGATGAAGAGTATCAATACAATAATGTGATATTACATTATAGGAAGTCATTTATCCAAGACAATGCTCAGAGGTAATCTCTATTCTTTCGTATCAGCTCGTAGATATTCCTTTGTTCTTGCTGTTTCTCCTTACTTAGTAGGCGTCTGTAGGTTAGTAAAACATGTGCTCCATTCCTCTTCCTCACTTTTCATTTTGTGGCTGTTGTGATCCTCTTTGGTTAACTTGGTGCTATCTTCTTGTCTCCTTCTGACGATTCTTATTGTATGTATGTTTTTTGTTAGAACTTCCTCTCAAGAAAACTCCTAAGATTGCTAATAAAATTTGTTCATTCATAAAAAACAATGATCAAATTTTTCTGGAATTTCTTTTGATAGGTTCTGAGGCTCTAGTGCATTAGGAGTTAGGACAGTGAAAATTGGGTAGAATTTTTTTTTTTTTTACACTATGTGGCCCAGAGCCTGCAAAGACATAGATATATGATTTCTCAGAAGTCCTTCTGGAATGGGCATATTACTTACTAATTAGCCTACTCCCCGTAATTTCTTGTGGAGAAAATATATAGATGGGCAGCATTGGCAACTTGTGCTTGCATTACTTCTCCTTTGGTAGTAAAGAGAGAGTGCTTTGATGCCGTTTAATTTCCGTTATGGAAGCACAAAGTAACACGAGAAGTTGCCAGGATATAGCTATTTAACTCGATTTTCAGCCAACTTCTTCTCTATGACTTGATTTTCTCTATGTTTTCTGAGGTCACCTTTTGTTTGTGTATAATATTGACCAAAATACTTCCAATATATCTTACATGCAGAGTTTCTCCCTTAAGCTTTGAACTTGAAGCTACTTTAAAGTTAGCAAGATTTCTCTGCAGGTAGGCATTTCATTCTCCCTTTTGTGAATATTTTATGCTTCTGTTAAATAGCTGCCTCTCCACATCTCTGTGACTGCATGCAGTATCATACTAAATTTACATTGTTTTCTGCAATTTGCATATATTTGGACTGATAAAACAGCATTTAAAAGGTCTTATCTTTGCAGGCGCAATCTGTCTAAGGAAGTTGTGGAGTTGCTGACCAGTGCAGCAGATGGTGGAAAGTCATTGATTGATGTTAATGATAGACTAGTTTTATTTGTTGAAATAGCACGGTTATTTGGGACAATTGGTTACCAGAGGAAGGCTGCCTTTTTCTCAAGGCAGGTTGCACAATTGTATCTCCAACAGGACAATAAGTTTGCCGCTACAAGTGCCATGCAAGTGTTGGCAATGACTACAAAAGCATATCGTGTTCAGAGCAAAGCATCTATGCCTGATCCTCATACGAAAGTGAGCCAGTAGAGAAAATAAACAACTGTTAGCCATTTTGTGTTACTTAGATTGACGACTGAGATTCTTTTACCTGAGTCTTTCGCTTTCAAAATCCTTATTAAAGGTTTCAAGTTGTGTTACTTTGAATTCTCAGTCAATTGTTATTAATATTGCAGAAGCAGACTGGGCCAAGTCATGCTGATAGTGGGAAAATGCATCATCATTTGGTTGTATCTTTATTTGAATCGCAATGGAGCACGCTGCAGATGGTTGTGCTCAGAGAGATACTGTTATCTGCTGTTCGAGCAGGTGATCCACTGGCTGCATGGAGTGCGGCTGCTAGGCTGCTGAGACAATACTATCCTCTGATTACCCCTCCAGGGCAGAATGGGCTTGCTAGTGCACTCAATAACTCTGCTGAAAGGCTGCCTTCTGGAACTCGCTCTGCTGATCCTGCTTTGCCTTTCGTGAGGTGTTGTTCCTGTGTGCATGCTATCCCAAAACTGTTTTAACTTATCGGTCAGAGGGTGTATCTCAGTACTGCCACTATTATATTTCATAAGTTAGTAATTTTTTAAAATCATTGTTTTTGTTCAGGTTGCATTCTTTTCCTCTTCATCCATCGCAAATGGATATTATCAAGCGAAGCCCCACTAAGGAAGATTGGTGGGCTGGATCTGCTCCTTCAGGACCTTTTATCTATACCCCATTCAGCAAAGGGGAACCAAATGATACTAGCAAGCAGGAGCTGGTTTGGATTGTTGGAGAACCAGTCCAGGTTTTAGTTGAGCTTGCAAACCCATGCGGCTTTGATCTAAGGGTTGATAGTATATATCTCACGGTGCATTCTGGTTCTTTTGATGCTTTTCCAATAAGTGTGGACCTTCCTCCTAACTCATCAAAGGTGATCACATTATCTGGAATCCCGACTTCTGTGGGGCCCATAACGATTCCCGGGTGTACTGTTCACTGCTTTGGAGTTATCACAGAACACCATTTCAAGGATGTTGATAACTTGCTCCTTGGGGCAGCGCAGGGGCTTGTGCTCTCTGATCCATTCAGGTGTTGCGGATCTGCAAAGTTGAGAAATATATCTGTGCCCAGTATCTCTGTTGTGCCACCACTGCCATTGCTAGTCTCACACGTGGTGGGTGGTGATGGAGCAATAATGTTGTATGAAGGTGAGATACGTGATATCTGGATTAGCCTGTCAAATGCAGGAACTGTTCCAGTTGAGCAAGCACATATTTCCCTCTCTGGTAAGAACCAAGATTCGATCATCTCGATACCTTATGAGACCTTGAAATCTGTTCTTCCGTTGAAGCCTGGAGCAGAGGTGATTCTACCTCTAACTTTAAAAGCTTGGCAGCTCGGGCCTATGGATTTTGAGATTGGTGGTGGAAGGGCTGCAGCCTCTGGAAGCACAGGAAGGCAGTTTAAGGATGCTAGTGTACCTACTCTATTGATCCATTATGCAGGTATTACCTTTACGTTTATGCATGCTAGTCCGTGTCTAGCTGAATCTACATGTTTGACATATTTCCTGACGTTACAGCACAGTATTTGTTGAGGTATCATTTTGATATCTTAGATTGCAACCTCCCCATTGACTACATACTTTGCATATTCATAATTGAACGGCTATTTTTGGGCAAGGATCCGAGTTTGGTTACCAAGAGTGGCCACCACATGAGTTGTCTCTTCCTTATGCTTCATCATTGTGCTTACTCTTTTATATCTGCAGGGCCATCAACAGATTCTGGAGATGTTACTTCTGCAACTGGATCTACTTTGCCTCCAGGAAGACGCTTAGTTCTCCCACTGCAAGTTTGTGTATTGCCTGGTATGTCACTCATCAAGGCTCGTCTGCTTTCAATGGAAATTCCTGCATATATTGGAAAAGCTCATCCTAAACCAATGCACGAGGATGATCCCACCACAGAAACGGTTGAAGAATCTGAAAGAAAGATGGAGAAAAGGTTGGTAAAGATCGATCCCTACAGAGGCAGCTGGGGATTGCGTTTCCTAGAGCTAGAACTGTCTAATCCAACCGACGTAGTGTTTGAGATAGGTGTCTCTGTCCAGCTGGATGGCACTGACGATAATAACCTTTCTACTAATCAAGATGGTAGTACTGAATATGGTTATCCAAAAACTAGGATCGACCGGGACTATTCGGCAAGGGTCCTTGTACCTCTGGAGCATTTCAAACTGCCTGTCCTCGATGATTCCTTCTTCATGAGGGATTTCTGCAACGAAGGTTCCACTAGTAGCAGCAGAAGTTCGAGCTTCTCCGAGAAAAACACAAAAGCTGAACTTAATGCTTCGATCAAAAGCCTGATCTCCAGAATAAAGGTGAGGTGGCAATCGGGAAGGAACAGCTCCGGTGAACTGAATATTAAGGATGCTGTACACACAGCACTTCAGACATCAGTCATGGATGTCCTGCTTCCTGATCCATTGACATTTGGGTTTAGGCTTACCCGGGACAACAGTTCGCCCCAACAAGGATCTGACTCCAAAGATTCCGTTTTGGCAAATGACATGACCCCAATGGAAGTTCTGGTCCGGAATAATACGAAAGAAATGATCAAGATGAGCCTAGGGATCTCGTGTAGGGATGTAGCTGGTGAAAACTGCATCGAAGGTGAAAAGTCTACTGTTCTGTGGGCTGGTAAGTTCATTATCTTTCCCCCTTCTCCAGCTGGATTTAATCTCGTCAACTTATGTTACCTAGCCTGCACAACCAGACCATAAATATGCTATGTGATCAAACTCTGCAGGGGTCCTGAATGGGATAACAATGGAGGTTCCGCCGCTTCAAGAATCAAAACATACATTTTCGCTCTACTTCCTGGTGCCAGGGGAGTATACATTGGTAGCTGCAGCGGTGATTGAAGATGCTAACGATGTCCTCAGAGCTCGTGCTAAAACTGATTCACCAGACGAGCCTATCTATTGTCGAGGGCCTCCTTTTCATGTGCGCGTCCTGGGAACGGCATGAGGGTCGCTCTTGGCTTGTAGATTTGGAATCTGGAGTTTGTAGTGAGTTCCATTTTTGTATGTAGCTGTTGGCTTTGTATACCATGCGGTCGTTGTGCTGCAGAATGCTTCTCTTGCTCATAAAGTTACTGCCCAGTAGAAGAAAAAGAGGCAAACATTGGACCATATCCTGAAATTAGGAGCGTTGAAAAGTACAATTCCATTATATCCCTCTATGAAAGTTTCATCATAGTTAATCTCCAACTGGGTTGAGGACTTGCAGGTTAAAATTAAATAATTGATCTCCAGATCTGTTCTTTATGAAGGTTCAAGCAAATAGTAACCCTTTTTTTTTTACAACATATTTCTTTCTATACTAACCTTTAAAACAGGCTCACAACTAGCGGCTCACCCTTGCGATGAATGTTGTATTGTAACAAATAATCATAGTATGAATATATGGATCGGTATAATAAATACTTTGACATTACATTATTTGATTTATTTGGTTGTTGAGTTGTAAGTACATACACATCAAAACAATTGAAAAACCAATTGTATATTAGGTTTTTATTGTCACCTTAATGCTTTTGTAATCTAAATCATATTAATTAATATCATTATAACTGCATCAATTTAATCCACTTGCAATTGCATCTGCTGTTAGCTTGCAAATATACAATGAATTGCTATATTTATTCTACTGGATTTAGTATTTACAATTACAAAAACCATGTCACGTCATCTTGCAATTGAAAATGCTAGATCAATGTGGATGTTTTGAGATAATGGTATAAGATTCATAATTAATTTTTTCTCAACAATTTAAGTTTTTTTGGATCAATTGGTTCTTAAACATGGTATTAGGTCAAGTTTGGCCAAGCAGTCGTGTGTTCAAATCTCTACGACCCCAAATATAACATTTTACTTAAACACATGATATGGTGTCCTGTGCAAACTTCAAGCTTATGAGTTTATTTTCGTTTCGGAGGCGTGTAAGAGAGTGGTATAATATCAACTTAAGTTATTGGATATAATTTTATTTAAACATACGATATGGTGTCCTATGCAAACTTCAAGCTTATAAGTTTATTTTCATTTCAGGGGCGTGTAAGAGAGTGGTATAGGGCTGGGAAAATAGACCAGACCGTTAGAAAAACCATGGTCCAAACCGTTATGCAATAGTTTGGTCCGGACCGTAGACCGTTAAGTATGGTCTGGTCTGGTCCATGGTTTGTATTATTTTATGTTTTGATCTCTTGGTCTGGTCTGGTATAGATCGTGGTTTACCGGACCAAAACCAACCGACTTGTCAATACGTGTTAACAGTCCATTCGACCACTCTCCCAACTCCCACAACAACACCCAAGTCTCAACCTTAATTTTGCGAATCTCGTCCCTCCTTCATTCAGAACCACACTTAACCAGAGAGTAGAGATAATCGTGTCTCCATATGACATTATGTTAATGTTTATAACGTTATGGTGCAAGTTGGGATGCTTTTACTTTATATCTTTGTTATGTACTAAGATTTAGGGTATCAAATTTGTTCATGCATGTTAGGATTAATATTTGAAGGCAAATAAAAATTATTTTTCTTGATTATTAGTTCAATTTTTGTGTGCTTGACTAAAAAATTGTTCATTTTTCGTTGAGTGTGGTCTATCTGGATCAGACCAGACCAAACTAGACCGCACAGGCGTGGTCTGGACCGAACCGCATAGTCTGTGGTCTGATCTGTGGTCTATACTTCAGCCTGTCGGTCTGGACCATAGACCGTATATATGGTCTGGTCTGGACCAGACTGCACCGTTTCCCAGCCCTAGAGTGGTATAAGATCAACTTAAGTTATTGGATATCATTTTATTATTGACAATGTTTATCCTCTACTTTTAATAACCACTAGTTTTTTTTAGAATAACCACTATTTTTAATAAAAGATACATATTATTGATTATATGAAAAGAAAACGAATTCAAATATAAACCAACAATCACAATTTTTAGTTGAGATTGTACAATTCGTTCTTTTTTATAGGCGGACATACACAAAATAATATATACATTATTTTATAATTTGGCACTTTCAAGCATTGTATTCATACATTTTTATACCTATACTTTGAAATTTATATGCATGCCCAAGTTTACGTGTATTTATGGTGTGCTTTAATAAACATGTGATTTGTTTTATGAAATTTTTTAGATGCTTTAAGTAACTTGTGATATGTTTTAATAAACTTGTAGTATTCTTTATGTGGTTTTTGGTCTGATTTAGAAAACATGTTGTATGTTTTAAGAAACTCGTGGTGTGCTTTAATATACTCATAATATATTTTACAAAACTTGTACTATGTTTTAATGAACTTGTGGTATGTTTTATGAAATTTGTGTGCTTTAAGAAAATTGTTGTCTATCTCTATCTCTTGAAATAAAAAAATCATAATATATGTATTATCTCAATCTAATGTTAACACTTAACACTGTACTAACAAATTGGGTGTTAAGATGCTAATTATTCTAAATGCTAATAACGCCAATGAAGTCGAAGTGCAAAAGAAAAATTAAAAACGAAGTGCAAGAAGAGAAGAGAAAGTGGGCTGAGCGGGCCGTTTTATTTTTCTCCATGAGTGGGCTTTTCCCAGTTTGTAAACAAAAAAATGAAGTGGGAGATGAGAAAGTGGGCTGAGTCGGCCGTTTTATTTTTCTCCATGAGTTGGCTTTTCCCAGTTTGTAAAACCCTAAGCTCTGTCCCCAACTCCTATATATATTTCGCCCTCTTTCCGCATCCATTCATCTCAATGAATCCCATCAATTACCGGCGCTCGCCTGCTTCTCCGTAGAAGAATGATCGAGAGCTGCCGCTTGCTTATCTTCTCCTTTCCCAATTTCTTTTAGTTTTTTTCATGGTTATCTCTGTTCTAGCTTCGTCTTTCTTCCTTTTTTCACAAATTACTCTGGTGTAGAAAACTTCAACCTGGTGGATAAAAGCAGGGATCTGTTTCCTATCATGAGCAGATCTCTCGTAAACCTCAGGAAGATCAGTTGTTCCTTGTTCTTGGGTGAACCTGTGTTTTTTTTTTACTGTGGCTCAAGGTTCAGTAAACGATGATACATCTAAAAATTTCTTTCCCAACATGTTATCAATTTGAATTGGTGGGTTTTCTTGTGAAAAATTATTGTTGGTTTTGCTGTCGGTGATGATAAATCCAAAGGCTTGTTTCTCAAGAACATTCGCAGTGGCCGCCTAAAGCTTTCGCCTTTCGCCGGGCTTGAGAGCTTATGATGTTCATCTTTCCTTCCTTGGATGTCTGAGACTCTGTAAATTCTCCTTTATTATTTTGAATCTGGCTTTTCTCAATTGGTTGCATTGCAGGCTCAGTTGTGGATTCGTTCTATCGAAGGAAGTGTCGAGACCAAGTTTCAAGATTGCTTTACTTTCTTTGTGGTTCTGTTTAGGCAGCTGTTTATAGATTGGTTGTTCATCAATGAAGATTCCGGTGTTTACAATGAAAACAATCCGTTCAATTGCATGTTAGATAATAAATTTTGGAACATTGTTCTGTATTCTGGCAATGATTAATGAAATTTGCGAATGTTGTATGAATTGGGTTGATTCGTTTTGTATGGTATGGAGAGGTTCCAATTTAGTACTGCAAATGAGTCGAGTTTTTCGCGAGCGGCTCGGTGAGTTTTTTGCGAGCGGCTCGGTGTTCGACTCTAGAAAAGCTCGTTCGAAACTTGGCTCATTGATAAATGAGCCGAACATAAGTTAAACTTTCTTCAGCTCGTGAAGTTCGCGAGTTAGCTCGACTTTGACTTGTTGAGATAAAATCGTGAGCTGGCTCGTTTAAAGCTTATGATATGTTTCAACATGTGGTTAGAGAGCCAACTCGATTATCCACTTATGGACGAATCAATCTATTATCTTATGTTTTTAATTCATATAGTTGTTAAATTATATATTTTATTATATATAAAGTTTAAAACTTTGAGTATGGTAGAAAATATATCTTATTTTATACTTAAAAAAAATATGTATCATAAATTGCTTTGTTACTATGAAATAACATGATTTGGAGTAGTTAAAATTTATTAACTAAATGATATATGATACCAACAAAGTATAATATGATATTAGCTAACAAAATAAATCATGTGTATAATGATATACAAAATGAAGTACCAAATAAAAGTTGAGATTTTAGTAAACAAGCTAGCTCGAGTTTGACTCGGTTCGTTAATAAACGAGCTGAACTCGAACTCGACTCGTTTATTAACGAGTCGAGCTCAAGTTGAGGTAAAACTCGACTCGGCTTGACTAATTTGCAGCTCTAGTTCCAATACTAATATACTTGTTGGTGGGAATTTCTCTCGTGCCTTTGTTGTTAATCAAATTAGAAGTCCAAAGTTAACTAAAATAAGGTACTTAAAGCTGGAAAATGGCTCTATACAGGCTTGTGTAGTATATGTTTTAGGTTGTGACATCCGACTACAAGTTCTTAACCTCTTTTTTGCCTATGATTCGTTGTGAACAAGGTCTCCTTCAACTAGGCATGTTAGTAATTCGATATACCAACCTTGTCAATATCTTCAAGAATTAGCTACATATAAATATTTACATAAGAAGCGCTTAAGCATTTGGAATTCTGTAGTAGATACTACTCTGAACCAGATTCATCTTCTACCCCATCCTTTGCATCTTCAAGGATTAGCTACATATCAATGCAAGTCCTCTAATAGTAATCGTAGTATTTACTAACAATGCATAAAATGCCCAAAAACCTCCTTCAAGAATCTAGTGATTAACCAGTGTCCAGGTTCCTTAGTGTTGAATGTAACCTCCTACCCAGGAGCAATTATGTTACTGACTTGGCCGTGGTTCATTCTAACATTGGCCGTGGTTCATTCCACTCATTTACAGATTTGCAGCTGATATCTGCTGCTGCACTAAACTCTGCTAACTGAAGACTGAGCTAACTAACCAAACATGTTTACATCGACACTTGATTACATACATCATTCAATCGAGAGTTACCTTGTCTAGCCACTTACAGTGCTCTTCTAACTGATCCAACAATCTCAGTATACTGCACCTTCTTCCCACCATAAACTCTAGTACATCTCTCTCATCTTAGGAAACTTATCATCAAATTCCAGATCAGCTTTCCTATAGTTTCCTTTGCTCTGTTGCCTGCAAATCTCTCAACTGCCAGTTGAGGTAGTCTACAAACTGAGCATAATGTGGACAGAGCACCTGTATCATTTGAAGGCAGCCCTTGAGTACATTATATCCCTGTTTTCCTGCCCTGTGCCACAGACCAAACATGTGTCATCCCTAGTCTTCCCTCATTGCTTCAATTTGACCCTACTGGTAGCTCTATCTTTTTAAATCAGCCAGCTATGGAAATTATGTCTCACTATAGAGAACTTAGACCAGACCAATTTGCATCAGTGAACTGTATCTGTTGAAGTAAATGAAGAAAGAACAAAACATTCATGGGTGGATTCTGGATTTTGTACTGAGGCTCAAAAGAGAATGGATCAATACCATGAAGTCATGCTTCATTTTGCAATCCCAAGAATTTAAAGTCTCCAATCAATATTCAATACTCTTCAGTCTTCACCTCTCAAAATACTATTCCAAATCACCCCCTATTTGGCTTGAAAAAACACATTACAGTCCTAAGAATTTGAATCTCAACCCTCTTTAATTTTCCTGCTTGCACCAAACCTTTGCAAAGATCTCTAAAATCATGGTTGATCCTAATAAACTTATCGAGATATCCAAAGTCATCATAAATGAATATGAAAGTAAATAAGTAAATATTGTGGTGTATTCGGTGCACTCACTTTTTTGGGTGCATTCATAATCGTTATTCTAAGCAAACGATTCACGTAAAAATGATGGTAATGGACACGTATGATATGATGAACTAGAAAATACACGAATTTGTACAAAAATCATTCAAGATTTACTTTAATTTCAATGATTTAGGGTTTAGGGATTTAGGGTTAGGGTTTAGGTTTACAATTTGGGGTTTTAGGTTGGGATTCAAAATTGAAGGTCAAGAGGTTAGGGCAATGGATTGATTAGTTATGATTTTATGTTATATCATCGTGTTACACTAATTCTACCAATTAAAGTTCAAATTTTGATGTACCATTTTTAGAGTTGGATGCACTGAATGCATCCAATAAAATGAGTGCACCGAATTAAATTTAGCATTTCATCGGCAATATTACATCCCCAATCAAGACACATTCTGTAATACAAACAAACATTCAACTGAAAACCCATCTCCCACAACAATCCCTTTATTCAGAGCCCCAATTCTCATTATTTATATATATATAATCACGAATAAAAAACTTGCATATCTCTTCATTTCACGAGCCTTCTTTTCACCTTCACCACTTGAGCTTTGCCGGGAAATACTGCAAAAAAAAAAAAAAAAAAAGTGACGGAAAAAATGAGGTCTTAGGAGACAATGCTAAATAACCAGACCGGTGGGAGTGAAGATTATGAAGTAATAAAGCAATTAATTAGTTTCGTAATTGATTAATTAAGGTACCTTCTTAATGAGGGATTCATAATATGGCTTCACCTCCTCAACTTTGATCGGAACCTTGCTCTTGCTGTACAGGTCATATTTGCTGTGTTCATAATGTGCATTGATGGATTAGTAATAAACAATTAAAAAAAGAAGTGATCAATGATTTAAGTAATTTGAGGCTTATGTTATATAATTACTTGAATATGTTGAGCCATTTCAAGTTCTCCCTATCTTCCTCGTTCATCAAGTATTTGTACGCATCACATTTGTGCAGTGCTGAACAATATTCAACATAGACACGAAATCATTAATAATGTTAAACACGTTTCACTTCTTATTAATAAATAGCGTTAATGTTTTGTATTAGAAATCCTTACGATAGAATGAATGGTAGCGGATGATAAACAGGCCAGCCGATGGCAAAGTGGTACCGTTTTCTTTCGCAACCTGCAACATTAACAAGTTAATAAATCATTAATCGATCAAATTAAGGTAAGCAAGTCCAGTAAAATCTTCATGATTTCGTGACGAAGAATGCGTACCAAATACATGTAGTCATCATGGCCCCAAGTCATCATCACATTGTTAAGACCACAACCTTCACTGTAGACACCAAATTTGGTGTTGTACTCTGGATTCTTGTAGTCTGGGTTTTCCTTGAAGTGCTGCAATAATAATTAACCGAAAAACACACCATTCTATGGATTAATCATTTTTACCCTACATATTACAGCAAAAATAGAAGACCATATTCATTACAAGGAAATGTTTCTAGGCACTATAACCAACCTTGTGGTGAACAATGGTCTCGCTGAAACCACAACCTACCGGATATGTATCACCTGCAAACAAACAGAAAGAATCGTTCGAATATGATATTTTTTAGAAAAAACACCAACACGAATTGAGACGTGGAATCACACAATCTATCGAGATCATCTCATTGCCGGACTATGGGAAATTAGGATGAAAATGTATAACAATTACCAACAACAGCCCACTGAGGCAACCCTCCAAAGTTGGGATGGATCAGAATCTTCCCCAGATCTGGATCAAATCAAAGACATTAATAGTAATCTACTAATTAGCAACAAATCGATGGATTAATTATGTTAATGAAAGGGGTGTCTTAGGGTTTAATTAGGGTACAAACCGTGGATGAGAGCAGTCAAGTGAAGCCAATCTTCATTAGGGTAGTCCTTCCTAATGGCTTCAGCAGTTTGCAGCAAATGCATAATCTGGGGCTCATCCAGATCAGGATCACTGTCGTCCACTATGTTGTTGAGCACCTCACAGCATTCCCAGATGCTCATCTCTCCCTTCTCCAGTTTCCCATACTCCTCCCTCATCTTCTTTACCTGTACAAATTGGTACACAAATAAGAAATTGATCCACTCACCAAAAGAAAAAAAACCATTAACAGTTTTTTTTTTTTGGAGGTCATTGATTTATTTCATCACGAACATTATCATGTAAACAGAATTTTATCTTTCAGTGGTCTTACGAATTCGAAAGTTTGATGGATGTGTTGTTGACGGTAGAGTTCCTCGACAACCCGGTGCCTTGCATTGTTTTCATTCTCATAATCCCTGTCAAAAAACAAAAACAAAAAAATGCCGTTAATTAATTTGCTTCGTCTTAAACCCAGCTATTTATTATATTATGAAAAGGTGATGAAATATTTTTTTTTCTTCTTCTTCATTTTGCTCTTTTGGTTACCTGAAAGAGCGCCCAAATGCGTTTTCTTCCGGTACCGTGAATTCACCGTTGGAGACCAACTTATCGGCCTCAATATCGACCAACTTGATCTTCTTTTCCGCTTCAAAACCTTCATACACATTTTTTTTTAACAATCAAGAATCACAATTTTACGAAACAATTATCCTCATTCAAAAGAAGATTGTAAACAACGATGGATATGTTTTGAGGAGAATAATAACGTTAACATGTGCATACCGAGAGTGGGCTGCTCCACGAGGACGGATTGGATCGTCATTTTTCCAGCTGATACGAATGAACGAACCACCGGAGACAGAGAGGGAGAGGGAGGAACAAATTGATGTTGAAGGTGCTTGTTGTTGAGAGATGAAGGGGGAATCCAGGATATTTATACTCCCCCTTCCATGAAGCTTTTGGAACTGTCCTTGTTCTTCAATTCCTCAACTTTGGGGGTCCTGGAAAACTAATAATTGAAACAAACTGTACTTAAACCAATTCTATCCTGAATGACTAGGATTGGATACGTTGCCTAATCATAGTAATTAATACATAACCATCAATCTATCTTTTGTTTTTTTGCTTCTATTGATCCTCCTGATCAATGGAGAGAAGAAATTATAACGTTTTGGATTAGGACAGTTGTACTTTCTAATATAATTATTACCATAGTGATTTTATTTTCTTGGGGAGTTTAATTTCATGAGGCGTTTGTTGACATATTTGGACAATTGGTTTCCGATTCCATGAACTGAATTCAATTGAGTTGACTCAGCATTGCGTGTAGGATTGATCTCTTTTTTTTTGTTTTTTGTTTTTAAGGATAAAGTTTACAACGTGCATCCTATATTTGGTTAACGCATATGCATATTTGTTATGGTGGGTTGGATTAGATGTACACTGAGATGTGCGGTCAAGTCAGAAATTGAGGGGTTGGAAACAAAATTTTATAGAAAAAATATTAATAATTATCTATTATTTTAACCACACAAATATCAATACACTAATGCAAAATATGAGTAACACAACTGACGTCTGACAAAGTTTGACAATGCAAAATCTTCCAAAATCATTGAAATTAAGGGATTAAAATGAGTTTAACAAAAATAATTAATAATTGAAGGAGCAAACTGGCACATTTTAAAATTCATTTGCCGCAAAGGTTGCTGGCGTAGGAAAGAATGAACAACACGTCATTGGTTTGTTGGACCTGGATTTGAATAAGTATATGCGAGCTTCTGGCCCAAATGGGAGCAAGGTATGTATCAAATCTATGTGGCGAGGTTATGGGCCGATATGGTAGATTACATGGACCTTACCTTCTCGCCCTGATTTCACTTTTGGGCCGAACTCGTCATTGGCCCTTATTCCTTGAGGTCGCTTTGACTCTTGACATGGGAGACTGGGAGTCAAGGTCAGGGCGTCAACCAAATCTACAAATTACTATAAGGCAATGTCAAAATAAACATATTGCCACATCAGCTATTCCTCGTCAAACCGCACAAAACGGAGGGTTAAAGCAGTAAATTCAACGCCTCTCTCTCTCTCGCTATTTTTCTGTTTGGTAAAGTTACCTCTCTCTCTCTCGCTTTGAGTTGACAGACAAAGCACCCCATCCCCTGTAAACCACTCACTCTTCAATCCAAACTGAATCTCGATTCCACCTTCTCCCCTCCACCGTGCCCACTATCGCTCACAAATTCATCTTCACACCCATTCTCAAAATCTCCGCTACCGCGCCGCCGCTGTCGCCTGATCTAGCAAAACTCCCACTCCCTTTGAGCGGGTCGGCGACCTAGATCACCTGGGTCTTTCCTCTCCCCATCCGATTGAGCATCTTGGTGTTCTCTCAATTGACTAATTAGTCCATCTGCAGATCGTGAAACAAAGCTTTTCTTCTATAGTTGTAATAGTGTAATGGTGGTGTTTACTGATTAGAATAAACCGCCAGTTTCCATCGACGAAGAAGATGATGATGAATGGTTCTACTGATTGGGCCAAATATTAATTACCACGTTGGGCTCATTTTACTTTTTTAAGCTACCTCATGAGCTATGCAATAGCACGCTGCACGCTTCAGCTCTTGCTGTTATTTATTTATTTATTTATTTTGTTCACCGGTTATTTTCTATAATTTGATGTTGCAAAAAGTATGCAATGAGAACAAACAAACTTTTTCCCCGTCTATACTTTCTAGCCATAGGTTTACATTTTACAATTTTACCATTATGCTTTATACATATTTTCCTGTGATTTGATTCACGACAAAGTTCTTTATTTAATTGGCGATCTGAATTTTGATTGCACTTCGCATGCTTTTAAATTATTTAATTGTATTCTTGATAGGTTACCTTTTAATTTTTATAGGACTTAATAGATCTATTGTAATTTTTTAAATTAATTTTAATCGATTGCTTAGGATTTGTCAATTAACCGATGCTTTAAGCTATACTGATAATCCTTATAAAAAAGCTATGTTGATTAAAAACAATTATTATTTTAGTGATTAATTGTGTCTTTACTCCAGCATGCCTTCGTGTTCAGTTTTTCTAAACAGCTATAAAAATTCAGGTGATACAGATTTAGTTTGACGTTGTGTAAATCTTATCATATGGATTTTTGGGTTTTCATGGTCAAAGTCTTTTTTAAGCTAATTTTGATATAAGTTATTGAGATTTGAGAGGACAGGATTAAAGATGAAGGTGAAGAATTTTGACAAATGTGTGGTGGAGCCACAATTATTTCTCCCCCTCTACATGAATTTGTAGTTAGGGTCGAAGTAGGGTTTGGTCTCCAATTATGATGGGAATGTTCTCGGATGAACATTCATCAACAACAAAAAAGACAAGTATCTTTGTCTAAATTTTGTGATAAGAAATGAGTTTGTTTGATTGAAATTAAGTTGATTGATTTTTTACTCGATTGTTTACTATTTTGATGATCAAGTAAATTGATATATCTTTACCATTGTTGTACCCAGTTAGTTAGTATTTTAGTTAAGGATATGAATAAACCTATTTGCAGTCAATATGATGTGTAATTGATTTGCATGGCTGATAGTTGTTGAAAATACTTTATTATAAAAGAGTGACATACTTTGAGTTTTCATTATGATTTTGTTACTTATTCACCATTACTTATTATAGTGCTTTTCCAAATGAAATCCTATTGATATAATAACTATTATAATGCCTAAATAAACATACAACTATAAAATACTCTACTCCCAATTTATTAATACCACCATAGCCCATGTACGTACAACCCATGAATAGAAGTCAGCTGATAATTCCCTCCTGCCCTTACTCCTCTCTTTCACTGTGCAATTTGTTGATTCAGCAAATCGTGGTTCTTTTTTAGTTATGGTTGAATATTGTTCAAGTAGTGGGAAAGGAAGGTATACGCTATGTTACTTATACTTAATTAGTTCTAACTTCCAATCTTTGTATATGCAATGATTCAAAAACACTTTGTGATCGGCCAAAAAAATGAAGCTCTAGATTTTGAATGTTTGAGTTTCTGCAGTTATATATTATCTTTTTGTTTTGATGTCCAACTAGAGTTTCTTTTATTTTAGTTCCTTTTGTTGTGTGATGAACTTTCAGCCTTTGATTACAAAATACATAGAGGGACCCCTTCTCTGTTATAAGCAGTTTGTGATAAGCAAAGGCAATGCAATTTTATATTCTCGGTGTTTGGATTTCTTTACTTAACTTATTATCAATTTGTTTTTATTGTACACATGGAGTTTCTTTATGATTGAATGCTTTGTTATGTGATGACTATGAGGAAGACAAGTAGTATTGGCATAAGTTTTGTTTTGGAAAATTTTGTTTGGTTAAGGCCGTATTCGGATCTTTATATTTAGTAGTATGTTGCTCATCTACGGGTTGTTTCTAGATGCTTTAGTTTTTACTGAATTTGAAGCTTTAGATTGTGTGGAGAAATGTGATTATGTTTATATGATTGGCCAGGTAATCACGTTCCATTCGTGCAAGAAGAACCAGAGTTGGGGGCATAAATTGTGAGACTGAGTTTATGCTCTGAGAATTTTGCAGCGATATAAATGAGGAACCTGATTGCCTTGATTGGTCGAAGCGACGAGGATAATGATGGGAAAGGAGTAGTTTGGGTGGCTGCGAAGATCTCTAAATTTGAGTGGCGCTGGCTAAATTTTTTTTCCAAGCGTATCACTTTAGCATGTCAAGTCTGGTAATTTGATCTCATTATTCTAGGGGCAATTTGGAGGGTTTGGGTTTACAAAGACAACTTCAATCAAGATGAATATTATGTTTCTTTATTGGCTGCAACCTCTTCTAAACCAATCATCTAAGGGAGAACAAACAAAAAGGAATTACAACCTCTGCATGTGACCTTCCGGTGAGGTCTGCTCCTCAAAAAAGGGATGGGAGAAAGTAAAATGGGAGAAAGTAAAAATTGGAGAAGAAGCAGTAGGGAAGAAAGGGGAGCAGAGGGAGGGGAAGAGGAAAAGTCACCCAGAAAAAAGTAGGAGAATGAAGAAGAAAGGATAGAGATTTGGGAAGCATGTATTATATTGGGATAGAAATCATCAGTTGTGAAACCTTACTGGCGTTTTGGGTGGGGAAGGGAGTTCGTAGCTTCGAGCCCTTTGAAAACATGTAGGGATATTACTTCCGGTTATCAAATTATGTATCAAATTTTACTTTATGGTTTTATTTTTCCTTTTGTTATGCTACCTTTATACTTTGATCAGTAGCTTCTTTGTAATCAGTAAAATGATTTGTAAGAGCAACTGAAACTATCAGCAACAAAATGGAGAATTGAGGCTTAAGTTGTTACTCTATTTCAATTATGCACAGCTCTCGCTTTCTTTGCCGCCAATGGAAATTGTCACCACCAGCAGATAACTTTTTCCTCATTCTGCCAAACCCATACTTTTCAAACTTGGACCAATGCTTACATATGGAATGGTCGAAGTTACGAATTCAAATTGCTTCAATTCTATTACACTATTACCTTAGTATTTGTCACTATACCGGCCAACGGGCCGGGCCCATTGCTAGTAATATAATACACCGAAGGGAAAAATGGGAGTCCCATTTCAAATTTCCTGCAACGAGAGTGAAAGTAGGAAGGACATTTTGGTCTTCACAATTACTTTTTTTTATTCATTAAAAAGACACGTACTGGGATTCGAACCATGTCCATTTTAAAGAAAAGTAAGGAACATAACCAATCACACTAAGTACATTTGTTGTATCCTTTTAAATCAAAAACATATAATAGCAGGGAGGAAAAACTCCTTCCCCCCATTTCAAATTCCCTGCTCCATGAGCGTTTGTAGGAAGGGTAGAATAGGTAGTGTTAATTTTTTTCTCTTTCCTCTGTGGAACGGGCCAACTTACCGTACACATGCGGATTTAAAAGGGTTCAGGAGTGTCAATTTTTTTCTTTAAGCCCTTGTATTTCTCCGTGGTGATAAAATATATATGAAAAGGCAAAAACAATACTTCTTTTTATGCTAAAAATAAAAAAAAATTAACAATGAACTAATGCATGGTATCTAAAGGGCTAACCGCTAACCATAAAATAAAAGAGTTGAATGGGCCTGACCTACACCGGATTTGGCCATCAAGTAAAACAAATGAACATCATTGGTTTGACATTCTAAAACAAGCTATTTTCTCTAGCATAATATATATTATTATATTATTTTATATTTTAGTGGCTAAAATATAATGTAGTATAAAGTTATTCAATGGTTCAATCTCGACCAACCCAATTAGTCCAATTTTTATCATTTCAAATATATATTATATAATTATTTGATATCATAATGATAACATTATAGTGTATTTTATAGGGAATCGTTTGGTATTTGTTAGTAAAAAACTAAACATAAAGATCTATTTGGTTATTTTAAACATTAAAACAATCCTAAACATTTTCAGTTTCTTTTGAATTTCTATGGTTTTATTCCCGAATAAGTGATGTGCAAATGGCGAATTGCAGTCATCTATTTTCTTTCACTATTTTTTTATTTTCAAATAGAAAGTTTAAAAGTAACGAATAATTAGAATTTTGCATGGGTCGGTCAAACAGGTTGAATTTTAAGTTTTGGCCCGTTTTGATCAAGTCTAATTTATAATCACATGGTTCCTTGATACCCGATAAAAATCTCAATCCAAACCAGTTTGGCAGGTGAGTCCGTGTTTACCACCATTCTCTAGGAATACGACAACGGCGGTTCCTATCCCAAATCGTGTTGTTCGTTCTTGATTTCCTTAGATTTTATCATGGCCTGACAAAAACCAGAAAGCACAATGACGACAAGATGAAAGTTTTATAAATCAAATTAATGGTGTTCTCTTTCTGATCTCATGTAATTATATAATGAAGTTGAAGTTTTTCGATGCTATTCAATTTCATTGGTATGTTTTTAATGGTCTAACTTCATGGTTGTACCAACTTTTGATGTACTGTTTATGTTCCAATATATTCACTTTGGTATGATTATTAGGGATATGCTAGGCGGTACTCACCATTAGACCAATTTAGCTTAATGGTTGAATCTACGGGTTATCCCAATAATTCAATATTCGGCTCAGCTCCTCCGACCAACGGGTCGGGTTACAAGCTAGTCACTATAATAAGGCAGTGCAAAGTTTTCTGTGGTTATTTGTTAACATAATAAACTTAAGAGTATGAATTACAACGTTGATTGTCATAGCCCACTAAATAATCCCCGACGAACAACAATCTAGCTAATCTTTTGGGGTGTGGGTTCTGAACCTTTTAGTTTCTTTTAAGTTATTATTTAAATAATAATTAATCATTTCAGATATCTTGGCACCAGCTGGGTGATGATTATTGATTAATTAGAATCCCTTTCGGTTGTCCTCGCAGATGAACTGTATCCTGTTAACAGGGGCAAGGACAACTAATATATTCCATTTCCTCACTTTGATTTGCAACAACGACTAATTATTTTCCAGATGTCTCTCTTTTCGTACAACTAATTATTTACTTAATTCCCAATCTACACGGCTTTCTATGCAATTAACGTTTTGATTTGATTCAGAAAAATTTTCGCTAGCTATTTTGTCTCTTGTGTACTTCCAAGATTTGAACCTGGAATAATGTCAGGCACCATTCAAGGGGGTGACATTTGTTTTCTAATAAATACCTTTGCTGCAATAGGGCTAATTAGTAATAATGAAACATAATTAATTTGGGGTTTTGGGGGTACGGAAACAATCTAATTTGGATTTTACAATGGGCTCATGGTCAAAGTTCTTGGATCCAGTAATTACTACACTCACCAGATTTGAGATAGCTAATGAGGTATTTTAGGGCAAATTTTTTTTTACTATTATTTTACATGATTTTACCTCATCAACAATTGGTTGGAGCGAAATCAACAACGCTTTGAAGACATTGAGATTGATGTGCAACGGTGTTGTGTTCAAAATCTGTCACATGATTGGGAACGAATTATTACTTGCAAGCATTTGAGAGATTTACACCATACACTAGATAGATTGGGTTCTCATGTTTCTTGATCTGTTGAGTTATATATAACGATGATATTCATCGGTAAATACAATTTATATTTTTACAAAACACTCTCTACTTTCATGCACATGGATCAAAATCTTTTATAATGTATATGGTAATTAAGCTCAAAGAATACTTTTCATATACAGATATTACATTCGGGAGGGTAAGTAACTATTTTTAAAAAAATTAAGTTAATCGTTCGAGGTCCGGCGAACAAGAAAAAATAAAGGAACAAAAGATGAACAACAGTAATAATCATGACTGAGATGTTTTATACACAAGAGATCATTCACGTGCCAAGCTGCGAGGCGGCCTTGTTCATCACGCCATTGGATCCGGCCGAAAGCGGCGGCGGCGGAACCGCATACCTGGCGGAGAAACCGGGGTACCCGCAGTCGTCGGCGGTATCGACGCCGTCATCGAAGTTAAGCGCGTAGCTCTGCGCGTCGTACTGAAACTGCATCTTGGACGGTCTCTTGATCCTGCCGTTATTCGCATTATTGGCAATCGACCCCACCGCCGCCCTCACGGTGCCGCTGAATCTGCGGATGAAATTCTTCCACTTGGGCCCCGCCACCAGTTCCGACACCTCCCTCGCCTTCTTCAGCTTCTCCGCCACCCACCGCCGCCCGCCGCCTCCCCCGCCGCGGGGCTCTTGGTCCTCGGAGGAGTGGCGATCTTGGTTTACCTGCAACAAGTAGGCGTGGGACCCGGCGGATCGGCGGCCGAAGCAGTGTGCGGGGAAGCACAAGCAAAAGGACGGAGAGGCGGCGGCGGAAGATTCATCAAGATCGTCGGATTCGTAGTCTGGAAAGCGATTTGTCGCTGATGGGGAGGCGCCGTCGCTGCTGCTGGCGGCGGCGGCGTGGTGATCGTGGCCTGGATTGGTTACCATTGGAGAGAAATTAAGAGAGATTACGGCACAGAGTGAATGTGGTAGCGCGAGAGACTAGGTTTTATAAGGAGGGCCGGAGTGACTTGATTGGTAATTTCCATTTTAGTTTTGGGGGCTAATTAGCCGGTTGATTAAATATGGATTTATTATTATATTATTATTCCTTTCCGTTTGCGGGAGTGTAACTATTTTGCGTTTCCGTTTCCGATTCGGTCGCCGGCTGAGCTAGCTAAACCGGCATGTGGCTCAACTCACTTGTTGCTCATTTAATTTGGCTGGAAAATCTAATTGGAATGCAAATTTAATATATATTTTATGTCACCCGCTAATCAATATTAATTTACTCTAATTTGGCTAAAAAATCATGTTTGGTGTAAGCTAATAATTGAATTAAATTAGAAGTTTCCAACTACATGCTTATTAATTTTCAGCCAAAACAATATTCATTAAAATCTATCAACTAAAAACGCAAGTGACAAAATTATTTTCTAGCCAATAAGACAAAGCCAAAAGACTAAGTTTGAAAAGAAACCAGTCGACAATTTTAAGTTCCATCTTCTAATGTTTTTCATTGTAACCCAAATTATTTTGAACCAAGCAAGGTTGATCTCCTGAGAATGGAAATTAGAGTTGCCCAAAAATACAGGGGTTTATGAGAAAATATATACATAAGGTTTACCTATCGGCAAAAGAGGAGGTTTAGATGTGCAAAATCTGTGTATTGGCACCAAATAATATATGCAGAATTAATTTAGTCAACAAATGAGGATTCAAAGCCATTATGTTTCACCTAGGTTGGGTGTTTGATACCTCACATTTGCCACTCTTGGTTTCTTAGTCTGTTTGTATTTTGTTTTTTGAAAGGCCGAGCAATTTATAAAGTCATAGTTAAAGTGTTTTTCAACTTATTAATTTTAAGGATAGGATGTGTTACATTTGGATGCGAAAACGAGGTGTGTTACATGGCATCAAATTTTCAATTATGAAAATAGGATGTGTGTATACAACACTGAAAAAACATTATCACTTTTATTATTTCTTATCCAATTGATATTGACTATTGAACCTAGGTACTATGCCTGAAATTTATAGTTTAGATCTTATTTTTTAGACTTCATTCGTCTTAAAGCATACCATTAGTATATATATTTTCCCACTTGATCAATTTATGCCTATGAGAGTGGACTTTTTAATTAGTTAAAGACCTATGATATTTGAAAATTTCTTTCAATAGCTCAGAAAGCCTGGATGGTTCGTCGTTATGCAAAGACCAACCGGGCCGAGGGAGTAGTAAATCCAGGGTATTAGCTAGCTTTTGGAGGAAGACAATTACGAACCATGGTAAAGGAAATCGGATCGTACCGGCCGGTTCAACCGGGAATCAGACCAGTGACGAAGCGACACCTTACCAGCGCCTTTTCTACCGTGTCGGCCGGTATAATCGGCGTAACCGGCATATTCCGGTATCCCGGCCGGTTTAAATCAGACCGGCGGTAAGGAAATTTTAATAAACATCGCCGTTTCATGCGAAAAATTGAAAAAAAAAACGATTAATTGATGTGCTAACCCTAATCGATCTTCGGCCTTCGATCTCCAACTTTCACTTTACCTGCCGCTCCTCCTTTCTCCAGACCAGAGCGTCGCCTGCCTGCTCGTGACGTGAAGAAGAGGTTGACGCCGGCCGCCGATCGATCTCCAGACACCAGGGCAGCCTACCCCTCCCCCTCCTTGATCGCACTTCGTCTTCTCCAGTTCTCCAGCAGTCCAGCGAGTCGGCGACCGCCTTCTCGTGCTCGACAACTCGTGAATAGGAGAACGACAAATATGTTAAGGGGACGGTCGCTTATGTCAATTCTGTGGTGAGTTTTACAATCCTATTCTCCTATGCTCTGTGTATTCTGTCTTCTTCTTTACTTGTGTTCTTTCTATGCTATGTTTTACTTTATTTTGAAACATAAATTTTAGGTTAAAATAGGAAGGGAAAGTAGGGTGAGTGAAATATTGATAGATCCCCAAAAATTGAAGGATGGATGCCTCTGCCATTTTACTAAAGCTGGCTCTGTGTTTGAGACAGATGCCACCGATAGTTTAGAGGAAAGAGCAGAGAGCTTTGGTTGAGCTCTACAACCAAAAAATATTTTGAATTACAAAAACGGTATTTTGCCGGTACACAAGGGTTCAACCACGGTCGTACCACAAAATACCCTACCGCTAACGGATCCGGTACGACCTCCGGTACGGTTTCCTTTACCATGTTACGAACGACTCTTCACATTAGTTTGATTAGTTGTAACGAATTTTTTTTGTTATGATTACAGACTAAGAAATCCATCCGCGCCCCAAAAGTCAAATCATGGATCCGCGCCTCGTCCGGAGAGCCATATTAAAAATGTGCCAACAATGAACACTCCTAAGATCTCTCTGCGGTACAATTACAATCACATATAGCATGGTGCAGGTGCAGGTGCAGTTGCAGTGTCACTCTCTAGCTAGCTAGTTAGCTTTTCTGTCTTTATTTTGTTGTCGTTCCTTTTACCTAGCTAGCTAGGTCCTTTCAGTAACTAGCTATCTATCTACAGCTAGCTATAAAATGTAACCAGCAGCAACAGAAGGGATGAGCAGCAGCATCCAAATGTCGACCGACGTATGATCGTCGTTGTTTCTGTCTATGTTGTCGCCGTTGACACAGTTAGGTGACAGCCAATTAAAAAAAACAGCTGATGTGCAGCAAGCTAAGCCGCTTTCTATCTGCACCACCCCGCAACGTTACTGTTTTAATAATGTTTAGATCCATCCTTGCCAGCGCAAATGGCACACAATCATTTGAGAGAGAGTTGGCCGAACGAATCAAAATCTACCGAACGCCAAGGTGCGGAAAAGGGCCCCCTCTGGCAGCCGATAATCAATCACTCGGCCCCGGCCGCGGGTAGTTGAATTGAAAGAAAAGAAGGCGAGATTGGTGGTGGTGCGTATTGGGCTCGTGCTTGCCACTAATTCTTCAATTGTGCGCTCCCAGGTCTCAAGGGATTTGATTGGCCATCTCGGCTGGGGTTCGGTAAGTGGGGCCCATTCACTGCTAAATAATTCCACCTTCCCTCCAACAAACTCTCCCTCAACGAACAACAACCAAAGTCCACTGTATATTGATATCGTCTTCTAAATTTAATCGACCCTGGCCGGCCACCACCCAATACAGTGAGACATGATTTCAATCAACTATGGTTAATCCATCACCACTATGGGGTGAATCCGTATTATGATCCTAACTTCACATATCAAAATCAATAAATGAACATAAAACGATGCTACCTCCTTGTTCGTATATATGTTATTATGCCGTATCTGTTAACTAAATCGTCTATTTCAACAAGTGATGGGGACCAATCGGATTGGATCGATACGTCATGCTTAAATTATTGTAACTAAGAAGCAATCAAATTGAATTATACTTTGCAACTCTCACTAAGATTTTCTATTAATTCTATAATAAAAAGACAAAATAAGGCCCGCGAACACAAAAACTGAAGGATAAGCCCATACACAGACACGGAAAGTCCACTAAACAGCTGTCCAGCTCTTTTTTTTTTTTTTTTTTGTGAATAAGCAGGAACAGCATAAGGCCCGCATGGGAATTTCCGTCGTCCACCACTCTTAACAGGCCTCAGGGGGAGCCCCATAAGGTGTTAGCAGTATATACGGGTTGGTTATTTGGTATGTGTTTTAGTATAGGAGTTCGGCCCATTTAATGAGCCCATGCATAAGAAGATATTTATGTCTATGGGTAGGGGTTCAAATGGTTACCATGGTTATTACCAAATCAAATAAGATTAAATTTATCACAATGGTATGAGTTAATGAATTGTTGTGTTTGTTTGAATTGACTTAGTCTTTTAGTAATTTTCATAGGCTGAAAAGGACCTTGCTTTCAAGTTTTCATCCAATATAATGTATGAGATTTATCCAAATTAGGCGTTCATATGTTGTGGTCTACACTCTACATATACAAATATACATTATAGGAACAATATCAAGCTTTATATTTTATGATTCTAAAAGGATGAACGTTTAACTCTTGAGTGGTTATTCAAAGTATTAAGTATGTGTATATATTAGATATATGGCTAATTATTTATCTGGTTAATTTGGTTTGGTTGGTTATAAGTGCCTGAAACCAAACCAAACAAGCTAAAAGCTTTAACCAAACCAAACCAATTAACCTAATTATCCAAATAGTACTGGTTAAAATGTTTACCGTGGTAACCACACCGTTTGAAAAGTGAACACCCCTATCTATGGGAGCCATAGATAGCGGTCTTGGCAGCATGTGGGGCATACATGAAATGAAGTCGCACACTTAGTGGCACACACAGGTAGCAACAAGTTGGAATGAGCATGAGGTTTGGTTTGATAAACCGCCGGTCTATATTGTTGACCAGTTATTGTTGGACAACGTAATCGTTTTCACTGGTTAATAAATTACCTCACAGGTTTCCGATAAAAAAAAGAGCCCATGCATTCTAGGAGTGGCGTCGCGATGACCTAGGTGTGCGAAGGGGTTCAACTTTCCTTAAGTAGAGTATTTTTTTTAATAATCCTTAAGTAGAGTAGCCGCAACCATTTTAGTAATCGTCAATCTCCGTACAAACACAGTAGTAACTGAGACATCAGTAGCCGAAGAGCCTTCTAGGCTCTAGCTCTTTCGAGGAATAGTTCTTGATTTTCAAGAATACCATGTAAATCTGATTGTCTTGCCATTTCATTATTCTTACGTATTGTTTGATTGTTCGTCATAACTAGCTAGCACCAGGCCCCTCATATCATGTGTTACATATCTTGTCGTCTCCACGGGAATGTCTTAGAAATCATATCCCAATAGCCGGTAAGACAGAAAATATCGGTGATTCGAGCAATATAAAATGATTAAATCACGCTTTTAGTACATAATACTAACCATTGATTCGTTATAACTTCCGACACAATTTTACAATCTGAACTCTTCATAGTTGTCACTGTAAGACATTCGTGTTTCCCCCAACTACACAAGGAGCAGCCCACTAGTCCACTACTACCCAAAAGCCCAAAGGGTGAGTGAGTACTTATCCAAAACCTGCAACGTAACATTCCCCAACCCCCAACCAACAAGATAACGTAGCAGCAGTAAACCCAACCCTACCACAGGTTTCCAACCATACCCAACCCCACAACGTGCCGACAGTTGCGCCGATCGAACCCATGTGCCTTCTCCAACTGCGACCCTAAAAAATGGAGTCCAGTAAGTAACACAGACTTGCGAAGAAGAAGAAGAAAGGAAAATTAACAGAGCTTGCATATTTGCATAATCGAATTCATCGATAACTCTTCGTATATACAGATTACAGCGTACCAAAGAGCTATAGCCCCAGCAGCAGAAACAATTATAAAATCAGCTGCCGGTAATTGTGTATAATAGAATTCTCATCATCGGAGCCTTCCTTTAATTACGCGAAAAATTCAACCCAATTGACTCTCAACTCCAAACAGTGACCTCCCTCCTCCGACCTCCTTCCGCCGCCGACGGAGCCTTGCTGCCCTTCCAGCTCTCCGCCACCGAGTACCTGTCGGGAGTGGCCGGCAGCCTGGCGGCGAAGCCGCTGAGGGCCAGCTCGTCCTCCCGGTGAGCCTCGTCCTCGAAATTCAACGAGTAACTCGCCGGATCGTACCTGAAGTCCTCGGATCTGTAGCGCCTACGGTTGCGTCCGCCGCCGGATCTCCTCCCCCCGAACCCGCGGCGGCACATTTCCCGGATCTCGAGGTCACAGCTCGACCTCACAGCCGGCTTATCTGTATAATCGTCCTCCTCTTCGGGGTCGAGGATCTCGTGGGGGAGCTGGCCGACGGGGGTGAAGCAGCAGATGGAGGACTTGAGCATGTGCCTGAACGACGACGGAGGAGAGTAGTGTCCGCCGCCGCCGCCGCCGCATCCTTCCCTGCTAATCATTGGCATCGCCATTCCAATCAAGCTTTTCTCTGTTTCTCTCTTCTCTGGTTTTCTCTTCTTGTTGAGTGATGGAATGAATAGTAGCGTGGAAGCAAGTGCGAGTAGTGGGGGGATGGGATAGAAATAGAGGGGCAAAAGCCGTGGGGCGGGCGCCGGTCGTTTTCCGTTACTGGATGGGAGGTTGGAGCTTGGAAGCCGCGGGAAGGCAATTAATGATAATTGTTATTAATTTAATTACCTCAATTTGGACGGCTGTCTTCCCTTCTGCCTGTCGACAGGCATTTTTAGCGTTTTAGCGACTCCAGATCCTGGAATTATTGTAAAGGGAAAAGGGGCCGGTGGTGGTGACTGGGGAGAGAAGACAAAAGAAGGGACGGGAATCTATCTATCGACGACGTTGATTAGAGTAGATTAGGATGTGCCACCCACCATTAAATTAAAGTGGTCGAGTCGACGACTGCGGGTTTTGCTGCTTAGATATTATTATTGTGTAAGATTATAATATCTGGGGGGTGGGCATCTTCTGTCACCGTCCATCAGATTAGATTGGAATATATATAAACACTAATTAGCATATCCGTTGTTTTACAATATAATTTTGTATACCAGAATACGTTGGTTGTTGTTGCGTTAGTCGACATTAATCAAAATCACGATGATGTTTTGCTTCCTCGAGCTGGTTTGGGCAGCTAACAAAGAGTACTCCTCGGTAGTCGGTACACTAATGTGCAGTGAGAGTGAGTAAACGAGCTGCATATTGCTTTGTATTGAATTTGTATCACGACAATCGGTCGAATAATCATAGTGTGCCAAGTGTGTGTATAAGATTTTCTTTTTCAGTGACAGGAAGATCAGGACGATTGATCACAAAAAAGTTGATATGATAAACTTGGATTATGCAGACAAATGCACCAAGCAACCTACCTCGTAGTCCAAATTATGTAAAATTGCATGATATTTTCGAAATTTTCAAGGAGACACGAGTATCTTTATAAGGGGGATAAATAAGGAGATTTCTCAACTTACAAGTACCTTATTAGCAAAGTTCTAAATCAAATTTTGTGTGTTTTGCTTTATGGCTGCAATAGATCCATCTACAAGCATTCTTTTGTTAACCAAACCAAGCAAACTTTCGCCTATGCAGGACTGGAAAGAGGGAAAAGGCTGCTTAATGCACTTAAGCAGTTATTTAGTTACTTAGTTATTGACATCTTAATGAAAACTTATTTAGTTATAGATTGTAGCCGAACAACCAAATGAAAGGATCCAAAAACATTACAAAGGAGAAGGATTCAAAAACAAAGTTCACAACTTTCACCAACAACAAAAGAAAAAGAAAAATAAGATCACAAATTCACCTTATAAATCCCTATCAATAAAGTAAGCAAAGAAGAAGCAAAGAAACAAGCAAATTCTCCCTATGCGGCCGGCTGGCTGGTTGCGTTTACTCGGGCGATGAAATCCATACAGGCATAGGGCTGTTACGTATAGAGGTAGAGAAGGGCTGGATAGTGCCGGTGGTCAAATTGTAGATGCCCATGTCGTGACCTGCATAACGCTTTTCGTTCCACCATGGATAGCAGTCATGAGTAACATCGTCGATGAAGTAAATGGAATTAGCCGTCAGTTCCGGATGCTCTTCCGTAGAGACGAAAGTAGGAGAATTAAAACCAACGAATAAGGCAAAATCACCGATACTATCCACCTCATCCCATCCTTTCCAGCCTCGACCGTCGTTTATCCAGTTATCATCGTCGGCTATCAGCTTGAACACCCTAAACTTACTGGTCCAGTAAGTTAGGACGCTCGTAGTAGCCGCACCATCATCATCGTCAGGTTCATCAACAACAACATCAACCGCCTCTTTCTCCTCCTCACCATCGTTGTATTTTGCAGCATACTTGCGGTCAAAGAGAGCATCATTCTCCGGCGAGACACATATGTGTCTAGTAACCATCATCAATTCGTCTCCGTCCGGACTTATCACCAAGTAGCGAGTGTCGGAGACAACAAGATCGAGTTCATTGTCGCGCAACGAAAGCTCGGGGTGATCGGGATTAGAAAGATCACAGGCGTAAACGCCACCGTTGTGGTCAAGGGCGTAGAATTTGCCCTTCCAGAAGGCCACGTCAGCGAAAGGAATGACAGCTTGATGAGTAATCGGCGTCCACTTTGCATCGCCGGGCTTGCAAAACGCGAGGCTGAAATTGCTACAGAAACAGATGGCCATCACGACGAGCTCCTCCTCCTCCTTCGAGGAGTCGTCGGGATCAGCTGACATGGCAGCTCTTACAATGTACTTCTTCTCGGTGTACTTCTTGTCGTGTGCATACGTCTTGCCGGAGCCATAACGGAGTACATACTCGCGGCCGGGCTTTTCGGGCCGGTAGGCGAGAACGTGAGGGAAAGTTGTCAATGGCGGCAAGGGGATCTGATTCCCTGTCAGAGGGTTAAGTAAGAAGACAGGCGGCGTTTGCTGGACCATAAACAGCCAACCGAAGGCAGAGTCCCGACAGGTTTTGTCAACCGGGAAGTCAACGTGGTCGTCGTGAAACTGCTGCTCCGCCACATCGTAGCAGCGAGTGTCTTTATCGCCATCGGCGCGGCACAGGAGGCATGGCGCAGCAGCGGATTGTCGGAGCATGTTGAAAGGGAATTTGGGGATTCTACTATTCTGTGATTCGGGGCTTGATCTGCAAAAACCTATTTATACTAAAAACATTGATGCTGCCGATCTCTTCCTACAATGATTTGGATTTGGAATTCGATTTGGATTGGGAATCCTACTCCGAAACGAAAATCCTGAATAAGGAAGAAACACAGAAGCTCTATATAATCATGGCGCCTCTGGGACATTTGACGCCAATTTTGTAGTGTGTTTCCTTGTGTGGACTGGGTGCTTTTTTATGTACTTACCTTATTGCTTGAACTGCTGTAGCAGCTTTCAACTATTCGATTGATTGAGCCTTCATTAGCTCCATATAACCCGAAAATGATTCCCCCCTCCTCTCCAAAAGTCTTCATGCAGGAAAAATGAAAGTGGTTAGCTTTGACAAATAAGGGAAACTGCAGCAATCTCACTCAAGTTCAACACTCCTTAGAAAGTTATAGACATACACATTCTCCAGAATTGACAGAAGGAATTCCCTCAGCTCGCATCGTTATTGTAAACAATGCAAGGAGTTGATGCAGTATCCCTCCAAGAACCAGAACAAAAATGAATGAGACAGAAGGAAAGCAGAAATGAAGGGGGGAAAACGCTGGCTCCTTTACAACAAGTTGGCAACCATCAGCAGTGCATCGATGGCGCGCCTTACCTATCTCTATCATATGTCTGTACAACATACGCCACTGCCCAACTGTTTCTTTTTCTTATCAGCCAACTGCTTTCCTTTCTGTCTTGCTACTCAAGTAAAACACACCGCGGGCTCATCTTATCGAATGGTATCCATTGGGTAGCTACCGAGAACTCGAAGGAATCTAGCAAACTCCTGCAGGAACAGCCAGCACACCAACAACAACAACAACAACAACAACAACAAAAAACATATCTTCAACAAAACCAGAACTAATGTATCGTTTGAAAGACAGCTGATGTTTCAATTTTCATACAGATGAAAGAGATAGTGAGAAAGGACCCTTGCCTCTAGGTTTGCAAGAGCACGCTGAGCACGTGGTTCTGCCATGGAAGCTGCGAAGTCTATGTAAAAGAGGTAGTCGAAGTACCTGTTTACACAGACACCACAAAGTATTGGCAAAACAGAAAATTCACTACTTCCAACCATTCTGGAAGCCACACAGATTTATGTCCCCTATGGCAACTCTCAACTTCGCCCATGTCCCAAGTTTTACACTCTCGGTAGTATTCTGAATAGACCTTCTGTTTCAATACTCACTTGGCACTGCCGTTGTTAGAACCATCGACCACTCTCATTGGGCGCTTTCTCTGTGGCCGGCTCTCTATCTGCAAGTTTGTCAGAAGAGATGTAAATAGATAGCATAGTTAGTAAATACTCCGTTTAATACACGTATATGTACCCGTACGTACTTTATCCGTTTAAAACTTCCGTATCCGTAATATTGTCAAGCCGTTTCATTTTTGTCCGTTCATTTGATGGCTCCCGTATTAAACACGTATAAAACCCGTATAACACGTTTAATATCCGTATTTAATGAATTCAATTATTAACTTTACTATTATTAATATATTTATTTATTTTTAAAATAATTTATTTTCTATATTTATGACAATCAACGTACTATTAAACGTAACATTAGCATAGAGACGAAGTAAAATACCCGTCCGTATATTATACGTAACTTTCCCGTACCGTATTTTACTAACTATGATAGATAGTAGCAGACGGTGATTTTTCACTTGTACGTATGGAATATAAAAAAGTTATCACCTTTGTCAAGCTGATGCCCCTCATAGCAAACACTGCCAGTGCTTTGAACAGCACACCTGGACCTTCTTCAAGGGTGAAAACAATGCTTGTCTAGAAAAGATATTGAACAACAAAGACAAAGTGACTACCGATTACTGAATGATGGTTCTCCAATATTGCCTTGATATGCCAATGAAAGAACAAGCAGGAGTTCATGGTAATTACCCGATATGGCTTGTCGTTCTCTCGCGAGTATAAGGAAGCGAGTAATGTTGTTTTCATCGTCCTAATAAAATTAATTGAAGTTCGAAAATAAAGTTATGATCTTTTTGCAGCCAGACTGAAGTCTCTCCATCAATTGGAATACTTTGGTCAAATCATAAGTTATGATGCCCTACATATACATACATCACTCCTCCTTCACGAAGTAATAATCAAATAAAATTACATGGCCACCGCAAAAGCACTTTAGGTTCAAATTTGCGACTCCTCTAACAAATTTTTGAAAGACAAAATGTAGCTCAAACGGCTGTTCAAACAGTTAAAAAGATTTTGGCAACTCATTTTACGTCCATGGACCAGCTTGGTACAGAGGCACAGGGAAGGCTCTAAAGAAACTCCTTAAACTATTTTCAGATGCTTCAGTGAAGAGCTTGAATTTAAACACCCATTTTCCTGGAATGAGAGTCACTACTTATTTTTCTCTTACAGGCCTGAAAGCAAAATCCAGATCCCAATGTGTGGTATGAGAAAAACACACTTCCAAAATTTCAACAAGTTGGATGGAAGGAACAGAAGACCAATCGTTTTCTCACTAGGGTGAGGTCAATGATTAGTGCTAATAATCAGAATCGATTTCTTTCGTACATATATCCAAAATTAAGTGGAAGGAAAGAGGCCATAATGCTCACCTGAACATTATTTTTAGCTACAATATCAAGACCATAGATCTCAGCAGCTCGAGCACTAGCAACTGCCCCAGTGTCTCTTTGGCCACTTGCAGCTACTATCTGTTGACCATTTCTTCTTCCTTAGCATACAAGTATCTATAGTTTGTTCAAATGTTATTGAAAAGATGATTCTGGACATAACCTGAGCAGCACCAGCAGTATCATCAGCATTGACTCTAGTAATATTTAAGTTGCTCAATGTCATCTCACACTGAGCGAGTGCCTGCAAATAATAACAGAGTTGCACCATCATTTCCCATGTTGCTGGATTGCACAACAAGCTACCATCAAATGCATGAGTTTTCCCTGGGGGATTTACCCCAAATGTTTATCTTCCAGAACTTAAAGATACTTGACTAAGCCAGAATTAATCTTTTACAGAATCTAGGCTTTTCGGCAGACAGCTATCGACACTGAAGGCTTCATTGGGAAACATTTCTCTAAGAAGAGCAGTGTAACTCTATCAAACTGACAAAGAAAAGTCAGCTGAAGGAGCTAAAAACTTACCCTAATACAATATAGGCAAAATACACTTGTATAGCCATAACTTTCACGTTTTTGACAAATATAGACATAACTATTCGAAAACACAAAATAGCCAATTCCTCCATCATTCTAACGGTGTTACTTAACAATCTGACTAGACGGATGGAAATGCTGACTTGGCGACATTTCGTCAGTTAAAGTTTTCCTGGATTAAAGGAAAAAAAAAGCCAAAAAAAAATCAAAAAAATCAAAAAAATGCTCATTTAGGGTTCTTAGAGACCCCAAATTCGGGGGCCAACTCTTCATCTCCTCACCAGCCGCCGCCGAAACTGGAAACAAATCGGAAGCCAGCGGTAAGCACGAAGAAGAATAAACGAATCAGAATCCAGTCAAAAGCACGGTGAGATGAGGGAGAAGGTCGAGCAACCTGCTTGTTTCTTCTCGACGGAGATACCGCTACGCTGAAGGATTTCGAGGTCGACGAGAGTGAGGGACATGAGGCCGACAGATATGTGGCTGTAGGGAGCGAGCGGAGAGATGAGCGGTGAAGGTGAGTTGGTAGAAGGTCGGCAAACGAAAAGGAGAGAGCTTGGAGAGGATCGCAACAGCTGCAATGGAGTCCCGATTGACGAGGGATCTCCACTCCCTTCTTTCTCCAGCCGTCTCCCAACCTGCATCGACGCCGCTGGAGGAAGAAGAGGACTCACCGCCAAGCTGCACAGGTGCTACATGGTCTCGCTCCAAATGACCAAACAAGCTCCAATTCAGCGGCAACAAGCTTCAAAGCCGTCAGCAGCTACTTATGCCAGTACCAGGGTGAAAACAGAGGAATTGGAGCAAGCCCAGGAAACAGAGTCGAATTGGGTGGGATTAAATATGTAAAAAGGGAAAGGTGAATGAAGGCAGATTGAGAGATGGGAGCAAGTCTATCAATTATTTCATTTGGACTGGGAGGGTTTTGGATTTGGCTGATTATCGAGTGACAATTTGATGGAAGGATTGCAACAAGAAAAACGGAGGTAGAAAGGGGTTTTGAATTTTTTATTTTTTTCCCGGTAATTAAGGGGTTTTGAATTTTGATAGAGAAGAAGTGAAGAAAAGGAAAACGAAGGAGGTAGAAGGGGTTTCAATAGAAAGGGAGTCCAACGGAGGTAGAAGGGGAGTTCATCGGAGAACAGATGGGGAAGGCGAAGGAGAGGAGACTGGATATTGAAAAGGAATTTTTTTAATTATTTATTAATTTATTAACTAATTTATTTTTAAAATAAAATATGACATGGCACTTATGTGGCAAGTGTGATTGAGTTGTCGCTGACGTGTGTGATGATTTGGCATCCTAGTCAGCCTAATGTTAACCTAACTAACGGAGTTTCTAACACTGTTAAAGTTTCTAACGGAAATGGCTAGATTTGTCACATGACCATCTAATTTCTTGGCTATTTTGTGTTTTCGAATAGTTATGGCTATATTTGTCGAAAACGTGAAAGTTATGGCTATACAAGTGTATTTTGCCTTATTATTTTATTCTCTGTAGTCTCTTGATTTAGGGCTTTGGCCCATTAAAGGCGCCACCAAAAGCCCATCACTAATTTGGGACACTTTTTTGTAGGGGTGGCTATTTGGACCGGGACCGGATTAAAAACCGAAAACCGGACCGTATAACCCGGACTGAGACCGGACCGAGACCGAATAGTAAACAATCCAATCCAATCTTTGGGTTTAGATTTGAGATAAAAAACCGGATAAAGACCGGATAAGAGAGCTCAACACCCAAAACTTAAGGGTAATTTGCATAAACGGTCACAAACCTTTGCACTTAGTACAAAACTTAACCAACTCCTCACCCTTTAAGGCCTTAGGCCACTCAAATCCCACAATCTCAATGTAAAATCAAGACCGAATTGGGACCGGACCGGATCAAGACCGGACGGTATCCAATCCAATCTTCGGTCCTTATATTTTCAAAAAGACCGAACTGGACCGGATCAATTTGGGCCAATTTAACCGGACCGGACCGTATAGCCACCCCTACTTTTTTGTTTGTTCGATGACTCTATGTCTCTATCTAAACATTTACATTTGACATGTCTTCATGTCAATTTTAACCCTAGAGTTGGGGCTTAACCCGGATAATCACACCCGTTTTAACCCGGTCAGAACCCAACAAACCCGATCGGGTCGACCCACAGCAGCGGGTTCCGGGTTGGTAAAAACGTCCGTTTTTTCACAGTTTTGAGTTTTCCCTTCGGTTTGCAATTTTGCTTCTCTAACCCTACCTCTGTTATCTTTTTCCTCGCGAGCAGAGTCGCGGGCCTGGTGAGTTGATCAGTCCACCGAGTCAGAGTTAAGCGGCGCCGTTGGTATGAGCAGGGGGAAACCCTTGACTCAAGTCTCAACGTCAACGTCGTTCACTCCATCTCCCTCCCGTTCACCGTTCCGCCTCTCTCTCTCCGCCGTCCCGGCCGTGTCTCCCATCCACCAACTGACCCGACCCGGAAATTACAACACTGCTCTCTAATCTCCGGGTGAACGCTAGAACCCTCCAAAAGACACTAAAACCTCACGAGCTTTCTTCTGAACTTCACAGTCACACAGCTCAATTCGGAACGCAAGCTAATTTCAGCTAAAAACCCTGCAGTTTTTTCGAGGCCATGGTTAGCTTAAGCTACTCCTATGTTCCTCCCTTTCCGATACATTCTTAGATTGTTTGCGTGAACTAGCTCAATCTTCCTGGTTTGCAGGAACAAGCTCAATCACCCTCAATCGGCGACTGCTTGAAGCTGCTGAAGGGCGAAAGAGACGAGCAGCGCCTCGCCGGGTTGCTTCTAGTCACCAAAGTTTGCCAAAGAGACGACCTAGCCTCGCTTCGTGCGGTTTATGATGCCGTCGACGTTCGGTTTCTCGACAGGCTCTTCAAGACTGGTACTGCTTTCTTTGCCCTATACCTGCATGGCTGCTTAGAAAGTTCACAGAGAATGAATTGGAACTTTGTGATTGCTAGTCCAGTTTTCTGGGGGTTCTTATTTTTTGTCGATTTTGGTAATCTGAAGTGTATGAACTGCCGGTTTTTCTTTTTTAAAACTAGGGATGGGTAAAGGAGCTGCAGCAGGCAGTGGTTTGGATAACCGAGATGCGTATTTGCAGCTATCAGTCACGATTGTTGCTGCGTTTTGTCGCATTCCAGAAATTGCTGCTTCCATGGACATGGTATCCAAGGTTCCCATGGCCCTGAAGATAATGACGGAGTAAGCTTCTTGTTTTGAGCTTGGATACTAATTTGCTAAACCGTTCTATTTGCTCATGATCAATGTTCATTTAACACTGCTAGATTCCATTTGTTAAGCTGTAACGGTTTAACCCAGTTAATTGCTCACTACCTGTAATGCAATTTTAGTTACGTTACGTGTATAACCATTAGCTTCATCACTTTGAATTGCAGATCAAATGATGCTGTTCTTGAAGAATGCTGTGAAATTCTATATCTGGTAGCAACTTCTTCAGAAGATGGAGTAAGCACGTTTTGTGAATCTGAGGGTCTTAAAGTCATAGCTTCGAGAATGCATACTATGTCTGATGGTAACTTACTTCTCATTTGCTGTGTGCTGACTTAAGCTTTAAAGATTTTCATTCCTGAAAAATCATTTCAGTGTTGTTATCCCACAGGTTCTCGTACCATGGAACTGTCAATTAAGATATTACAATACGTGCTTAGTAAGCTCCCTCGAGACTTCATCACAAGCAGCCATCTACTGGACCTTGCAACTGTGGTGAGTTTGATGTTTAAAGTCGTCATGACGCTGATATCGTTTCCTTAGTTGCTTTCGTCAAAAGGCATGCAGGAGTTCCAACATTTTGATGCTATATCTACTGAAGTTAATGTTTTGTTAAACTAAGTATGCAATTTAATTTCTGTAGTTCCGAACTCTGTTGAGACTGTGGTTTCTGTCGCAGGTGGAATCATTGGCAAGACAGTTTGCTGTATTGCACAGTCCTCTGAAATTTGAAGCACTTCATTTACTTTCAGTGATTTTCTCTTCGAAGTATTTGGTACGTGAACACTTTTTTATGTGTTCTTTTGATGGACAAGTGTTTCAAATTTTATCTTCATAGCTTACTTTTTGCTTAGCGTACACTTGAGGGGATGAAATAATACCTCAACTGGGGAATAATCAAGGGAAGAAACTTAAACTTTGACTTATGAAGGATGTAGGACATCACTGAGAGAGCATCTTTTTTCTACCTAAAATAAGTGGCAGTATGTTAGGTTTTGAAGGGAAGAATGCCAGAGATATTAGGACTTTCCGTTTGCTTCTCAATTTTGGATTGGGTTGCAAGTACAAAGTATATGAGGACACTGTTGAAAGGAAGAGAGTAATTAGGGGAGATAACCTTATATGAGGAGCAATCCCTATTTGCGCTGCTGAGTCTTATACCACTTACTTGCTGGGAGTCCTAAGACCAAGATTTTGAAATTCACGTGGTTGCTAACTTGCTATTTCAGGAATCACTTCGTGAAACCTTGCGTGTAATGGGAGACAGCAAGTGGTCTGACTATATCCACATCGGTGTTATGGACATTTTACAAAATCGAGTTGGTAAAATTCAACTAATATAAGATCCAAGTTATTATTATTATTATTATTTTTTTTAAGATTGAGTCAGATAAAACATGGATTCTTTTTTCCCCATTACATTTTTTCGGGACTCTTTTGTTATCTCACTATTGCATGTGTTTTGGTGTGCAGCTCCTGCTGATAAGGTTCACGCCCTTGTTCTGGCTGAGTCAATGTTGTCTATATCAGGGGAATCCTGGCTGCTTCGCCAGCCAAACTTGACAGATTGCAAGGTGTCTGTGCCCGTTGATAGGTAACTCTCTGTTTTAGTTCTGATTTGTTTGAGCCATTATAGATCTTTTTGGTTATTTTCTTGTTGATCTATTTAGGTGTCTATTGCTTGTCTTGGAGTCTGCAAGAGTAGAAGTGGCTGTTTTGCTGAACGAACTGGCTTATCTCAAGTATGAAGCTTCAAAGTATACCTCAAGTAGTGACACTGCTCTCTCAACAAAGCAGCAGCACCTAACTGTTGCATTTTCCTTGGTTGAAGGAATAATCAAACTAATATCAACCATGGGTGAAAATGAAGGTATTTTACTCAATACTGAAGTCTGAGTGCTGTAGTGATACTCAAGCTATTGGGGTGAAAAATTCTGTGATATGCTTTAAATGTTTCCATCTTTCCTTCCCATATTATGGAAAATTTACTCTCGGTTCTCGTTCTTTTGGAGTTATTTGTAGTGTTGACAAGCTATGAACCCCATATACTATGATAGTATGCTGATTGCTTGTTAGAGCCATTTAGACGTTTCAGTTTTAGGTCTCACTTTATCGGAGTAATACCCATCTTCTTTGGGTTGCAGTTTGCTTGTTGGTCAATTCTTTCATCAGATTTATATTTGCTTGTGAACTATGTTACACTTGTGTGGTTGGCTGAATTTGATTCAAGGGCCTAATAGCTGTTGCCTGTGTTGTGTACAACAGAAGTCATTAGTGAAGCAACCATCATAAAGGTGATCAATGGGCTTAATGAGACAGTTAATGTAGTATTGGAGTACTTGCAGGATGCAAAGGTAAAAACTTACTGACATGAAGCTGCTGTATTTCTTCGAAATTAGAAGCTCCTTAAATCGCTGTTCTATTCTACAGGAGCATGGACAAAAGAAAGGAAATGACCTGATTGCTTCAGTAAGACTTGTTGGGAGGTAGTTTCCTGTGACATTTCTCATATAAACGAGTCTCCTTATTGATGTTCCACTACAATTTGGCCTGGATCAGTTACAGATGCTTGGAGGAAATGACCTGTTTTTTTTTCCTGTTTTCGGATGGAACAAGTAAAGCAAATTGGTAAACTGTATGCTTGATAGCTCTAAGCCTCTAACCCAAATAGCAGCCTTTGTAAACTTCTTGCTTTGTTAAACTGGTTTCAATGTGGTTGACAAATCTTTGTGTTGGTAAAGTTACCTCGCAGAAACACCCTATGCGTCAAGTGACAAAGTCAGAGAACTTTTGGAGTACATGTTGTCAATTGAAGGTGAAGATGAAGCAAGGTTTTGTATTTGTTATATGGAAATTGCAAGATATTGTTAGTTGAGTATGTCTCTTCTATATGGTACATTGAACTTGAAGAATGGCTTCCCACATTGCCTCTTTCAAACTCTGCAGCCCTTTCTATTCCATATGCTTCTTACTTCCAATGCTGTGCCAAATGACAATGGAAATTCAAGGGTGCAAAACTTTGATTTCATCCAGAGGTCACAAAGCTGTAAGTTGGTAGTATTTAAGGTTTCCTTACAGTTCTTTGGCTGTATTCTTCTATTATTTGGTTCATCTTGCTAATTGTTTCGTTGTCACTTGATGTATTCTGAAAGAGCCAGCTGACTGCAGTTTGTCTGAATATACCAAATAGTAGACAAATCTGATTTCTGTGTCTCATATCTAACAATGGACAATTTTTGCAGGTGGTTGAGTTTCTTGTAAAGTTGCTCTGTAATCCCGTGACTGAAGACATGGATCGCATCTTTTTGGCATGCGACACAGTAATGAACCTTCTTTTGAAGGTCTGCTTACTTCTAGTTTTATTGTGATGTCGTCTTTTTTGCTTTGCATGAAGTAAGATTTCAGAAGCTTACATTCGTTTTCACTTTTCCTGTCGATAGCAAGAGGAGGTACACTTCCAGATGGAAGAATCAAGTTGCATTGGTCTCTTGAATGCATTGGCATTTTGGGCAGGTAGCTTTCTGGTGTATTAGCATTTATCATCTATGATTTCTGCAGACATCCAAAACCTTATTACTATTCCACGGCTTTAAAATTTTGCAGAGGAGTCAGATGATCCATCTGTGCTAATGATGGCTGCGAGTATATGTGTACTGGGATTAGATTTCACATCAGAAGCAGCCCTTCTAAAGCATCCTAATTTCGACTCGAGATCACTTACTCGTCTTTGCCACCTCATCTCAAGAAGCTTCGCTTTTGCTACTCAGGTAACCATGACAGTGGTTCACTCACCCACCTACTCACGAAAAATCTTCTCATACAGCCAACTGAAAATCCCTTGTTCAAATTTTGGTTTCATCGCAGGGCATGGCAGATGCTGTTCGATCAGAAACAGACCTTATTGAGATTATTACTTCAGGTCTAGGCATTAGCTTCTTTCAGAAACCATAACTTACGTGCAACCTAGAATGCCTTTCCTTCATTTGTCTTAAATTCATGAAATGTGTCGGTTTCGTTTCTCTCTTTTTTTTTTGGTAGGAAGGTTTCGTTTCTCTTTAATCTAAAGTTTTCGTATCTATCAACGTGGCACAGGTTTTTCACGGTGGGCTGATCGGTTCCCTAGCATAAAAGCAGCAGTTTTGGGAGTTTGAGTATGGTTGCCTTGCAAACAATCGGTTTAGGATTGCATCCGGCTGCTAACTGATAATCCATAGCAATACAAAAGCGCTTCAGATGTTTCTATCAGGCGAAGAGCTCTGTACTGCTTGTTCTGTACGAATGGAGTCAATGACTTGTACATTACGACATATCTACCAGACCTCAATTAGGAACTATGTAGTGCACAATGTCCTTAATCCTCTACATGTATAAGTGGAACAGTGTAGCTTTAGCCAGTGTTGAACACTATTAGCAATATATTATGAAACCATAAACATCATTTTAGCCCTGCGTACAGCTCTCGTCCTTGCTTCCTTGATTCCCCCGCCTAACTTCTCCTCGACAACTTTCTCTGCCTTCCCTGCCATGAATGTCATATGTGGGAGCTCTTCTCCACGCTTCAGGATCTTGACACTGCCTGTGGCTAGTTCTCTTGCGGCAGAAAACCAAGGGTTTCCACGTTAGGCACTGGATCAGTTGCCGCCAGCCCATGCCTTCGATTCCTACCGTTTTGTTTGCAGTGGTGCTGCTGGTAGGACCATTTGGAGTTGCGTGGTGTAAGAAGCAAGCCTCGGCGAGATGACCATTCAACTATGGAGTGTCTGATATTTGCAACTGCTACGGCCATTGCTGTGGAAAACTTGTAGATGGAGCTTTCTCCTTTCCTTTGATATAGGGTGCGGCCAATGGATGGTGTAATGGTGTTTCCCTTTTCAATTCGGGGAACTGACAATTTGCGCTTCCTTTCCTGACTCGATTCGGATTAATCGTCGTAAAAGCTTGAATATTGGGGCCGATTGGGAGTCGCCGTTGTTTTTACTAGGCCCACAAATGGCCTTTCATGGGCTACTATGTTTACAGGAGCTGCTGGCCCAAATAAGCTTCTGTAGTCTTGCCAGTCGCCAAATTAATGCAGTTGCATAAATTGGATCTCTTGACTGTGTCAAGTGAATCGTTATTCTAGGATTAGGGTTTTCTCCTCACTCGCTCGCTCGCTCGGCGGCCTCGGCGTCTTAGCTCTCTCGCTGCACACCGTCAGTCGGCACTCCCACAATCCCGCCGCAACCATGGCCGAGCAGGTTCGGTGCCTCTCAAATCTCTCTTTCGTTTTCGCCTTGCAGTGGCTGTTAATCTAATGGCGTTTCTTGTTGTGCTTGATCTGTGTTGTGGCAGACTGAGAAGGCTTTCCTGAAGCAGCCCAAGGTGTTCCTCAGGTAAGCTTTTCGCCTATATTCTGCATCGTTCGTCGGAGTTTTGGTGCTAGTGTTGTTTGGGGATTCTCATTGGTGATTCTAATTCGGCTTGTTTTGTAGCTCTAAGAAGACAGGGAAAGGAAAGAGGCCTGGGAAGGGAGGAAACCGTTTCTGGAAGAGCATTGGATTGGGATTTAAGACTCCCAGAGAAGCAATTGAAGGTCTGCTTTTTGTGGTTTCTTTACCATGTTGTAGCGTTGTTTAGTATTTCCTGTTTCCCTTAGATTGGTTTTATACATTTGTGAACTCGAGATTGCGCGATTTGATCCCAGTCAAATGCCGGCTATGCTTTGGATTTTATCTAGTGTGAGCTAGCTTTTCATTCCTAGTTCCATTTGGGTTAAGCATTCATTATGCAGTTACGAGCCATAATGCTCTTTTGTAGCTAGATGTATCATGTATATATATTTAGAGGTTCTGCTCTGTTCTATGTGAGTTCATCTGATAACTTATGTCCGAATTTACTAAGGCCGGGAATGGAAGTTGTGGCTAGGGGACGGATGAAGTGTTCCAAGTGTTGTGTGTAATTATATTGGATATCATCATAGCAACTGGCTGATTTTCGAGCTGATTCAATTATGTGTGCAGGCACATACATTGATAAGAAATGCCCATTCACTGGTACGGTTTCCATCAGAGGCCGAATCATCGCAGGTACTTGTCACAGTGCAAAGATGATGAGAACAATCATTGTCAGGCGCAATTACCTTCATTATGTGAAGAAGTACCAGAGGTGAGAGTGTGCACCTAATATAGTCCAACTGTTCTTGTGTGAGGTTCTGTTCGTGTTAATTTCATACTCTTCATGTATTCGATCAGATATGAGAAGAGGCACTCCAACATTCCAGCGCATGTATCACCATGCTTCCGTGTGAAGGAGGGCGATCACGTTACTATTGGTCAATGCAGGTTAGAGAGTTTCTTCATGCTGATGAGTTATTAGAATGAAGCCTTTTTCCTTCCAAACAAATATCAAATGATGTTTATGTTGATTCTTGCTGCAGGCCTCTGTCCAAGACTGTGAGGTTCAATGTCTTGAAAGTGATTCCTGCTGGTTCTTCTGGTGGCGGCAAGAAAGCTTTCACTGGCATGTAATTTCTTATTTGAAGAGTTTTGACGGCTTTGCTGGCTGCGTAGAGTTAATGATTGAAGTTGCAAATTTTCATTTTGGTTGAACTGATTTTGTACTACAGAGAGATCTGTTTGATGCTAAAGTGATCCTGAAGTTTTGCCTGTTTTTTATGCTTTGGTGAATTTTCTTTTTCTCTGCATCCACCTGGCCAAGGTCACATTTAGTAACTCTCCCGTTAGCCTTTGTCCAACTAAGGTCACTCGAATTACTTTTTTTTTATGAATGTTACTCGAATTACTAAAACAAGTCACATTTGGTTGTGACATGTTTCAGTAATTCGAGTGACCAAAAATTAATATTAATTTTTTTTTGACTAAACATGATATGATTTAGTAATCTCAATAACCAAATGTGACATTTACTTATATATTTATATAGATTTGAAGATACCCTTCTTGATTTTCAAAATTTGATTTTAGCTTCCATTAGAATGTTAGCCATTGCCAATGCGGTGCAAACGATCCACCTTTGTGTGAACTAGCTCCACCACTGATTACTACTAATTGAAATAATATGAGTAAGCAAATGAATTCATAATCTTCATCACCATTACATATCTATATACTGTTGGTCTAATTTGTCACTTGAGTCATGACTGATCTAGGTCCAAATCTCAATAATAATATTTTTATCTTGAAAAATCAATAGAATATAATAAGACTTTTCCAAATAATGACCTCGTGGATTCAAATTCCCCAGCCCATTATGCCTCCACATCAGCAGACCCCTCCAGCCAATCAAAATAAGCCCAGCAAAAAAAAAAAAAAAACACAAAATGTAAAACGGTAAAGCGACCCCCCAAATCGACTCTTTCGCTTCTCCCGCCCTGCAACTCATCACCGCACAAAACCTGGCAGCAATATCTCTTCCGGTTCTCCCAACCCTCCTTTCTGCAGACCAACAACAGCCAACACCGCCAACTGCTTCTCCTTCCTTCGGCGCCACCAGAAACCACCGCCGCCAACTCCTTCCCCTTCCTTTGACGCCGCCAGCAAACGCCTGCCCGTCGACAATAGTGCCATCCATAAATCCCACCTGCCCAGAAAACCCCACATTCTACTTCCTCCGCTCCATCCCACGGTTCCGTCCTCTATTCCAATTACGCTGCAAGAAGAGCAACTCGCACCCCGCTGCACGGCAAGGCTACGGCTATACTTGCTGTCCAGTTACAACCCCGATCTGCCAACGCTATTTCTAGGCACACTATTCAGCCCAAAGTTTCAAAAAAAAAAAAAACATTGGTATGTCATACCCAACTTCTCATTGTTTTTGGAGGTATTTTGCTAGCTCTCTCGCTCCTTAATTAGTCGGACCTCCATATCTCAATTTATATTGCAAACTTTACCTATCTAAAAATATAATATATTTCCTGTAGGGAGCTCCTGTAATCAAAGTGCTCAACCCTAGGGGGGAGGGCGCTAATTCATAGAATTAGGAGGAGAGAGGGATTCCATAATATCTGGGAATTATTTGATTATTTGATACCTTGACACATGAATGTTGTAGATGGATCGAAAAGGGAAAAGATCAATCTCCTGTTCGAAAGAACCTCGCCCCAAACGGTTACGAACTCCTGCAGCAATCTCTCACCAGTACGGTAAGCACCACATTTATTCTTTCATATCACTTAATACTCTTCCTCCCTGGCTGTTGGACGATTGTTTGTAAGGACTAAGTCTCTTCATTCCAAATGCAGCACCAGCCGTCCATACAGGTGAAGGTTCATCACAATATTTTGCTTCGTCAAATGCTACCAATGCTGGTGATCAAGGTAGTACTTCGATATCCATGTATGATCTTTTTTATGAAATCATACTTTTGAGATAACACTAAGTTCCATGTACACGTGTTTACCTCTAATTTATCTCTTTTTGTATTTTTCATTTCAATGAACCTGGACATCAATGATCAATTTTGGTTTGCACCTTCAGCCTCCATTAACTTCTCCCACCTTTCTATTATTATAGAAACTCAACATTACCAGGTCCTCCTCTCAACATTACTCCATTTCCAGATTCATAACCAGCAGCCCTAATAAACTAAGCGACTTGAAAGGATCCATTTCCATTTCCCTTACCTTAATTTAATATAATTTTTGCTTTTATCAACTAGCTGTTAATGTATTTCTTCAATTAATTTATGATTTCATCAAAAACCATTTTATTCGTGGCTTCTTCTAGAGAAAATAACTTTCCTTCTTTGTAAAACCAGAACACTATATAGATTAGCTCAAACACTCTGTTAACTTCAAATTAAATTGAAACAATATATACATATACCAGCAAGTACAGTATTTGATGAACTATTGATAATTTCATAAACACATACTCACTTAACTAATTTTGGCAGGAGGAAACAAGGAGTCCACTGCAAGAAACTGTTTGTTCATCAAGCCATTCCATCCAAAGTGATCTCACTTACACCCCTACAGCACTCCTCAAATCTGTGAAGAAGGAACCAGGAGTCCACACCCCTCCACGAGCACTCTCCACAGCAACTAATTCCACTCCAGAAATTGACAGCACAGCTGCAAGCAACAAGAACAAACGCAAATTTGAAGTCATCTCTGATTCAGATTGATGTTTGTCTATCTGAAACCTCTTATCGAAAGACAGCCACGTTGTCTCAGAAAAAAAGTTTGCAGAACTTTTAATAAGTTTCTTATGCTATACTTTTAAGAGATGAATATTGCACAATTTTTAATCTCCTTTAATTGGTATGAACATATTCAGCTGGTATTAATGGAAAACACTGACCATCGCTAGATGTGATTGTGTTGAAAGTATTTTATGTTTCTATCTTTTTGTTTGTAGTTCATATTCTTAGGGTTCTATCTTCTACACTTCTGTATCTTCTCTTTTTACTAAAAAAAGATGCTGCAGCTAATACATCATTGCAATTGTCTTTCCCAAACCTATTTTCATTTAAATAAGCTTTCTAACATTTCTAAATCCATTTCCTGGAAGTTAACAATTTATTCCCACTACTTGGATTTCATTCTCCATAACATACAATGTACATCAACAATTCACAGACTTACATTACATTTCAATTTAGGGACACGACTACCAGGTTCTTACATTAGAATATTTACAAGGAAGATAATAAAAGAGGATGCGAGACGACAATAATAGCCTGAACAAAGTAGAGACGGTAGGAGAAAAAACACCCAAGTGACGATATTAGTTAATATTAAATTATACTTCCAACTGATAAAATCTTTAATTATCTACGAACATTATGATTTGTCCCAATCACCATTTCAAACAAAGTTCACCCGGCCAACGGACCGGGTACAAGGCTAGTTATATCATAAACCGGTTGTTTGAGCCAGCCAGTTTCAAGAATTAATCGCCCCAAACGAGCCAGGGCCCGTCAAAGCAGAATGAACCCCTTTCAAAGCCGTCTAAACTAGATATGTACTTGGATTAGGTTTTTTGGTCAAACCAACAGATGTGATTTTTACAATAATAGGAGAAAATGCAATTCCTACAATTAGTAGAGAAATTTTAGAATGTTATAGGTTAAATACACTTGTATATCCAAAACTTTCACGGTTGTGTCAATAATATACGAATTTCCCGAAATACCACTTATATCCAATTCCTTCACATTCTTTAAAGGTGTTTTTGGATATACAAGTGTATTTAACCAAAAATATATTGGGAAATTGAGATTTGGCAAAGAACAACTTTAAAACATGGATATAAGTGGTATTTCGGGAAATTTGGATATTATTGGCACACCCGTGAAAGTTTTGGATATACAACTGTATTAAACCAATGTTATATAGTATTGGTGTTATAGGTTTTTGTTTTTATGGCTAATACCACTGGGAAACCCGAACTATTAACTTTGTGTCATTTGTGTCCTAAAGTATTCGATATGACATTTGTGTCCCAACCTATGATAGTTTTGTGTCATTTGTGTCCTGCCGATTTTGTTGACCGTTATATATAACGGTTGACCAAACGGAAGTCAACATTAACATTGACTTTTGTTGATGTGGCAGCCACGTAGATGCCATGTCAGTGACACCTCATATTTTTAATTAAAAAAAAATAAAAAAAGTTATAAAAATGATTAAACCTAAATTTTATTTATCTTTTTATGTCAAAAACCAAGAACCCCTCATCCACCGCCTCCCCCAAATTCTGCCATTGACGACAAGAACCAAGAACCCAATCGACAAGAACCAAGAACCCAATCGCCAGTGATCTCCCGGTGCTTCTCTCCGACGAAGAAATCCTTCTTCGCCTGCAAGACCATCGACAAATCCATGCTCGCCGACCAAGCCGACCGCGACTGCCTCGAGAAGGAGCCCAAGGTCATGCTCTTCCTCCCGCCGCACCCAAACATCCTCCAGATCCACGACGCCTTCGACTCCGACGACTCCCTCACCTTGATTCTCGACCCATGCGAGCCCTACACCCTCTACGATAAGGTAATCAAGAGCACTGGCTGACTCAGACGATTCTCCGCCGCGGCGGCGGAAGCGAAGTGACACGTGCAGAGCAGGAGATCTGAAACCGAAGCTCACCGTCACCGCCAAATTCCCGAAGCTCACAGTCACCATCGTCCACAATCGCTAGCTTTTGTATTGGGGATGAGCGAAGGAGACGCGAGGCAGAGGAGGAAAGCGGCAAGGGGTATAGGTGATAGAGAGGGAGAGAGAAGGTGAGAGCTGGGAGTCAATTTGCCCCTTCCATTTTCCGCTTTCTTGTTTCGTTTTCCTCCCGGATCTAGCTTGATTTCGAACTGAACTCGTTCTTCTTCTTCTTCTTCCCCTGATTTCGAACTGCTCACTGCCGCCAGTGCTGAATCTCGCTCCTTCTGGCGCAGGTGGTGGTGGGGAATGGATCGGTGCCTGGGGTGATGACGATTAACCGGCGATGGAGGGGAATGGTGACGGGTTTGGTGGCGAATCGGTAGAGACGAAAGGCGAATTGTGTGGTGAAAGGCGGTGGTAGGCAGTTGCGATTTGGCTGGAGAGAATCCCAAATCAATTCGTTTACTGTTTTTTTTTCCTTATATGAAAAATAATTATAACATAATAATAAAGTTCCACGTCAGATGCCACATAAGCGCTGACTAGACTTTCTGTTAAAAACTAACGGTCAACGCTAGTCAACTCTAACGGAAAAATAGTTTAGGACACAAATGTCATATCGAATACTTTAGGACACAAATGATACAAAGTTAATAGTTCGGGTTTCCCAGTGGTATTAGCCCTTGTTTTTATTGTACAACTTGAAGTTATACCTTTAAGGTTATGGCACACCTTCAAATTGTATCTATACTCTAATGTACTTTTTTTTTATGGTACAACTTGAACTTGTACCTTTATATGAAGTTGTATCATAACATAAGGGTATAAATTCTTTTATAATACAATCTGAACTTATATATTTAATATTATGGTACCATTTCAAATTGTACATTAAATCACCATTGCTACATTAGTAGAAGTGCCATAACTTCCTACCTCACATTGAATTTTTTCCTTTTTTTACTTTAGTAAGTGTAGATGTATTAATCCCGTATCTTTTCTTTATTAACCCCCTTTTTGTCAAAACAGAGAATATGTTCTTTATTAATCCATTTTTGTAAATACGAAGAAATTCCAAGACTGAAAAAGTCCGCCTTCTATGAGTCAATGAACAATTTCGTAGAAATTTCCGTAGAATACCTACTAGCTACTGTAGATTTATATATACTTATATAAGCTTTCTATAATTATAAAAGAGTTCTTTAAGACTGAAAATTACATAGAACACCAATACCGAATACAAGAGTTACATGTAAGTGGTTATACGGTCCGGTCCGGTTAAATTAGGCCGAATTGATCCGATCCCAGTCCAGTTTTTTTGGGAATATAAGAATCAAAGATTGGATCGGATATAGTCCGATCTTGATTCGGTCCGGTCCTAATACGGTCTTGATTTTAGATTGAGCTTGTGGGAATTTTAGTTGCGCGATGACTCAACGGGTGAGAAGTTGGTTAAGTTTTGAGTGATGGGCTCTCTTATCCAGTTTTTGATTCGGTCCCATGATTTTTTTACCTCAAATCTAAACCCGAAGATTGGATTGGATTGTTTGCTATCCTGTTCGGTCTGGTCCCGGTCTGAGTTATACTGTCCGATTTCGAGTAAAACCAAATAGTCCGGACCAAATAAACAACCCTAGTTACATGGCAAGAGATATAATAAATTAATAAGATGCTGACAGTCACATTTTTTTTTTTTTTTTGCATCAAAGGAGGCACAAGGCCACAGAAGGGAGAAACAAGAGGAGAAGAGAAAAATCAGAAGGGGGTAACAGGGGTATCGATCACAATATTTCTAGGATAAGTGACTCCCCTTTGGTCGCCCTGTAAGATGGGAAGAAGCTCTTGCGGTGGTTCTTCTAGTTCGTGCATACCGTAGGGATAGACGAGACTGTGCTTCGAGAGCCAGTCCGCGACTCTATTCCCTTCCCGGTATGTATGAACTAAATTCACCACCCAGTCTAAAGAGATCTTCCTCCTGATAGCTGAGAGGATCGCTGCATAAGGGTGAATAGGATCATTCCTGTTTTTTACCAGTTGGATGGCCATTTGAGAGTCCGACTCGAGGATGATAGTTCTGAAACCTAGCTTCCAACCCAGCTTCAAACCATAATAGATAGCCCAGAGCTCAGCTAAAGTTGCCGAGCATGAGCCTAGGCTTGACACGAAACCTCCTGCCCAGCTGCCTTGGGAGGTACGAACCACTCCGCCCGCCCCGGAAATCCCTTGCACAGCATTAGCAGCCCCATCAACGTTGATCTTCGTCCATCCCGCCGGAGGAGGCTTCCACCCAATCTCAGTCAAGGCACGGAGCGGAGATCGGTTTATACTATTACCAAAGGGGGAGGGAGCATTCCAAGCCCGAAACCACAACTCTGCCTTGATCTTGATCGACTACAAGAGGGAAGGAGCCGAAAGAGTCTTGGAAGGCCCCTTGAACACTCCCTCATTTCTATTCTTCCAGAGACACCAAAGAGCAATACTGAAAAAGGAACTCCAGGGGATGCCGGCGGCCGTACTGCGCGTGCAAGTTAGGTTGCTGCGTAGCCAATCTTCCCACGGGGCGCTAAAGAAGTCATGCTGGTCTTCCATGGGCACAGTCCGGTTCCAGATGTACGCTGCAGGAGGGCAATTGCGAAAGATGTGGATGGTATTCTCAACCTGGTCCGCACAACGGAAGCAAGATCCATCCTAGGTCAGATGTCTTTGAACTCTGACTTCATTCGAGCACACCTTCCCCTGCGCACAAAGCCACATGAAGCACCGCACTCGCTCAGGCACCGGAAGATGCCACACTGTCTTCCACCATTGTTGTTGTACGCCTGCAGGAGCGGGGAGCAGCATCTGGTACGCGCTTTTGGTGGTAAAACGGTCGTCCGACGTTTTGCTCCAGAACAATCTATCTTCCCCAGCTGCCAAAGGATCCACAGCATGGGCTGTTATCTTTTGCTGGATCTCCAGAGGGAGAAGGTGATCAAACATCTCAATCTTCCAGTTCCCCTCCTCATCCACGAACTCAGACACCGGGAGTTGGCGATCTACTTCCGAAATCTGCGACGTAGCCATCTCATACACCGGGCCCTGCACAATCCAAGGATCGGACCAAAACTTAGTCTGATTCCCTGTATGAATATTCCACGCACAACCCTGTTTTAATAAAGCAGAAGCCTTAGTAAAACTGGCCCAAGTAAAGGAACTTCCCTGAACATGTTTAAGAATCTCCAGGTTTTGCCGGTCTCCTCCGTATTTTGCCCGGACCATTTGAACCCAAAGACTGTCTTTTTCCTGTATGACGCGCCATCCACCTTTCGCAAGCATAGACAGGTTCACTTCCCTGGTTGAACGGATGCCGAGTCCTCCATTATTTTTCGGTGCAAGCAGCTGCGGCCACCCAACCAGGTGGAGCTTCTTCTTGGCTTCTGTATCTCCCCAGATGAAGCTTCTGTTAATCCGGTCCAGAGTCCTGCAAACATTAACAGGAAGAAGTTCTGTTTGCATAGGATAAATTGGGATAGAGGCCGAGATAGATTTCACCACAGTAATCCGAGCTGCAAGAGAGAGGTGTCTGGTCTTCCAAGGGGCGAGTTTCTTCTGGATTCTAAGCACTAGATCACGATATCTCGCCTTTGTCACTCGCCCGTGGATGGCCATCACCCCTAAGTACTGCCCTAAGTCCACCGTGAGGGGAATCTCAGCCCTGGTAGAAAGGCGACGAGCTCTCCTCCGATCGACATTAGCCGAGACAAAGAAAGCAGACTTGTTGTAGTTAACTCTCTGTCCCGAGCTTTGACAAAATTCATCCAGGCATTGCTTGATAATCCTGACTTGAGATCCTTCCGCTTCTGCAAAGAGAATAAGATCATCTGCAAAAAACAGGTGAGATATCATAGGGCCCATTTTCGACAATCTCAAAGGTTTCCAAAGTTTATCCTGGATAGCCTGCTCAATCCTGTGAGACAGTCTTTCCATGCATAACACAAAGAGATAGGGTGATAAAGGGTCTCCCTGACGAACGCCCCTAGTGGGGACGATCGGGGCTGAGAGCTCGCCATTCCACAGCAGTCTCATCCTGTTATGTTCAACACAGAACATAATGCAGTTGATCCAAGAGCTAGGGAGGCCCACCTCCTTGAGAGTATCACGGAGGAAGTCCCATCTGAGACGGTCATACGCTTTCTCCAGATCAATTTTGAGCACCATCCCCCCTTTCTTACCCTTCTTCTTTCTCAAAGAGTGTAAAACTTCCTGCAACACAATGATGTTATCTGTGGTTTGCCGACCAGGGATGAAGCTACTTTGTCTTGGGGACACCAGCTTTCTCATGATCGGTTTGAGCCTGTTGGTAATGGCTTTAGTGATGGCTTTCAGACAGACATTGTTGAGGGAGATCGGACGGAGCTGAGAAACCAATTCAGGGTGTTCCACCTTGGGGATGAGAACCACCGTCGACTCCACCACTTCCTCTGGCAACATCCCTGTCGAGAAAAAACTAAGAGCCAAATCAATAAGGCCTTTACCAACCACTTGCCACGATTTCTGATAGAAAATGGCTTGAAAGCCGTCCGGGCCCGGGGCTTGGAGAGGCTTCATGTCCTGGATCGCCTGGAAGATATCAGCTCCTGTGAAAGGGCGAAGGAGAAGGCCGAGATCTTCTTGGTTCATCCTCGGGAACGCATGCTTTGGCATGTTGTCAACATACTCTTGGTCATCCTGCAGGTAAAGAAGAACAAAAAAATCAAAGACCACCGCCGCCAGCTCCTGTGGGTCCGAGATCCACTCTCCGTTGCTGGCTTTGAGGCTCCCTATCCTGTTCTTTCTTCTTCGAATGATTGCTTGCTGATGGAAGTAAGCAGTGTTGCGCTCGCCAAATTGCACCCACTTCTCTCTAGACCTCTGGAACCAGATAATCTCTTCTTGCTCAAGAACTTCGTCGAGCTCCTTTTCAAGCTTCATTGGGAGTTTGAAGAGACCTGGGGAGAAGACATTAGCAATTTTCGTTTGGATCCCATGAATCCTGCTAAGAAGTCTCCTCTTCTTGTGAAAAACATTGCCAAACGTGCAGTTGTTCCACTCAGTAAGATTCCCTGCCACCTTCTGAAGCGCTTCATGCAGAGGAGCGTGAGAGTCCCAATTCCTGGCAAGAAAATCAACATACGAATCGTGAGTTAACCAGGCCCCTTCAAAGCGAAAAGGACGGGTGGAGGAATGCTGGACTCCCTGATTTCCCATCACTGTTAGGATAGGATGGTGATCTGAGTGAAGCCGAGGAAGGTGATGGACAGTAGTGTTGGGGCAGAATATATTCCACGTGGAGTTGCAAAGACTTCTGTCGAGGCGGCTGGCCTTATAACCATTCGGTGGCTCTCCCCTAGTCCAAGTAAAGCGCGGCCCGGAGTACCCAATGTCAATAAGCCCTGCTTGGTCAATTCTGTCATTGAAGCGTTTGCAGCGACGAAACACAGACGAGGAAGCGCTCCCGGCCTGCTCCGACGGGCTTCGAATGGCATTAAAATCACCCGTCAGAAGCCACGGAAAATCAGAAGTATCTTTCGTCCGTTGAATAGCTTGCCAAAGAAACTGCTGCTCTCCCTGGCGTGGGCTCGCATACACCGCCGTCAGAAGCCAAGGAGTAGCCCTTGTGTCTGTGATTTTCACAGTGATATGCTGAAAGCAGGCTGAGATTATCTCCAAGGAAAGAATTCCAGCATCCCAGCAGATCCAAATGCCGCCTTTTCTTCCATCCGCCTCAACGCGCATGATGTTAGGGAAGCCCATCCGACCACAAACTCTGTCCGCCACCTCCCCACTGATCTGGGGTTCCAAGAGAATCAAAATGTCAGGTTTATGATTGAACACAATGAGCTTCAACGCTCTAATGAAAGCGCTGTTACCAGCCCCTCCAACATTCCAAGATAAAATTTTAAAATTGAAATTGGTAGTAACAGACATAAAGATAAATGAAAAAGGAGAAAAGGGGGGAAGGGTGAATCGCAAGGCCGAAGCAAGCGCTAGTTAGCCGGGTCTGGGGCGACCAAAACGCCATTCCTGTTCAGACCCGAATCCTCCGCCAGTGTCGCCAAAGTCTCCTCCGGCTGCCCCGATTTCGCCGCCTCTGTCCACGCAGCTATTTCTTGAAGAGTTAGAGTCGCCAATCTCGTTCTCGACTTGGCCTTCTTTTCTTTGACGGGTGTCCAGACTTGCAGGGCTCTAGCAGTAACCTTCCTCGGAGACTTGTGCGGTTTGGTTTTCTTTTTTTTATCTTCGGTCTGCTTCTTGGTCCGGGTTGCCGCCGATGGCGTCGCAGCCTTGCGTTCTGAAACCCTCTGGCTGTCGATGGAAGGAACTGCCACAATTTGGATGGCAGTGGCGTTGGGGCCGGAGATAGATTGCGTAGTGGGTGGGCCTGAAGAAGAAGAGCCCTTGCTTCTAGGATGTTTCACGGACCCAACACCCAAGACGGGCCCATTTCCAGCAGAGGTGGACGTGGTTCCAAGATTCTGGGCTCTTAGCACTGCCTTTGTGGCGTTTAGAATTAGGCCCGCATTTGAGGAGGGGATAGGCCCGAGAACTCCCTTTCCCCCAGTTGCCATCTCCGCCGCCTCTTTGGCTTCCCCTTCTTTCCCATTACGTTGCCCTGTTCCAACATTCTTTCCTTTTCCTATCGCTCCATTCCGCAGCGTCTCCTCCCTTTTGCTTGGAGCCTCTTTCTGTCCGTTGGGCCCTTCCATATCTTTATGCAGACTCTTTCCTTTTCCGGCCTTAACAGATCCCGCAGAGTCTCCTTGATTGGCGCTACTATTTCCTTTCTCCGAAGCCCGTGATCCTCGCCGGGAGCGTCTCGAAACCTGCATCCAGGGGCCGTAGCCGGCCTTTTCTTCCGACGGCTTCTCCGACCAGTTTTCTGTCGGACTCACCAATCTTCCGGTCACCATTTCCGGCGTATTCGCCGTCAGGGAGGGGCAGGTAGTCGACGTGTGTCCAATCTTTCCACATTCGAAGCAGCAAGTGGGAAGATTTTCGTACTCTATGTATTGCCACTTCCCATCTAGACGAATTCGCGTTACCAGGGGCTTAGATAAATCCAGCTCCACTGCCATCCGGGCGAACTTCGCGCGTTGTTGATGCTGCGTGTGAAAGTCTAACTTGATTGATCGGCCGACCATATTCCCTAACGTGAAGAGGATCTCCTTGTGATAGAAGTGCACCGAGAATGCTGGAAATTGTATCCAGACCACCATGGATCTTGGAGTAGCATCTGATAGTCTGAAATCCGGTGTCCATTGAAAGACGATCAAATAGTGGTCAAAAATCACCCAGGGCCCCTCTGTTAGTGCCCGGAAATAGTCGGCGTCGTTGCTGAGTTTGATCAGGAAACACTCTTGGCCTAGTGCCATAATCTCTATCGCTCCTGATGGCCGCCAGAGGCTCTTGATCTTGTTACTGAATGTGGGAAAAGAGATGTTCAAGCCCACTACACGAACGACCAGGGTACGCTGCCACGAGACGCAGAGCTTGTTCTTGAACTCACTTGAGATCCTTAATTCCGGCTCCCCATTGAAACTCCCAGTTGTTAGGTCGTGTTCCCCAACCGGGGTCCAGGAGGCCTTGCCCTGCAGAGTTTCAGAGCTCGATCTGGTCACGGCGCTGGCGTAGGATGTGGCCTGGCCGGTGTCTGGTGAGGCGGAGCAGTCTCCTCCGGGGAAGGATCTACCGCCATTCCCGTCACGTTCAACGATGCTGAGGTATTCGAGAGATCGGTCACGGGGATGGCGCCGGAGGATGGGGTCGCCTCCCTGTTTCCCGGTAAAGGTTGACTGAGGTCCGGTGGCCTATCTGAAGAGTTCAGCTCGATCGCCGGCAAGGTAATCAGAGGTTCCATTTCAGAGCACTCGAGATGCTGACAGTCACATAGAGATAATGAAGCAATATATGTACTCACGAAGAGATGTGGGTTGAGCGTTCTCAAATTAACCTTCCTGTTTATCAACCACCCCAGGGCCGGCCAAGAGGGTGTGCTGTCCCGCCCTCCGGCAAAGGGGCCTCTACTTAGATTCGTTAGTTACTGATCATATATTGTACGTTGTATTTTTAGTGTATGATTGATTGATTATGAGTCTGATGATGTGTTTAATAGAAAATTTTAGCTATAATAACAATTGAAAAGGATCTCATGGAGAATACGAAAATCTGAAAAATAATAGATAATTTTAATTTAAACAATATAGAAAGATATTACATTTTGAATAATGTTATTAAAATCATTTTAGTTTTATTATAGTTAAATGTCGATTTGGACCACGTCTAGATTTTGAAATAGGGCCTCCACAATCTAGTAGACAACCCTGCACCCACCTCTCGATCAATTTAGACTATTTTCATTCTCCATTCAATTTTTGTGCTATATCCATTTTCTCTTCCTTTCAGATTTACTTTCCTCCCTACTAGGGCTGGTAATTCGGTCTTGGTTTCTTGGTCAAACTCGAAACGAGATCGTTTATTCCTGATGTAATCTTTTTCTGAACTTAAGTATTTTTTAAAATTATTTATTAATTTGTAATTTTGATAAATTTATGAGGAAAAAAATTAGGGCTACATTTTAAATTTTCGAACCGAACCTTCAAATATCATGGGACGGCCCTGAACCACCCGCATGCTCATTCCTACTCATAAAGATAATTAGTTATATGTATTAACGCGTTCAGAACTTATATAATGTTCATGTAAATATTATATGAATTTAAAATATAGTTCTATTTTTTTGTTGTACCATGTCAACTTTTTTCCTGCTGGTTCGATATCTCTTCTGGTGAACATGTATCAAGTATGTCTAATATTTTTAAAATTTTGAATGAAAATATCCCTCTACCGTAATTTACTCATAATACTGTTTTACCAACACCGTTACAAATCCTATTTACCATGCCAAAATACAGAAATAAAATGGAATAATACTGAAGGATATAATGGAGTCCGGAAAAAGGGAATAGCTACTAGCTAACCAGCCAGGATTATAACCATTGATGGATCTGTGTCTGTCCGCTAAAAGACTCGGACTCGGAAAGTTCGGGTACTTAATTGACACTTTTTCCGATTTAATTAAATTCAATTATGACTCCTAAACCGAAACCAACACCTCCAATCACCAAGATTTTATTCCCCTCTATAAATACTGTACCATTCCCTCCCCCACCGTCTCTCCACCTGCAAATCTTTCATCGTTCCCCCAAAACGCCAAGAAACCCCAAGAATCCAAATCAACTCGCCGCCACAATGTACCGAGTCGCGAAAGCGTCGGAGTACCTGGCGATCACCGGCGTCGGGATCAAGGACATCAAGCTCGCCAAGAAGTCATGGATCTTCCCCGGCCAATCCTGCACCAAGTTCGACATCTCCCCGGTCAACTACACCTTCGAGGTCCAGGCCATGTCCGCCGAGAAGCTCCCCTTCATCCTCCCAGCCGTCTTCACAATCGGCCCGCGCTACGACGACGACGACGCCCTGCTCAAGTACGCGAAGCTGATCTGCCCCCACGACAAGCACTCCCAGCACGTGAACCAGCTGGTGCAGGGCGTAATCGAAGGCGAGACCCGCGTCCTCGCCGCCTCCATGACCATGGAGGAGATCTTCAAGGGGACCAAGGAGTTCAAGCACGAGGTCTTCGGCAAGGTCCAGCTCGAGCTCAACCAGTTCGGCCTCTACATCTACAACGCCAACGTCAAGCAGCTCGTCGACGTCCGCGGCCACGAGTACTTCTCTTACCTAGGTCAGAAGACGCAGATGGAGGCCGCCAATCAGGCCAAGGTCGACGTCGCCGAGGCCAGGATGAAGGGGGAAATTGGGGCTAAAGACCGCGACGGGCTCACGAAGCAGAACGCGGCCAAGATCGACGCGGAGACGAAGATTATTGCGATTCAGAGGGAGGGGGAAGGTAAGAAGGAGGAGATCAATGTGAAGGCCAAGGTCAAGATCTACGAGAATCTGAGGGAGGCAGAGGTCGCCGAGGCGAACGCCGAGTTGGCTCAGAAGAAGGCCGGTTGGACTCAGGCTTCCCGAGTCGCGGAGGTTGAATCGGAGAAGGCGGTGGCGCTCCGCGACGCCGAGCTGCAGAGGGAAGTCGAGCGGATGAACGCCCTCGCCACCACCGAAAAGCTCAAGGCCGAGCTCCTCACCAAAGCCAGCGTCGAGTACGACACCAAGGTATACAATCTCAAACAGTTCCTCTCAATTGGGCGAATCAATTTCTAATTTCAATCTAGGTTTTGTTGATTTTCATCTGGAAATTGATTGTTTGATGAATGCTATTGATTGATTGAAGATTGTGGGTGAGAATTAATCGATTGATGATTCTGTGCGTTGTTTCCAGGTACAAGAGGCGAATTGGGACCTGTACAACAAGCAGAAGGCGGCGGAGGGAGTGCTGTACGGGAGAGAGAAGGAGGCGGAGGCGCAGATGGCGGCGGCGAAGGCGGCGTTCTTCGCGCGGCAGCAGGCGGCGGACGCGGAGCTGTACGGGAAGCAGAAGGAGGCGGAAGGGATGATGGCGCTGGCCAAGGCGCAGGGGTTTTACGTGAAGACTCTGCTGGAGGCGCTGGGAGGGGACTACGGTTCGTTGAGGGATTACCTGATGATCAACGGCGGCATGTTTCAGCAGCTGGCGAAGATCAATGCGGACGCCGTCCGCGGGCTGCAGCCGAAGCTGAGCATCTGGACCGGCGGGGATGTCGCCGGCGGCGGAGGCGGGAATGGGGATGGGCTTGGTGGTGGGGCGATGAAGGAGATTGCCGGGGTGTACAAGATGTTGCCGCCGTTGCTGCAGACTGTTGAGGACCAGACTGGGATGACACCGCCGGCGTGGCTCGCTACTCTGCCGAAGAATTGAATTGGTTGACTAATTAGTAATTACTCTTGTGTTTTGTCGGTCTTTGTCGTTGATTAGTGGGAATAAACGGGTGTTTAAAGTTTGGTATAGGGTAATTGCTTGTAGATTTGCACAGACTTTAATGAATCGTTAGTATGGAATAGTTGGTTTAAGTACAATTAGCTGAGGGTAATTAGTAATATGGGGGGTTTGACTTTCAAGTTTCTTAGTAAGTTGTTTAATATTGCATAGACTTTCAAGTCTCAAGTCTTCTTCTCTTGGTGGAGTTTTTTTCTTTCCTCTGTTTTATTTTGGTAAAGAGTTGGTTTTTTTTTCTTCTTTCCTTTGTTTTAGTTTATCGTGTTCCACCCTTCTAAGCTACAGTTCATCTTTAATATTTAGTTAGCTATCATAAAAATTAGTATGATAGTCAATTACTTTATTGGTTCTAGGGATATTTGTTAAACCTCTCCTGGTGCTCGTGCGATAATACAAGTTTAAATCATTAACTATGCTTGGTGCTTTCATATACATATTCAACTTGTATTATAACATTATTAAAACACAGTACAAAATTCAGTTTGTATCATGTACGAATTTATACGAGAATATATAGATACAAACTCAACTTGATCATAATGTTAAATGAATAAGTTTAGTTTGTACCATGAATAATAGAAAGAAACTGAATTTGTACTATAACATAACATCAAAATTATAGAAATAATATTATTTTCTAATAGTTAATTAGTTTCTAGTAGTGTCCTTCTCTGGAAATCCATCTATTTTGTCATAACCAAACTTCATATCTCATGCCAAACCCGAATAGAATGCTTGAGAGTTGAGACCATATATCGCTTTTTTCACCTGAATAAAAACTTTCTCTGCCTACCCTTGAGCTCGATAACCTGGTGACCCGCGTAGTGGGAAAAGACAGAGAGAAGAGCGGATTCTCTAGCATCGGTTACTGAATCAATTTGCTAGCTTTAGCGGTTGAATTTCTCTCCGAAAGAACGAAGTAGCTTGACCGAAGGAATGAAGTGGCTTATTTGAACACTAAACTTTTAGATATTTGCATGTCATCTATCGGTTTTTTGTATGAATACTATGTATTCAAGTTTCTACAATGACGACTTGAATTATGTGTACAATTTTGTATTAGTATAGAACTGATGTGTCTAGCTATTACTTTAAAAATCCTAAAACCAAAAATAATAGAATCTAATTTATAAGAAATTCCAACTAAATAGGTGGAGTTCTCCATTGTTCTCCAGCAGTAGCTGTCCATGATGACCTTTATTCATTTTGTTTTTTAGTTAATTGATGTTACATATAGTTTGATTCACTTTTTTTCATGTTTGCTTCGATAACAACTCGTAAGAAATTGGGTATATATACTTAATTTGCAGAGATGACACCACTTAAGTTGTATCCATTAAAGGATAAGACTGAGACATTATTTGACTCTAGAAGTGGAAATTGGTTAGGTAATAATTAATATAAGTAGTAACAGAGATATATAATTTAATTAGGAAATGAGGAGTGCTTCCTCGAATTTTCCTTTCGATAAATATAGTAGTAGAGTGTTGCACCATCTTTCCTTCCGTTACTGGAATTAGGATGAAGATAAGACCTGCTCTGGGGAAGGTGCAAAACCCAATCAAGTCTCCCCTCTTTATTACACAGCAAATTCTGTGTTGCTACTTCTGGCTAGGCTGTGCCTGTGATAGATTTACCATTATCCTTGATATTTTCTTTCGCGGATAAACATTGAAAACGCGATAATCTTCCTCTATTCAAGTGTTTCAATCAAGGTTGTCAAACCGGTTTATGCCGGTGCGCCGGTTTTACAAGTGAAATGGTTCTACCGTGGTACAACCGGTACGTGCGCCGGTTTATGCCGGTTAAAATTCCTCAATACAAATCTAAATAACATAATTTTAAATAATCTTTATAAAATGTAAATAAAAACATTCAATTGAACTCATTAATCTTTCCTCAAATTCAACTGTGGTCAATAATTCCAATTCAAGTTCTATTTCACCCAAATAATGAATTGGGAAAGTTCCCCATTCTGTAACCCTAATTGAGTGGAATCCTCCACCATTACTCACTTTCCCTCGATGCCCCTCCCTGTTATCCCCTCCACTTACCAAAAGCAATTTGATTGCTTCATCGAACATCAACACATAACATTCAATTAGAACCAGAAGCATAGAGGCTTTTTGGAGAGCGCTCAAATGAGAGTGGTATGACATTCGCAAAGGTAGCAGCCACTTCTTCTCCACTCATGCGTTCATCCACCGCGCCGAGTACTGGCCTCCGCCGCGTGCCTGCTGGCCTCCGTCGCGGGCCTGCCTACCAAGTTGTGTCGCCGATCAGTTCGTCGCTAGGAGAAAGCGAGCAGGCGGAGCGCAGAGGAAAGAAGCGGAACGAAAACGACGACTAGTGGGGCGAATCCCACTTACACAAAACTGAACCTTTTCTTTTTTTGTTAACAATCTCAGTCTGTCAAAACGAGAACGGCGACGTAATGATAAGAAACCGGAAATTACCCTTCCGATTGAACCACTGGTATTTCCGGAATTGACCGGTTTTGACCGGAGTTGACCGGTTTTGACTGTCGCATCATGCCGGTGGTATTCCAGCCGGTTTCATGACCGGTACCAGTTGAACCTGGTTCAACCGGCCGGCATACCACCGGCGTGACAACCATGGTTTCAATACAATATTTTTGGTAATCTAGTTAAGGCGTGCCATTCTTAATGCTTCAAATATTTGGTGGTATTTTGTTTGTGACAAGATGATTATTCTAGTAGTCTTTTAAAGATTATCGTGTCCAAATTAAAACTCGAGTGCATCTTAAATGGACCAAAAAGTATTCATGACACATAAGTTGAAATCGTCAACACCCTTGTGTGGGTTTAGCTCATTAGATGACTTGAGGAATAAAACCAACAATGTTTCTCATTTCTTATAGTCAAATTACTTCATAATTAAAAAGTGCAAGTAAAAGCTGTATTTCATATACATATGTTTTGAATTTTGATGTGCCCTCATCTATGTTGTTTATCTTTTCAAGCATTTGCATATATGGAGCATGATCCTAGCAAAATTGTATAGTATAGCGGCCAGTAGGCAAGACAAGAAAACCCGGGGAATAATTTTGTGTACCTTCCCTTAAAAAAAAAAGTTCGATATGTCTAGGATTTTACTACTCATTGAAAAAACTCATATGTCTAGGATTTTACTACTTATTGAAAAAACTCAGAAGGTTGTGAGAATCTTAACAATTATTTTTCGAGAATTTCAGAATCAGTATAACGCGAGTGCTCACACGATATAACACTTTTGGAATGTCTCAACAAATATCATTATTTGTATCATATATGACACTTTTGAATATCCATACAAATATCACTATTTGTATCACCTACAGAATTATGGAATGTCCCATTAAATGTCACTATTTGTTTCAACCACGACACGTTTGACCTGTCACAGTAAATGTCACTATTGGTATCAACAATGACACTTTGGAATGTTCTGAGAAATGTCACTATTTGTATTTACTATGTCACATTGAAATGTCTTGAGAAATGTCACTATTTGTATTTACTATAACACATTGACATGCCATTAGAAATGTCACTATTGAGATCAACTGTGACATATTGGAATCTCACAAAAAGTGTCACTAATTGTATCACCTTTGACAATTAGGAATGTCTCGAGAAATGTCACTATTTGTATCAATCGTGACATATTAACATGTCCTTATAAATGTCACTATTGAGATGGGCTGTGACATATTGAAATGTCACAATAAATGTCACTATTGGTATTAACTATAACAGTTTGATATATCTCTAGAAATGTCACTATTTGCATCACTTACGACACTTTAAAATGTCACAAAAGATGTTATTATGCTACGATTATAAGTGTCGCAATATGTAAAATAAACGTCACACAAAAGTGGTGCTGACAATTGTAACAAATGCCACAAAAGAAGTTAGTGACACTGGATTATGTGACATTTATGTGTCATTTGTGTAAAACGTCAGTACAACACTATTGTGACATTTTTCTACCTTTTAATGACAATTTGACTAAATTTTAAATTGTCACTTCGGCTGTTTTTTTTTAGTGTTCAATTATTCTATAAAACAGTTAGCCAACGATCAATCGCTGAATTACGGTAAACCGCTGACTTTTTTTGTGGTTCTAACCTTCATACTCTTACAAAAACAAAGCTATTTATAGAAAATAAGAGGCAAACCTAATCCTTATCTAAACACCGCAGAAAGTTTTGACGGTTACACATAATTAGCCCCAAATTACTCACCCACGATCCGAACTTCACTCACCCCCAAAATCTCCACTACCATCCAACTCCCGCAACTGGTTCGTCCCCCATATTCACCCTTTTGCTTCTAACATCTCTCAATCCCTTCCCCCAATAACCAAAAAAAAAAAAAAAAACAACCAATTAACAAACAACGTCACAAAAACCAAAATGTACAAAGTCGCCAAAGCATCGGAGTACCTGGCCATCACCGGCATCGGCATCACCGACATCAAGCTCGCCAAGAAATCGTTGATCCTCCCCGGCCAATCATGCACCCGGTTCGACATGTCGCCGGTCAACTACACGTTCGAGGTGCAGGCCATGTCGGCAGAGAAGCTCCCCTTCGTCCTCCCGGCCGTCTTCACCATCGGGCCCCGAATCGACGACACCGAGAGCCTCCTGCTCTACGCGAAGCTCCTCTGCTCGCACGACAAGTACTCCAGCCACGTCAACGAGCTGGTGAAGGGGATCATCGAGGGCGAGACACGTGTCCTCGCCGCGTCGATGACGATGGAGGAGATCTTCAGGGGGACCAAGGAGTTCAAGAAGGAGGTGTTTGAGAAGGTCCAGCTCGAGCTCAACCAGTTCGGGCTTATCATCTACAACGCCAACGTCAAGCAGTTGGTCGACGTCCCAGGTAATTCCTGCATGCATGCATGTACACGCACCACGGTTAAATTTGTCTATCTCTCCATTTTCAGAATCAAATCCGATGTTATTATAATCGGATGAGATAATAGTTGTCAATCATAAAACTGTTGACTAACTGTAATAGAACCGTTCGTGCATTATATAACATAAAAGACAACATAAAAGACATACAATGTATGAGTACCGCTAATTTAGAATTGAACAAACAAGGGTTTGTTCTAGTGATAATATCATTAGCCTTGAACCTGGAGCTCACGGCTTCAAATCATTTAAGTAGTATCTTAACTTAACCACGAAAAAATGAGACCTATATCACCCTTATAAAAAAAATAAAATTAGAACTCAACTTATCATTAACCATAAATAATTTCAAATCGATATCATTAATCACCAAAAGAAATCATGAATATTTTACAGGGTAATATACTAGTAATCAAAATGACAATTCGATCTTAATGGACCATATAAAGCAGACAAGGAAACTAGAAAACAGAAATAAAATTAGAAATTGATGTTTGATGGGTTTAGTTTACGCGTTAAAATGTTTTTTTCCCTTAATTTTTATTGCTAAAATAGTGAATTAGTGTACCAGTCAAAATGAAGTGGTTCGCGTGGTTGTGTTTCGAACGAGAACTGTGAAACCGTACCAGAGGTTGTATCAGAAAATTAGCGACATGATATTTTGTACTGGACATGTGGTCCAATTGCGATCAACCATTTCATACCGCTAAAAAAACATCTACCCGTTATGGTATTTTACGGTAGCACCGCCGGTACTGCATTGGTTCACATACATTGATATCAAACTGTTAACAACACTCCATCCCTACACGTCCAAGCAAAGGAGCCGAATTAAACCGTAATTGATTGGTGGTTATACTGGTCCAGCCGAGTGAATCCGATTCCGTTCTTATAACAAATCTCATTATTACATCACCAAATGTATACTCATGCATGTGTTTGTCTCTGCACGCACAGGTCACGAGTACTTCTCGTACCTGGGTCAGAAGACGCAGATGGAGGCGGCGAACCAGGCGAAGATCGACGTGGCGGAGGCGAGGATGAAGGGCGAGATCGGCGCCAAGGAGAGGGACGGCCAGACGAAGCAGAACGCCGCCAAGATCGACGCCCAGACCAAGATCGTGTCCACGCAGAGGGCGGGCGACGGCCAGAAGGAGGAGATCGACGTCAGGACCAAGGTGAAGATCTTCGAGAACAAGAGGGAGGCCGAGGTCGCCGAGGCCGACGCCGAGCTGGCCAAGAAGAAGGCCGGCTGGAGCCGGGAGTCCAAGGTGGCGCAGGTGGAAGCCAACAAGGCGGTGGCGCTTAGGGACGCGGAGCTGCAGAAGGAAGTGGAGGTCATGAACGCACTTTCCCGAACCGAGAAGCTCAAGGCCGAGCACCTCACCAAGGCCAGCGTCGAGTATGAAACCAAGGTAAGCGTACCTTCTATACTATCGAATAGGGATAGAGACGAATTGAGTCGAGTTTTGACCTAATTTGAGTTCGGTTCATTAATAAATAAGTTAAATTTGACTTGACTGCTAAAATTTTAATTTGTGTTTGCTTCAAACTTGACTTGAACTAGCTCTACTCGAGTTCGACTCATTATTTAGCTTGTCTCAGTTCAAGCTAGTATATCATATCATTTGGTTAATAACTTTCAATTGTTCATGTCTTGTTAGTCAGTATAGTAGTTAGAATTTGAGCAATCTATAATACATATACTTTTATAAATGAGACATATTTGATCGTAGACTCCAATTCTTAAGCATGGTGAAATATATAACCTAATAAACTTAAGAATGACCAACAGACCAATGACAAACGGTTAAGTATTACTCGATTCTCTCATAAGATGCTAATTGAGGTGGCTTGCTAGCCATATTCTCCAGCCAACTCATAGATCAAATTGAACTAGCTCACGAGTTGAGCCTAATAAATTGTCGAGCCGAGCTGGTAGCTCAAACTTGATTCGTAAGTGTCGAACAAGTTTTTTCCCCGAACTGAACATCAAGCCGCTCTCGGCTCATTGGAACGCTAGTATGAAAACAAGATTAAAAAAAGTTGCTCACTTCAGGGGCTCTTTCCAAAGAAAAACTAAGTTGAAGGACTCACAGATTCTCAAAGTTCCGGAGTCATAAACATATTAGCATTAACATCACTGTACTTTCTGTTTGTTATATCAAAGGTGCAAGAGGCGAACTGGGAGCTATACACAAAGCAAAAAGCCGCGGAGGCGGTGCTGTACCAGAAGGAGAAGGAAGCAGAGGCGCAGATGGCGGCGTCGAAGGCGGCGTTCTTCGCGCGGCAGCAGGCGGCGGAGGCGGAGCTCTACTCCAAGCTGAAGGAAGCAGAGGGACTCGTGGCCCTGGCCAAAGCACAGGGCGCGTACCTGAGAACCCTCCTGGACGCGCTGGGAGGCAACTACGCGGCGCTGAGGGATTACCTGATGATCGATGGCGGCATGTTTCAGGCGATGGCTAGGATCAATGCCGAGGCGGTTCGCGGGATGCAGCCCAAGCTCAGCATTTGGACCACCGACGACGGCATGGGAGGCGGCGGCGGCGGTGGTGGTGATGGCGTGAGCGAGAATGGCGGCGGCGGCGGGAGTGGCGGTGGGATGAAGGAGATTGCTGGTGTTTATAAGATGCTGCCGCCGTTGCTTCAGACCGTTGAGGATCAGACTGGGATGCGGCCGCCGGCGTGGCTGGCAACGTTGCCGTCTGGGAAGTAGTTATTGCGGACTATATAATCGTGATCTGTCTAAATTAAAGCGGCGGTCTTGTTTATGATTATTTTTAATTTCTTTTTGGTAATTACTGGTACAGTGTGGTTAATTAGCTAATAATTATATGGTGTGGAGGTTGCCTGTACAAGTGTAAAGTTTTTTTGTTAATGAAGTTATAATGAAATCAATAACTAAATTTGAATATCATTTACAGTCACTATCTCTCAAAGATGTTAGGATTAAAATGAGGATTTTGACGACGTCAGCAAATAAGAATTGGTCAAAATATATCTGGATTGCTATTTGTCGCCCTAATTATTTAAAATTTTCGCCCTAAATTACCCAAAATGACGATTATAACCCAATTTAACCCACCCGCTCAACTCTCTTCCCCCTTACCGTTCCTTTGCCCCCTCCCATTATACTTTTATACCTTCCTTTAATCCTTTCCCGTTTCAGAGAGCTCTGCCAGTAGTACTTCATAATAAAAAAGCTACCGGAGCTCTCTTTCTCTTTAACAGCAAAATCGTCCGATGGGAGGTGGATCGATCACGGCAAAATTGTCCTCATCGCGACGGATGTGAGCGACGACAGAGGTGGGTTCCTTTTTCCAACGACTAGGAGCTGCTTCTTCTTTGACCCCCTTCCCCGTCAAGGTCGCAGCGGCTTCCGGTGTTGGATAGCCGGTGCCATTTTTCATTTGACGTTTAGGTTAGAAAATGAGCCTAGGGGCACATTTGTAAAATTTTTAATTTAGGGCGATAAAATTTAAAATTTTAGGGCGACGAATAGGGACCTGGACTTTCAAAATTGGTAATATCCATATCAACAATGTTTGTTTATACTTTATAGTACAGTAAGATCAAAACACACAACATGGTCATGAGGCAGTTCCAGTTCATCAAGTTGCAGAAGAAAGAACAATGGCCATATCAATCAGCAAACAGAGTTTTCTGAATCCCTATTGATCATACATCACTATAGTGTTTTTGACTCGAGATGAAAGATTCTGCCGGTGACATAATGTAATGAGAGATCTCAAGTGATCAAACCATATAGCTACCCTTAAGTCTAAAGGCTGCGAGATTGAATGAGGTGGAAATCGAAACAGAACAAGGATGTACAGAGGCGCACATGAAATTACCACCATCCTCGGGTGAATCTGCAAGCGGTAAAGGCGCTCCTTTTTACTTTCAGAGAATCGAATGGACCTTCTTCAAAGTGGCCTTTCCCGACCTAGGAATCCCAGTTTGGAATGTTTGCTGTAGCTTCATTCACCATTTTCACCAGCGTCACCTGTCCCCAAAAAGTTCATCAACAAATAATGCAAACAAACATTGCCATAGCCCATACACTATCAACAAAAGCCATGCATACACCATGAACGACCTCCAATCAGGCCATCACCAGCACCAACATTTTTACAGATCCATTTTCAGGCCACTGGAGGAAAGAAGGGAGTAGGGTGCCCCGCATTATCATAATCGAATTCTTCATGGTATATATTTAACTAGCTACAAAATAGAAGAAACTAAATCCACTTCCATTTCTAACTTTACTTCCAAACCAATGTGATAGTCTTACACAGAGTTCAGAGCATAAGAGTGATAGGACTACCAAGAGAAAGATAAACATACCACACTTTCTGGAACACCAGGGGGAGGCATGGGAAGGTTTCTTGGAGGAGGAACAGTGGTATATGACCTTTTGTCAAACCTCCATTCACCAATTTTGCCATAAGTTAACTTGCCCTGAAGGTAGGAAACATGAGAGCCTTAGGGCAGTTAATTATTGAATCGATGAACTGTTAAGAGAGAAAGGGCTCTTGGAATATTTCAGTTCACATGCCAATGGATGGATCAGATTACCTGCATGTCATAGTCACATCCATAAGTATAATGGATTATGAACTTCATACCAATTTCTGTATCCCATGGAGGCTGCAATCACAGAAAAGGAGAACCCGTGAGAAATATAGCAATAAGAGGACTGCCTCCTTGTGTTGTGATGATGAAGCACAATGACAATAAGAAGCACATCAAGAATCACAATATTAAACTCCAATTGCATCACGTTCATAGGGAGTATAGTTAACCTGAAGCATGAAGTCCTTGTACAAGATATTGCCAACTCCATGTAAAGCAGATGAAACAGCATAAGCATACCTATAGATGAGAACAGTAAGTTGCTGAGAGTAAAAGTATTCATTATCTAATCAACCACACAAATATCTTACATTTCAAGCACCCAGCCAAAGGCTTTATCGGTTTCAGGATCCTTTTTCATTGACAAAGATACATTCATCCAAGTGGGAGCTATCTTCTTGAGAGATTCCTGGAAAAAACATATAAAGCATAATCAAGAAAAATAATTTCAAGAATTAAAAAAAAAAAAGCAAAATAACAGTAGATAGGAGAGGCAACATAAGAGATAACACACAAACCTTTCCTATGATGACAGGGGAATTCCCTATAGGATCAATATTAGTAACTGGTCCTTTTTCCTCAGGGAAGTACTTCCGCAATACTGTTTCATACTTCTTAGGCTCGATATAGAAGAAAGGAAATGCAGCTCCAAGTCCATCTCTGCTCAAATTCGGTATGGGTTTCACAATAACGTGATCAGGCTCTGCCATCAATATATAGCTGGTGCACATGGCAAAGAATGGCAGAAAAAATGGAGGTCAAATCCAGTGAAACCCATATACAACTCCATCACTGAATCTCCAAAGTTAAGTGTTTCCTACTCTTCTTTGATGTCCGCCTTTTCAAGCCATTGTACGAATGCCCATGGTCTGTTGAGTACTATATAACCCTGCATAAAGATCGACATGAGCTAATACTGGTCTTCCAACACAAGTTTCAACTACAGCAATTTCAACTCCACATCTTCACATTCTCCTGTTTTCCATTACCCTCGAGCACATAACTAATACAAATTCCAAACATTGCTTGATGCAGAAAAGAATATTGACCAAATCAAAGTCTTCCCAGGCTGAATTGATTCTCAGGAGCAAAAAAAGCACAAACAGTTGGTGGACGGTAAGGAAAAAGGAGAAGCACAAATGGGAAGTTGCGAGTGACGACCGTACCTGATCCATGCCAGAAGGAAGCGGCTGGGCAACGAAAGTGGGGATCTCATCCATGAACTCATCGGGCTTACCGGAGTGAAGAATCCTGGTAAAGCCGCCCATATCGGAGTTGGGTCCATCCCGGAACTTCTTGAACCAGTAGTACATCACCCGGCACTGCCAGGTGTTGTAGACGGAATCGGAGGCGGTCACGGCGGTGTGGAAGAGACGCTTCTGGGTGGTGGAAGAGGAAGCACCGAACTTCCTCGATCTGTCCTTTGGCATCCGTATGATTGGATCAATGGAGGAAAGCGTGGACGGACCGGGTAGGTCCTGCTTGAGAGGGGCATTGGCCGCGATTAGAATGTTGTAAGTGATTAGAGCTACCGAGAAACTTATCAGCGCCGTGAAGAACATGTTCCCGCACCCCATTTCTGCCGGCCCTTTTCAATCGGAAAATCAAGCCGGCCAAATTCGTGGGTTTCTGCGAGTTGCAGAGATCGGCAAATGGAGTCGACGGGCGGGAGGGTGGTGGGGCTTGGGCTGGGTGGCGTGAGAAAGTCGTTGATGGAGTTGTTGTTGTTGATGAGTAGTGGCCCATTAGGCAATTAGCTGTTGGATTTTTCGCACCATTTTCAATTATTTTCTCCCCCATTAGTGGATCGTCTTTGAACATTGGAGCATGTTGGTAATTTTGGTTTTAATTTTTAAATGCCTAATACAATCTACAATATATTATGATGTGGCGATGGTAATTTGGATTCGTTCAATATTGCCGATCTGATATGTACTAGAGTGGTTATATTCGATCCACAGTAATGTGGGACAGGATATGAATACTATTTTTATTCTATCACATTGTTATGTTCTAGATCTATTTTATCTTAATTTGTCTTAATATTTTATTATTCCTATTTTAAGTCATAATTTCACTCAATAATATTTTAATAAGTGCAAGACTTCGTCTTCCAACTAATTGAACTTAATTAATCTACTTATTACCTCTATTTATAATTAAAATAAATATTTTAGTCAAATAATATATAATCATGACAACCTACCCAAACCCGTATCCCTGATTATTACCGAACTGACATGCACTTGATGCGGGCATATATGAGTATATTAAAGTTCCAGCCTATCCCTGCTCATTGTCATCAATTACTATGAGGGATTACATTATGAATACTGAATACCCGTAGATATCCTAAATCATTTTTTAATTAATAGGGTAGATGTCTTGTTAGTAAACTAAAACCAGATCGGATTAATCTGACTGACCCATAAAATTGTCAAACTCACTATGATGTATATAGTAAGGTAAATTGTCTAGTTAAATGATCAGTATCAGTGATTATTACCCGACCAATAGAATCGTCAAACACACTCAAATTCATCTTTTTAGGATTCCCATTTTCATCTCCCAAGAATTCAAGCGGAAATGAAGTCGAGGTGGTGGGGAAGAGCACTGCATGTAAAAGGGATGTTTGCTGTTTGTGTCGAGAGTCAAACAAAGGCGGACCAAAAAGTGGCTACTTCTTTCTTGGCCATTGCGCCCCAATCGGCCCATGTATATGTCCAATCCAGTCCTATTTCCTCTCTTCGATTATTATAGTATTTGTCTCCACTAATCATCTATTTATATTTAAGCGTAATTGTGTAAACGTCAAATTTATTCACTGAAATTATTAAATCGTGTCATGTTTAGTCACTAGAAAAATTTAATATCAATTTGGGTCACTCGAATTACGAAAACAAGTTACATTTAGTCACTATCTCGTTAGCCTCCGTCTGACTCCGATCACTCGAATTGCTGAAACATGTCATATTTAGTCACTCTACCATTAGTTTCCGTCCAACTCCATTTAGTCACTCGAATTAATGGAGTTGGACGTAAACTTACGGCAGAGTGACTAAATGTGACATGTTTCAATAATTCGAGTGACCAAAATTTATATCAAATGTTTCTAGTGACTAAACATGACTTGATTTAGTAATATCAGTGACCAAATGTGACATTTACCCATTTATTTAAGTATTACATGACAATTTTTACTATATTTTTTTCGTCAACAAAGTACAAATAAAGAGAAATAAATTACAGAGTAGATAACAACTCTCGTCCTAGTTCGTATACAATCAACCATAGATGAAAATGTTTTTTTTTGTCGATAAGCAGACAACTATTTAAAAGCTCAGAGGAGCAAAAGACGTGATACATATGCAAATGTCATAAAAATAAATAATTTTCATCCAAAGATAGCCCCGCTAGGGAATGAGAAGCTTTACGTCAAACCTATAAAAATGGGTTGCACTTCAATCAGTCATTTGGCTAAAGATCGGGGATGGAACTATGTAATCCGTTGCTTATTTTATATTCGCTTTGACGTATTGAGTATAGTATTTTTTGTAATGAATGATTAGTTATTGGTTCATAATAGTTGTCTCGATAATGCACTAAACAAAATTTGCAGAATGTGTGCCGTTTACAAAAGTTATTATAGGAAACCCTACATTTAAAAGGCCATATAGTTTAAATTACTCACCAGTAAAATTACTCACAGAAGTTAAGTTCAATATTCTTAGAGACTACTACTTGGCATGTTTGTGTGCTTGTAGGACATGGTATTCTACCCTCCCTCTTTCTTTGGATGTCATTTAAGATTTAACATTGTCAAAGTTAAATACTGTAAGTTTCTTACTATAAAGAACTTGGGGAGGTGAAGGTTACTACTGCATAAACAGCATTGAAGGATAGTCATAAAAACCAGCAATGAAAGCTTTGTTAGACCCGACCACTAGCGTTAGAAATTCCCTCCCGACGCTAGCCAAAAAGTCGATATGGAAGACAGTGCAAAAGGGCAGAGGGAGAAGAAAAAGAGATATATTAGATTGCTAGAAAGAAAGACCAACGCTTCAGTTACCACTCTTCACAGTTCAGTGTTCACACTCACTCAATAGTCAATACTACACACTCTCTGGCCTCTGCTCACTTACTTGAGTTACTTCACTACAAGCTTTTGCATTCTCTTCTAATCTTCTTTCTTTCTTTCTTTCTGTTGGCCCTCTCCACCCTTCCCCTGAAAGTCCTCTCCTTTCCACTTTCCCACTCCCACAAAAAGCCTTCTGCCAAGGAAAGAAACCCACTCAGCGGAAATCATGGTCTGCAATGGAAAGCCATTTGCTCTGTTCATCACCTTCTTCACCACCTTGTTCCTTTCTCCAGCATTTCTGGCTACCTTCTCCCATGCCTCTTCCCATCTCCACCACCACTCTTTCCCCCCAGCTGGTGAGTTTTTCTCTCTTCTTCTGTTAAGTTTCATCTGTTTGGCATCCAAGAAAATGCGGGGAGAGACTTGTGAAATTCCACTTTCTTTATCCTTTCTGTCTCCATTGGAATCCCAGATTATTTTAAAAAAAGAAACAGAAATGACAAATTAGAGATGGGCAAGAATGAAGATGTCTGTCAGGGCATGCAGTGGAAGAAAAAAAAAAAGGATTTTACCTTTTCCCCTTTTGTTAAACCTTTTAAACATGTTTTCATTATCTCGTGTAACTTTCAGGGGCGCCGTCTGTGGAGTTTCCATGGCGGACAGTGAGATCAGCACTGGAGATACCCAGTAGCAATGACCCAGTTGAAACCTCAACACTTGCGTTAGCAGCTGAACGGACTTACAGAAAAGACCCTCTTGACGGCTTCAAGCGTTACGACCGTGGCTGGAATATCAGCGACCGCCATTATTGGGCTGTAAGTGCTTTTCAAAATTCCTCCGTTCTCTGTACTCCGCATTTTCCTCAGATTTTGCTGATTGGTTATAGTGATCTTCCTCCATCGCACAGTCTGTAGGATTCACGGGAGCGCCACTGTTCGTGGTAGCTTTAATCTGGTTTCTGGGTTTTGGACTCTGTTTACTACTTGGATGCCTCTTCCATTACTGCTGCAAAAGGAAGCTTCATGGCTACTCTCGGATCGCTTATGCCCTTTCTCTCATTTTCCTCGTCCTCTTCAGCATTGCTGCTGTGTAAGTATACTCACTACATTTCAAAACTTTAATTCCCAATTCAATTTCATTTTTGGCATGGAATGGAACCCTAATGAAGAGTAGGGTTTAATGGAACATCGTGTTCCAATTACTTGGCCATGTCAAGCAACTAACATTCATGCTCTATATCTCTAGTGCAAATCGTTTTGTCACGCTAGTTGTTCCACAGAAACTCTTTCCCTGATAAAATTTGGTTGTCTTGTCAGAATTGGGTGTGTTGTGTTATACAATGCTCAGGGGAAGTTCCACAAGAGCACCACTAAGACATTGGACTATGTTGTAAGCCAGGCGGATTCCACGATCGAGAATTTAAGGAATGTGTCGGACTATCTGGCTTCAGCTAAGCTACTTGGAGTTGATCAAGTTTTCCTGCCTTCGGATGTACAAACAGACATTGACCAGATTGGAGGTAGAATAAACTCTTCTGCTAGTCTTCTCGATGAGAAATCGTCCGAAAATTCCAGTGATATACAAGACCTTCTTGATTCTGTGTAAGTTGGAATTGTCCTCCTTTCTAATCCTATGGCCAGTTCATTATTTTGCTCTCTATGTCATGCTTAGTTTGTGTATACTAATAGTGACTGGTCAATATTTAGGAGGCTGGCTCTCATTGTTGTAGCTGCAATTATGCTTGTCTTGACATTCCTCGGATTGTGTAAGCTCCTGAAGTTGATCCTGCTTTCCAGTTGAATGATAATGTCGGATCATAGCACAAATTTACTAACGCCTTCTTTCTTTCCGATGTATCCAGTGTTTTCGATCTTTGGCATGCAATTGCTGGTACACATGTAAGTGATGCTCATGGTGTAAACTGTAAACCCTTTTTTTTTTTTTTTCTGTCTTTGGACACTAAAGTTTTAATCTTTCGCATTAAAATGTCATTTTGCAGCCTAGTTGTGCTTGGATGGATACTAGTTGCAGGCACATTCATCTTGTGTGGCATATTCCTTCTTCTTCACAAGTAAGTCCCATTCCAATCCCCAAATCCACTTTACCATGCCAGTTGCCAAGCATCCTAATACTCTTCTTTTGATCTTTGTTTTGTCAATCTGCAACCTAGTGTGGCGGGCGATGCTTGCGTTGCAATGGATCAATGGGTGCAAAATCCGGCTGCTCACACAGCACTAGACGAGATCTTGCCCTGTGTAGACACCACAACTGCACTTGAAACCTTGGCAAAGAGCAAGGAAGTGACCTCCCAACTAGCTGAGGTAGTGAACCAGGTGATCACCAACATGTCCAACATCAACTTCTCCCCAAACTTCAAGCCTCTCTACATCAACCAATCCGGACCCTTGGTCCCAATCCTCTGCAACCCATTTCACGCGGACTTGACTGATCGTGCCTGCAGTCCTGGTGAAGTCGACCTCAACAATGCCACACAGGTAAATAATTAAAACTCAAACCACCCCAATGCTATCTACCATTACATTACATTGCTTTACAGTTCAATGTGGCCTGTATAGTATCGGTTTTAAGCAAAATCTCGATCCTGACAACACAGTTCTCTTTCGTTGTGTTCCTCAGGTGTGGAGTGGCTATGTGTGCCAGGTCTCGGCAGCAGGAATATGTGAAACCACGGGTCGATTGACACCGAGTATATACAGCCAGATGGAGGCTGCAGTCAACGTGAGCTATGGATTGATCAACTATGCACCATTCTTGGTACAGTTGGAAGACTGCTCATTTGCTAGGCAGACATTCAGTGAGATACACAGGGAGCATTGTCCTGGACTGAGGAAGTACAGCAGGGAGATATATGTAGGGCTGGTGATAGTCTCCACTGCAGTTATGTTGTCTTTGATCTTCTGGGTTATCTACGGCCGAGAAAGGCGGCACCGGACGGGTGGAAAGCAGGAGCATGAGCATCAAGCTGAAGACAGGGCAGCTCATCAGGAGGTGGTGGAAGAAGGTGGAGAGATCAAGGAGCACTGAAGGTTTCTTTCCTTTTGGGAGCTTAAAATGTGGTGATGTATATTTCAGTAGTAGGGGCAGATTTGGGTTTGAACGATTAGAATTGGGGGAAATGATTTTGATACTCTTTCCACGGATTTGTTGGTTGTGGATTTGTGGTGCCCCTGTAATCAAATTGGGATTAGGTCCTTTGGATTTTATTTTGCTTGGAATTAGCTTTAACCAGCTTTAGCCTTGCTAGGACAAGGAAAGGAGAAATGAACTTCCTAACTGCAATGGGCCGGTGGCGAGTTAGGTCTTTGAATTCGGCGGAAGAATTGTCATGTCAGCTTAGCTGCCTTGAGAAGGCGGCCCAAGGGAGGGCCCATTGGGTCGGCAATCGTGACCCAATATATATAGGCTAAGCCCATTTATCCATGGTGAAGGGTAAGTGCTGTACCTGTACAGGATTAATCTCTTGCTTTGGCCATAATCATAAAATTAGGTTTGCAAAATTATTTCCAAATAAAATTAGCTCGGATATCTTTGCACGTATGAGCTTAAATAATATCGGTTCCCAACAACTTGCAATAATGCTAGAAATTTCGAATGGAGTGGGAATCAGCTGATTCTCCAATTTATCATGACTTTGCTTGTACACCAAAATAAAAGCCATTAAAATCACAACCTCCAGAGAAAATCTTATATATAATACCGAAATATCGAATTAGTGGCATTAAAGAATTGAGGCCTGCGTCAGTTTCCATTTGTCACAGCTGTCATGTTTACATTATATAAAAAAAACGCATTGTATCTCTACGACATTGAGATTTTAAACCTTGGATTAATCTAAGCTTCAATTTGGTTAATTATCTGTCCACCTGAGCTGTAACTTTTAATACATTCTGGGTTGTGCATGCATATCCTGTATTCACAAGAATTACAGCTTATAATATTGGGGATTTTACATTTGAAGTAACCATGTAGATTAGGATACACATGCGTAGGATCACTTTGTGGGATTGTAAAAGTTACTAGGAGTAGATTGCATATGTTAAATGTGGGATTGTAAAAGTTACTAGGAGTAGATTGCATATGTTAAATGACTAGTCTGTATTGTTCGCAACAGGTTAAGTATCGTTATGTAGTCTGTCATTCGTTCTACTACGGAATGAGAATGGTCTCGTGCCCTTCTCTCGCTCTCTCTTCTTCCGCTGACCTACGTATATAAAGTCTATCTCTCTCTCGAGCAAGCTCCTCGGGGGGGTTTTTACGGATGCAATTCAGAGTACAAAATGCCCTCGAAGGTATGATTTTTCTTATAACCTGCTTAGGGTATTACTCACATTACCAGCAGACTTGGATAAGTTGAGTATGTATAGAAAAGGAAAAGAAAAGTAAAACCACATTGTTTCAATAGTGGGTATGTGATGGTATGTTTAGTTTACCAAACCCGTAGCCACGCCTTAGGTGATATAACCATTCAAATAACACGTGATCTCGAACATAACCAATAGGACTATGGTCCTTACAATCATTGAGATTGGGATGTCCTAATAGGATCCGATTCACAATAAATGAACAGTGCATTTGCTTTTCACATGCAGTCAATGATCATGAATTATACAATACGTAATCTAACAAGCTCAACGTATTATGACATTTTAACCCTAATGAACATTCGAACCATAGTCTCATCAACATCGAACTGTGACGAGACAACACTAGTTATTCTCCATATTGACAGGATTAATTAGCAGGAACAAGGCATGTGCAGTTACTATGGGAGTGGTAAGCCATATGTGTACTATAGTCAACAGTAGTAGAGATGCAAATGAACATGATCGCTCAAAAGCATATTGTTAAATTGGGAAAACTTGTTTGACACCCAACTCGTTAACTAACAACTTTGCTTGCAAGTCAACTCAATAGTAAGTGAGCCAAGTTTGAGCTAGACACGAGAACTTGCCAGGCGCACAAGGTAACTCTATGTGTGACACGCAGAGCTTAGCTTGCGATCTAACTTGGTTACGGCTCGAGCTAGCTCGACTTTGTGCTTTGCGAGTTGGATCCTTTTGAGGTCAAGACTTGGCTTTATAGTTTTGTTTGAGCCCGGGCGACTGGGCGTCACTCGGGTCCAAGGGGTTTGGGGCGTCAGCCATGACCTTGAAGGGGTAGGCGCCCCGCCTCGTCAGAAGCAAGAAAAGAGAAGAAGTGTATAGAGAGAGAAAGTAGAGAGAAGTAGTAGTAAGAGTAGATAGATTGCCATTTATGAGGAGAGAACTCCTATTTATACACATTTGAGGGTTAGGTAGTGGTATGGGCGCCTGCCAAGCCATAAATGCTCTGGTCGGGCGCCTCAGACCTTCTGACACTGTTCATAGTCCTTTTTGGCAGAGGGTGTCCCCCTGCCCCTTGTCCTTGCTGATGTCAGGTGCCTGGCCTTGTCTCTTGTCTCCCAGCCTTGTCTTTTTCCTCTTGTCTTCTTTCCTTCTCCATGTCATTAGCCATGGTATTAATTCCTTAGTCACTATGATACCCTGTCAAGTTTAGTTTATGGAGCTCATCTCAATACAACTTCAAAATTGCTTGCATTGACTCGTAAGTTGATTAGATTATAACGCACAACATAACTTGATTTGAGACTATAAATATGCGATGAGTATATTCTCACTAATTATTTACAAAAATATTTTACATTTAATATAATGTTTTAATCGATAACATACAATATGATGAAAACTTTCACTTGAAGTTAAACTCAAATAGATCGAACTCGTGAGATAATTAATGAACATAACTCAAAATTGAACCAATATTTAATAAGCGAGGCTAGTTCAAAATCAACTTATTTTTAATAACCAGAACTAGATCATGCAGTTTAACCTAATCATCTTGTCTTAAAATTGCCTCACAAAAACACACATCACATCATTTCACAATATTTACCTCTTTCATGTCAATTCAAAACAATGCAAAACTAATCAATTCAAATTCGCTCATCCCAACTATTGGATTCTTTGCCAAATGAAACTATTTAACCGAGATTGCCATATCCAAACGATAGCTTCTCCCCGGTGAAAAGTGAAAAGTGAAAACCCTACGACTACGAGAAGAAAAATCCAAACTGTAGTTGAGAGTAGAGGAGTAGAGAAGAGAGAAGACCGAAGGGAACAGAGTGTGGCAATTTGTCGTAATAATCTGCACGCAACCGCCTTGTTTGGCAGAATGTCAGATGTGACCGTTTCCCGAGAAAAGCAATACACGCGGCACCTCCGAAGAGGTGACCCCAAAAGCTGTCAAACAAACGGCCCTTTTATCCCGTCCCCTTTGTGCCCATCGCTGCCCTTCCAGCCGTTGGATCAGAATCGCAACACCCCATCTGGCCTCTAGTCAAACGGCCAAACCCGCTCTCCCCACTAACTACAGTTAAACTAACCCACAGACATAGTCCATAAAGACAATAACACCCTTGTCACTCCTGTTTTACTACACTCCTGCCATCATCTCTCCAATCTATAAATCCTGCCCTGGAGACTCGCTAGGTTTGCCGAACCAAATAGCCGAAGGGGGCTCTAAAGAAAATACCCAAAAAGCCCCTCTCCCATTTCCTCCCCAGCCTTCTCCTTCCTCCTCTCTCTTCTCCTCCTACCCTTCCTTGGCTTTGAAAAAAATAGGCATGGGCTCGAATTCCAAGAGATCCAGCGGGCCGGTGCTCCGGTCGCTGTCTCCGCGCGGCCGATTCCCGTCGTACAACTCCGCCGGTCATCTCTCATCTTCCTCGTCCTCGTCGGCGTTCGCCTCTTCCACGAGTTCGAGCTTTTACTCTCCGCCGTCGGCCTTCTTCCGCACCACCGCTCCGCCACACAGATCCGCCTCTCCGACGCGCGTGAATCTGTACTCCCAGAGTCCTCCGTCGCCGACGTTCCGATTCTCCATCGACAGATCCACATCTCCCAATCGGAACATATCCGTCGCGACGAAGCACACCAATCACATCTCCAGCCTCCCCGCGAGGAAGACGTGTATGTGCTCTCCGACCTCGCATCCCGGATCGTTCCGTTGCAGCCTCCACAAGAACAGCCACCAGAACGGCCACGCCGGAGGGAGCTCGTTCACGCCGAACAGGCTGAACATGAGGAGATCCGCGATGACGAATTCGCTGGTGAGAATCGGCGGCGTGGAAGGTGACTGGGTGAAGAGAGCGCTGTCGGCTTTGATTCGACCGTCGTCGCACCAGCAGAGGAGGAGAGCGGATTTCCAGCACCGGAAGAGCCGACTCTCCGTCATGTCTAGAGCCGAGGATGGTGATTCTTGAATGGTATTTATGAATCAGAAAAAGGTTTGGTAAAATTACTTTTTTCCTCCTCTTCTTCTGATCTCCGATTCCGGCGATTCTTGCCTGAATCCGGTGGAGGCGCGGCCACGGCGCGGGGACGGGACGGGCCGAGAAGCGGAAGGAAAGTTCGGTCGGTCGACGGCCGGACGAAGCTTTGTAGACCTGGGAACCTCGGTAGATGAAAACAAGAAATTTTGTACATGTCTACAAATTGCTATGGAAGGAGATTTTGGGACCAAATAGGATATTTTTCATTTCCAGAAAAATTGACAGAATGGTTAAGGAAATCGGAATTGAAAGGAAATTAAACGGGGCTCAATTTAGCCAAACGGAATATTAAGCAAAGTTAACCGGCTTCCATTCCAGCCGGATCCGTCCTCTGACGTTTGCCGTAAGCGTCGGCGTGCGTCCGTTCCCCGTCCACCGTCGTCCGTGTTATTCGTCGTCGTCCGTCCCGTGTGTGCCGTCGTGATTCCCGTCAGCCTTCGTCGTTTCCGTCGTCATCATTTCCAGGTATTTATTATATATATTCCGTTAATTTCTTTCCAATTATATTTATGATTATTATTATTCCTTTGGCTCCGTTTACTTTTCTTCATTTCTCTGTTGGTTGAAGGTTAGGTTTGGAATCCAGGGAAGGCCAGCTCAGGAGACTCTGATTAATTAATATAATGATAATTATACTTTTCCCATTGCTTAACAAGTTGGAAAAGCTGGAAACTTCTGCGGGGGCTCTCTATATCGTCGTGTGAAGGACCTTCATTAGAGAACGATTTGGAGGAAACGAAAGTAACGTGATTAGTGACACTAATTAAAGAAATGGGAATTAAAATAAATAAATAAATGGAAAAGAAAGTGTCGACACTCGACAGACAGATGGGCTGATTAAAGTGCGAACAGCGAACACAAGAAGCTTGGTGGGAAATTAAAGCGGCAAATTCAAAGCTAAGGAAACGGAGAAACCAACCAGGCAACCACCTTGGACTAATTAATTAAGTAGAGTAACCGCTAGCTAGGTGAACTGCCATGAAACGTATGAACTCTCTTACAAAACTTATTACGACCGGTCTAACACCTACTTTTTACATCTGCGGGGGAAGAAAAAAAAATATTTCCATCAAGGCAAGAAAAACAAACGTGATGTTGAATTACTTATAAAAAAGAAGCACGGAACGGTAGTGCTTCTTAAATGACCTATGCCCACAGACGTATGGGACTTTTAGACTTTACCTTCAATCTAAACCCTAATGATCAACGTCGCACGGTTTTTTCTCTGGTCGCACGGTTTTTTCTCTCGTCCTGGAGAGCTCTCGTTTTTTCCTCTTTTGAATAGTGCGACGTTTTGTTTTCCCGCGCTGGCCGAGAGCTCCTTTCTCTGCTGGTTTCGCTGTGATTCTCGATTCCTCTATTCTGTTCCGTTGTTTCTCTGTATCTGTATCTCATCTGTTTGTGGTGCTCTCCCTCTGTTTGCCTGGTTTCACTGGCTCTATGGCTGATGAGATTGTGTTAAAGCTTTCTGGGATGGACCTGACAGAAGATGAAGAGGCGCTCATTAGTATAGACGAATCAGTTACCAGTGAAGGGGTTGAAGAAGCGATTAAAGAACTGGGGGTGGCAGGGAAGATTGTCACGGGCAAATTCCCTTCCGAGAAAATACTGAAAAGAATCCTAAGCGAAGCCTGGAAACTGAAGAAAGAGTTCGATGTTCAAGTAATGAGAAGTAATATTCTCAGAATCCAGTTGTACTGCGTTGAAGACAAAAACAAGATCCTACATGGGGGTGAAAAGAAGGGTGAAAAGAAGCTGGAAAAGAGCCCACAGGATGGTGAAACAACCCTCTGTGTGTATGAAGACCTTTCGAGGGAGCTAAAGGGTGCTAGCGTGCGGGATAGAGAAGGGAATGATCAGAATCAATGGGGTGACAGGGAGGAAGAACAAGGGAAGGAGACTCAAATCAGTGAACAGGTGACTACTAAGGAGGAGGAGGATAGAAGGGTTGTTGTTAAACAATTGAGGATGGAGGACATCTCTCAACTGAAACCTCTGATGAGTCAAAAGGAGGATGAAAGGAGGAAGTGGAAAAGAGTTGTTAGGAAGAAATCTCCCAATGATGAGCAAAATCAGAGTCAGGGGTCTACTGGAAAAAGGGGGGCACCAGAGGCTATGGACGTGGATGTGGTGTCCTGTGTAGAAAAACGTCCAAAAGGGAATACTATTACATCAGTGGATGGCGATGTGGCGGACCTTGCGGATGAGCAAGGCCGCCGAGCCCAATGAAGATCCTAAGCTACAACTGTCGAGGTTTGGGCAGCCCCTCGGCAGTTGCTAAACTAAAAAGGCTGGTCAGAAGGAATCAACCCCATATTATCTTTCTTATGGAAACAAAAAAGGATGAGAAAGGTTGGAAGGAAGTTCAAAAGGCTCTTGGGTATTCTGGTGGTCTGGGTGTGGCGGCTAGTAACGAGAAAGGTTGGAAGGCAGGGGGATTATGCTTGTTTTGGACGGAGGATGTCCTGGTCTCAAAACTGGATTCCTCCCTCCATCATATTGATGTTATCATTTCGTCAAACAATGAGGAGGAGCGTTGGCGCTTCTCGGGTTTCTATGGTTGGGCCACCAGAGGGGAAAGATTCGATTCTTGGAATCTTCTTAGAAGTCTTAGAAATGGCTGTAACCTACCTTGGGTTTGCATGGGGGATTTTAACCAAATTTTGTCGGGGGAAGAAAAGAGAGGGGGAAACCCCATTAATGAAGCTCAGAGTTTAAGGAAGCTCTGGAATTCTGTGGCCTTCTTGACTGTGGGTTTGAAGGTTATCCTTTCACATGGGAGAATAACAGGGATAACGACAGAAATATAGAGGAAAGACTGGACAGGTGTGTGGCAAACTGGGACTGGAAGTTGCATTACCCAAAACATAGGGTTCTCCACCTCGATTGGTGTGGGTCAGACCACTGCCCCATACTTCTGTCTACTTCCGGGAAGGAGGAGGATGAGATCAAGTGGGGCTGGTCTTTTAAAGTGGAACCATTGTGGTTAAAAGATCCTGAGAGTGTTGAGATAGTAAGGAAGATTTGTGAGACAAATGCTGGGGCTGGGATCACTGATATTTTAGAAAATTGCAAAACTGATTTGTTGAGCTGGAGTAAGCAGAAGTTTGGAGATATAAGAAGGAAAATCGAGAGAGTGGAAGGGCTTCTCAAGTCATTCAAATACAAACCTAAGACTAAAGTGGTCCTTGAATAGAGGAAAGCTCTTGAGTCAGAGAGAGCAGAGCTGATATACCAAGAAGAGCAATTTTGGCTGCAAAGGTCGCGGATGGATTGGTTCAAGGGAGGGGATAAAAACTCCAAATTTTTTCATACTAAAGCATCTGCCAGAAGGAAAAGAAACACCATTAGGATGCTTCAAGATGAGCAGGGTCGAATCTATAAGGGACAGAGGGAGGTTATGAGGTGTGTCAACGAGTACTACATGAATCTTTTCAAGATGGGTGCTGCCCCTGAGTCGGATGAGGTTATACAGGCTTTGGACAGGAAAATCTCTGCTGGTATGAATGAACAACTATTGAGGCCTTTCAAAGCGGATGAAGTTAAGATGGCCCTTGATCAGATGGCTCCCAACAAGGCTCCGGGGTCGGATGGTTTCTCGCCTGGTTTCTATCAGAAAAACTGGAGTGCTATTGGTGCTAAGGTAACAGAGACTGTACTAAACTTTCTAAATTCAGGCGTCATGCCTCCTGATTTTAATCACACTCTTATTGCTCTGATTCCGAAGGTGAAAACTCCCTCTATGGCCAAGGAGTTCAGACCTATTAGCCTGTGCAGAGTTATATACAAAATCATCTCAAAGGTGCTGGCCAATAGGCTTAAGATTACCCTTGATGAAATTATTTCTGAGGAACAAAGCGCTTTTGTGCCAGGAAGATGTATTACTGATAATGTTATTATTTCTTTTGAATGCTTTCAGTTTATGAAGAACAGGAAGAAAGCGAAAGATGGTTACTTTGCGGCCAAGCTTGATATGGCTAAGGCCTATGATCGTGTGGAATGGAATTTCTTGGAGAAGGTGATGAGAAAACTGGGATTTGATGAAGGGTGGGTTAATCTAATCATGAAATGTGTTTCAACTGTATCCTATTCGGTGCTTGTTAACGGGCATAAAACTGACTGTTTTACCCCCTCTAGGGGACTTCGTCAAGGTGATCCTCTGTCACCATACCTCTTTCTTCTGTGTGCGGAAGGTCTTTCTGCTCTGGATAAAAGGGCTGAGAAGGAAGGTAAACTTCATGGAATTCAGATAAGGAAGAATGCCCCTACCATCTCCCATCTTTTATTTGCTGATGACAGTGTGGTATTTGGAAGAGCAGTGCTGAGTGAATGTGATAAACTTAAAGAGATTCTTTGCTGTTATGAGAAGGAGTCAGGGCAGCTCATCAACTTTAACAAATCTGATATCTCTTTTAGTAGCAACGTGAAGACTAGCAGGAAGCTCGAGATTTGCGGAACTTTGAAGATCAGGGAGGTGGCCAAACATCCTAAATACCTAGGCTTACCTACTGTTGTGGGGAGATAAAAAAAGGCGATGTTTGAAGAGATTAAAGAAAGAGTTCGCAAGAAACTAAAGGACTGGAAGAGCAGGACGCTGTCCCAAGCTGGAAAAGAGGTTATGATAAAGGCGGTGGCCCAGGCTCAATTTCTTTACCCCATGGCTGTGTTTTTGATCCCTGATGGAATTCTGATGGAAATACAGAGAATGATCTCTAGTTTCTGGTGGGGACAGAAGGGGAAGGAGGTAAAGCTTCATTGGTTGAAGTGGGAGGATATGTGTGATGAGAAGGAGTATGGCGGGATGGGCTTTAAGGATCTGCGCATATTCAACCTTGCCATGCTTGGAAAACAAGTCTGGCAAATCCTCTCTCGTCCCAATTCCCTTATGGCTAGAACTCTGAAGGCCAGGTATTTTCCTAAGTCTGATGTGCTTAATGCTAAAATTGGCTATAAACCGAGCTTCATCTGGAGAAGTATAATGGCTGCGAAAGAGAAAATCTTAGAGGGCTTCAGGTGGCGTGTGGAAGACGGGAAGTCGATAAGGGTTTGGGAAGATGCATGGATTCCAGGCAAGAGCTACTGTTTTGCTGATCCCCAGTCGGGCGGGATGGATTCGAATGAGCTGGTTTCTTCACTGATCGATGAAGAGAATGGAAGGTGGGATGAAAGTAAACTCAGGGAAAAGTTCTCTCAACTGGACTTTGATCTCATTTCGAAAATACCTCTGAGAACCCCTCTATGCAGGGATGAAAGGGTATGGATTGACACTGATGATGGTTTATATTCTGTAAAGTCTGCCTATTGCAGGATTCGTGAAGATCAGGGAAACAACACTGCTTATTCTGTGTCTCTCTCTATGGACGAAATGGAATTCTGGAAGGCTCTCTGGAAAACTCATGTCCCTCCAAAAGTTCGAATGTTTGTATGGAAAGCAGGTAGAGGGATCTTACCGGTTGGGTGTCAGCTTGCGGACTGGATCGAGGATGCAAACACTGATTGCCCCTTCTGTGGGCTCCCGGAATCCCAGATGCATGCTCTTCGTGAATGCAGTTGGATCCGACGTCGGTGGCAGGTCTGGGAAGGCAAAGATATGTTTGAAATAGGGGAAGGAAAATCGTGCTTTGAGTGGCTAAAGGAATTATGGAACAGATTCTCAACTGAGCAAATCCAAAAGTTTTGTGTGGCTTTATGGTACCCATGGAAGGAGAGGTGTAACCATCTCTTCAACAACCCCAAGATCGACGAAGACCTGGTTATCCCCAAAGCGATGGCCTGGCTTCAAGCTTTCCTCAACGCTCATCCCCAAGACTCCACCATCGGTGTAGTGCCTCAAATTGGAAGATCAGAGGGGTGGATTCCTCCTCCTGAAGGAGTCTTCAAGCTGAATTCTGATGCTGGAGTTCTCGGGCAGATGGGGGTGGGTTTTGGGTGTGTGATTAGGGATTTCAGAGGAAGCTTCTGTGGTGCCACTGCGAAGAAGGAGAAGGGGGTCTGCAGACCTATTGAAGCAGAGGCAAGGGCAATAACGATGGGAATTAGAGAAGCAAATCGTAGGGGCTTTAGCCTGCTGATAGTGGAATATGATTGCCAAAAGCTCGTCAGCAAGCTCGGTAAAGTGGAGAAAGACCCTACTGAGCTGGGCGTTTGGTGTGACGAAATCAGGAGGCTGGCTAAGGCAAACGAGAGCATTTCGGGAGTTTCGACAGTGTGGAGGTTTTACCCAGAGGAAGAACAATTCCTCTGCTCATTGGCTGGCTCATTCTTGCCACTGCTGGGATAGACAGTTTGTGTGGGTGGATGACCCCCCTTTGTCTCTTCTATTTGTATTACAGGCCAATTTGGGTCTGGCCCGGTTTGGGCAAACTTGATTTTGATTGAATGAATGCAGGTTACCATTAAAAAAAAATCTAAACCCTAACACCAAAGGCCTTACCAACAAAACCAAACCATAAAAAAGTAAATGATGTGATTCTATTGTAGAGAACAAGAGTTGTGTCAAAACTATTAATGATGTGTACTCCTACACGGTGAGAAGTGATTCAAAGATGATTACGTAACGAACATCTATGAGATGAACTTCGAACCAAGTGTTGAGAACCTATTTAACGAAGAGAAAACATGTGGATAGATGAGAGTCACCTATATGTGTGACAGTGTGAGTGAGAACGAGACATGTGACTTGTAGAAATCAAGTACGGGTCGCAAACGAGGAGTAATTGTTTAAAACAACCTTCTTTGAAAGAGAAATCATGCAAAATTATTACTAGAAGTTTAACTCGAGCATAATGTTTAGATGAGTTAACAACTAGAATTATAACGGAGTACGTAGTAGATGACTAGGTGCCTCCCTAAATAATGCCACTCAATGAACGTTAAACTTAACTCAAAGGTGATTCCTCTTCCACCGAACCTAGCTAACATCCTTCTCTCCATTTCACAAGCTCTCCAACCTTATTTTTTCCGTTTCATTAAAAGGTTGGGCTAGCTTGATAATGAATCAATTAGTTGGCATAAATAAACAAGGGCCAGCACAAAAGGAGGAAAACCGGTGGTGGTCGTTGTAGTGGGGTTAGAGATCGGCTGGGAGGTCGATTATTCCAGTTGGGAGAAGAGAGGAAGGTTGGAATAATAATGGTGGGAAGCGATTATGCTTTTCCAGCACCATATAACCCATTTGCAGCCACTAATCTCTCAAACAAAGAGTCGAGACATGTGCACGAGCCAAGCATGGCGAAAGCTGAAGCACTTTGGATTAGCTGTATGCAACCAACCAAACAACAAGCAACGCATGTGGCTTCAAACTTTGCAAACTGAATCGATCATTAACCTAATTTCTCAAATCATTAGCGATAACGCCAGTGAAATTGGTTACTGTTGTCGTCGATGGAGCTGGACTCGAAGGCGGTGGGGGGAGACAGTACAGACAACAGAGGGACAGCTGGAGGAGATGATAATTTATTATTCTGGAAAGTGATGCTGCGGATCGGATCCATCATTTATCATCATCATCAACGCTCTCTCTGTACTAATATCATTGTATTGGCGCCATCATCATCACTGCCAAAAATGCTCTCTCGTACTTTTCATGATTTTAATTTGGTACCTGCTGCAATGTTTTTTCTTCTTTTATTTTCTTCACAATCTTACCTGAAGTGGCACTGTTAGTAGTAGCTATTGGGAAATTTAAATTTCATTTCCAGTGCGGATCTTTCTAAAATTTCATAGTTTCAACATTTTCATTTTTCTATACTCTCTTATTTTTTAGTAGAAACACTCATTTACTTATTTTGAAAAGTTCAATGCACAAAAAGCTAGTCCACCGCCTAAGGACATTTTGAGAATAGAAATCTCTACGATGTGTGGTCATCTCGATCACTTTCGAAGTGGTAATTTGATCTGTAAGACTGTAACCTCTAGGAGTATATGTATGATGATAGAGTTGGCTCTGTTTTTCGTTCATATATGTTATGCAGATGTTACGGAAGCAAGTGAATTTACTTGTTGCATTATGGGATGTTATTTTCTTGGTTTGATCAACATTCGTCATCAACACGAGTTGTTGAAATCTATTCAAAATTTGATGAGCTTTTATGCACACTTTTCCTTCAATTTTTGTCCGATTTGTTCTCAAATATTTGCTTGTTCTTAAATCTTAACCAAATCGGACCATCCGCACCCTAACAATATTCCACCCCATTGGTGTCACGATTTAGGGGTCGTTTGCTTGTTGAATTTGAAAGAAGAGGGTTTTGGCCAATAAAAACCTTGGGATTTATGTTGGATTTATTGGATTATGGATTTGAAGAGTCTAATATTTGCATGATAGATTTGATGATGGATTTGTGATGGATTTGTTAAATAAATAACTAATCATCAAGGATTTGCAAATCCCAAATCAATATGTGGGATTTACAAGTCCGGGGCGTCCACGGATTTGGTCTAAAATAAAGACCAAATCCGTGGACCCCACAGATTCAACACCCTTCAACAAACAATGAACTTATGTTAAATCCATCAACCTTGAGATTTGGATACCAAACTCACGACGCAAATACAACAAGCAAACCCAATAAGCAAACGACCCCTTAACTTCGAAGTACCGTATTGATTCTTGGATAAGCCATTATGCAATGCCACCATGCTGCTGCCTGGCGACTTCTGGTTTCCCCACGCCACGCGGCCACGGTCGAAATGGCTAGCCGAACTCGTGGGTTCAACTAACGAACTATCCTCTAAGCTTTACATTTACGCTCGCTAACCGCCAAGTCTTCTTCCTTTCTCTCACCCGGTTCCTCAACTGCCGCCTCTCATCCTCGCCATGCCTGCTACTTTACCTTCTCTCCGAAGATCGTCGCACTCACTCCTGCTCTCCGGCCTTCATTCTCGCCAACTCTCCAGCTGTCAGGCGTCGTCCTCTACCGTATCTACGTTGATTTCGATCGACGCCGCTGGTTCCGGCGCCTCCTCTAACTCTCCGCGCAACTCGAATCCAGGGAGCAGATCTGTGGTTAAGTGGATCTCCGCCGCCGCTGCCGGCGCAAGCTTCGGCGGATTGTACTACTGGTCACCGCCGCTTGATACCGATCACACCGATTTTCATCTCTTCAAGAAGCAGCTCTCGTCCTTCTTTGACCGGTCAGCGACTGTCGCGGCCGGCGAAGCTACTTCCGTCGGCGATTGTCGGCGAGAATCGTCCTTGTTTCACAAACTTTCTTTGCCCGAGTACAGATCGAAGTTCCTCATCGGAGGTGAGTTTTTTTAATTTGCCATTAGCTGATTAACCAGTACTGTAGTGAAGTCCAAAAAAAGTAATGATCGGTTCGGTTTAGATTCGTACAGGCGAAAGGTTTTCTTCAAGTACGAGAAACGAATAAGGCTGCGGAGTCCGCCGGAGAAGGTGCGGTTTCTAGTTTTGCAATTGGTGAACTATTGTACTCCCTATTATCTTAAGATTGAAATTGAGAGAAGCGTTCATATTTCCGGTGAAGGTATTCGAGTACTTTGCGTCGCACAAAGCTCCCAATGGAGAATTGTTCATGACGGCGGCGGATTTGATGCGAGCTGTTGTCCCCGTTTTCCCACCATCTGAATCGAACCTAATCAGAGAAGGGTATTTGACAGGGGAAAGGAGTCCCGGGGAATTGCGGTGTGCTCCTTCTGAGTTCTTCATGCTTTTTGATGTGAACAATGATGGCCTTATCTCTTTCAAAGAGTGCGTTTCCTCCAATTTCACATTGCATTGCTCTATATTGAAATGAGAGTTGCTTCGTAACCTTCTCACGCTGCTTTGAAAATGGTGTTTGCTATAATTGTTCCTTGCAACAGGTATATTTTCTTCGTGACGCTGCTCAGTATTCCAGAATCAAGTTTCTCCGTGGCGTTCAAGATGTTCGACATTGACAACAGCGGGTAGGTCCATGTTTCCATTCTCTATGTTGTATCGATGGGATTTCGAGAATCTCGTTAGACTAGTGTCCTGAAACTCTGAGAGTTGCCTGATGTAGGGAGATTGATGAGGAAGAGTTTAAGAAAGTGATGGCACTGATGCGAGCTCATAACAGGCAAGGAGCTGTACATAAGGATGGACTAAGAACAGGGTTTAAGGTTAGTGGTTGTGTGGAAAATGGAGGCTTGGTGGACTACTTCTTTGGCAGTGATGGAACTAAGCGGCTCCAATATGATAGCTTTATGCAATTCATGACGAATTTACAGGATGAGGTAAACTTCAGCCCTTCATTCCCTGCATCCTAGAACTGAAACTGTCAGAAGTTAGTTCCGGTTTATGGTTTATAACTTTGGTTGCTTCGAGGATATCTTTCTGCTTCCAGGATGAATCATTTTTCTCTGTACTTCTGCATTATTTGTGAGCTCACAAGTGTTAGGATTGAAATCTAGTGCCAAAGTGATTAATGGAAATGAAGTGAGCAATCTGCGTTATACTTTCTTCGCGTGATCCTAGTAATCTAGCAATTCTTAGTAATTTGGTCTTTGCATTGGTTTTATGTACTGTCCTCATTTAAACAACAAGTAAAGAGATCGAATAACGTTGAAAGAGTTACTTTGCTTCTTTTGCTGACGGTTAGAAGAGTTCTAAGCTTTAACTAGGTCAAGCGAATGATTTTTCAAACATATTTTCTCGGTTATTCATACGGCTATTCAAATCAAAGTGATCGTAGACTGTTTGTTGCTTACTTCGTCAGATATTGAGACTGGAGTTTGCTCACTATGACTACAAATCACGAGGGACCTTATTGGCCAAGGATTTTGCATTGTCCATGGTGGCTTCTGCTGACTTCGGCCATTTAGATAAGTTACTCCGTCGGGTGGAGGAATTAGACAATGACATGCACCTTCGCGACATGCAAATAACGTTTGAGGAATTCAACAACTTTGCGGAGTTACGTAAGCAGCTAAGGCCATTCTCTTTGGCTCTTTTCAGTTTCGGGAAAGTAAATGGCCTGTTAACCAAGGAGGATTTCCAACGAGCTGCATCTCAGGTATTTGAAACTTAACTCCATTAACATAGAGAATTTTGCTTCATCTGTTTGAGCTTTCCATCATACGCTAACCTCGACCTGCGATTGGTCAGGTTTGCAACATTCCACTGTCTGATAATGTGGTCGATATCATATTCCACGTGTTTGACATTGACCGTGACGGACATCTATGCTCAAAGGAATTTGTGAGAGTCCTACACAGACGTGAGAGGGACGTTGCTCACCCCGCAGGTACAGGAATAATGGGACTTCTATCGTGCTTCTTCAGTCGGTCCCCCGACTCCTTTGAACGTCTGGGTTTCTTAACTTCGATTTGAAGATCTTGAAGCCTTGAGAGGTACGTCTTGCAGATGTGTTTCAGTGTTTGTCACAAGAGAGCATTTTATGGTAGTAGAATATATATAGTAGCATCCAAACAAGTTCATCCAAACAAGTTCATCGATCTTACAGAGTTGCAAACACGCCACTAATTGAGTAACGAATCAGTTGTTCATCGAAGGCTCCATGGATCAGCTGTTGTTTCTTGTATAATGTGATTAATTAATGTCTAAAGCTGTAGTTGCACTCACTATATTGTATGAACTGTAGACCAAGTTCCACTCCAGATTTCGCTTCTGAAACATTGTTAACAGCTTACTACTCAATATCAAGATGTGATCACACACGGTCTTCATAGACTATACTTGTGCAAAGTGGCTGAACTTCATTCTCAAATTTACAAAGAATGATACCACCAATTTCTCAATACTGTGAACACTTCGAAAGCAGTTGACAAGGGTAAATGGTATTTGAAAAGAGAGAGCTCCAGGACATACATAGCCTCCCATTTTCACCTTACAAACCAAATGACAGGTGAATTTAGAGCAATCACAACCTCCTAGCAAACTTCCTAGGAACACTCCGTTGAACTGTCAGTAGGAAATTCCTTAAAAGGATGCAAAAACCAGAAGCAAGCACCGGAGTAGTGCCTAGGACAAGGATTTGAATGTTCAGCACAATCGTCAAGGCCTTCCACATTATCATACTAAAGCTTAGGGTGGCAAGTTACAGGCATCGAAAATTTGACTATACGAGAGGTCTGTTTACGAGCAAAACTAGCCATTGAATCCAAATGCAAACAAGGCTCCTGCGTTCAACACTATTCTAGCACCCTCCCGAGTCAAGCACGATAGACCACACCGATTCCTTCATGTCGGTCATTTATCTTGAAGAAACCATCACAGAAGGAAGCAGGCAACCAAACTGAGCTCATACGAATAAAAGGACTCACAAAATGTAGGGCTTGAGCTTACTACAAGTAGTTTATGGATCCGGCAACCTAAGAACGGAAGCAGAATCAACAACCTAGAAGCAGACAAGAAAATAATTCCTACTTGAACTGACCTGAGGGTCTTTTACCTTCCCATGAAAGATCATTGCAGTCCTAAACTCAGTACCCGAGTCCAGATCATCCAAATGAAAACCAATACGCTAGACGACATACACCCAAGAAGGGAAACCCACTCACTTCAATCCGTACCAGTTGAAAACAATTGACATGGCGTAATATACTGCGCAAGCTCTTTCGGCCACAACACATCGTTTCAACCTGCAAGAAGCAATCCTTAGGACACGCGGGAGTGAAGCTGGATAACCATCGACTCTAGTTGCAGTTAACAAAGAGCTACAGAAGTTCACATAGAATGACAGAGATTTGCAGAAACTATGGCAATCATGCTTTGATTCTCAAGTAACAGCAATTCCAGAGACTATAGAAGGGCAAAGTAATACAGAGCAAACCATTCAGGGCATCATGTAGATGCAATCACAGCATGCAGATGTAACCCCATCCAGTTTGGTTCTGACCCCCATGCGGCCCTTGTTCCAACTCTTGCTTTCAAAACCACTCCTGCCCATGTATTGTCTAAGAACTAAGGTGATAACATATGATGTAATGCCACCACACTTCGCAATGGAAACAAACAGAAATCATCCAAAAAAGGCACCACCACAAGCATCATATTCAATTCAGCTGTAATACTCCATAATAGCCACTATCTAAATATAAGCACATCTGCCTCCTACAACTGTAACAGCAGGGTCAACAGAGAACAAGAAGAGATTTTTTCATTTTGTGAGGTGATTTGTAAGTGGGATAGGGAGGGATTGTGGGTAGTATTAGTTTTTTCTAACTATTGTCTTGGCATTACTCGGGAAAAAAAAAATCTAATAAAGTGCGCCCAAATACCATTTATCACCCTATATCATTGTGCAAGGTCGTAAATCAGAGGCTATAAAACTACTAAATGCCCTTCCTAGATTGCATTCTATTATCCTAAAAATTATGGACATCGCCAAATATTGTCACCAACTAAAGTAATAAATTAGTAACATAATAATAGAGCTACCTGCCCAACGGGCAGGGTCAAAGCTAGTCAAGAATAAGCACATCTGCCTCCTACAACTGTAACAGCAGGGTCAACAGAGAACAAGAGACCGAAACCAAGGAATTGGAACCGGTAGTGTAATAGGGTGGCAGAACTACAATCACTGGATTGCCCACATACCACGACTGCTGTTGAGAAACGGAGCAGCAATGTCAGTAAGAATCAAATGGACCACCCCAACCCATAACCACCATACTGTTTGAGTCTCCTCACTGTTAACATCTTATAAAACTAAAGAATTTTCAACCTGCAAATACTTCAACCATAAGGAACCACCGAATGAGGTAAATAAAAGGAGGCAAAAGGCACATGTGCCACAAGAGAACTCAATGTTATGGGCCGTATTCAATAGACAGATACCAGAATCTGAAACCCACCTGCATAAAGCATTTCTCCTGAACACTCCAAAGCATTCTATAGGATTTATCACACTAGTAAAATGTAACCCATCTAATTGTTGATTCATAGAATTGTAGCGAACTTTTCCCATTTAGAACTTGGAAAGGAGAGATCCATCAAAGGCCATAGATCTTCCGATAGAGAAATTTCCAAAACAGACATTGTCACTGGAGGCCAGGAAAGTGGAGCAGGAACCAGGTGGTACCAGATGTACTACCCATTTTCTCCAAATTATCACCAGAGGCAAAGAAGGTGAGGTTCTATGCAGTGCAGGAACTGGATTTGAACCATATGTACAAACCTTCCAAATGCAATCACTATAGGCTGAACTGGAAAGTAACATTTCAGGCAACAACAACCCAACTTACTTCAAACCAAGCTGAAAAGAATCTAAAACCCAACTTACTTCAAACCAAGCTGAAAAGAATCTAACACTGAACTTTCCCATTAGATTTGCCTCCATAGACATTAATTGAGTCTCTCCAACGTCAAGTTAATATTGACATGTAGAAAAGAGGTAACACATGCACTGTTCAGATTTATCCCAAGGCTCACCTGATGAATAAACCTATCAACTCTATATTGTTCTGGTATTTCAACTGTTGAATCAAGTAAAAGTATATGAAGCCAGCAGTCAAACTAAATAAATAGCTCACATGAACGCCATTAATCACAAAAACAAAACTCTCTTCAGCTGTTTTCTTAGATCGCATCAATATAATAAGCATATTCTAAGTAGCTGCTGGGTTTGGCACCATAAATGGAGCAGAGTTGGGAGTCTTCCCTCCCAAGACTCGCAAATGTAAGAAGTCCACACATCGAACAAGCACATTGGTTTTATCATGATAGTTTCCCAGAAAACTTTGTTTCTGGTTCTAAGAGCCTTTCACTTGCACGGGAGACACTGTAATGCTAAAGAAAAGACATATATAGTGCAATCTTTTCTAGCCCAGCACCTTAGTTGTTAGTCAAGATGGTTATCAAAGTAGAATAGGCTACTTATCATGAGAAGCTCAAAATCAACCAACCCATCCCCAGACGAAACCAACTAGAGGAAAAATAGTGTAGTGAATCAAGTCACCTACGAGATGAACAGAGAGCTAGAAAGAATATGGTAAGTCTCATCTGCAGCCGGCTTGAACTGCCAAAGGCATCTAGATGGAAATCCATTTGCATCTATGAAGTCCACATTAAACAATACTAATCTCAAGGGTCTTGTTATTCCCTAAATGATTTGATTGTTTGCTTCAGCACAAGATTCTTCAATATATAGCTAATTACCCAGCTAAACGCATTATACTCAGTAAAGGACACCGAACTTGGTTAGAGGACAGAACCAATGGAAGAAATGTTAAATACCATTCATACAGGAAGGAAACCTTTTAGCCACAACTCTTCTTAAAAGATCAAATGATCTCCAGGGAAATATAATTTAGGGAACAGGGAAATATAATTCAGGGAACAAAGCTCGATAACCAACACTTCTAAAACTCGCAGGAAATTAATTGCAACACGACCCTAACCACCCCCATTGGACTCAAACTCTATCAAATCAAGTAAAATAACTCATTCCCAGCAGATTCGCAGAGATTACAAACAAAGTCTAAAGCGGATCACTTTAGATTTAGATACCAGTGAGGCACCTAATCACTAAGAGCTGGTTGATAACCAATTTACTTCCCCCACTGAAGTTTCATAGTGACAAAGAACGGATCATAGAAAGATTGCCTTATTTGCAATAAGGTACTCTAATCTTCTGCAACCTCTTAGCTATCTGTAAGGCTGCCCAAAACAATGCACAAGGAAAGCTAATAAAGGTAAGTTTCATACTCTTTTGCATGCAGTACCTCATGCTTGTATATGAAGAGACATTTGCATATTTACCTTCGGCCTCAACATTCTATTACTTACTCCTTTACACTAGTTGTTGCTGTGTAAACTCATATGTTAGCCATCTATTATGAGCTCGGGACAAGATTGGGAAGTCGTGATAAACAAGGTGATCAAATTTGAACTCAAGACTGAGGGATGAATATATTGAACACCAAATTTCCAACATAAGCAACCATTCGGCCAAAAATCCCAATAGGCAACAGAGTACTTCAAGGGCATACTCCCACTGATTGCAACTATTAAAGAGTATAAAACCAGAAAAAAGAAGGATAAAACCCGTCATATCAAACCATAAATCGATATGCTCCAGGAAGAGGATAACAGACAATAAAAGCATAGCCAAATATAGCCTTCCCTTTATTTTCATAACCATGGGACTCTATTTCCACAAATGCTTTCAAAACCAATCTTATCCAGCAAATTCAGAAAGGGCAGCTGTTCGAGCAAGTATTCTGATATTGAGCAAGAAGAAAGGCCTACTGTTGTAATCATGTTGGATACACAACAACAATAAAAAATTCAGAGATTGATACCCAGCTTTCCCGCATGACACTACAGTTCCGGCAGCTCAAAATGGCAACAAATCCATACCAGAATAAAGTTCTCTTCCAATGCTTCTGAATGATCAAGATATCAACATTCTACGATAATTCCCCAACTAAACCAACAGGATAATTTGATGCAAACTATTAACTTGAAACGAAGTTTCAAGGCTAATTCTCCATTCCAAAGGGCAAGCCAGCAGTAACCCACACGAGACCAGCAACAAAATTTCCCTCTGAAAGTTCAACCAGCACCCCACATCCCAAAAGGACGTTCACTCGCACCGTATTTTATTTCTGAAACATTTCACGTATCACAAGCATATTGTACTAAGACTTCTGAGTTCTGATGGTTTAAGAGGATGAGCAAGCGGGACTCGGCACAATTCTCTTTAAAGATCGGAAGTCATATCAGCACTACAAAATACAATGATGCGTTAGGTGGAGCAAAAGGGCAACAAGTCTAATCATGTTCCCTTCTAGGACTCCACCGTAGAATGTGAACTGATATGTTCAAGTGGGCAGAAGGGCAATCCAGAAGTATCCCCTTCTAGGACCCTACTATTTAGCATCATATCCTTAATCAAATTCAAACCACCAGGCACCAACGGACAATTAGAGGACAAATAGGTATCACAGACATACAACCAGATGGTTTTTCCCATTTGGTAGAAAATTTGGACAAGGCTTAATTTCCTTTTAGGACTGAAACTGTGGAGCATAAGGGAACTGTTAGTTCTCATCTATGACACCTTTAGCATATACCACGGAGTAGCCACCAAAATTAACTAATAGAGCAGAAAGGCAACTAGACTAGTCTGAGTTCCTTTCTAGGACCCGATTAGCATATACCATGGAGTAGCCACCAAAATTAACTAATAGAGCAAAAAGGCAACTAGACTAGTCTTAGTTCCTTTCTAGGACCCCATTAGCATATACCCCGGAGTAGCCACCAAAATTAATTAATAGAGCAGAAAGGCAACTAGACTAGTTTTAGTTCCTTTCTAGGACCCCATTAGCATATACCACGGAACAACCAACAAGATAACAAGCAGAGCATAAGGATTAACTCCCATCGTGTTCCCCAGAGAAGCACAGCAACCAAAACGATATGCAGGGCAGAGGAGCAACTCGAAAAAAGTTCTCGTCTAGGACCCCATTTGCATACACCTTAAAGAGATAAATTCATAGATGGGCAGAAGAGCACCTAGGACTATCAAAAGATCCCAACTCACTCCTTGGACCCTATTGCAACTGTTTTTACAGAATTAAAGAAGTAACAATGTCTTAGAATGCCTCTTCTCTTTGTCTGAATGTACTATACAACCGTCAGGGCTAACACGTTATTGATCTTGCTTCAACCGAGAGACCAGAGGCAGGAGCAAGATTTGGAAAACTTTTTTCCTTCAACTGATTATAAAAGGGCTCAATTTTTATAGTGAATTTTGTCTCACTTAAGTTCTCAACAAAAGCAACAATTCAAAAGAATCCCAACAGGCTCTGCATAGTCCAGACACTAGCTAGTGAAATAGACTTAGAATCCTGACTTGTGTGTTATTCAATGTATGTTTATATACAGGGATAGCAGCAACGGTATGCAGCTGAAGAATATCCACAACCACAGCCAGCCACTACACCTGAGGTTCAGGAGGAATGATACAACAGAAATTGCAACTGCTTGTTAAAGTAAAGGAGCTGTACAGAGTGGGTTTGAATGCGTCAATCAACATAGCTAATTCCTTATCAGCTAGAAACCTTTGCGTACAGGAAACAACATGAAAACCCATCAATAATGTCATTCCAATTTCCAACCACTAATTAGCTTATCCAAACAATTATTGCAATGAACAGAGAGGTTTAAAAAAATCACTTCAATTCACGCCCTCTATGATCAACCAATGGAAAGGGATCAATCCGAAAACATACCTCAACGGGAGAAGTGATGGCATCAGAAAATTCAACCCTCGAAGCTTATTACCATTTGTCGTCTGTCATCGGAGTAACAATTTCACACCATAAAATTCTATTTTTTATCACAATCGTAAAATCATCGGGGACACCAGCAACTACTTGGAGCATCACACTAATCTGTGAAGGATAGAGAGCGGCGACCGGTAATGGCATCCAGATAAAAAAGAACGATATCTTTCATACAAAGATTTCATCGATTTCTAGGGCAACCGGGACAAATAGAAAACAAGAAGGGAACTAGGGAAGAGTTTTCTCCCTGTACTTGAACGAGGATAAGATTCTTGAAGCAGACAGGAATAAACAAGGAGGAATAGAGACGGTGAAATGCTCTCCAAACTCAAGCCTCATAGAAAACCCTAAAAGGAAGAACCAAACTGAGATTGTTTACCTAATTTCCATCGATGCTCGTCCTTGGAGATCCCATGGAAGCTTATTGGGGGCAACGGTAACAATAGCAGGAACACGATGTCTTGTCAGCTATTTATAATTGCAATAGGAGGTTTGAAGTCGGTTCCGGCGTAGCCTCCAAGCTATTTCTAGGTGTACACGTTTACGTGCCACGTGGTGGACGAGTTGTAATTTTTGCTGACCTGCCCTGCCAGCTGGACGCATGCATAAATTTCGTGGCCACTTGTATTTTTTTAATAAAAAAGGACGCTCCACGAAACACTTTTCTGGCTTCTGGGAGCTTAAAGTCGGTTATCTTGCCAACTGGATTTTACTATTAATTAAGTATTAACAAAAGCAGAAAAAGCCCAATATTTACTCTCCACTACACAGCCCAATTAAAATTGTCAATAATTGGCCCACCGAGAATATGCGGTAACGCCACGTTGGGGATTTAATTAGCCCGACTAGTCCCACTAGTCCACCATTCAAATATAGATTATAGCCATAATATCATATATATTGATCGAATTTTGATGTGAATGATATTTTTCTGCCTAAACTTTCTAATAATATGGCTAGGCTAAGTTTTGAAAAAATTGACAAAATTTTTTTTCAATTTTGCATTAATTATTAATACTATTAGTCAACCATTTTCACTTTTTATATGTTAGCAATTTTCACCGTTAACGAGTCAACAAAAATAGCTTATGTGGCTGACATGTCATTAGGTAATTATTTGTCAAAATTAAAATTTTCAATTTCGTAATTCAATTTAGAGAAAAAGATAAAATTTACCCACGTATGCCACAAATTTCGATCGACTCTCTTTTCTTCAAAACCCTTTCCCCAGAGTCTGTCTGAATCCCACGCAAAGTTCCTCTAGCGGCGAGCAGTTCTTCTCAAGCCATCGTCCCCCCTCTTTTATATTTGTTCCTCTCATATGGGGTCAAATCGACGGATTCTAAGCAGCGCAAAAGAGGCTCGAGGGCATTTAAGAAAGGCGGCAAGAGCCAACGAGGGGGAGGAATGAAAGAAGTTTTCAGGTCCCATCTGGGCCGGGGTGCTTGTGTAACGGATCCATAAACTTCATATATTTGGGTTCCCTCCAAAAAGTAATTTTAAAATATATAAAACTTAAAATTTAGAAAATCTTAAATAAGAAAATATCATATTACTACAAGTTACCACAAAAAGTTCTTTTAATCTAACTCATCATTCTTAACAAAATAATAATAATTCTCAAGATCGAATAAGATAAGTGATCAAAATCTTTTGGAAATCGTATGTTATATGGTGGGGGTTAAAGGGTAGCCCGTGTGTTTAATTTTATACTTTGAAAATTTGGTGATAAGGGCTACGATTTTATACTTACATTTATGTTAATATTATAACAACAAATGAAATGTAGTAAAGTGAAAAATAGGTTTACTAACAAAATTATATAGACAAAGTAAGTGGAGTGATGAGCTGAGATTTTTGTTTTAAAATTTTCATGTCATCTAGTTAACAGTTAAACTTTATAGTTGACTGCCATGTAGGATAAATTTAACAGAGTATAACAATTGTTGACTAACGAAGAAACGATTCTTAAAATTAGTGACGAATACGAAATAAAAACAATTCATATGACAAACGTTTAATATTTGTGTAATTCGAGTAAAAAAAAAGTCCGGCTGCTTGCAAGTTGTAAGACATGGGATCAAGTATCAAGTATAAAGAGAGTCGCTTGAAATAAGGCGCGCCCGCCCGCCCGGCCAATGTTGGAAGCCCAAGTTTCGGCAATCCATCTCTACTCGACACCCTCTTGGGCCTTAGTGGTAACATGATACTGACTTGGAAGAGACTAATAAAAATCAACATTCAAAAAATTTAATATTTTAACTAATAAAAAGTTACAAAATTATAAACGATAACATAAAAATTAATATTTTAACTAATAAAAAGTTACAAAATTATAAACGATAACATAAAAATTGTTAATATTTTAATACATTATGAAAATGTAGATAATTAATAGAATTTTAATAGGTTTGGTTAATACAAAAAAATCTAAAAAATATTTGGATAAAAAATAGACTTTACTTTTTTCGTGGATTAACTTAGACTCTTAGAGACATAATCATAAAGATTCTTAAACAACATTTTTTCAGTTTATACATTTGACCTGCTAGTCAAATATTTGTTTTAAATTACCAATTTAAGGGGATACGCGGATGACTGAATTGATGATTAATAATAGAGATGGTAATACAAGTTGAATATTTTCCAGCCTTTTTCGGCTGCTATGTCTACTTGTGCAGTCCTTTTCCAGGTCGGCTGACCAGTTCCATTTTCTCATCCTGACCAGAAATGGGTCGAGCTTGGTTCAAAGTTGAAATGAGCAGAATCCAAAATCCTGCGATCTGTTACGAGAAATATATCGAGAAATATGAGCCACAAAGAATAAGTGGCAGAACATTGTCGATTTAGTTATTCATGTTTTTTTTTTGGGTGGAGAAACGGGATGCTAAGGGCACCCCAACCTTCAACTAATGCTAATTAAACGAGGAGTAAGAACTCCAATACAGTCAAAGTACAGCCAGTAGTTCAAAAGTGGACTAGGAACATCCACAAAGTGGTCACCAGGCGGACGTCCATGTCCAAGAGATGCGAGGTAGTCAGCAACGACGTTCCCTTCCCTGTACACATGAACAACTTCTACCTGCCAATCAAGGGCTTGCAGCCAACGCACTTCCGAAATCAAAGCCAAATGGGGATGCCGCTCTCCTGCGCTGCCAATAAGATTAATCGCTGCGAGGGAATCAGTTTGGAGTTGTACCTGCCGGAATCCCATTTCCCAAGCTGTTTGCAATCCAAAAACTATGCCTGCCAACTCCGCCTTAGTAATTGATCCTTCTCCCAAGTTCCTAGAGAAAGCTCTCAGCATACGGCCGTCTTCTCTTCTGATAACTCCTCCTGCCGCCGCGTTCCCACTAACCACCGAACCATCCGTATTAATGCATACCCAACCTGTCGGGGGTGGCGTCCAGGCAATGAGCCGCCGGGTAGTGGCTTGGCTCCCCGCGAAGACCCGGGCAGCCTTAGTCTCCGCCTCCTCAATCTGTTTCTCCATAGTCACCACTCTGCAGGCTAGCGAGTGTATCGACTCTATCTCCTTTTCGAATACCCATTTATTCCTATTCTTCCAAAGAGACCAACACATCACTGCAAACCTGGTTGGTGCCACATGCAAGCTGCGGCCAGGCAGATAGTGTAGAATCCATCTGTTCATGTCATTTTGGAAAAAGGCTTTATCAGGCTCCTCTTGTAGGAATTCCGCCCAGGCAGCACGAGCATAGAGGCAATCGCGTATGACGTGCATGGTCGACTCCTCATCTCCTCCACAAACTTGACAGGTGGCCACCGTGGTTAAGTGTCTCCGTCGCCGTTCACAATTAGTGAGCAGCCTCTGGTGCGCTACAAGCCAGAAGAAGGCTCTGATCCGCTGAGTTGCAGGGATCCGCCATAGCGTCCTCCACATAGGGTGTGAGCCGCCGGGATAATCCTCCACCTCCGTCAAAACATATGCCGACTTCAACGAAAAGCACCCATCTGGAGTTAAACGCCAGACTGCCACGTCCTCACCTTCTCCATTCGGGATTGGGTGGAGCTGAATGAGGCTGATTATTTCCTCCTGCAAAAAGGCACGTAAATACTGCAGGTTCCACTGACCGTTAAGTACCAGCTCTGCTACCGTCAGTGATAGTGCTTCTTGCTGTTATTCATGTTTAGCATTAAGGAGAAATATATCGAGAAAATAATATTTGGTTTTGGTGGGAGTACTACAAAGGAATAGGCATATGCAGAGGCCCAATAGGGTTCAAAGAGTAGATTGGCCCAACAAGCCACAACGGGGTAGGAGAATGGAGGGGCGTAGCGACAAAACCCGCTAGGATTCAAAATAGTACAAATTGTCGATGGTCTTCACCTGGGCACCTAGTTGTTGTCATAAAAAGTTGGCAAGATGGTCGGGACGCCTAGTCGTGGGATGGTACAGAGCATTAAATGCGATGCTGACGTAGGACGGGAAGGAAGGAGCCTTGTCGAAGATTTGATGAGTATAAGTAGTGCTGATAGGTAACATTTATGCAGATCGGATTCTCTCTCTAGAATTCAGACTAATTTGATCGTTGGAGGATTAACAGGCTCATGTGTCCTCCTCTGTGTGTGTGGTGTGCAGGTGAAGCGCCTTCAAAGATTCAGGGGAGCCTCAGACGCACGAAGATCCGGGTTCACGGGTATCTAGGCTCCAACAGGTTTTAACAAAACCGAAATAAATGATGATCAAGGTATTAAGGTATCGTTTGCTTGTTGGATTTGGGTGATGAATTTTGGCACCCAAATCCCAAGCATCAAGGACTTAGCACAAGTTCATTGTTTGATAAGGGACACAAATCCGTGGGGGCCACAGATTTGAACAATTTTTTTAGATTCAAATCCGTGGACCCTGCAGATTTTTAAATCTCACATTTCATTTGGAATTTGATAATGGAAAGCAAATTTGCGAGACAAGTCCATCATAAATCCATGATAAAAGTAACTAAACATACACAATGTACTCTTTCAAATCCATAATGTAACAAATCTATCATAAATCTAAAGGTTTTTAAAACTCAAAACCCTCATTTTCAAATTCAACAAGCAAACGAGCCCTTAAACTTCACTAATAAAATTCAAATTCGAACTTATCGTCATGCCAAAGTTCTGTCGAAGATATTCATGTCATCATAGAAAGAGTAAAATACAGATTGCACTGCTACTTACCATATTATAAAATTGAACTGAAATCATTGCGGACCATTATGAAAAAAATCATTGCGGACCAGTTCTTTGATAACGGGATATGACACAAAAGAAGGCCAACGTGCGTTGGATTTTGCCTGTAGCCGTAGCCTGCCAGCAACGGACAAGCTTGCACATTTTACTTCCTGCTTTCAATTCAGCACCTCGAAATGTTGATTTACACATTCCAATCCCTTACCATTTTCATGTATTGCCAGAGCTGTATTTTGAAGGCACGGTTCTGCTCGAGGTGGCTCGTCATCTCACTTACATTCTTCTCAAAGCTAGTTGTGATATAGATAGGAAAATATGAAAGGAAAAAAATTGTATTGTAGGGGCGGGAATGTGAAAATGAGAAATTGGGGAGACTAAAATGGTAAGAGAAAAAAAAAGGGAAAGAAAAGACTGGTGTGGTGGGGAGCAAAGGACAAATGCCACCGAACGTTGACCTAAATTCTCAACCGGAAGAGAAGAGGGCAGGCGGCAGGAGGCCTGGCAGGAAAGACGAAACCCTAGAGAGCCGCGAGATACGAATTGAAGCAACCAATCAATACAGAACAAAAAGGAAAGAAATGAAATTCTTAAGCAGGCCGCGTTGTTAAAATGTAAATTCTTTATTAAATTCATTGAATGTCTGTCTCTGTAATAAAGCCCTTTGTTCTTCTGTTCTGCAGCTTCTTCCATCACATTCCTTTTCCTCCTGCTTCATTTCATTTCCATCCTGAAGCCTACCTTTCCATTTCTGCACACCAAGAAATTACCCCCTACCAAATTTGACCTTTCTCCCTGTCAACCTGGATTGGCTCTGTCAATCTCTGTCCTACAGAGACAATTGATTCGGAGTTCTTCCAGAGGGATATAAAAAGGGCTTTTTTTCTCTGGGTTCCCCTGTTTTTCTCCTTCTAATTCTTTCTCCTCGTGTTCCCTGATTCCTTAAATTTGTAAAGTCGGGGGCTTTATTCATTTTCCGCACAATATTCATCTCTTCCCGCTCTTTGTTGTCCTGGGTTTTGGCTTTTGTGGTCTCTCGTTTTCTTGATCTTCCGGGGCAGCTGGGGGTTTTGATCGAAGAGTCGGAAAGCAACTTGTTATTTCTCCTGGGTTTTGTCTTTGATTGCTGGTTTTTGCTAACTCCGTAGATCCCTGAAGAAAAAATTACAATCGGGAAATGGGAAAGCCAACGGGGAAGAAGACTACTCCTCAATCTCCCAGAACGCCGAGAACGCCCAGAAGCGATAGCAGCAATAGCAACGTTAAGCAGCAGCCCAAGCTATCTTCCGATAAGTCTTCGAAGGCCTTTGACGAGGACACAGCAATCTTCATCAGCATGGCACAGGAGCTCAAAGAAGAAGGCAACAGGCTGTTCCAGAAGCATGACCATGAAGGGGCCATGTTAAAGTACGAGAAGGCTGTCAAGCTACTTCCCAAGAACCACATCGATGTTGCTTATCTGCGCAGCAATATGGCCGGTTGCTATATGCAAATGGGTCTTGGTGAGTATCCTCGAGCTATTAATGAGTGTAATTTGGCTTTGGAGGTTTCTCCCAAATACAGTAAGGCCTTGTTGAAGAGAGCTAGATGTTATGAGGCCTTGAATCGATTGGATTTGGCTTGGAGAGATGTTAAGCACGTTTTGACCATGGAACCCAGTAACTCTGCTGCCCTTGAGAGTCTGGAGAGTATTAAACAGGCTATGGCTGATAAGGGTATGAGTTTTGATGAACAGTCGGTTGCTGCTGAGGAGGCAGAGAAGGTTGCTGGTGCCTCTCGTTTGCGGAAAGTTGTGAAAGAGAAGATAAAGAAGAAGAAGAAGGGTGATAAAGTAGAGGAGAAGAAGGCAGATGAGAAGGAGAAAGTTGTTGTGGAGGATAAGAAAGTGACTCCTGTGATTAAGACGAAAGAGGTGATTGTGAAGACTGTTCAGGCTGAGAGAGTGGTGACGAAAGAGGTTAAAGAAGAACAGAAGCCGGTTTCCAAGACCGTGAAGTTGGTCTTAGGGGAAGACATAAGGTGGGCACAGTTGCCTGCGAATTGTTCTGTTGGGTTGCTAAGGGATATAGTTCTGGACAGGTTTCCTGGCTTGAAAGGTGTTCTTGTGAAGTATAGGGACCAAGAGGGTGATTTGGTTACTATTACGTCCACGGATGAGCTGAAGTTAGCAGAAGCATCTATTGGTTCACAGGGATCTCTTAAGTTCTATGTTGTCGAGGTTAGTCTGGATCTAGAGCCAGCTTATGAGCGGACAAAGAAAGAGGAGAATGGAAATGTTGGCAGCCAGGAACAAACCCTTGTTGTTCCTGAGAATGGGAATGGTGGGGGAGGAAGCAATGACCCCCAAAACGAGGCTGCTTCTATCGATGATTGGATTATCCAGTTTGCGCGACTGTTCAAGAACCATGTCGGGTTCGATTCTGATAGTTATTTGGATATTCATGAACTGGGGATGAAGCTTTACTCAGAGGCAATGGAGGATACTGTAACAAGTGAAGAAGCCCAGGAGCTGTTTGATATTGCTGCGGACAAATTTCAAGAGATGGCAGCATTGGCCTTATTCAATTGGGGGAATGTTCACATGTCAAGAGCTAGGAAGAGGGTCTTTTTCCCTGAAGACGGTTCCAGGGAGACCTTACTGGAACTAATTAAGAGTGCCTATGAATGGGGGAAGACTGAATATACGAAGGCTGGAGAGAGATACCGCGAGGCCCTTAAATTGAAACCAGATTTCTATGAAAGTCTTCTGGCACTTGGTCAGCAGCAGTTTGAGCAAGCAAAGCTTTGTTGGTATCATGCTATTGGTAGCAAGATCGATTTGGAGAATGGGCCTTCTGAGGAGGTGCTAGACCTGTACAACAAGGCTGAAGACTGCATGGAAAGAGGTATGCAGATGTGGGAGGAGATTGGGGAGCAGCGCCAAAATGGAATCTCCAAATTTGACAAGTATAAATCTCAGCTAGAGAAATTAGGGATGGACAATCTATTGAAAGAACTATCACCTGAAGAAGCTGCAGAGCAGGCGGCAAACATGAGCTCCCAGATAAACCTCTTATGGGGAACTATGCTGTATGAACGTTCTGTTGTGGAGTATAGGCTAGAGCTACCAACTTGGGAAGAATGTCTCGAGGTTGCCGTTGAAAAGTTTGAACTTGCTGGAGCTTCTCCAACAGATATAGCAGTTATGATAAAGAACCACTGTTCCAATGTAACAGCTTTTGACGGTAAGTATACAGATACTGACTTACAACTTGCTAATTTGTCTCCATTTTTCTTTTTGTTCATGTGCCAGGACTATAGAAATGTTGAGATTTTAAGTAGTTGATCTTTTCTATGGCAGGTTTGAGCTTCAAAATTGATGAGATAGTACAAGCATGGAATGAAATGTATGATGCTAAGAGGTGGGAGATTGGTGTTCCATCTTTTAGGTTAGAGCCATTGTTTCGTCGCCGGGCTCCAAAGCTTCACTATATGTTGGAGTCATTTTGATACTTTATGGGTAGTTGGGCATTCTTGGAGTGTTGTTATACAGATTCTTCAGATTTTTTGGTGGTCCATCTTGCAAAAGGGTTACGTTGTTACCAGTCAAATATAGGTAAGCATTTTATCTGTTCATCTAGTAACTTTGAACTATTGGATTTAAGTCATGCCATATCCTCTTCTGTTGCTTTCTAGTTATCCTGGAAACTAATTTCTAGGGTCGCGAGCTAAGGCACTAAGGTAGAGTTTGGTTGGAATTATGTGCTTGTAGTAGTTCCATCAAAATCCAAATTGAGGATGCTCTGATAAAAATCTGATATCAGTCCATGCATATGCTAACTAGTAGGGTGCCTAGCCTATGTAGTTGATTGTATGTGCATAGAATATGACTTAAAAAATACTCCAACTAGTTGTGGTTGAAAGTTGAAACATCTTAGGTGAAGAACTCAACTATGAACAAACAGAGATTTATGTGATGAAGTACTAAATCTATCCACTGCAGACAAGCTGTGCTTGTTGCTGACTTCTGAAGGAAAATAGGTTGAAGTTAACTTTTCTGTACATCGGATTGACGATAAGTTTCACTTGATAAATTATTTTCCGATGCTGGGTTGCTTTGAGTATGATTTGGAGCTTCTAGAAATTAGTGTTGTTAGCCAGTGGTTTCTTTAGTTGGTGCTTTGTTTAGTCGACATTTGCGTGTTCTGCATTTATAAGCAGCTTTCTGTGGTTTTCGTCGGACTTGTATCCTAGTAATAACCATAATTTATCTAATATAATTCATTCTGTCAAATTGGACATCTGCTGTCTCTGGATGGTTTCAGCATGCCTATTAACCCTTCTCTAGATAGTCCATAAATGAGAACCAATTTTAATCCAGGTTTCGTTTAGATATCTTGAAGTTGCAGGTATGAATCAAAATTCTTTAATTCCATGCGTTCCTGCATAACAAATTTGAGCTAAAAAACTAGGTTCATATGCATTACCATCTATTGTTCTAGTTTCTACTATTCCTATGGCTCTGGAAATTATCTGAGCTGCTTTTCTATACATGCTTTGAGTGCCCATGGGGAACTGACTCCTGTTTTGTTTGTGATTGCAGGTCTTTTTTCTTTTATTGGATTTGGAACTTGGGTAAGTTTCAGTTTTACAGCTATTGTTTGCTCGTGGAGAGCGAATGATGGGTGGAGAGTTTGGTGTTCTGGGTTTGGAAAGTATTGAGCTTTCACCCTCCATTTTGGCTTGGAGGGGATTTTGGATTTGGGTTGTGAAGAACCAGCACATGTTGCTCACGTTTACTTCCATACTTTTGGTTGCTTTTCCTGTTCTGGGTGGTTTTGGCTTTTTTTTTTCTTTTTTCGTTATGGGTTATAGTGTAAGTTTTTTTTTTTGACGAATTGTTATATTGTAAGTTAAAGGGGTGGAAATAGAAGAAGGGTATATGTTGTGTTTTGTATCACTGAGAAACAATAAAGAGTGGTGGCAAAGGGCAAAAAGCCACTGCCTTTTGATCGTTGTTGTATATTTGGGGATTTGATGCTTGTGATATTCCTACTGTTATGAATAGCATTCAATTGTTATTTGTCTTCTCTTATTGTGGATGGAATTCAAGGATATATTCTTTCCGTACTATGGCGATATCTATAATCTAATAGATTGCAACATTGTTGGATTTACGCCAAAATCTTTCATTTGCTTATTTCACGATAAGTTGAAATGACAATGGAAGTTATATTGCAACTTCTCCGCTTCAAAATAGAAACAAGGTCAAAGCAAGTTGCCAACAGATTACTACAATCGAACAAAAAGCACAACACTAAAAGGGCCTTGTACTATTCTATCTTCTTTTCCAATCAAGCCCCTTCATCGCCTCGATCACCTCAGCTACGCTCTTCCTTCATTGCAACTTGCATGTTCGTTCTCACAAAGCCTCCCTCAGCCGGAAGGCTTTTGCAATGCGCCGTGCATTGTCGTAGTCATTGAGCTCAACCAGCATCTTCTTCAGACGTCGAGCAAGCCCACTAGTCTCCCCCTCGCTCACCCCCAAAGCCGCCTGCTTCTTCTCTAGCGTCCTTCCTAGTGATACCACAAAGTCCACCAGCAACTGCAACTTGCCACTGCAATACAGATCATGGAGACATATGCTCAGTACACAACCAAAAAACAAAAAAAAAACAAAAAAGAAACAAATCGGGTGTGCTTGTCAGACGACGGAATAAACATTTCATATCCCATCAAGTCAGGCTTTTTGTAGAATCTTTCCCAGCAACACTTATTTTCTTATAACTTAAAAAAGAAGACAGCCAAAGCTCAAACAAACAGAGAAAAGACGGCAAGTACCTGCTATCCCCAGTGACATTTCGACCAGTCCAAACCCCGGACAAAGAAGAAACAATCCTCTCAGTTCTAGCAACCGCGTCATGAACATCCGACGAAATGTTTTGAACATGAGGCAGGACCTTCTTGCGTAAGAGCTCATCCAGAGCAAGCTCCTCTAGAACTGGCATCGCTAGGATATCCTTCCACAAGCAAATATTCCTAATCAAACGAATTGAGACTCCAAACCGATATGCTGCAACACGTGATGCATTTGGAACTGCCTTTAGAACGAGTGATCCCCAGTTAGGAACCTACATTCAAAGCACGTAACAGTTTCAACTTCAGAATCCATACATTTGCATAAACGTCTTTTTAAGAACTCTGACATTTCATAAAAGACATACCACGATGTTGGATACTGTATCAGCCAGTCGAGTGTGGACCGCAACTAATAGTTCTGATAGAGCCCGGCTTGAAGCTGGAACATAATTTATCACCATGCTTGTGGCAGCAACGGCATTTCCAGTTTCCAGTGTACTGAGCGTGTCCCAACAGTGAACAATTTGGTGATGCAATTTTGGGACAGCAATTTTTTCCACCAGTTGAGGAACAAGATTGCTGTCAGAATCCTCTGAATTCAAATCAGATGCTCCCTCTGGTATACCATAGTTGAATAACTGAGAATGCCTGCACAAGAAAAGTACAACTGTTTAGTCCAAAACAAATTTAAAGAATTACCCAAGATGTACCTGTGAGGTAGACTGCTAAAACAAACACACCCAAACAAAAACAAGAAAATCAAACAAAAACAACAACCATTCCAAACGAGAAGTAGATACCAATTCATGTCAAAGAAGTCATCAGATTTGCGTAGAGGGTCCCAGTGAAGAAGCTCCAGTCTCACGTAGGGAGAGAAGATTGCTGGCACACTGAGCGACATGTACGCATCCCGATAGCTCGCTGCATATTCCTTTTTCCATTTCTCTAATCTTTCTTTCACCACCGAAAGCTGGGAAAATTCCTCGGAAGCGTCGCTCAAAATTTGATCCACTGGTTCAAGACACCTATCCCGACTTGACCGGTAAGCTTCACTCTCACTCTCGCTCTCTTCAGTGCTTGACTCCCCTTCTATTTTCCGTTCAGCGGAGCTGTCATCAACTTCCATTGATGATGAAATTCTCTTTGAATCAAACTTAGCTCTCCTACGTTGTCGGGCTTCAGCCCGTCGCTTCATCTCCATGCGCTTATACATGCTCATATCTCTCCCCAGTTCATCTAATTCTGGTTGAGTTGCTGTTTCTTGGATTTTCACGGCCGCCGAAGCAGTCTGTGCAGCACTTGCAGCAGCACTAATCATCAATGGAGAGTTGCCACGTTCCTTAAAGACCAACATTGCTGCTTTGACAGCTGCATCTACTCCCAACATTTCATCATGATCATCGGCAAATCTTCGTTCCAAGATGGCGGCTGCACGCTCCTCTTGAACCTTTTGAATTCTCTCTTCAAGCTCCTCTATATAAGCTGCTTTATCCTGAGAAAAAAGAGAAGGAAAAAGACAACTAATAAGCATATACATATCAAGCAGCAGTCCATGCCTACTGATAAAACTGTAACTAGATACAAACAATGGACCAAGCACTAAAAAATTTCACTTCAATGCAGTGGGAAGTACAAGTTTTAGTGCTAAGAAGTGCTCTTTAAAAGAAAATAATGTTTTCAGACCTTAAGTACTACTCGCAGGCCTTGTTACCACTTAAAAGGTGTAATCATTCACCAAGCATCTTCAGACACTATAAACAAGCTTTGCCCAACAGAACAGAACCTCTCTTTCAACCAAAATTACTTACAGGGCGGAAAAGAATCCCTAAGAGGCAGAATCTGTTCAAACAGAAGAATAATTTTTGGGACGCTCATGCCTATAATCATTGGTTGAAGTCAAACAAACCCTCTCCTTTTCTAAATAGTAATATCAGAACTAGAGAACTGGATAAGATGTAACTAAAAAGAGTAATCTGATGGTCTCCATTCTCCACTGTGCAGAACAGATGCATATGCAAAATGAATGCGAAAAAAGAGACTAAAGAAGAATCCAGTAAGCTAACAAGCTGCTATCTAGAATTATGTTCAACAAGATCAGAATGCAAAAATCATGTATATTCAGCATACACAAAGAATTAGAGAACGCATACCTGCAAAAAGTCACATAAAACAGAAACAAAGTCACGAAGCCTTTGCATAAAGATGAACTTCTCACCAGCAACTGACAAGGACCCTTCAAGAGCAGTAATATTATCCAGCGAGGAAGTTAAGTTCTCGTCAGTTCTCTCTAGTGCTGAAACAGTTCTATCATGGGATTCCTACAAGACAGGGAGAAAGATAGGTAAAGTTAGACTACTCATCGGATCATTGCTCTTGCTTAAAACAGAGAACAAAGGTTGCAACTTGTAACTATCATGCCAAGTGAACATAATTGCACAAAAAAAACAGAATGATAGCCAAGAAAATAGAGCATACTCGGAGCCTCCTGGCATTATCTTGTAATGCCTTCAAAGCAACATCGGCCTGTTGTGGAATTGTCAAGTTATCCAACCCTTGAGATGCCCCAAAACCTCCTCCGATGTCTAGGTACGCACTACTGACCCTATGCTGCTGCTGTGGTAGTGGTGGTGGCGGCATCATCATCGTAGCAGTTTTATGAGAGCTGATACCACCTGCAACAACTCTAGTAGTAGCACTAGCAGAAGCATCATCCATTCTCTTCCCCAAGGCCTTCCCTAACTGCTCTTCTTCCCAAATTTTGTCTTCATCTTCATCATCACCACCTTCGTTAGCAACATCTTCAACCACGTTCGTATATCTGGCCGAAACAGCAGCAGCCGGGGGAAGATGCTCAACATCTTCAAAAACGCCATGAGTGTTGGCCTCTTTCTTGCCCACCAAAGCAACACGGGTTCTAAGCTCAAGCTCGTCGTCGTCGTCACTCGACCCTTGAGCATCATTAGAAGGTCCATTGAGAGGGATGAAGTCAGGGGCAGAAGCCCTGGAGTGCCTCTTCTTCTCCCTCTCTGCCTTAATCTTCCTGATTCTTTCCTCGTCGGGGATGAATCCGGAATTGGATTTCCCCAAACCCATTGACGCCAACCGGTCTTCAAATGGATCGTCACCATCGTCTGCGTTGTTGCTGTTGAGATTATCAGAATCATGGCGGGCTCCCAGGGTTTGGTGGGCAGAGGGAGGAGCGGGCTTGAGAAGGCCCTTCAGAATGATCTTAGGCTCAGAGGAGGCGGAGGCAGAAGAGGGCTTGGAGGAAGGTTTGGCAAGGGTGCGCGTATTCTTTTGGAGCTCGAGAAGGGCTTCCTTTGTGTAAGTCCCGGCCTGGGGAAGGACATTAGAGGCAGTAGCCGGGGAGCTAAGAGGAACTCGGTCCTTGGAGGCGGTGAGCTTGTGGGAGGAACTAGTTTTTCCGAGTCGAGAAGAAGAAGAAGCCGAAGAGGAAGGAGGCTTACGCCTACCAGAAGAGCGGGAAGAAAGATTCAGAGGTGTGACAGCGGCGGAATCGTCGTCTTCCCCTTCGTCGTCGGCGAAACTAAGAAGCTTCTTCGGCTTGGAAGAAGCAGAAGCAGATGAAGGTGCCGGTGGCGCGGGTTTGCGGGATGGAGGCGGTGAAGGGGCGACCGCGGCGGCTTCGTTGGGATTGGAGTCGTCGTGGTCTAGTCGGCGGCGGAAGTTCCTTGATTTGTTGCCAGAGGAGCTCATGATACAGTTGATACTTACCGTCAAGACGGCCGGCGAGGCGAACGGAGAGCTCCGACCTCTCGCTGTGATTTGGTCCAATTCGAATCCGAATGGAGTTTAATTGCAGAAAAGAAAAAAACAAAGAGGGAAGAAATCGCTGAAGAAGAAAGAGAAAGGGAAAGGAATTGAGAATGTAGATGGGAAAGATGGTCAGGGTGGGCTCGTCGTCTTGGGCCTCCGATTCTTTTGTCGGCTTAAAATAATTATGCGGCCTACATCTTAGGCTTTTATCACTGGTCAGGCCTATATGAATCTGAGCCCTGCTCCATGAAAGATCTATTTGAGTATCTGTTCATCCAGAAGGTTACACCAAAATAATCTAGATGGTAAATGTAACATTTTAAACAAATTTAAGTTGGATAGACAGAACTCAGAAGAGATTTATAGACTATAAGAAACAATTCAATATTAATTACAAGATTTATTTTGGGAGAATTAGAATTCTCATAAGAATGATGTTAAATGTATTCAAAGTGGAGCAAGTACAAGGTTGGATTACCTCTTAAAAAGTTGTTATTATGATACAGTCAAAAATTAGAAAAAAAGTTAGAATGCTACAAATAGTATAAGAGATTTTTTTGAGACAAAGCCTCATTAAGGATGTTGCGTATAGAAAAAATGTGTAATGTGATATTTTAGATAAATTTTAAGTTGATGGACAATAAAGAAGGTAACGAATAAATTTTTTTTTTTGGTAGCAATCAGAGCGCAGAGGGGCGCTCTAACCCTTAATCATTAATCATACGAGGCGTTTGAACGCCAACAGAGTCAAACAGCAGCCAGTACCGTAAGCTAGGACCCGGGTTGTCCACAACATGCACCCCAAAAGAAAGCGAATGGCCAACAGCGGCCATATGATCCGCTACGTAATTACATTCTCGAAAGACATGCTCCAAGATTACCTCCCATTCTCGATCAAGGAGCTGCCGGATGGATGCTGCCATCGTGCGGTGAGGATGATCCTCCCGATTCGTCTGGATAATGGTAATTGCCGTCGTCGAGTACGTCTGCAACCGTACTCTCCGTGCCCCCATCTCCCATGCGATGAGGAGGCCATGATAAATCCCCGCTAGTTCCGCATGTGTAATAGAACGATCTCCCAGCTTTGCTGAAAAGGCTCTCAGGAATCTCCCATTGCTATCCCGAATAATTCCGCCCACCGTCGCACTCGCCGAAGCCAAGGCAACCGAGCCATCTGTGTTTAGCGCTACCCAGCCTGGAGGAGGCCTATCCCAGCCGATCATTCTCGTGCTTCTTCCATCTCCTGCCCCCATAACTCGCTGCATCTTGGTGAAGGCACTTTGACATTGTTGCTGCATTTCCACACCTTGTTTTGCCACCACCCAAGTCGGCGCCAGAATCTTATCAAACACCCAGGTATTCCTATTCTTCCACAGCTTCCAGCAAAGAACCGCAAAGAGGGAGGGATCCAACACTTCACTCCGACCCGACAGGTAGTGCAGCGCCCACTTGTTTCTATCCTCCTGGAAGAAAATGTGATCTGGCTCGTCCCGAAGAACTTCCGACCAGACAACACGGGCATACGGGCAGTCCCGGACCCGGATAACATGCATTGTTTCTGGGCCACTCCCACAAATTGGGCAAGCGTCTCCTTGGGCAAGATGACGCCTACATCGCTCTCCATTAGTAAGCAGTTTATTATGGAGTACAAGCCAGAAGAAAGACCTCGTTCTTTGGGGACCTGGAATCCGCCAAGCTCTTCTCCAAACTGGGTGGTAATGCCCGGCTCCCTCCTCCTCCCGCAATAGCTCGTAGGCCGACTTTATGGTGAACCGCCCCGTCGGAGATAAGCGCCAGATTGGAACATCGGGACCCTGCTCGCGAGGAACTGGATGCAACATCACCTGCAAAACTATCGCGTCGGGGAGAAAAGCTCGGATGTAGTCTATATTCCACTCACCGTTGAGTATTAAATCAGCCACGGTCAGGTCTCTGGCTTCGACAGGGACTCCCTCCGCAAACTCGGCTAGCGGTGGTCCATCTTGGAGCCAGCAATCATCCCAAAATCTCGTATGTGCCCCGCTTTTAATGTTCCACATTGTCCCCGTCGGTATATAATGTAATATCCTCAGAACTCCTCTCCACAAATTCGACATTCTGCCCTCCGTTCTTGGCTGCCACCCATTCTTCGTTTGTCTCAGATACTTACTCCGCACAACACGTGCCCACAGGGAGTCAGTTTCTGTCAACAACCGCCATGCTATCTTCATCATGAATGCCTCGTTCATCCGGGTGGCGCTTCGCAATCCCAGACCACCCTCCTCCTTCGGTTTGCACAAAGTCTCCCAGTCTACCAGATGTACCTTCCTACCTTGCTCCGAGCTCCCCCAAATAAACCCTTGGATCTTTCGATCAATGTAATCGCGAACAGAAGCCGGAAGGAACGAAGTCTGCATAGTGTACGCCGGGAGCGAGGATAGGACTGATTGCGCTAAAGTAATCCGCCCTGCGAGAGATAACGTCTTGATCTTCCATGCTGCCAGCCTCTTGTCTATACGGTCAATGAGCTCGATATAAGTTGTCCTCGACACCCTATCATGAATCACTGGTACACCTAGGTACCTGCCGAGATTCTTCGTATCCGGGATATTTAGAGCGCTACTCAATCCTCCCCCAACCACGGTAGAGACGTTCTTAGAGAAAAAGACTCGAGACTTAGGCCTGCTAATTTGTTGCCCTGACGTTGCCCCAAATTCCTCCAAGCACCGTAAAATCACCTGACTTGACTAAGTGAAGCCTCGCTGAAGAGTATCAGATCGTCTGCAAAGAACAAGTGGGACAAGGCAGGCCCCCCGCTCGAAATGCGTATCGGCTTCCACTCGCCACTCTCCACCGCTGCCGAGATGAGGTGCCCGAGTCTCTCCATACAGAGAGTGAAAATGTACGGTGAGAGGGGGCATCCCTGTCGTAGACCCCGTGTTGGCATGAAAGGCTCAGTAAGTCCTCCGTTCCACTGAATCTGCATGGTCGGGGAAGAGATGCAGCTCATTGTGATATCGATAAATCCCTGAGGAGCACCCGCTGCCTGCAAAGTATCGCGAATGAAACTCCATTTGATCCGGTCATAGGCCTTGGCCAGGTCGATTTTGAGGACCATCCACCCTGTCCTCCCCTTCTTAGCTCGCATCGAGTGGACTACTTCCTGCAAAATGCAAATATTGTCAGTTATATGCCGGTCCGGAACAAAGCTGGTCTGAGTTTCATGCACCAGTCTAGGCATGATAGGCTTGATCCTCTCTGCCAAACACTTCGTGATCATCTTATAGGTGACGTTGCAGAGGCTAATTGGCCGGAACTGATCAATGGATGAAGGTTTTGCCACCTTCGGGATGAGAACCAGGACCGTGTCATTTAGCTCCTTCACCCTCGGGGGCTGGTGCCAGCAGGATTTGACGAACTCGAGTACCACAGGGCCCACAAGCTCCCAATTTCTCTGATAGAAGAGCGAATTTAGGCCATCCTTTCCTGGGGCCTTGAGCGCACCCATTGCCTTGACCGCCCCATGAAACTCCTCCATCGTGATCTCTGCATCGAGCGACGCCCACATTTCTGGTGACACGCCCTCGAATGCTGCCAGTAGAACACTAGTGGGTGTAGTATCATCAGTGTAAAGCTCCTCATAGAATTGCTTCGCCATATCCAGCAAGGCCTGTTGGTCATCCACCCACTCCCCATCATTATTTTTCAATGCGGCCACTCTATTCCTCCGCCGCCTGCCAATAGCTCTCGCATGGAAATATTTAGTGTTACAGTCCCCCGAGACAATCCATTCCAGCCGTGACTTCTGGCACCAGAGTATCTCCTCTTGGAGGAGGATCTCTTCCAGCTCCGCTCTTGCTTGGCTAATAGTCGGTTCGTCCGAGTCTCCCCCATAGCGTATCTCCAGCCTCTCGATCCTCTGAATGAGCTTGTTCTTCTTTTGAATGATGTTCCCAAACACGTGCCTGTTCCAGTTCCGCGCTTCCTCCGTAAATTCAGCGATTGCGGTAGGTAGATCTATCCCCCGCGCCCATGCATTGGCTGCCATTTCTTCAAAGCCCTCATGTAGTAACCATGACGCCAAAAACTTAAAGGGTTTGTGACCTGCAGGTTGAAACATAGGATCAATATTGATCAGGATGGGTCTATGATCACTCCTAACCCGTGGCAAGTGGCTGATAGTAGTGTCCGGGAAGGTCTCGTTCCAAGCTACATTGCCAAGACCCCTATCCAGCCTTTCTTTTACTCCTGTCCGGAACCACGTGTAGGGGGGACCCGTAAACCCCAGGTCGCTCAGCCCCGCATCCAGCAGACAGTCCTGGAAGTCCCGAGCTCGCGCCGCGTCAAAAGGAGCGTCACCCATCTTATCCCCCGGTTGGAGTATGGAGTTGAAATCTCCCGCCAGTAACCACGGGTCTGTAATCTCCTCAGCTAGCTCACGAATCGCGCCCCAAAGTTCCCGACGTTGAACCAACGCTGGGTTTGCATAGATCGCCGTTAGGAACCAGTGCTGCCTACCACTTTGAACCCTGACGTGGAGAAACTGGTTAGCTCTACCTGCCTCTGTTATCGTAACCATTCCTGAATCCCACAGAACCCATATACCCCCCCCCCCCGCCCGCCCTGCTGCATCCACAACCAGGTGTTCGTCAAACCCCAACTCCCGGATCACCTCATCAGCTCGTGATCCATTAATTTTTGGTTCCACGAGAATGACAATATTTGGTCGAAACTTCCGCCGATACTCCCTAAACTCTCGCAGGAATCGTCTGCTCCCCGCACCCCTACAATTCCACGTAAAGATCTTAACCATCGATAACACGGAAAGGTAGGCCCCGCAAGAAATCGCAGGAATGCTCAGAGCGGGGGTGCCTCATCGCTGAGGCCTCCCCCTTCATTCTCATTAGGACTACCCAGTGAATTGCCCTTCCCCACGTTCTGTTGTTGTTCGGGCGGGGACGGTGGGTTCCGAGGGTCTGGCGGTTCCTCCTGAGGCTCCCCTCCCCTATCATCATGTTGCATCTCTCGCACAAGACCCCCCACTTCCATGCTCTTATCATAGCCATCTTGACCAAGCATAGGGGTAGCGCCAGCAGGTGACGCGGTTGCGGGTATGGAACTGGGGGAGCCCTGACTTCGGCAGCTCGCTTCTGGACGGTTCACGGTTGCAGAGTCCATTCTGGTATCCTTGGGCATAGGTGAGGCATTTTGGTACTGTGGCATAGTCTCCTTGTTCTTCCCGTTGTCCTTTCCTCCCTCCTTGTTCTTGCTTCGAGCGCTCACCTTGGTGGTTTGAGCTACTTGGGATAGCCCGGCTTCATTGCCTTCTGTTTCTTCAACCTCTAGCACATCAAAACGAGACCCCCCTCTGCTCCTCGGCCCCTGTCCCTTGTCCGTCCTCCTCTCCTGACTTCCCTTTGTAGCTTCAGCATTAGGCTTTCTCGTTCGCGGTTTCTTCTTAGCAATCATCCATTCACCATACAAGGGTTCGGGCTCTTTGGGCACTTCCACCTGGGGAGTTTTCGATGTCTCCTCAGTTTCCATCTCTTCTGTTGGCACCGTGCAGTAGCACCGGGCACGCTCAAAGTACGTACCACACTTCAGGCAAATTTTTTCCAAGCCTTCGTACTGTACGAAGTAAGTCTTCCCATGAATAGTAAACTGTGATAGCAGGGGCTTAGTAATATCAACTTGAACGCAGACACGAGCATAATCGCTACGTGCGCCCGAACTGGTCGCATGATCCACTCTCAGGGGTTTCCCGATGCGCTCTCCAATCCTCATCACGGCCATCGGGTGGAAATATTGAATTGGTAGGTCCAACAGTCTAGCCCACACAAGAGTGGACGAAATTTCATGCTCATAAGGGTTAAAGTCCTTCATCCAAGGGTGTACCGTTAAGTAGTGATCCCCCACAAACCAAGGTCCGCCTGTTAAGGCTCTTTCGTAGTCAACTCCACTCGTGAACCGGACCAGAAAGTACCCATTCTTTGCCGAGGTAACCTGGATCGACCCCGCCTTTGCCCAGATTCCTTGGAGCCGTTTTAGCATCAGTGTGTATGAAACCGATCTTCCCAGTGCCTTGACGAGGAGGGAAGAGCGCCATTGTCTGCAAAAGAGTCTTTCTTCCGCAGCAGTAAAGTGGATAAGAGGGCATTTGGGGTCCACGTTTGCCTCTACCTCCGCCTCTAACCCATCCTCCCGCATCCCTGCAAGTACGTCCTCTGAATCTGAGTCCGCAATATACCACATCTCTGTGCGGACCGCGTCACTGAAGAGTCGACGTGCTGCCCCCGTTCCCGCGCCCCAAGCCTGGGCTCTTGCATCCGTTGACGTGTTGCTCCGTTGTCCTTCAACGCCCGCGATCCCCGGCTGTCCAGTCGACAGGCTAGGTTCACCCGGAACCTCCAGAGTTGACTTCGCTCTCTTTTTGGATTGTTGAGTTTCACGTTCCCCTTTAGGGTTCGGTGACCAATGGGTGGTCTACGCTGGCCCGTGACGGATTCCTCCTGCATGGTAACATCATGTCCGCCCCCGGCCAGCGGTGAGGTCACCGCCGGCATGGGAAACAGCGCCTGGAAACCCTAGACTGCCCGCAAACTCCAAGACACTCGGCTACCTATTTTCTCGGAGCTCAAAACCCTCTAAACAACCTCAATTCTAAACAACGAATAATAATAAGAAACTATTCAACTTTAATGAAATACGAGATTATAGGAGTCTAATCTTCTTTATTCCTAAAACAACCTTGTCTATTCTGAATTTATTATCCTTAAATCAGTTAATAAAATCAATATAATAGCTTAAAGTCAAATTCTTTGCCTTAATTCGGACACTTCATTGGACGCTTCAAAAGCTTCCTATACTATAAAAGGCAGTTGATGAAGAGGAGCAAGTCTGAAGTTCATTCTCTGATCATTAACACTCAAGAAGAGCTAACCTACAAAGATTCTTTCCTTCCAGAATTAGGGTTCCCTATTGGATCGAATCGAACTTACAGCAATTGTTGGTACAATAATGGAGGTCATCAGAAGGGCATCTCATGCTGGCTCATGGTACACCGATAATCGTAAGTGTTAAGCCACTCCTCTTCCCTTTCCACAATCGCTATCTGGTCCAACTCTGCAATCTGTGGAACTAAAGGTTGAATTTAGGGGTTTATGGGAAACTTGAATGTGGAAGCTTAATCGAATTGTTATCATGTTGCTATTATGGAGGGCTCTGTTGCAGTTGATCGAGCAATGAAATGTAGATGTCGAAACTTGGAAAGCCGTATAATTTGTGATTCTATGTCACCCCAGCTCCCTTAACAAAGGGCAGTAATTGACGAATTGTGATATTGTTTTCATGTTACATCCGCAGCTAGAAAGCTTGAAGAAGAACTCGATGGGTGGCTGAATGCTGCTGGATTGCCAAAGTCATCTGATGTTCGTGGAGTCATTGCTCCGTATGTTTATTCTTCAACCTTTTCTTTTCAATTGTCCCTTTGGGTTGGCCAATTTTCCTTGAATTCTATGGCTCTGGCTCTCAAAGGCACGCAGGTTACTCGTATTCTGGCCGCGCAGCCGCCTATGCATTTGGAAATATCGACCCTACTAACATGTGCGTTGCCCTTCTTCTTACTTTGTATCTTCGTTTCTTTGGGCACGTTTCGTAGCATGCAGCGAGTGAATGCTATTCTGGCAAGATTGGTTTGGTTGCTTTCTTGTTGGGAAGTTGAATCTTAAGACTCTGATGGTTTGATGCTGATACGTGGGTGCTTGTTTGTTGTTTCAGTTCTCGGGTATTCCTTCTTGGCCCATCTCATCACTATTATACTCCCAAATGTGCTTTGTCAACTGCTACTGTTTACAAAACTCCAATTGGGGACTTACCTATTGATCAGGAAGGTAATTCAGATATGTGTTGGATCACACATTCAGTAGTGCCATGTTTGATGTGCATAGGGGTTACTGCAGAATTGTTAGGTTGTTAGGATATAGAAGAATCTATAAAAGCTTAGGAATTTCGATAGAAAATGGGGTAGGAAGAAATGCCACACCAGCTGGTGATAAGGCCTGATAGATATTCTAAGAAATCTCATACTCTTAAAGAGATTCTAAATAATTAAAGAAGCACTATCACCTGCATAGTAATCAATCCTAAAGGCAATATGAAATCAAATGCAAAATCATGGCTCTTCTGCCACTTGTTTACGGAGTAGAAAGTGCCGATTGCTGAACACGCTTTTGAAGATGCGGTTTGGTTCCCCATTGCATGTGCAATGATGTGTGCTATTCTGCTAAGTATCTTACTAATCAAATGATGCTCTTGTGTCCCACCCTTCAGTGATTGAGGAGCTTAAAGCTACAGGAAAATTCGAGTTGATGGATCTTCGTGTCGACGAGGCAGAACACAGCATGGAGATGCACTTACCTTATTTGGCCAAAGTATTTAAAGGGTAATTGTCTTCTGATCTGGATGTGCCTTTGCTGCTTTCCCTTTGTTGCTTGGAAATTAACCTTCAATTCCGCTGCAGGCACCAAGTGAAGGTTGTGCCCATTCTGGTTGGTGCTTTAAATGCCGAGAGTGAAGCCAAGTACGGGAAGTTGCTGGCAAAATACATTGATGATCCCAAAAACTTCTTTTCTGTGTCCTCAGATTTCTGCCACTGGGGCACACGGTACATATCATCCACATCTTACTTGGTTGACTACTTTCCTTTCAGCATTATTTCTTCCTTTAAGGTATGGTTTTTTATTTGCAGCTGCTTCGGGGCACTTACCATAGTTGGTTAACTTTGGGGATAACCCTAGCATATAAAACGACTCTTTGGTGATACTGACCATCTCCTTACGTTGAAGCTCGTTCACGAATATTTGTTCCTTACTTAACTGTGCATTGCTGCTTAGGTTCAATTACACACACTATGACAACAAACATGGTGCGATATACAAGTCCATTGAGGCCCTGGATAAGATGGGCATGGACATTATCGAGACAGGAGACCCAGATTCATTCAAAAAGTATTTGCTGGAGTTTGAGAATACCATCTGTGGACGCCATCCCATCGGTGTTTTCCTCCATGTAAGTGCCTCCTAACATCAGCCAAAACCTTTGTCCAAATTCCACTATGATTGATCTAGAGTGAAGTTGTTCATTCCTTTGGCGTGGCTTCGGTGAACTGGAAGGACTGTAGTATCTATTTGTCAGCTAATCATCTCACCATGTATATCATTGAACTGTGATTCAGATGACAAAGAACTGCTCAACTAAGATAAAGATACAGTTCCTTCGATACGAGCAATCGAGTCAGTGCAAAACCATGAGAGAGAGCAGCGTCAGCTACGCATCTGCAGCAGCAAAGGTGGATGGCGAGTGAAAGATGGTGTAGAAGTAGAAGTGTGGTCTGTAATTTGTGTGGAAATATGTTCCTGCGAATTTGGAAAGACAAAAGACGAGCATTAATTGCATATTAATAGTGGGCCGGCAAGAACGAAGTTGTGACTTTTGTCCATTACATACATGCCACTATTCCAGTGTCAATTATGCAAATGATCACTAAACCTTAACTTTTAACAGAATGATCACTCAACTTTACACCTTGAATCAAATTGGTTACTCAATTTCGACGGGATGGCAACGAGGCTTGATATACTATTGCTTTTCAAAAGTTTGAATCCCTCGACGACACTGTCAGCGATAACATTGTTTGCGCGTGCTTATTTTATCTACAAGCGTTGGTTCGCCCCAGTCTTCAACTAGAGGAGGAGAAGAAGAAGAATAAATCAACTAACGCAAATCCGCCTAAGCAAATGAAGGAAGTTGGGACCAAAATGACCACAAGATATGGTTACAAAGCTCAAATCATCACCCTCCGTGGGTTATACCAAGCAAGCCAAATAACCAAGATAACTGATCTCTTGTCTAACACATGAAAGGGAGAGTTCTACGAAGTTGGCTTCTTTCTCAAACCGCATCGTCTGAACAATCCACCCACCATTCAGTACCTGGACCTGGAGGCTCAATCACCACGACTTCACCACTTGTTAGTCCCACTGCAAACTGGTTTGGCTTTTGCGGGTGAGCTGCAATGGAGGCAGGATAAACATCCAAGCTGCAGATCCCAAAGCAAAAACGAGCAAACACCTTTAGGTATCCATGGCAGATGAATGATACTCGGTTCCAACATTCAAAAAATTAGAAAATATGACATTTGAGGCTGGGAGCATTTGCTGCATCAGGCGTACCTTGAACTAGAAGGAAGAATAGTGTGAAGAGCAATCTGACAAAACAACTGGAGAGATGACGAAGCAAATATGCCCACAGTCCCATCCATAAAGCCAGCGTATACTTTGTGGCCGTCACATGAAAATGTAGCCCCAGAAATTGCGGTGGAATCTCCAGGAATCCACTGCAAGTATATAACAGAAGATGTTGATGCTCATCAATCACCATCCTTTTTTGACGTAATAGTACAAACTACAAAGAATAAAATGGGTACCTTCGCATCACATTCTAAGTTGTGGGCCGACAGGACTCCCATATAGGACTTGTGTACTACAAGGAGTTGTGTCTGGTCAGGGTGAAATTGGACACTGGTATCTGACTCCACTCCATCTGGAAACTCCAGCAATCTTCTGCTTCCTTGTCTTGCAAAGTTTTCAGCATCCCATACAATAATCTACAAATCAAACAAACGTGATTCGTATAGCAGGCAGCAGAAGATGCAAATAGAGATCAAATTCGACTTTTAATCACCAGAACACAATGTTGAAGAAATAAACGAGCAGAAACATGGAAAAGAGAGGGTGATTCCATGTAGATGCTATGAAACAAGAATGCTAACCTGAGCATCTGCTCCAGTAGACACCAGCATGTTCAGAGTATTTGAAAAGGCAAGCCCCGAGATCCTTCCAGTATGACCAGACAGTACACTAACAGTCTGCATAAAATCCTTCAGGAATTAGGAAAGGCTTGCCTGGCCTTTTCTTGTTCTGGATGTCATTCATGGCAGGAGGAAGACATACCTTGTTGAGACGGACGTTGTAGGTAAGAATTGTGGAATCAGCCCTCCCTATGGCAACAATGTTGTTATCTATTGGGTGGAATGCAAGACATGTAGCTGCTGAGGATGGAGGCGTGATAGACACCATAGTCTTTGGATATCACCCAAGGGTGTTAACAGCAAGAAAAGAAGCCCAGATTTGATGAAGTCGATGCAAAGTGCAAAATAATTGGTTTTGCATGTTTTAAATTCTACCAGTGAGTGAATACAATGTGGTTTTGGTTATGGGGTTTTTTTTTTACCTTGAATGTTAGCACGTTGAAAAGGGAAATTTTCCCTCCTGATGATGATATGAGATAGCAATCATTCTTTGACAAAGCAAAACATGGGATAGCCTCAGGGTTTGCAGTAAGTTCGTTTTTCATCAGTGTTGTTGAGGAGTTCCTTCGTTTCACTAGTTCAGGAGGAACTTTGGCAGTTGCCTGCATTAAACATTGACCCAGATAACGAGACTAAAGCAGAAATTTTCAAACAGAGAATAAAATTGTTAAAATGTGTTGTCTATCTCACCTGCCCGGTCAAATTGAGAACATTAACTGGCCATTTCCATAACAAATGAATCCCATTTGATGCTAATGCCAAAACAGCATTACCTGCACTCCCATAAATCAACCTTGATATCTGCATTAGTCCCAGAGAAACAATGTCAATGTTATTTTAACCATCTCATTCACATTTGTAACACGAGCAATACGGAAAATGGATGGAGGACCATATGTTATCCCCAGTTCTCGAGACAGAGGTACCACAGGTGCACATGGACAAAACTGACGGCAATTTGAAATCATAAGAGGATCAAACAAAGGATGAGTGTAATGGGAGCTATAACTATATATCGAAATGGATAAACAGTAATCTTATGATATATCAGTGCTTAAAACATTAAGTCAATAATTAATTGCGGGGTCAAAAGACTTACAAAGCAAATAAAAAAAATTTGAAAATGCTGACACTACTGGAAGATCTAACCTTCTCTACGTTCACATGAGAAGGCAGCAACAAGCTTTGGCATTGAGAACGTCTGTAGGATTCAAAAGGTTTCCTACTTTTTCCTGTATTATCTTCCTCAGTAAGGTTCAAATTCAAAGCCTCCCTGTTTACTGTGTCTCCTTCCTGCAAAAAAAATACTTAACTTGGCTCATAGTAACTACAGAAGCAGTTTCTAATTCTTAAAACTTGCCAGGAAAAAATCTATCAACATCATCTCCTGCATACCATTCAAAATGCTATTTGCAATATGCATGATGTCACAACACGGGAAGTGTATTGTATAAAATTAAGATAAGTTACTGTGTTAAGCTTAACAAAGATGAGGAAGAATGTGCTGACCTCCCCAACCACTCTGGAAGACCCTTGAGAACCACTTCCACATATACCAAGCAACTGAAGACCACTATCACTTGCCAAGACCTTGATTTTGTTTTCTTTTGCATAAACAGCCAAGAGGGTTCCATCCTTATTGAACCGTATTTGTGGGTTTTCCTTAATCATAGCAGAGAATTGTCAGAGTATGATCAAACTCAGGTTTGGTTGTTTAGTACTTGTATCAGCAAATTAGGCCAACAAAACGAACCATGCAAAAACTTACAGGCAAGCCTCCCTCGGCATCAATAGTTGTCAAAACATCATCATTGTCCAAATTCCAAACCTTGATTACATTTTCTTCCCCAGCAGCCACAAACTGGTTCTTCAATATATCAAACTTAACTGCACCTGCAGAACTCTTCTGCAATCCTTGGTAGCTTCTTTTGATAGCACCTTCACTTTCATCCCATTCAACAAGGAATGACTCTCCAGAACTACTGGTTCCACAAGAAAGAAGCCTACAAAAAATTTACTACAACATTAACTCCATAACTTAAAATCAAGTCATTGGAAGACAGTATAGTCCAAGAGAGCTTGGGCAACCTTTGACCATCAGAAGTGTAAGCCATTGATGTCCTAGCCCGACCAGGAGCATCATAATCAACTCTAGGTCCCAAATCATCATAGAGCCATGCTTTTATGTTTCCATCCACTGAAGTGGAAAAGAAGAACTGAAAATACAAAATAAAAATGATCTTATAGAAGACATCCAAATGAATGAAACCAGAATGATTCATATCACTAACACTGGAAAACTACCAAATACATTTAAGTGTTACTATTACATGAATGTTGTTCTTGGTGCGGGGGCAGAGTGAATAAACTGATGCATTGTGGCCTTCAAATTTATAGATTCTACCGCCAGTGGTCATGTCCCATGCCTACAACAAAAATGAGTTACATAAATGAGTTTCTTCAGATTCTAATAATTCAATTCTAGGTTACCAGTGAACTAACCTGAATTGCTCCATCGTCACCACATGTTATGACTAAAAGTTGTTTATGAGGGGCAGCAAATGCAAGATCATTGACACCACCAACATGAGCATCGATCTTAATAAAGAAATCAACAATGAAAAAGTTACTGAGCTTATAATAATGACCGTCATTGTTACAGAAGGACAATAGAGAATTGTGTGAAACTTACTTCCAGTTGCTGCCGCACGTCGTTGCCACCATGGTAAGCATACATCTGTACTATGTGTTTTGAATATGCAACACCTATTTAAACAAATGGAAACCAAGTTTAAACTTGTGAATTGAAAAAAAGCCAAATTCAAAACGGTTGTTCCATTATCCATAGACATACCAAAAATAGAGCCATCAGGACTCCAAGCAGCGCGGTTGACAGACATTCGCGGATCTTTAAGCAGAGCAGTCTGGAAAATATGACGAAACTGGTTTAGTCCATTGAAGTACTTTCCTGCTAAGGAAGATAATGCTTCATGTATAAACAAACCTTGAATGCCATTGTGCATGCACTTATATCCCAAACCTTGAAATTCCCTCCAAACAACTTTTGACCAGAAGCGACCTCCCACAAACTTATGTCTCCCGTGCTAGTTCCAACTGCAGTTCGAGAATAAAAACTTGTTTAAGTAACATCAAGTCCAATCAAAGTACTTCTCCAAGAGCATTTCTAATAGCCAAACCTAGTAGAAGAGTATGCTGAGCAGGATGGAAGTCCATGCTTGTTTGAGATGAGTCCTCGGTCAATATTTTCACGACCTTCTTTGGAAAGTCAGTGATGCTTGTCAGTCGATGACTCCCAAGCACAGAGTTTCCTGTATGATTCTCACGCAAATCAACAGGAGAAACCACAGAACTTTGACCAGAGGGAGTAACGTTTTGTGTGTCCTACAAATCATTTGAAATCAGTAAAAGCAAAGAAAACGTTAATAATGAGCACTGGTCATCAAAATGGAAATTGATCCCGTTGTACCCTATCAGCTGTGAGATATGATGATTTTTGGGATGCAGCGTCTGTCTCAAGATGATCCGTGGTGGCCACTGGCAAGCAGTAAAGAATTGGTATTAAAATGAACATTAACTCACATATTAAAAGAACGAAGCTTAATCAAAAGAAACACAAAAAGTCCAAGACAAGAAGGTCAGTACCAGGGCAAAGGGTGGCACCAGAGATCCCAGAGTTAGTAACAGTTGATGTCACACTGGCAGATGCACACTAAATTCGAACAATAAAAAGAAAAAACAATTGAAAACTATTAGCCAGATGCAAAAATTGAATTCACTGTGAACCATAGTTCGTCCACTCTGAAATAAGAAAGCCATCAACTACGATTCTATGACTAGCATATCATACCTTAGGAATAACAGCATTCAACAAGAAAGGAATATGTTCATGCGGAGGTGTACAAACATGATCCACAAAAAGGGTTCTTATATCAGGATTTGGCTGGGGATCTTTACATTGTAAATGCTGCCAATTCAAGCTGTCAAACCAACTTTCAACTATCAGTTACCTCTCAATTTGAAACCAGTAGCAGCAATCATGAAAATTAAACTATGATTCTGCAAACTAGTTACAGATTCCACAAAGCAATGTGACAGCGAGAAACTATTAGCCCATTATATGCACATGTACCATCACACAGTCCAAATAAATATTCTATTTATCTCACTTGTATGTAGCAGAGAATCTAACCTTTGGTTAATAAGACGCCGTAACCTTTGAGTTCTGATGCTGGGAAAATCCACTTTTCCATGAAAAATGGGATTCGCCCTGATGATTTTCTTGAGTTCTTGCACCACAATTGTTCTTGCAGTTTCAGTATCACCATACATTGAGAGTGACACATGTTCCCTATCCAAGCATCAAATGTAAAAAATTCTAGCTACCTTAGAAAGTCTACAGCCACTTGCATCCATTTTCAATATTTTGCGAGAAAGAAAATGAATAGGAACTCACACCTTATATTGTTTAAGGTCAAGAGCTGTGTCATCTCGTTGTACAATTCCTTGTTATCCGAGGAAAAAACTTTCAAATCATTGAAGAGGATGTCTAATGCCTTGGCTCTATCATTGCTGTAAAGAAAACAACAAACCTGATGATGATCCCATTATCTTCCTAAAGGAAATCATAACAGTAATAAAGAAAAAAAAAACGAAGACCATTGGGTGCTTACTTATCTAATGACTCGAGGAAATTCTGCTTCCTCATTTCAAAATAGATCTTGGTCGAGTACTTATTATCCTCAAACTTAGTGAACCCAGAAAGATACTTCTCAGCCCCAACCCAGTCCCCCTTTAGAACCAATTCCTCAAAATGCTCCATATTGAAGAAATAACCGCTACTCCGCTCGAGCCTACCATAACATACCATTAAAATTTTAGAATTCACAATCCATGTAAGACATTTACAGAAACAGTGTGGATCTGGGAGAGAGGTAATCAATGAAAAGAAAATTCAACATACACTCGAGCAGCCTCTTTAAAACCTTCTTCTTCAAGGAACTGCAGGATCAAGAAGACCAGCTCCTTACCGAGAGTCGTCATCCTCCTCAAACGGAGACCCTAGAATTCAGATAAGAAAACATCATATTAGAGAAAATCAATCCAATAACCATCCAATCGTCAGCTGATACTAGTTTTCCCCCCCTCCATCCTCCTTCCTTTCATCATCAGGGAAGAAGAGAATTCCAGATAGTAGAATTCAGTCGTCCGATTCATCGACGAACGGAAAGAATTTGATCAGTTGCGTTCAGTCAGAGCGATAACACTAAGCAACTGAGTTCCGATCACTGGAGACGAAGGATTAACAAGAAATGAAATCGCCAGATACGCAAAAGAGAAAAGGATCGACAATTGGTTACCTGATTATTGACCGATTCCGCGTTGATGAAGTGAGGCAGGAACTGAAGAGCTCTGCGATCGCCGTTTCGATTTCTGCTTCGGAAACAAAACAAAAAAAAAAGGAAGCGCAAACACAGTGTTGCTCTCGTTGGCTCTGCTTCTTTAGTCTTTACTTTCTCGGACCAGCACTTTCTCTCTCTCTCTCTCTCCAGTGTGGCGGAGTGTGTGATGGTATTTATATATGAGCTGATGCACGCTACACGATAAGCGCACATGATAAGCAAGGTGGCTTTTGATAAGAGCTCCTAAGCGGAGACCACGCTCAGGTTTTTCCACTCGAGGGTAACGACGAAAATTGCGGGCCCACTTGGTTTTACCCGCCTTTTATTAGGGAAAAGTCCAAACTAGTCCCTCATCTCATCTAAAATTGCTTCCCAAGTCCCCACTTCCCGGCCCAGAAGTTGGTCAGTTACCGCCTTCCTTTTTGTGGGCCAAAATCACGCAACCTTCCCTTAAATTCCAGCTAGGCTGGACCATGACCGAAGCCCAAACAAAACACACCTAAAAATGAAGTGGCTGCTGGGCCCTCAGCTTTAATCGGATAAAAATGGACAACAGTAGGCCCGCTAGTCGTATTTATGAAAGCTAAGTGATAAAGTTTGTGTAATTTTATCGATTTTTTTTTTGTTATTATACTTCTAATATATTTTGAATAGTTATAGTCTCACCAAATTGATCGCTGATGCAATTTCACCTATGTAAGGATTTGTTTGCAGCTCCGCTGTGATTTCGATTATCAACGTTAGAGAAGTGTGATTCGTTGGTGGTTTGGAAATGACAAGTGATTGGGGACTAAATGATTGAATAAGTAAAGGAGGTTAAACGCCAAAAAGTCAAATTGTAGTGTGCAGACAAGACAGAGTGACAGACAATACCTGGGGGGAGCTCTATCTGTCTTCTGACCTGTCCAGCTGCCTAATCCCAACCTGCCGTACTGGCAAATTAGGACTTGCAAGGATTTAGAATTGGGATTAAGAAGGCTAATCAATTATTAGTTAACAAGTTGATTTTCCTAGGTGGAACTATTAGTATGGTTGAACCCATTATTACACTGATTCAACGTATATGGCTATATCTATATAAATGTTATGTTGACGCACACTCTCTTTGGAACGAAATGTTCACATCTTCTGTGTGTATCGTGAGGACAAATTAGCAGTTGTTTGCCTTGACTTTTAGGAACCGTCATCTATCATTAAAATTTTAATATCATTGATAGGTAGTCTAGATGTTTAACTTATTGACTTATGTATGATACTATTCGACATGTCTAATTTTATTATCCATTTGAACTCGTGTTTGTATAATCTTATTGCTTTCTCATTACTTGCTTGTGTGTCTTGTTTGTCCCCTCTCTCATTCTGTTTCTTTTCAACTTGCAATGAAATTTTTTTGATAGTAAGAACGACAAAGAAACCACAAAGCTTACAATATTAACAAATAAAAAAAAAACAGTATGTAGATCTAACTTGATAGTCTGATTGGACCACACATTTATAAATATATTTTTGTGTTAATGTGAGATCTTCCAATAGAGTCTTCACTTCCGCTTCAATGAGGTGAAACAAAGAAATGTATCAACTCGTCCATCACATACATATTCACATTGATTAACGACCATGACACTATAAACCTTTTTGAATGATACACCATAAATCACCGGCTGAAAGTCGCTTAAGAACTTGGGGAAAAAAACAAATAAGAGGGGATTATTAACAGCAGAAAGGAATATATTAAAACAATTGTCGCATTACCGGAAAAAGATGACCGCAGAGATATATTAGTCTAATGATTCCCATATGCATAATGATAATAATTTCTATCTCAATTAGACAACCACCACCACCATTTCTCTACCACTCCCTCTAATCATCCAAAAAATTGAAGCTTACGTCCTATATATAAATATAACAGCAACCTACGGTCCAAAAGAGCAAGGAAAAAGAAATCTCAGTTGCAAGTATATATTTTTTTTTTTCATGATCATAAATAATATGGGTGGTTCATCTTCCTCGACCGGGCTCTGCCTGCTGCTGAGTTTGCTGATTCACAGCTCCATCTTCTTCTTCGTCGCTTCGCAGAGCACGACAGCGGCGGTTGAAGGGACAGTGTTCATCAATGGAAGCTCGAGAATCGGGAGGACGAACCCAAATTTCATATGTGCAACTCTCGACTGGTGGCCGCCGGAGAAATGTGACTATGGAACTTGCAGCTGGGGAAGAGCTTCTCTTCTTAACCTGGTCAGCCTTTGATAATTAACTCTCTTTGACCTTCTTTTGTGAGTTTATTCATTTGTGTGAATCGGGTTGGATTTGTTGTTGGATGGTGGCAGGTGTATGCACTGCACCATACTTTTAAGCGTTTTTTTTATATTACTATTCGAATATCGTTTTCGGATAATTGCGGTGCATGCGAGATGCAAGAAAAAATATGAGTGATTGCAGTGTTTCTGCGTACTATACACACGTACCATAATCCTATTTGATTGAAAATCAAGAAAATAAAGTGTAGTATTCTACGATTTGATTAATATGTTAAAATGAGTATGTGTGAGCGTTGTCTAGCATCTTCGAATAGTGTGGTTAATCAATGTCCATCGCTAGATTTATACAACAATCTGAATGATGTCAACATGTACATACACTCAACAGTTAATAATTAGACTATGCGATATAATAGTGTCAGCCTGTTTTGACACCTACCAAAAGAATTAAGAATCTAAAAAAAGACCGACGAGAGATCTAATATTTGTGTTTCATTATGGAATGAAGGTTTCCTTTTGTAAAACTCAGTGGGACTATGTCACTATCTTTCGAAAACCATCAATGGCGTCAGGATTGAAAACTGTGAAGAGTTGGATTATCATATTATATATATTATTTAGACTGAAAACGACACCAAAAAATTGTCATTAATTACATGGAAGTACAGTTTCGAAGGGTATCATTCATATATTTCCTTCTTCTGACTATTTCCTCCGAATCTCAACTCTCTGCAGGATCTTACCAACCCTCTGTTACTCAACGCCATTAAAGGTTTACAAGGAATAATTTGCAGAGTCAAGAACAGAGCATAACAGGCTGTGCGTTGATTCCTTCTTTTTATAATTTTTTTTATTTGTTCAACGTTTCCAGCCTTCTCTCCTCTGAAGATCAGAATGGGGGGTACCCTACAAGATAAGGTCATATACGAGACACAACAACAGGCTTGCCCTGCTTCATTCATCAAGAGCTCTTCAGAAATGTTTGGCTTCTCCCAGGGCTGCTTGCCCATGTCGAGATGGGACGAACTCAACTCTTTCTTCAAGAAAGCTGGGTACGATACAAAAACCATACACTTCCCCTTTCTGCAAGTTAACATTGTCGACGAAATCATTTGCACGACTCAGATCGTTCAACTTGGTGCTGCATTTTTGAGAATGCAGGGCAGCGGTTGTATTCGGGTTAAACGCGCTGAACGGTAGGACAATAGCTTCCGATGGTTCAGCAGCCGGAGCGTGGAACTCGAGCAATGCGGAGGCTCTGATAAGATATACCGTGAACAAAAACTTCGCCATCTTTGGTTGGGAGCTCGGGAATGAGCTTAGTGGGAGCGGAATTGGGACCAGTGTGGCTGCAGACCAGTACGCATCTGATATAACCAACCTGCACGACATCGTGAGGAGAACTTATGCGAGTTTCGGGAAGAGGATGAAGAAGCCACTGGTTTTGGCGCCTGGAGGGTTTTACGACGCGAATTGGCTCACAGAGTTCATAAATAAAACACCTAAGAACTCCCTTCAGGTTGTCACTCATCATATCTACAACCTGGGACCAGGTATTGTTGGAACAGAAGAGTTCCATCCATGAGCCTAGTTATTTCATTCATCTTACTACCAAAACAGTATTTTTTCTGAAAGTTCACTTTGGAAATCAGGTGTTGATACTCACTTGGTTGACAAGATTCTGGATCCATCATACCTCGATGGTGGCTCGTCGCCTTTCAGTGGACTGCAAGGGATCTTGAAGAGCACTGGGAGTTCAGCCGTTGCTTGGGTTGGTGAGGCTGGTGGTGCCTACAACAGCGGCCATAATCTAGTCACGAATGCATTTGTGTTCAGTTTCTGGTACTAAGCCTATAACCCAGTTGCAAGTGTTTCCTTCATCTTCACACTGTCGGATCCCTGAAATATTTTCGTCGTACTCTGCTACACCGACAGGTACCTGGATCAGCTAGGAATGGCCGCGTCCTACAACACCAAAACTTACTGTAGGCAGTCACTGATCGGAGGGAATTATGGTCTGCTCAACACTACCACCTTTGTTCCAAATCCAGATTACTACAGGTGAGAGAGATTTCTGAAACAATGGAATAGAAAATATTGTACCCAGCGTTCTTTTTTTCCTGCAGCAGACTAAGACCTTATTTATCCACCTCTGCTGTTTAAGTGCACTGCTGTGGCACCGTTTGATGGGAACAAAGGTGCTTTCCACGAGTTTCTCTGGAACCAAGAAAATACGTGCTTATGCTCACTGTTCAAAAAAATCTGTAAGTGAAGTTTAACCCTGAAACTAAACGTAGAAGGGAATCACAGTGGTTCATATCAAGCTGACTAGTTTATACTGGAATTATATGAATGCAGCAAGGAATTACATTACTTTTGATCAACCTCGACAGTAATACGACAGCCAATGTGCGTGTTTCGACTGAAAATGCCATCACTTTTCGGACAGCTCGGCGACACCACCAAAATCGAAGATCAAAATTCGCTAGGATGTCGAGAGGTTCCAAAGCTAATGCACAAGTAAGAGAGGAATATCACTTGACCGCTAATGGTAATGATTTACACAGTCAGACAGTACTTTTGAATGGGAAAGTACTTGCTGTGAATAATACATCTGGATCTATACCTCCTCTGGAACCGGTTCAGGCCAGACTTTCGGACCCAATAACCATTGCACCTTTCTCTATTGTGTTTGCTCACATTGCCAATGTAACCGTTCCAGCCTGTAAGTAAAAAGGAGAAAACAGATAGATTGGTTAGTTGAATAAGACTGAAATTGCTCTGTTTAACAGTTGTATCTCTTCCTGAAATGTCAATTCAAAGCCTGGAAGAACTTTCCCAAGTCTTATGATGAAGACAACTAAAAAAAGGATGCATAAATTGGAGGAGAAAGAATACCTAATCGGAATCAAGAAGATGTGTAGTTAATCTTTAAGAGTTCAATACAGAGAAGGAAACATCAAGGTGTGCCAATTTCCAGCTCTTGCAAGGCGAGTGGGACAGCCGGTCTCCAGTTAGTCCCATCTGGATTATCCATAAGAGCAATTCCAACAGTAGATAACTCTTTTCTGATGGCATCTGATTTTTCATAGTCTTTGTTCTTTCTTGCTTCAGTCCTTTCGTGAATCTTCTGAATAACCTGGTCTTCTGTTAACTTGGCACGCCTCAATGCCTTTTCCTTTAACTGCTGAAGAACCTGCATGAAACAGTTTGCAGTAAAAGAGAGAATAAGTCAGAGGTTTCTTAGGGCAGAAGACCTACACCTAAAAATTTTCAGGAAGCAAACTGGTTGAGAAAGCATAATAAATGAAAGGCTGGAAAAGAAGAAATAAAAGGAAAAATTCCTAAGTAAAATGGAAGAAAATCCATGGGATAAATACACAGAACAAGTGAATTCCATGATTCTCACTACTTAGTAATGCGAACTGGTTATGAGAGCAGTCTCACTATTACCAAGATGGTAGGCTTACTTCTGAATAAGTTGTTGGCATCAGCCCCAGGATGGTTAGAACTTTCTGGACTATCTTTCCTAGTGCGGAGAGTGATTCTATTCTCTTTGCTTGCTTCTTTCCCTGCATTGATCAGTTAAATTAATGTTACAATCAACAGAGAGGTTGACAGCATAACATACTCTCTCCTAGATTTTAACTTTTACTCATGCTTAGGATATAGAGGCCAAATACAACAAACTTCAGTGGAAACTACAAAAGAATATTTTTCTGTTTACAAAGTGACAAATCCCGGGCAATTCTGCAGGGTGAGATATTTATGACACAGTCTAGACTCAATAACCTTGCGCGTGTGCAGCATATCGTTGATGATTTTCAATGGGTCAGATATAGCAGCTAAAACAACAGGGGTATGGAGATCATCAGACATTGAGGCTGCAAACACATCATTGAATTTCACTATGCAATTCATCGTATCAGGAGGAACTGCACTGTCCTCGAAACCTGCATCTAGCTCTCCGATTACATTCTCACAATCATATAATGTCTGCAACCAAATGAACAACCCAAGTCAGATTAAAGTAAAATTTAGAAACATGAAAGTCTCTTATATCCCATCAATAACATTGGATTAAATAGAAATAAATTCCCGAGTCAAACTAAGGAAAGGGCCATTATGAACATCAGCACAGAATCACATATCACGTGAATCCAAAGCACGAATCCAAGACATAACTGATATAATAGTGAGAGAAAGTTGTATGTTCAAGCACCTGATAAATGTAAAAGATACGGTCAGAAGCATTCTCAAGCAGTGCATCGGAATAATTTATTGGAGATCTGTAGTGGGTACCCAACAAGAAAAGCCTCACTGCTAAGGGATGGTATAGATCTATAACCTGGGAAGCATAAAAGATACTCATAAGCATTAGCAGCATGATTATTCAAAATCACTATATTGTAAAGTTCACTAGGAGCCAAAAGTTCAAATCATTTGAAAAGGAAATTCACTACCTGCCTAATTGTGAAAAAATTTCCTAGAGACTTTGACATTTTCTCTGAATCGATTGTGACGAATCCATTGTGCACCCAATAGCTTATATTACTATCTCCACAAGCAGCACAACTCTGAGCAATCTCATTTTCATGGTGAGGAAAAACAAGATCCATTCCTCCACCGTGTATGTCGAAGGAATGACCTAGATAAGTAGCACTCATGGCACTGCACTCAATATGCCATCCAGGTCTTCCAGGCCCCCAAGGACTCTGCCAAGACGGCTCACCCTCTTTCGTGGACTGTGAATGTCAAAAGAGCATAATGCAGCAAAATAGAGATTGAGAAAACCAATTTTGAGGGAAGGCATAGATATATGATTACGAATTACTAAACTTAGAAGATATACAACCCATCATAAAGACAGAAATTTAGGTGCACATATTTGAATCAAAAAGCGCCCAGCAAGATCTCTTACAAGATAAACTTAGAAAAACACATCTAAATAACATCCTGCCAATATCAAGAGAAGGATCTATTACAGAGTAACATGTTTACTAGACAACTGTTACCTTCCACAAAGCAAAATCAGCAGGATTCCTTTTTCTTGTGTCAACAGCTACCCGCTCACCTGCTCGGTTATCTTCTAATTTTCTTCCAGATAAACGTCCATACTGTGGGAACTTGTCCACAGAGAAGTAGACGTCTCCATCAATTTTGTAGGCACACCCATTATCAAGAATCTGATAAGATAACAAGTCAAGAAATAGTTACTATACATAGACAAACACTTGCAGATGATGTGTAACTGATAGAAAAAAAGGAGTCCGCTGTTTGAAGGGACGTTAACTTACTACAGTAAGTAAAACACAAGTCTGTATGAATGACAAATTTCTCGCTTAGAAAGGTGTGGGTGCGGATATGTGTACATTTCAAAGTGCAGAAAGAATAAGCGATTGAAAGCTTATACTGTTGGTAAAAAATGGTTGTACACAACCGATTCACATACAAAGGAACCCACGTTCTGAAAATTTACTGCTGAGATACCTTATTGATCATGTCAACAATTTGAGGCATGTGATCTGATACACGGGGCTCAACTGAAGGAGGCAGACAATGAAGAGAAACCATATCCTGGTGGAATTCCTCACAGTATCTTCTACTCAAACTGATTGGATCCTCCCCCACTTCATTCGCTCGTGCAATTATCTACATAGTTTGAAAATCAAATTCAATAGCCAGCCATCTTATACATTCCACAAAAGCTGAAGCCTTCAGTTTCACACTTTACACCGCTTAGAAAGTTTGGTCTCAGAATCGAAGTTTCAGTGAACTTACCTTATCATCAACATCCGTGAAATTGCGAACATACGAGACATCATATCCCAAATGCCTTAGATATCTGCCTAATTTCCAACCACACAGCCAAAAACCTAATCAATCACCAGCTTCAAAATTCACAGAGAACATATAATTGAACGGAAATATCGGTAAGGAGGACCTGTAGAGCACATCGAAGGTGACATAAACCCGGGCATGGCCGATATGGCTGAGATCGTAGGCGGTGACGCCGCAGACGTACATTCCAACTTTACCGTCCAATTTCGACTTGAACAACTCTTTTTTCCTCGTCATTGTGTTGTAAAGCCACAGCTCCGATGGAGGACTCGCTGCGCCGTTGCCACTGGTTGGACCGGAGTTGTTCTCGTTGAGTACCGGAAGGGATGAAGTGAGCGAACTGAAGAAGGAAAAGAATTGCCTTCTCTTTCCGGTGACCGGAACGGTCCGGGGAGGACGAGTGCGGTTAGGAGCATAACGGAACGGTGGGATTGTGAACGGCGAGGTGAATCGGATAGAGGAGCAGAGGGGTTTGTAGTACTTGAACAGAGTAGCCATGTTTATTTTCTGTTCGCGGTGGTTTGCGAGACAAGCGGCTCTCATATCGTCTTCTCGCTTAGGTAGTTAGGTATGTTTTATTAAAACCGGTTCGATTTAGTAAGTGGTATTGTCTGATCGAGGTACAACTAGTTTAAAATTTAAATACTAAATTATTTATGTCAGTTGTAACAATACTTGTGAGGATACTTCAGGACAGTCTTCCACTAATTTTATATTCATATTTAAATAACACCGTATTATAAATTAAATGACAAATCATCATATTTAAATTCAAGATTCAAAAGTTTATATTTGAATCCTACAAATAACATTAACATCTAATATCCATAATCGAATACAATAAAAAGATTTTTTTTTAATTTACTCCACCGAATTATTTCAACCATATCACTATGTTTTTCGATTTTGACTAGAGGTGGCAATTTCAATCCAATCCACCAATCCAATCCATCAATCCATTAAAAATATCCACCTAATCCAATCTATTTAAATCCAATCCATTTTATCCAAATCCAATTGGATTGGTGGATTCATGGATTGGATCCATGGATCATTGGCAAATTACGGTTTAGTACCTATAATTTTTATTTTTTACATTTTGGTACCTAAAATTTAATTTTTATACGAAAAATATCATTGGAAAATTACGTTTTGGTACCTAAAATTTTCATTATGACATTTTAGTACCTAAACTTTTTACATTTTACATATTGGTCCTTGGTTGAGGATGTCATTTGGATTCATGGATAATCCACCAATCCACTTGATCCAATCCATGAATCCACCAATCCATTAGATCCAATCCATTTGATCCATGGATCCACCAATCCAATCCACCAATCCAATCCATTTGCCACCTCTAATTTTGACTATTGCTTTATACTGATATTCTTCCCGCTAGTTTGATATCCGGGCCAATTAAATTCAATTGTACCAACCCACGACATACAAGTAGGTTGACAACTGTGATTTTACCCCTTTATTTTTTCCCGACTTCCAGGTTCATTCAGCCTTAATATGTGTTGTTTGGGTTTGGGATTCTCTAAGATAAGGACTAATATAAGATTTAATATATAAATGTTTCAATTGCTACAAAATAATTAACATTTGATTATAAATGATTAGTTTATCTATAATTCAAGTTATTGGGTTGGTTTTTACATTGCTTCGATTTAGCAAGTAGTATGGTTCGATTATAAATGATTTTAGTATTTCAACAATCTATGATTCATAGTTTATCTTTTCAATTATAAATGAAACCTATTTGCTAATGTACTTAACATCTTGAAGATTATATAGTCTATGTAGTTAGGTACATATTTTGACAAACTATGAATTATCAACAAACCAACTCATAAGTTATAAGTCGATCCACTTTAAAGTCGCTAGTCAAGACGGCTTGCTAGCCACACTTTCTTGCCAGCTCATAGCTCAAACGAGACCCTCACGAATTGAGCTAAAAAACCCACATAGTGTAGCTGTCTCATGAGCCTTGCAAATCGAACTAGACTTAACTCAAGTTCGGCTCGTATAATGAGCCAAGTGGTGGAACTAGCTTTTCGGAACCGAACATCAAGCCATTTACGAACAGGTTGACTCATTTGCAGCTTTAATGATGGACGACCAAGACAGTAAGGGAAAGTTTTTATAACATACCTATGAAGCGAGCCTGAATAAGAGGAGGCTCGAAGGCAAGTGTTAGCTTTACGACCTATTATGACATATCCGCGAGGTGCTCAATGGACATCCCGAGCTTTGAATTGAAGAAAAAACCATATCTTGTGCAACCTAGTAAACGCCCATCTCGTTAGCAGCCTTGTGGCTGCGAGTGACGAGTTTAATGTGATTAGGATTAAAGGGCCTTCTAAGCTCTGAGCAGAAGGCCCAAGCCGGGGCCTGCGTGTTCCAAGTCACATATGATGATTGGCAAGCGTAACTAGGGGAGTTCTAAGTTCCAACTCATTGTCATTCCCCTGTACATTTACAATACATAGCTGTCCAATGATACATTTACAACCGAAGTCAAAACTGATAAACTAGAAACCAAAAGAAGCCTCATCGACACGCAAAGAACAACTCTACTCTTTAGGATTCTGCTCAAAGAGCAACCAACCCTCTATTGTAAGTTCAATCCGCCACGTTATAACTGCATCAATCGTCACACTTGGATTTATACAAAAAAAAATCTAGTTAGCATGTTGTTTACCGTCGAAGAATCTGCAGCTGGCGAATGTAAAAAGAATCTGTCTGAAATCCACGGTCCTGATTGGAGGTGGATCCATTGGTTAGATGTTGTCAAGAAGTAATTCCGAGAACAGCTTCTTTCAGTATGTCGAAGCAAATGAATCACGAGACAGGAGGAAGCCAGTTCCTCTAATCAAGCCAGGGAACAGACCTTGTCTGCAAATCAAAACAGTTGGATTTGGTCAACTTGGTAATAACAGAATGGCAAAGAGAAACAAAACACAAAAAGAAACAACATTCACCTTGCTTTATGCTCGAGCAGCAAAGGAGATTGTCATCAATGTACGTTGCTTGGATACCCATCATCCAAGATCCGATCGATGTATCATCATGAGCGTAGGTCTTCAGAGATGCGCTGTTTCCAGAAGTATTGGGACTTAGATACATCTTGAAGGTACACAAATTGGCAAGAAAAAGGAAGTTTCAAGTGCAAGTGAATAACGCAAGTCTAATGTTGCAGTTGACTTCAAAGTTCAAACTGCAGCTTCTATCCTGTCGTTGGTTCAGTTTTTGCCCTGCTAACTTCTACTAGCAACATAAAAATAGATCAAAACGAGGCCCAACTAAAATTGGAGTTGATTATCTCACACAACATTTGTTCTGAAGCTTCTAATCATCAGTCATGCAACGTAAGAACTCTTTGTGTAATCTAGGTTTATCAACCAACACCAGGGCAACATGAAACCCAGCAGTAGCATCCAAACTAACCTGTTAATGTTAATGTATTGAGCCAAATTTTTTGAGAGTATGATAAGTGGAGCAGCTGCATGCCGGAAGTACCTGAAATGACAGAAGGTCAGTCATAACCAATCTAGCTGCCTAATGCCATATTCGAGCAGCAATTGAAACTCAATTTTCTAAATCCAAAACGAGTGTTGAAGGTTCGAGCATTTTTTTAGATGGGACTAGGGAAGGTGGAGTTGCTAATACATATCCATTCAGAAGTGGGAATGAATGCTTACGATTTCTCGTCCCCAAATTTCCACCAGTCTGGCTCATACCACTGTCTCCCCCTGAAAATACAATAAAATAATACTTTAAAGCTGGATTCATGCGCTTGGGTTGAAGAAACGTTTGGTCTAAGCAAGAAGTAACCATCAATGAAATGTGAAAATCAGAGGACTAATAATAATGATCAACCAGTAAAAGTCGCACCAAGGAAGGTTATTGGCCAAAATAAAAATTCATCCGAACAGGCAAGATGAAAGAGCTCAGTTTAGGTAGAGAAAATGGTAGGCAAGACTACTGTCAGATATTATAACAAGGGAAGAAAATGCAGAGAGAGAGGCTCGTAGCTTCAGCTAAGTTTCCATCCACCCATATACAAACAGAATAGAGTAGTTAAAATAAGCTATTGGTTGTTAAAACGATGCAAGCAACAACAATTATATAAAAACTCATATTCTCTAAACCACATACTCTTCTGTTACAACGTTTCCTGACTTCATGCATCCAATATAAGCACTGCCTTGATCGCGTCGACGTTCTAGGAGTCCTATTAACCCCTCTGTCAGAGATGAAGGTTAAGACCAATTAAGAAAAGACAAGTCTAGAGTAATGAGAGTGGAGCTCTAGCACACAACATATTGAAACTATACCGAGATCAAGGTTAATTTGGTCGTCAACTTTGACATAAAAATCTGCATCCCAGTTCTGCACAGCAGTACTGAAGAAGAACTTTGCTTTCTTAGGCAATTCTTCTTGAGCCTCCTCGTGACCTTCCTGATAAATCAACAACAAATAATAAATCATGATTTTATCTTTCCCCGAGCTGAATCCAAATGTTTGATATTTAAATAACATCATGAACATTTTTCAGCAGTTCGCCTCCTCGATCATTATCCTCAGAGCAGAACCCAAAAAAAAAAAAAAAAAACTGACTAAAAACATGAAACACCACCACCTACAAGAATTAAGAAATCCCTTGTTGAGCGATTTTCCCCATCAATGTTTCGATCTAAGCTATCACCTCGATTAGCACTGCATGTATTGAAATAAATGGTTATATGTAAAACCTTCGACCAAGAAAAGGCAAACATATGGATACTAAAATGAGGATTAGGTACGATCTAAAACCTCCGACCAATGACGAATCTTATCACTATTCCTCTTTCTTCCAGCTTCTTTAAGGCATCACCTGCAAATCAACCAAAATTTATTTGTTATAGGCATCAGGACCAGAAGTAGTAACTGATGAAGAATTTAGCGACTTGTAAAGGCAACAACATTTCTATTTCGCTCTACAGTTGACGTGCATAATATAGGAAAACACCGACAGACCACGAATAGGAACAAGAATGAGGAAGGAAAATGACCATAACAAAGAACATGGAAGGTATATGGATTGTGCAATTCACATCACTCATGTACCTCTCGGCATCCAAGACCCTCGAAAGACGTTTCTGTTGAGGCGACTACCGAATCCAGTATAAACTCCAATAACAGCCAGAAGCTTTTTGCCAGAAGCCGACTCGGACTGTAGCAGCTGGTTCTTGAGGTATCCTTGACTTTTGGCCAATGTCAATTCCATCTCAGCCTCCACAATCCTCCTCTCCAGGTCCCTACAATCCAATAACCATTATTATCATTATCAGCAATTGGAGACAAACAAAAATCTCTCCAGCCTATTTGGAAAACAGGTCTTGAACGTACTTGCATCCAAGGACAGCTAGCTTATCTTCCACCGAAAGCACCTTCGGCCTCTAATCCAAACAACAGAAACAAAATATGAGATCACCTAAAAAACTACAGCGAGCGAGACGAGGCTAAACCGAGACTCTGAATCTAACAAAAGATGGAAAGAAACCTGTGCGGAATTCGTCTTAAGAAGATTAGTGAGCAATGTTCTATTCTCCGCATCTTGCCACAACCTGATTGAATTTCAATGGAAGGAAGCCATGAATCAAAAAGCAAATACATTGTTGGCGATTCAAGAGCGAGCGTGCCATTGGAAGAATCAAATTCAATATTTCCAATGAACGCTCGTTAGCTCACACATCGGCGATCACATTGAAACATTTCAGAGCAGACTCCATGCCCTATTTCTGTGAAATGCCATAATTTTATCTACATAATGAAGTCGGGAAGGGGGGACTAACCTGCCTGCAACGTAGAGCCAAGCGAGGCAAGAGAAGAAGGCCATTACTAGAGAAGGCTTGGAGGTCTGAATATTCTTTGATCTCCATCGGCGGTCAGATTTCGTCGTCGTCGGCAAGCTATCCATTGTCGGATCTTGCCGGCTCCGCTCACGGACTGACTTCCGCGCTCAAAAAACTGAATTGAAGGTGTTAATTGAGAGATCTGAAGAGGCAAAAATATTTTTTTTTAAAAGCTGGAAGTTGTTGGATGGTTGATTGAGCCGGTGGAGTGAAGAACAAATAAGAGAGAGCCACCAATTATTCCTCCAAATTCGCAGAAGAAATCAAATTTGGTTCAGTTTTGGATGAAAGCGGACAGTAGAGGGGACGGGACAGCTTACCTAGCCTTGGGCCAACATAGTTCTAGCCCATCAAGTTAGGCAGCGCAGCTTGCATCTGGCCCAACCCAGCCTTCTCCTTTTCTGTTAACAAGGTCCAAGCCCAACAAATAATGATCTCGTGACTGGTATGTTTGTTTACAAAAGTACCTTTAGGTTAACAAGGAATTCAATCATCTTCAACTTCTACTGTACCCATCCAACATGCCACGATTATACTCAACTTTCTTACACTAAATCTCTCTCGTGCAACATTAGAATAGGGGCTGGTATTCCTTACAGAAACAGAACACTCATTTGAAGATTTGAACTACGCTATTCTATAGTTTCTTGCATTCCCAGTGACTGAAATTTTCGCAACGCTATGGGATACATACTTTTCGTATAATAGTTGACTTTGGGATCAACCAGCGCCGAATTGGAACCAAAATGATTGAACTCAGTCAATAGTAAAATCTCTAACCACTCCTAGCAGTAGCAGCTGGCTGCAAAAAGTTCGCCAGAGAGGGAACGCCTTGGCTCCTCATTTCCTCTTGTGCTCGCTGCATTTCTTCAGGATCTGTTTCAAGATGCAAGAAAACGTCAGGTTCAGCTCTATATAGATGTCGTTGTAGCAATTGCCATCTACTACAGCCAAATCACTCGAGATATTCGAAACAATCTACTAGCAAGTTTCAATGAAGTCGGTGCAAACACCAAGTGTGTTTAGTAGAACAGTCAGTTCCATTTACGTTAACAAGGCAATCTCAGGGGAAGTTGGAACTGAAAATTGGAAGCAAGTACTTACCCATGTTCTCCATCAATTTGGGCATCAAGAACACCACAACTAGCATAAATCCTATCATGAGTCCCATGGGGCTTTTGACTAGTGACATTATGGAGAAGGGTTCTCTAATCTGCAATAAGTTGAAGAAAATGGTTAATCAGCGAATAGTTTAGAAAACAAATGTAAAGAGTCAGAAAGGCAAAGGCAGAGAGCAACCTCGTAGTAATATTCTTCCCTTAATGGCTCCCACACCAACTCAGTCAGACCTCTTCTGTTCTCAGTCAATGCTGCCTGAACCTTGCCCGGGAATCTGGCACTAACATCAACTCGGACCTGAACATTGCCAGGGAAGTCTCACCATCCATCATAACAATAATTAAAAACAAACCTCAACTTGCAGATGGGAATTCTCACCGGAGAAAAGAAATAGCCAGTTGCTGAAACTTCAATCAAATGTGTCCCTGCTGGAACATTATGGCTATACAGAAGGAAGAAGTGTCATTGGCATCAATTCCAAAGTTAACAATGCATAAGGGTACTTTTTAAATATAACGATACTAAAAGTTAAATAGGTGAATGATATTGCTTGAGAAAACTGGAAGGTATCAAAATTGAACGGATGACAATATTTCACAACAACAACAACAACAACAACAAAATATTGATGAAAATAAAGCATAGACGCAACAAAAGAAAGTAGAGAGCCATACAATGAGAAGTATCCGTCAGGTCTCAGAAAGGTAACATTTTGTCCACCATTCAATATCACTTTGACATTTGATATTTTCCCAAGAGCACCAATTGCTACTGCACATATGAAACAGAAACATCATCTCCAATTCAGTTACATGTGAAATAGAGGCCCAGTAAACTAAAGTAAGGGATTGACATGTGAAAGAGGGATTCAAGTACCCTACTTCCGTATATTCTGCATCCTATCATTCAAAAAACTAAACTTAGTAATAACAACAAACCTGCCTTCACTCTCATTCTCACAACTCATCTTATCCAACCTCATTCTTACGACTAGCTCAGTTACCTACTAGCTGCATTAACACTTCTTGTACTTGGAGTATCCAAATTGACACTATATTTCTCTCCTTTTACAATTCTTGAACAGTTTAGCAGTTATCAGTACATCAATTACCTTACGACCACAATTCAGAAACCATGATTGAAAAGAAAATCTCACGCCACTATGGAAATGTGATCTTAGAAGTATCGGTATATCATTCACATTGCAACCATACCTAAAGCCGTGATTCAGCATCGGAACAGAGAAACTACAGCAACTCGTCAGCATTTTACCCAGCTAATTCAGACTAAACTCATCGAGACACTAAGTTCAGGCGACCACTCTGCCCTGTTTAGGCAGTGCTCCCCATTGGCATGTGCCCTACACTACTTGTTGACACGTTTATGCACGTAATAAGTTCGTAAAATTCACAGCACATATTGCTCTCACTGAACTTTGAGCTATACAAATCAACAAATATTGGTACTGTGTCATTGGAAAAAGAGGGGCGAAAAAGAATCAACAACGTACCCGGGATCTTAATTCGGCCATTGATGGTGTGACCATCGACTGACCTGGAAGAGAAACGAAGACAAGGTCATCAATTACTATCACTCCAAGTCTAAACCCTAAATTTCATTCTTCAATCGGCAAGAACCAATGCTAGAACCTGGCGACAACATCGCAATGGCAGATTGTCAAACTCGAATTGGAAACCTAACATTTTTGTAGGCTGTGGTATTGATAAAGTATCGAATACAATGAAGCAATTCAGAGATAGGGAATGAAGACGACGAGAGAGAAGCCTACCCAGTTGAGATAGCAAGCGCAGGAGATAGAACCGAGAGACAGAATTGCAATAAAAGTAGAAGAAGAGCTGGCCTCAATCTTGCGATCGACGACATGGCTGCGCACCGGAGATTCGCGGATTCAGCAGCAGCAGCCGGGAGTTGGGAGAAAGCCGAGTCAAGGAGAAGAGGACGAACTTTTCCGTTTGCCCGTCTATGTGTGGAGAACCTGGCGGATAATGGTGCAGCTGGCCTGCGCGCTACTGTTACGAACTTTCTTTTCTAGAGAAAAAAGCTTATACATATTATGACGTCAGTCCGTTTGTGGTCGTTATATTAACCGGACCTGACATTGTGACGTTGGTGAAATTCACTAGTCTGAGCTGATTATTCCTAATTTCAATGTGAGTCAAGTTTGTATGAATTAAACCATCACAGGGATTCTATGTCGTCACTGATTAGCATTTCGTGGATTACTTGATCCAACACCTCTGCCACTTTTAGGAGTCATACCAGGTGGTCAACCATGCTTATGGTAACATGTTTCTTCAGTGTGATCCTTGCATTTTGTAGTAAGTACAGAATGGTCGTGATCCTCAAAACCTTCCACGACCTCTGCCTCTCCCTCTACTAGATGCAAAGGAAGGGTTCCAGTCTGGTCTAGTCTGCTGATATTCTGGTGCCCTGACACCACGGACTACAATGCTAGAGCAATTGATTCTACCATACCGCCCTTATCAACTTGATTACCATAACACTGTCTTTTATGTTGTGCCATGCGATAAAATACTTGATCCATAGTGGGTAAAGGGTCACTAAACATCAGTTGTGGCCTTGGAATAGAATAGTTCCCATTCAAACCACGAAGAAAATGCACATTCAGATTTGTGTCCTGCGATTTTCTAACAGTATTGATTGCTACACAATCTCTATGGCTAGTAGTTAGGGGCGGACCCATGCATTAGCAAGGTGTGTCAACTGACACACCTTGGCTCGGAAATATTGTGAGAGATCCATGTTTCGTTGGTACAAAAAACTTGAATTCGGGATTTCTGACACACCTCACATAATTGCAATCGACACACCTTTAATACACTATATTGATTTTGATGTCATATAGCAATAGGTACCAAAATACACAAATATATTTTATTTATTTTAATTTTTAGTGAAAATGTCGAGAGAAAAAAATCCACAACCCATGGCTCACAGTTCTCTGTCCTCTGCTCCACTCTCTAATTGCTAGCACCTGCCGGTGGAACCTCATCCTCTTTCAAACTTTTACGTTAACGCCGGTCGCCAACGTTCCTGCTTTCCATTTTATGCTATGGAGTTAATCAAGAGCGAACTTCAAAATCAGTTTGAATTTTTACTTTTGTACGTCGAAAAAAGTTTGATCACACCATAAGCGACAAATATATTATACAAACCTTTCTGAATATGAAAAGTTGTCGTGTGTCACTGTGAAAAATAATAAATTACGACCTTAATGACTTAAATTTTATTTTACTTTTTATTTAATACATTTTTATTAATTATTTTTTATTTGACGACACACCTACCAAAGAATCCTGGGTCCGCCACTGCTAGTAGTTGTGCATTGACATACAGGGATAGGCTGATAATTCTTGAGCTCTTCCCCGCTGTAATTAATTCTGTATGATACTCAGACAAGGTTCTAGTTTCTTGCTTCAAATTGCATTGCTTCTCATTGAGTTCAACTATCCTAATCAAATCACCTTGGCCGTATCTTAATTTGGGAGTTTTCCATACCTCTGTTGCAGTTTTGAGGCTTCTTACACTTTTGCCAATCAACTCATCTACTGTCTGCAGAATCCAGCTCTTCACCATCATGTTGCATCTCGTCCAGGGCCATTCTAGGTCGTCTCTAGGCTGTGCTTCTGGGATCGTACCATCTATGAACCCTAATATGTTCTTGGATGCAAGGGCGTCGAACATCCTTGCACTCTAGTCATTGTGGTTGTTGGTTGTGAGTTTGATTGAGATCAAAATTTGTCCCGACTGCTCAGACCCATGAAGATAATAGGGATCTGAGAGTGGGTATTCTGACTTAGTTCCAGAGTCGCCGCTCTTAGTAGTTGTGTCTCCTGTCATGATCGATCAAACCAAGCAGTACGAAGAAAAGGGGAAACCGAAATCGAACAGGAGAATGGAAGAAGAAGAAAGAAGGAAGAATGATGGCTGGTTAGGGTTTCAGAACTCTAACCAGGCTCTGATATTATAACAACACAAATTTCACAGAAATGTGGAAGAAGAAAAAGTATCTTCTTCCTTGCTCTCTTCTTCTCATATATGCTCTCGTTCATTACAAGACAAAACCAGCTCAGCTGGGTGAAAGAAATGAAACAGTGAAAATGGAAAACAAAAAAGTAATGACGTCATGTTGACCGTTGGTGCAGCTCGTGCTTCTCACGTGACTAGTGCCTTCCCTCGTTCTATGCTTGGTACAGAAGAAAAAACACAGGGGATTCTTCTTGTACCGTTGATAAAGAGTCGTATATTCTTATAATTGATCAATGATCATTATAATATCAAACACCATCATTCATTTTGGTGTCGGTTGGGACAATGTTTTACCTTTAGGTGTCCATTCAACTGTTTTGTCACAACACATTTCAGCGAGAATTAACTAGCTCTAAATTCAAGTTAGCCTAAAAATATATATAGATTATTTTTTTGATAATGGTGAGAAATAAATAAAGTAAAAGAGAGTTAAATGTTTGAGTTACAAAAAGAGTAGCACCAGAAGTGCCCTCAAGGCGGGGAAGGAAAGAAATAGGAAGAGAAGAAAAGAGGGAACCTAGTAGTGACACAAGGGTTGGAAACAGGACCACGACAAAGCATCTAGAACAATAAGTCTCAAGCTTAAAAGCAAAGAAACCCAACAAACAGGCTCAAACAAAGGCAAACCAGCAACACGTCTGAATCACAAGGCGGCCAGCCGGAGTGCACACTGATTTCTGTCAGCCTTCCCGCGAGCCATCAACCACTCAATGATTGATTTGGAGATCCGCCGGGCAATAATACTGGGTGAGAGGCTTTTGTCGTTGAAAATACGTCGATTGCGTTCCAGCCACAGTTGCCAGCATATGGAATGGAGAAGGCAGAATCAGAACCATCCTTCGATGTTACTCGGTGTAGATGTAGGCCAATTCCGAATGGTTTCGGCGATGCCTTTTTGAACCAGGATGTGATGGTTACATCTTCTCCTAATGAGGCTCCACACATTTTTGGAAAACCTGCAGTCAATGAATAAGTGATCTGCTGTCTCCTCCTCCTCCTTCTTAAACAGTTCACAGCTGTTTGCCAATGACCATCCTCTTCTTTTCAAGATGTCAATAGTCAGGATCCTTTTGTGAAACAAAGTCCAAATGAAGAAGCAAATTTTGGATGGAACGACGCTTCTCCAAACTGAGGCGCAAGGGAATTCAGGAACACCCGGAAAAGAACCTGCAATTAGGCATTTGTACATAGAGGAAACAGAGAAGGAAGAATCTGGTTTGGGACTCCACACAAGCCTGCAGGGGCTATTGTTAGCATTATGGAGCACCACAGAATTGATGTGTAATAGTAAATTTTGCCTCTCTCTCTCAGCCCCACCTCTCAAATTGAAGTTAAGTTCGATATTCCAACTAAATGACTCAGCAGAATGGTTAAGAACGTCTGCGATTTGAGCTTCAGGGACGCTTGCGGCAGCATCAACTCGGGGGCAGGCCTCGGCAAGAACAGTTCCAGGTGCCCAACAGTCATACCAAAAGGAGACACCGCTTCCATTTCCCGGATCAATGAAGGAAAAATTCCAGAAATTTTTGTATTCTTTAGAGATAGCGGCCCAAGGAGAGTTGCCAATACCGTTACTGATAGAGCAAGTGATCCAAGCTGAATATCTATGTCTGTATTTGCACTCAATAAGCATGCGCCACCAACTGGTCTTTTCCGTGATGAATCTCCATAGCCATTTCGCTAATAATGCCTTGTTAAAACACTGCGGATCAAATAAACCAAGTCCACCATCAGATTTAGGGGCCTTGCATATGTCCCAGTTGATCAGATTCATCTTGCGATTATCACCAGCCCCGCTCCACATAAAATTCCTCATTATTCTTTCCATGTCTTCTGTCACAGACCGAGGAGCTTTGAAGATAGAGAAGTAATGTACCGGTAGGCTGTTTAGCATGGCCTTGTTTAGGACTAGCCTGCCACCACTCGAAAGGTATCTAGCCTTCCATCCTTCCAGCCTTTTTTGGTATCTATCAACGACAGGAGACCAAAATGCAGCACTAGAGTACTTGCCACCAAGAGGAAGTCCAATATATAGGATAGCATCGCTGCTCCACTTGCAGCCAAAGAGGTCAGCGTAAAATCTAGGTTCGGGGACATCTCCTACAGTGATCATGGTCGATTTTTCAAGGTTGATCTTGAGACCTGTGACTGATTGGAAACAGACTAGTGTGGCAAGAAGGTTGAGCACTTGCTGATAGGAAGCATCACAAAACAAAAGGGTGTCACCGGCAAAAAGTAAGTGGGTAACTTCGCCACTGCCTTCCTCCTCGTTCATTCGGAAGCCTTCAATAAGCCCTTCAGCTTTTAATTTGAAGATCATAGTAGAGAGAATATCCATGATCAGAGTGAACAAACCTAACGAAAGGGGGTCCCCCTGTCGCAGGCCCTTTTCAGTAGGAAAAAAGCCTTTTGTCTCTCCGTTGATGAAGATAGAGAACAGGGGAGAACACATAGTGCCTTTAATCCAGTTTATCCATTGAGGAGGAAAGCCTGACATAGCCTTGAAGAGACAGCTCCAATTGACGTTATCAAAGGCCTTCTCGATGTCAAGCTTGAAGATGAGCCCCGGTCTTCTACTTCTTCTTCTACTATGAACAAGCTCATTGGCAATGAGCCATGCATCAGAAATCTGCCTTCCTCTAACCGAGGCTTGTTGCTACTGCGACACAATGGAAGGGAGAAGATGAGCCAGCCTGCGCGAGAGCACTTTGCTTACGAGTTTGTTAAAGCTACTCAGCAGGCAGATAGGTTGGAGGTCTTTAATGTCCTCTACCGAGTCTTTTTTGGGTGTCAGACATATGAATGAATGGGTGACACCTTTGCAGAGGACTCCAGAACCATGGAACTCATTGAAAGCAAGTATAATGTCATTTTTTACCCAATTCCAGCATCTTTTGTAAAACTCGAAAGTAAAGCCGTCGGGGCCTGGGGCTTTGCCACCGTCACTGTCGGCGAGGGCCGCCCAAATTTCCTGTTCACAAAAAGGAGAGCATAAGGAAGTAAAGTCGGCCTCGGAAGTGGTGTTGTTAGCATGAATTTGAGGAAACGGCCGTGACCAGAGATCCTCTTTGTAAAAGTTTTGATAGAAGTTTATAATCCCTTCATGTAGATGATCATTGCCTTCATAAGTGAGACCATTGATCCTAATTCTGCAGATGAGATTTAGCTTCTTCCTGTAGTTAGCTACCTTGTGGAAATATCCAGAGTTCATGTCGCCAAGTTTGAGCCACAGTTCTTTAGATCTCTGCCTCCAACAAATCTCTTGCATATCCAGAGCTTTAACCAGATCAACTTCAAGCTGTATTCTGCTGCTCTTCTCGGCTTCAGTAAATGGCCTGGTTTCCTCAATGTTGTCCAACTCTTTTATTGATTTAAACAAGTCTTCGATCCTGACATGGATATTCCCAAACGTGTGTTTATTCCAAAATTTGATATTCTCCTTCAGGGATTGGAGCCGCTTTGACCAACGAAAAATGAACCCGGATCCTTGCAACGGCGAGAGAAGCCATATGGGAAGACTAGTATAGAATCGCTCATCTTCCAACCACATATTTTCGAATCTCCAGGGTCTCTTGATGATCCTTTCTTCACCCCATTTAAGAAGAAGGGGGTTGTGATCCGACTCGATTCTCTCAAGAGCAATAAGATTGGAGTCTGGAAATAGAGAGTCGAATTGCGGGGTGATAAAGACACGATCGATTCGGGACTGGGAGTTGCTGCCTATTCCGTGACTCCAGGTGTAGTGGCTACCCCCAAGGGGAAGATCAATAAGGACATTGATGTTAATGAAGTCATTAAAAACCCCCATAAGCTCCGAACTTCGTCTCACTCCAGTATAATCATCGTGACCTCTTACCATATTAAAGTCCCCCGCGATGCAAACTGGTCCTTGGTGTCGCTGGCAGAACTCATGCAATTCTTGAAGGAAAATAACCTTTTCATTTCGCTCCTGCGGACCGTAGACAATAACAAGATGCCAGGAATTGGAGCTAGCGACGTCAAGGAGCTCAACATCAAGGAAATAAGTGCTTTCACTACTCGAGATTCTATGGTATCTCTGTTTATCCCAGATCATCACGATGCCCCCTGAACTTCTTACGACATTCTTAGCAACCCAACCGAAGTCATTTATACTGCTGACACTCCTTACGTCTTCATACTCATGTGTTAACATTCTTTTTTCACATGAGGCGAAATGTTTAAAAGATGCCTCAACTTTTATCCATGAACAAATTTTTATTCTCGTAAATCCGGTAAATATTGTTATTGAATTATCTCACTTTTTTTGAATTGCCTCACTTTTTTTTGTCGTTTGATAACACTATTAGTCAACACTAACTTAATACTCACTACTCGTCTACTGTTTTGTACTATATCATAATTTAGCATTTCTTACTATACTATATCTGTTGTTAGTAATAACTTTATATTCTTCACGTTGTCGATAGCAAAAAACGGTTTGCTTTTTCCTTTTTTTTATAATGGTAATAATTAACGGTTTGCCTTTTCATTTAGCATAAGTGAAGCGATGCAATTACCAAAAAAATGAAATGACAAATGAACAAGGCATTTAAGTAAGATGAGCATCCCAGCCAATAATTCTCAGCAGCATCTCCATTGCCAATAAATGAAAGGCTGTATATTAAACAGAAACGTCCACCGAGAGCTAAAGAATAACCTCCAGCTGAACAGCTGAACCAATTCATCACCAAGAATCTACAACTACAACATATGACTCTCTCTTTCTCCCGAATCTCTTTTCCCATATTTCACCAAACATTGTTTATTACATCTGGGGAACAATAATCCAACAAGACCTGCCCCTACCTGAATCATCACAACGTGAAGTCAGTTAGTTTGTTCATTTACACATTCGACTCCATCTCACTCACAACTAGGGTTGTTAATGAGTCGAGTCGAGTCGAATTTTGTCATAGTTCGGGCTCGTTTCGTTAAAATATTTCCAAGCTCGAGCTCGAGTTCAACTCATTAAATGTTCATAATTCATGATAACTCAAAATTGAGCTTGAACCGAGCACAAAATTACATTTAAACCTGTAGCAAAGTCTTTAACAAAATAAAAAATAAAACAATATTTATTCCAATTTGAATACATAAAGTCCATGAATTCCAATCCTTTATGATGCCAAACCGTTAAATGAGCTTGTTCACAAACCAGCTCGATTAAGACGAATCGAGTGTCAAACAAATATTTCTCGAATTGGACGCCGAGTCGTTCATTAACGGCTTGATTCATTAACAGCCCTACTCACAACACTACTTTTCACCTGTATGTACTTACACTTCCGGATCAAAGCTACTGATTCATATAAGATCTCGGAGATTAAAGATATTCCCAAACAAAGAATTTTCCAATGCGTAAGAAACCCAAAAGTCCGAAGAACACCTATATGTTACAAGCCTATCGTTTTGGACAGTCGGTCTGAAAGATTAGCAATCACAAATCCAGCAAACACCTGCAGGCAAATCATTAACAATCCCATATATATTAAGTTCGGCCATTTGAAGAAGATAAGCAAGTGCTGTTTGACGTCTTAAGTGTAGTTTGATGAAGAAGAACAGCATAGCACCATACCTGAACCGAGCCAAGTATGTAAATTGCTGAATAATGACGACCGTGGACCACCATGTCAGCCACCATGGCGAGGGGGATTGTCAGTGACATGCCCAAGGTGGCTACCAACGGGGTTGTCCATACAACGCACAGTGCCCTAAAAAAGGAAAGGTATATGAATTCAGCACTACATGCGAATGAAACAATGGGTGTTCTTTGATCCATAATGAGCTGAAAGGCTTGCCAAAGGTGTACCAGAAGTAGTCAGAGAGGACACTCCCAATGAAGCCATTAGCAAGAACAATTTCATCAAGTTTCGCGGAATGTGGGATCGTAAACTTGGGCTCTATTCCCAAGGCGGTCAATGGCCAAACTAAGAAAGCCAAAACAATAAAAAAGAAAAAAATGGTTAGAATGGACTATATTTAATTCATGGAATGTAGAATGCATGAAAAATAAGAATGTGGAAAATGCCCGTTAATCCAAACCCTAGCAAAGGGATGTAGAATCCTAGTGGTCGCCCCATGAAATTCATATTTCATCTACCTACAAAATGTGAATCTCATCTTGCCAACATTGTTTCCCCTTAGAAGACAAAACAAACACAGGAATCTCCCATATTCCACCGGATTTTAAACCAGATTCCATGGCCTCGTCGACATAATGACCCCCTAGTTTTTTTTAATTACCTAGGGCTCTATGCTTCAGAGTGAATAACTTGAAGTGCTTTCAGATACTGATGCCACTTACCAAGCCACCACAGGGCTACAAGGGTAAACAACCCTATGTATCCAAACAACTTTTGCACATCAACTCTTTCTCCTTCTTCACCAGCAAACTTTTTGAGAAGTACTGCAGCATTATAATGAAATACAGTTAATCATTAACAACTAGAGGATGAAGATTAAGGAAAGCGAGTAATGAAAAATCAACTCTAACCTGTGAATAGTGCATAACACACTGCAGAGAGAAGGCCAAATAAATCACCAACAAGAGTGCGTTCTCCATCGCTAAATGCGAAATGCAAGAGTTAACATCAAACAAAGGAAAATGGAAGCAATCACAGCTTAGAAAAGCACGCTGATGCTAAGACAGTCGTTGCATAAAATGTAGCAATGAAGGTCTACTGATACCAGCAACAATCACTAGTAAGCACGGTCTACAACCAACTTAGGGCATCAATAAGTACTTGATGGTTTTTATTTAAGGTAAGTAAGAAAAATAACAAATAGGAGAGGAGGTCTTACTTAGAGGCACTTAGTTGTGACTCATCAGCAGCCCATGTTTTTCCAAAAGTAGTCATAACAACACCAGCCATACTCACCAGCACAGCTATGACTTTCGATAAATTCAAAGAATCTTCGCCTAGGAAAGCACCAACGAAGAGGGTAAAAAGTCCTGAAGTTGATGACAGAACTGTTGTACTTGCAACACTTGTGCGTGCCAGAGCAGCATTTGATAGATACTGAGTAGGAGCAAATGGGCAACCATTAAGTAAGACATACCCGAGAATGGTTTAGTGCATAATTTATGAGGAAAAGTACCAAGTCTAAGGAAACAATTCCATGCATTAATCAGGTAAACAATCACAAATCTTGCACCGAGAACGAAAGAAAGTCATAAAGGTCAAATTTTCACCCGCAAGAGACACTAATTTGATAACATGGGGAGTTTCTGTTCCACACTAGGTGGTACGGATGTCCATCCAATACGGAACTAAATCCATTACAATTGTCAGCATTTCACTTCATCAGTTATTTCTCAGTCCGAGGAAGTGGAATGAAAGATTATGATTCACTAGTTCATGGGATAAGCTAATTCTGAAAGTAATGGCCAGTGAAATTTACAACCTATTTGCTACCTGCCAGAAAGCATGATAAGAAATTGGAGAACGATCATAGACCTAAAACAATCAGACAGTTCTGAAGGTTCTATGAACTTACAAACTGCTCCTTATCAAACCATTCTCACTACCATATACAGACACAGTTGATATTTTTTCAGTATTGAGTCACTATTCACTTGTCCAGGAACAAAGATGGACAATGCAATTGAGTGTTAGAAAAGCAAGCTCACCTCCGTGACGAACCATAGTGGTGCAATATAAAACCCGTACTTTGCAACTTGTTTGTTGCTGAGTTCTTTCTCAATTCTCAGCAAATTCAGGTCATCTTTGCCTCTCGGGACTAACGGCTTGTCCTCGTCTTGCAATGAAAGAGCTGAGTCACTATCTTTCTTACTCAAAGTTCCCTGAAGTTCCATTTCAACGATTTTCCGGTTCAGAGGAGAGTTAAATCCATCAGAAGACTCTTTCTTGTTTTCTGAACCTTTACCTCCTTTTGAAGACTTACGGTTCAGAACTTTCTGCAGCCAGTCTTTAAAGAATGCAACCGGGAGGTAAACTACCATAAGGGAAGCTCCAAGATATGTCACAGCAAATGGTTGTTTGTAATTTGTAAATATACCCTGTGACACAAAAACCAGGTAAATTTACAAAGAGATCAGAGAGAAATAACTTGCATCCCACCGGTATGTCCTGAAGTGGAAGGAAACAAAAACACCTAAAATCTTAGGTCTAATTCTAAACACACGATGCCTTTCATTGCCACTAACATATGTTTCAGGGGGTTTGTCCATTGTTAAGTTGCGGAATTCAATCCTCTGGCCAGCACTTCGAGGAAATGGTAATAGTAGATTACGCTCTCTGAACAAACTACTTATACTACTTTTCGTCCCATATCAACATTCAAAGGGAAAACAATATCCATGTTCTTATGACTGAAATGACGATTGCCACAGTTGCATAGACAATTCACAATTGTAATGGAACAAACAGAGTAGAATGGAGGACTATTGAAATTTCAGCAAACAGGGTATCTACTAATCAACCATCAAGCATAATTCTCTAAAAGCGTCGAATAACTTCCACGCAGCCAGCTGGAGAATCTCCCAGAAACAAACAAAAAATTGAGAGAGACCTACCTGGGTAACTTCGGCGGAGGTGACCCATATGACAACAACAGCAGCTATCAAGAACAAACCCGCCTTATATCTCCAACCCATCACCCAGAAGTCAAAACCCACAACCCAGATTGATGAACACGAAAATAAAACCCGGGAGCAGGGGCCGCAAGCAGAGATCTAGGAATTCTCTCCACGGATCTGCAAAATCCGAAGCTAGAGCTTCTGAATTTACAAGGATTTATCCAGCTCCTTCGCGGTAGTTGTCAGACCAACACGTGAGGGTTGCGAGATCCCGAGATCCCTCCGCTTCAGGTGGCGCAAGCTTGAAGGCTTGAACAAGGAATGAAACCCTTAATAGATAGTGATTTCTCCAGTAGGGAGGCTACCGATCGGTCAGCTGATATAGAGGAAAATTCGTCAGGGAGAAGGAACCAAACCCCGCCGGAAGAATGAGCGGAGAGAGCGGAAGGTGATGCAGCACAGCAGCAGGTATAGCAATTCGGAGGGGGCCGCGTATTATTTATTGCAAACTGGCTATCCTCCTGGTGTTGCGAATTGAATTTGTTGTTATTTTATATTTCCTTTTTCCTTTTTATTTTCCCCTGTTTTTTCTTGCTGATGTTCTTCTTTCCCTGCAAGAAAATTTTTCGTCCCGCCTGTCGCTCTCTGCTATTACTGTCCGACGTGTCACCATTTTTGGCGTGGCGGTAGTCCGACGTCAGCCAGCAGCTTTCTTCCTTGCTTACTTCTTAAACGCGGGACCGACACTTCTTTCTATTTACGCTGCGTTTTGGATGGTCAGCGACTCGGCGCCCTGCAGTGGACAATTTTGGGCTTCGTATTCCATCTTGGGCTTTCGGGCTTTTTATCCTCATGTTCAATTGATTGGGCTCTTTGTTTACTGTGGATTTTTTTTTTTATAATCAGTTTACCGTGGAATTCTGTTCAGCATTATTCTGGAAATAACCTACTAGGCACTAGCTTTTCCCCGATTCACCAAGATCTCATCATCTTCCCCATCGGCAACGAGTGGACAAACGGCGGACGGAAAACTCTGTTATCTGTACAAAAAGCAAAAAAGTCGCCTGAATGATTTCACGGCGTGGAACCCCAAAGCACCTCTGCTAAAATAGAGGCAGCTTCAGCTTCAGATACACAGGCATCCCTCACTCTCTCCACCATTTCCCTCTTCAGCTCTTTCCTCTCCCCCCCACTCAACCCTTCCCCCACCTCCACCTGCACCGCAAACTTCGCCACGCAGCTCCCGAACGGCCGATCTCCGGCGCCGGTGCCCTCCGCCTCCACGAAGTTGTCACCGTGTCTCGACCTCTGCAGCTCCACGAGCTTCTTTATCAATCCCTGTTCCAGCATCGCCTCGATCACTTCCTTCCTCCCGTGGTACGCTATCTCGCACACGCAATAGAACGCCGCCGTTTTGATCGGCAACAGACGATCGTCATCGCCATTCTCCGAGTTCGACCCGAGTAAAGCGACGACTCTGGGGATCTGCCCGTCCAGCTCCATTTCGTCGATCAAGGGGGTCCGGATTAGCGACACGAGCTCAGTCAGGACTTGTATCGAACACCTGGTGGCCAGCGATACCAGAGCGGGAACCGTGGAGCCCATTAGAACGAGTCCGACGAACACGTCCTTGTTGAATCGGACCAACCCGACGATGGCGCGAGCCACGTGTTCCTTGACTCTCGTCGTCGGCCGCCGATGCGATTTGCACAGTAGCGATTCGAGGATCGAGAAGAGCTTCGCTTTCAGGACCAATTCCTGGAACTCCCGATCGAATCCAGAACTCAATCGCTCCTCGAACTCCTCCAATACCCTAATTTTCTCATCCTCTTCCTTCTCGCCCTCCGGTAACTGGAGAGTCTTCACAAGCTTCTGTATCAGCTCCCGATCGAAATACACCCGAATCTCAGCCTCAATCTTGATGGCGAGCTGGTAGATTCTGTAAGCGGCGATTCGGCGGCGGAGGATGGATCGCAAGCTGTACCCTCCCGATTTCTCGAGATCCCGGTGAAGGGTTTTGAGGTCGGTCAAGAATTGAGAGACTTTGAAGAGATTTGGGTCGCCAGAGAGAAGGGTAGTGGCGCCGGATTCTGTTTCTAGCTTCAAGATCGTTGCTATGGCGGCGGGCTGGATGTCGGTGACGGAGAGGGAGAAGATTGGGTTGTTGATACGCAGATCCCTGGCGGCTCCTCTGAGCGAGTGGAGAAACGAGGAAGTGAGTTGTTGGGTGTTTTTATTGCTTTTGTGCTGGGTTTCTTCTTCCATGGCGGCTGCTCGATCGCGCGAAGCTCGAGGATCATGGGAAATCGTCGGTTCCGGGTGGAGATGCAGGAAGGGAAGAGAAGTAGCTTCTCCGTTGGAGATGGGCCTGGAAGAAGGAAGAAGCTATTTCTCTTCTCACGATACTTCTACCAACCAGTCAACAACGTCTGGCACGAAACAGAACCGCACAGACCAATTCGTCTAGTAAAATTCACGATACGGTGATGATTGATTCCCCTCGCTAAAGAAAGATTAATAAATAGAACAACAAATTATGGTCAATGATAACAGAATTGCCGCTAAATCTCAAAATATATCAAGTTGTCCCTCACCCTTTTCGCATGTAATAAAACAACTGCTGCAGCTAATCTAGTCTAGTTTTTGTTAACAATATTTAGTAAGCACCTTCCATCATGGTGGGGTGCTAGAAATCTCAATAAAGCTGATTTAATTGTCGTAATTATAAAAGAAATAAAAGCTTATCAAATATTTTAATTCCTAATTTGTGCAGAATTTACATGTAAGTTTCAATCAAAACCCTTTCTATCTTCAACCTACCTTCACCACTGATCATCTGAGCACAATGTTAAAGGTTTGATTCATTTCTCATTTTGCCGTAAAGTTTCTTTACAATTTCACAATTTGTATAAACAAGAAAACTTCTAACATTGTCATCAGATGAAAGGGTGAAAAGCGTACGAGGTAAATGCATTATATTTATATGCACGTATGAATGCAAAATGAGGTTTTTTCAATTAGATTCAATTCAAGGGTCACGAAATTTAAGCTGGGGAGTCCATTTGAGATGCAAGAAAAGCTTCCCAGACTTGGCGCCATCCACCGGAAACGAATCCTGGAACTCCCCTTCCATTATAACTCTCGTCAGCGTCATTATCACTCTTCCAATTTTGTCCTGCCCCAAAACAGAACAGGCGTTACAATTACAACACCACGAAGCACGTTACTTGCTTTACTTCCACGGCAACCAACCGCAAACCTGATCGATCATCATTCAACAACTAAAACATTACAACACACAAGCAAACATCATATACCTTTCCAAAAGTGTCATGATCCCAAACCTCCAAAATCAGCATCTCATGGAGAGCATCTTCCACGACGAAGTCGAACGTCTGGTTCCACACAGGATTCAAGCTCTCTTGCACCACCTGACACAAGCAAACCCCATTACTATTGGAGTAATGGAAAATGTAGGCAGGTTAAAGTTTCTGCATTTTTGGATTTCTCACCCTGGTTTTGGCTCTTGCGTCGGATTTCTTCATGATGAGGACAACATATGGATCGGCCTTCCCCATCACATCCACCGCCGGCAAGTCCTCGGCAGCCACCACATTCACCGACAGAACTCCTCTCACGATCACATTCTTCCTAGATGCGGCCGAGGCGAGGATCGGGTCTTCACCAGCTTCATTCCCGCACTTGATCTTCTTCTCTAACGTCGTCAGTTGGTAATCCGGATTGAATGGGTTCTTCAAGCTGCTTTCCATCCCATAAGGAATGTATAGCAGCTCCAGATGTACCTAAATCAGGATTGTTACTCAGGGCCGATGAATCAGTATCAAGAGCTTATGTTTAAATCAACACTGAGGTTAATGAATAACATACCTCGCCCCTGTACTTGTTGTCTCTCTGGATGTTCAAATCTTTGACCAGTTTCAACCATACGTCCTTGACTTTACCAGGCTCCAGGTCTTTCAACGCCACCTGAGCACAGCCAATGAGCTCAGCTGCCGAAATCCCTTCATCGTCAAACACTCTGATTGTTAGATGTTGAGTAGATGCATCCTCGACAACAAACTCGAAGTGCTCGTTCCAAACGGGGTTCAATTGGTTGTTCTGGAAAGAACTGGGAGTTAGTAACTTTACAATAATGACCAGGGTGCATGACAAGGAGGGAAAAACAAGTGGTGGTATGGTGGTTTCTTACAATAACTTTGCTGGTTTTTGTTCTGTCACGCAGTGGGCGGATGAATACGACGGCAAAAGGATCTGATTTCCCGATAACATCCTTGTTTGATAGCTCTTTAGCCTGCACAAGTTTCACGTCCAGTATTCCTTCTGGCTTAAGCTCCAAGTCCCTGCAATGTGGGAGGATACATGGTAATCTTCGGGGGATTGATAGTTTTACTTCTGGGGATTGTTAGAAGGGTATATAACTTGCTTACTCGTAGTCACCGGGCAGAATAGGTATAATTTTCCTGACTGGCCAAGTGATGGAGTCTTCAATGGCGTCCTTTATAGTTTCCTGCACAGAAATGATCGAATCTTTTATCACTGGTTCTTGCATGAAAATGACACCAAAAGACCAGAAATGATGAAGGAACTGACCTCAATAGCATCAGATAACCCGGGTATTGACGATAACTCGCCTCCTATTACTTTTAGTCTGAAGTCTAATTGTTTCTGCAGATAGAATCATAGGGAGGAAAACAAACATGTGAAGATCTATTGCTATGACTGCTGACACTTATGCTAGTCAGGGGAAACCAAGCTGGCTCACCTTTTCCCTCAGTGAGTAAGAAATAGCTCCAAACCCAGGGAATTCAGGAACAAGTGGCTTGAAGATTAACCTGAAAACCCCAGTGAATCCAATATCTTTTACCTATATCAAATTACAACACCCAAAAAGCAAACAAAAAATGAACAGATGATTTGAATAAAGAAAGAAGAGAGAAGAAACAACTCTCAATCTGAATCTTGAACAATCAACGTTCCTATCTTTTTTTTTTTTTTTTGGTTCAACGTTCCTATCTTGATATAGAAGTAACTAATGCTTAGAAGACAAGGAAAGTCATAGCAAACTATATCAGCATACATGAAAATTGTTCCTCCCATGGACAAGAACAATAAATTATACCAAGAATTCACCATTGTTCACATCATTCTTGACCTTAAGATTTCTCAGCGAACCAAATACTGGACTAGGAGTAAGAAGGTAAGTTAAAAAGGAGAGTGAAAGGTACCTGTATAGGAAGAGCAACACCAACTCTAGTGTTGATATCAAGCACAATATTAGGATTGCCATCCCATTGCATCTCTAACTCCATTGTCACACCTCCAGAGTCACTTTCCTCTTCAATAATGCTAATTCCTGGGTTGCAATCGCTCAGTTACAAACCAACTGAATTTCTGGTTTAAATCATCCATGAGAGGCAAACGAACCTGTGAACTGAGGAGCTACAGTGCCAAGAGTCAACTTGGAGAACTTGAGAGATGAGAGAATAGCTGGTCTATACTCTTCTAGAATCGGCTCCACATTGTTCCTTATAAGCTCCGACGCTGCCTATCAGGAAAAGAAGAGAAAATGGTAGCCCGTTTCCAAACTTGGCAAATCTTTCATGGAAAAACCCCATCAACGACTTCTTACCGCATCGACGTAGGGCCAAATCTTGTCTAGCTGGTGATTAAGCCAATTTAACTGTAATTCCATAACAGGGGAGAGCAAAATGTCAGAGCTCTGGATTCACAAAAATGGTGGTCACACAAATTATTAGTTACTCAACTTCTGTCTATTGGAGAAGACCACCCACGACGGGTAGAACTCCGCCGGGAGAATTTTCCGAGAGTCCTGTACCGTCATCCTCGCAAACGCCGCCACCGTCTTTGCCTGACAGCAACAAGAATTAGGGTTAAGAAAGAAAAAAAAAAATCAAATGCCATTGCGCCGTTACCTTAAGGAAAAAAGACAAACGGAAATCGGGCAAATATACCAAGGCGGAGCGGCGAGCGGATCGGACGGACTCGTAACGAGCTAAAGCGACAATGAGGCCAATCCCAATGGACACTCCGATGAAGAAACCGAAGAAGAATGACATCGTCGTCGTCCTATTGTTTCCTCGGGCGATTCCGTCTGTTAATTCTTTCCTCAATAGTTTGCCGGCGGATTAAGCGTCTCATTTACGCCCTGTGGGAGGAAGCGACGCTAATGATCAGAGAGCGGGAGATGAAGCAAAAGCCATTGATGAATCGCCGTTTAGTAACGCCTGATTGGCGGACGAAGGAAGGGAGTCGGAGGGGATCACGAACGGTGGGTCGTGGCGCGGTGGCGGAAGCAGTACGGACGTCGGAGGTGGTGGAGGTTCAGAAGAGGAACAATTTAGCAAAAGCAACGGGTGCTCTATTTTCTGTTTGCGTGTGTCTGTGGGCATTTAAGCCGCTTTTGGGAAACTTGGGGAAGTTAACAATCTAATTGAGCATCCGCTTCTTTTCTCATTTTTCCATTTAGTTTTTTGAATTTTCTTTCGGTGTAGAGTTGAGTTAATGGCGCTTAATACAATCGCTCATGAATTATGAGTTTTTTAATTTATGATGTACAACTATGTCGAACCTGATTCAACCTGTGCCGATTATAAAACAGGCATGATATCACTGGTATGATCGGTATGATCGACTTACGCATTCTAAGTAAAATGACATCATTTTAATTAATTTAATTAATAAAAAAACCTAATTTATTATTTATTTTATGAATTTAATAGTTAAAAGTTGATGATATTTGTTGAATTGTAACTAAATTGTCCACAAATAATGTTTTATATATGATTAAATACATTGAATATTAATTATCTTCACATTTTTTTAAACCGACATGAACCGGCACAAATTGGTTATACCACCGGTCGTACCATTCCACTTGCCAACCGGCACAATGGTATAAACCAGTTTGATAACCTTGTGTACAACCCAAACCCATATCCGCGGTCTTCATTTTGATGAGGGATCACCAATTGTAATTTTCATTTAAAAAAATTTATAATGCACAATTACTAATGAATTACGAGTCTTTTCCTAAGCAAACATGGACCCCTTAATTTTCATTAAATTTCGAATCTAACCGTCTGGGTTATTTCTTTGTGAAATACTTGTTAATATACATGAAAAATGACAAAAATGTCATTTTTAGGCTCTCCCACTAACTAGCTCTATTAATAAATCACATAATAATGTCGTAACTCATAGGGGCACTGATTTAATTTCGGTAGATGATAGAAAGTTCAATTTAGGAGCGAATATCAGTGTGATCAATTCACGATGTGATAGATGTTCTCATCCTCACATTACTATATCACTAGATCACCTTATTCACATATTCTCTCAAGCTCCATTTGATCTTTATTTATGTTTTAGAGTTTGAAAATAAGATTCATGATATCCAATTTCGCTATTAATAAGTAAAAATCTAACAAAAGTTAATCAAATAAGAATAATAAATAGGGTGGTAAAAAAAACTCCTTAGATACTATAGATTCCACATCTTTCAACATCTTTCATAACCAACAAAAGAGCTAGCAGTATGCCAGGCACATAATAAAAGATTTTGGGAGAAATCATTTTCATTGTTATAGAAGCAGTACTCTAACTCTCTAAGTATCATATCAATAATCGAAATTCTTAGATGTATTTCTAAAATATTGATCCTTATATGCTTAGCACTTAGGAGCAGTTTTTTTAAAGTTTTAAAAGAATATTTAAAAAAATATGTTTACTGTGAAGAAAGTTTGTAATAACAATAACAATGATGAATTGATGATACTTAGATAGTCCACACACTCTCTCTCACTCACACCTGAGCTTATGCCTATTTGCTTGTTAATTTTGTGCACAGAAGACATAACAAACTCACCCGCCTTTCAGTCCTCGCTCTGATTCTCGCCCCGTCTATTTAAATTACACAACTCCATTTTCGTTTCCCACACTTTTCAATCCCCCCTCCATTTTCCTCTCCCTCCTTCCCTTACTCTCTTCGAGAAAAATTCAAATCCTGCACACTCAAAATTCAGCCAAACACTCTGCGATTTCCCCAAACAACACAAAATGCAATCGAGCTCAGCAGATCTCAGCGGCTGATCTCACAACCAGAGCGTTCTCTCATGGAGACTAAACGCCACTCGCTCTACTCCGTCTCCATGCTTCCTTCCACATCCGTTTTGTTACTCTGCTCGGTTCTGATCGCCTCTGCGTACTACTTTTGCTCCTACGACACTAGCTCGCTTGACCTTCTCCGCTTCGCTCCCCGTTCTCAATTCGAATCGTCCGCTGAACGCAGCAGCAGCGCCGCCGCCGCCTCTGTTTTCCCCGTCGTTGAGCTTCGGACGAAGGTGATCACCTCAAATCAAATCAACGCCGTCCGCTCTGCTGCTCGCTCCGTCGTCACCAACCGTCACAGAAGGAACGCCACGAGTAGCAGCAGTACTACTACAGCTGCAATTGTGAGTTCATCTCAATTTTCAAATTGATCGACTGATGATTCTCTGTCTTCGAATTTCTCCACAATGCCGAATTTCATTTCTGTCCGAGTTTGAATCTTCCGAATATCGATTTCGTTGCTAGTCCAATTCCACTATTCCAGTGTCGATTTGATTCCCATTGGATCGTGATTTCAGTTTGCCGTTCTCGTTCTTGATTGTAATGGTCTCGCATTCTGACAGGAACTGGAGAAGAAACGTCGAAAACCGATTAGCAGAGGAGAAGAACTGGAGCGAGGACTTGCTCGAGCTCGAGCTTCAATCAGGAGAGCAGCTATGGCAGCGGATCATCAAAATTCATCTATCGGAAGAGACGAGGAATTCATCGGCGGAAGCGTTTATCGCAACTCCAGAGCATTTTACCAGTAAGTACGCTCTTAACTTAGTTCGTTCTCGTGATTAGTAACTGAATGGAGATCAGAAAAGCTAGCCGGTATGATTAGGAACATGTGTAGTTGTTATTTTCCAAGTTAATTACGCCATGATTACCTAAATGGCTAAATTACAGGTGTTAATGACTTTTTAAAGAGACTTTGCTTTGACGGCACCCGTACGTATAGCTAGGATTATTAGTCTTATACAACCTCTTCCATGATTTTCTCGCATTCTTTTTCCGTTCCTTTTCCCCATGTATGTGTACGAAGTGATCAAACAAATGCGCAAAAGAATGAATTCGTTCCCTTGGAACAGAAGCGTGAGAAAGCGAGAGGCACTGCGGGGAGAAAGAAAAACTCACTCATTCTCCCTGCCATTATTATACTGCACATTTCAACTCTCGGCACTTGTATCCTAAATCATAACAGTTCCCTTCGCTTTCAGCCTTTTCCAAGGGCATAGAGTAGTGGACACGCCCTTTCCTAATGTGGCACGACCAGGTTTGAAATACATAATGGTCCTTAAGTTTCCAATTAAGGCGAGGAATGGCCTTATATATCTCATATATCATTCCGTTGATTCTGACGTCAGCAAGTATGGTCAGTCGTGGGATGGTCAAGTAACTGTATTCAGCTACTTGGCTAATGACCACTAGTTTCCAAGTGTCTTGTTAATGTTGTTCCAAGCATAATCGCACCTGATCATTTGACAAATAAGAAATTCAAATATTTAATTAGGGTTGTTAACCCGTTACCTTGTTAGCGGTATAATCAATAACCGAATTGGTAATAAATAATCAGCGGTTGCACCGATAACTGATCGATTATCAATATTCAAATTTAGCTAATTAATAACATATGACTAAACAGTTAACCAACTAATTCATAAACTACTATACGACTACGGTTAAACGACTACGTACTATAACCGAACTGATTATAAGAGCAGTACAAGTATGTGTATGTGCTTATCTTTTTAGGTAGGTTCAAAAGTGACTACTACTAGTACTAGGAGTAAGTCTATTATATATTTTTCTTGATGCACACGAGGCTATTTGTCGTCACAAAATTTAGTTGGATGCTAAAGTGAAGTTTAGCTTGCATGCTATTTAATTTGGCCACTGAACATTCATATCATGGTTGGGTTTCTATGTCAAAATGGATGATTATTCTGTTCCGGTACATTATGAATTTTCTATATTAGATCATAGAGATTGTGTATGTTGTGCAGGAGTTATGTGGAGATGGAGAAGAGGATGAAGGTGTACGTGTACAAGGAAGGGGAGCCACCAATAGTCCACGACGGGCCGTGCAAGGACATATACACCATAGAAGGCCGGTTCATCCACGAGATGGAGCACGGTGCGGGCAAGTTCAGGACGGAAGACCCGGAGCGGGCGCACGTCTACTTCATGCCCTTCAGCGTGACGTGGATGGTGAAGTATCTCTACACCCCACTCTCTTACAACCTCACGCCACTTCGGCACTTCGTGGCGGATTACGTTTCAGTCATCTCCACCAAGCATCCCTTCTGGAACCGGACCCTCGGCGCTGACCACTTCATGCTCGCTTGCCATGATTGGGTTAGTAATGGCTGCTTTCGCCCCCTCCTCTACCCTTTCTTCATCATCACTTCCATTTAATTTCTCCATCACGCTATTGTCTATTTGAGTGTTCGTCTCGGTTACATTGCGGGATAGGAACCATTATTTTTGCTTGTTGTTACCTTTAAGCAATTCAGTAATAAGAGCATCCGCCACTTCATAAAGGAGTTGTTTGGGAATTACACGTGAATATTCTTTGAACATATATGCATTTAATTAACAAATCATTTTCTTCACCAAAATTTATTAAAATGCATGCGAAAAATGATAATAATTTATCATTTCAAATCCCAGTTTTTAGATGAGAGCATGAATGATTAATTTTGTAATAAGTTATCTTTTTACTTTTTACTGACCTTTTTTTTTTTGGTTGTTGATCTTAAGATTTAAATCTTAAGGTATGGTGAATATTTACACTCTCACATTGCAACTAGACCAACCTCTTGAGGTTATTAGTATCCACTTTGCTTATAATTTTCTAATGTTATTTTCTGGTATCTTAGCACAACTTGACAATGGCCTGTTATCAAATTGATCAACTAACACGATCAATCCACTCATTTCAAGCTGATTAATCATCTTTTACTTCGGCCTCATCAGCCTAGATTTTTACAGGCACATATTATTATCTTTTCTGGCAGTAAATGAAGTAAAGTCCAATGCTTCAGAAAAATGTAAATTTTTATATTTCCTTTATCCATATTAATGAGTTTGTGAAATTCAAAACCTCCTGACTTTGATGCATTTGTAATTTAGGATCTTGTCATCTCATCTCTGAATTTTGATGCATAGGTTAGGTAAATGTAGGAGCAACTATATGTACTATCAATGAGTACTATTGCTGTTTTTGTTATTGTGCCATAAATTCTCTTCAAAAGCACTTCTATCCAAATTCCCAATGAAAAAAATAACTCCCCTGCAACAATTCTGAACTCTCCCCCCAACTTCTTTCTCATAAATGAAATAACCAGGGCATGCATGGTTTGTGTCTTATCTTATCTATTATGTGCTGCTGCAGGGGCCCCACGCGTCGAGAGGCAGCCCACTCCTCAACCACAACTCAATCCGCGTCCTCTGCAACGCCAACACCTCCGAAGGCTTCACCCCGCGAAAAGACGTCAGCCTACCCGAAATCCACCTCTACGGCGGCAACATCCCCACCCAGCTCCGCTCCCCGCCGCCGCCCTCCTCCCACCGCCCCCACCTCGCCTTCTTCGCCGGCGGCCTCCACGGCCCGATCCGCCCCATCCTCCTCCGCCACTGGAAGGACCGAAACGACACCGACCTCCGCGTCTTCGAGTACCTCCCCAAGGCCTCCCCGCTCGACTACCACACCTTCATGCTCCGCTCCAAGTTCTGCCTCTGCCCCAGCGGCCACGAGGTCGCCAGCCCAAGGATCGTCGAGGCCATCTACGCCGAGTGCGTCCCCGTCATCCTGTCGGAGAGCTACGTCCTGCCCTTCAGCGACGTCCTGCGGTGGGAGGCCTTCTCCGTGCAGGTCGGAGTGTCGGAGATTCCGAGGCTGAAGGAGATTCTCGGCGGGATTGGTGAGAGGGAGTATTTGAGGCTGAAGAGTGGGGTGAGGAGTGTGAGGAGGCACTTCGTGCTGAACCAGCCTGCTAAGAGGTTTGATGTCTTCCACATGATTCTGCACTCCGTTTGGCTTAGGAGACTTGATCTGAAAAACCTAATTGCCTGACGACCTAGCCGTGTCTTGCTAGTATCCCTCTTATTTTTCCTGATTTTTTTTTCCCCAGTAATTTCCTACACGTACGTCTAATGCGTGCATGCAGGTTAATTAGCGATAATTTCCTTTTTTGTTTCCTTTAGTTCTATATAAGGTAAGGAGGTGGGATATGACGATTAAAATGGTTTGTATACTTTGTTATGTACTTCAAACGAGCTGTAGAGAAAAGTATGAAGAGGTGATGTAGTTAGCAAATTGGAAAGTATGTGACAGTGTGGCATATGTTCTTTTTCCCCCTTTCCGTTTCTCATCAACAACTATATTTCTAGTGAGATTGACTAGCAGCGAATTGCCACTATCATACCATCGCGACAACAAAGTAACTCAACTATCAAAGGGTCAAATTCGAATAATTATTCGATATTCTTGAGCTGTTTTACGAGCTCATATGCGCCGGTGTTCATAGGTATATCCGTTGAATTTTTATCGATCATATCGTTGAAGATATCAGTTCAGTTTGTAGTATGAAAGAAATTGTTAAAGGTGACAAATCCAATGAAAAAGCTCAAGGGGCTTTACTTGACTTTGCAGTTGGTAGCTAACTTTGATAACCACTAAAAAAAGCCCCAAGCTACGACATTGCTAAAGATAATTAAAAAGGCTATGATCTACACACTGAAATCAAATCTTTTGTCACTAGCAACCATATAAAAGAAAGAAGGGCAATAATAGCAAAAGAGAGCCATCGGTGGAAAACTCCCATTCTTATCAATAAACCTCCTTTTTCTTAGCCCCACTGGGGCACTTATATGGTTTATTAGATTAGATAAGAAAGGCAAAACAATAACACTATCCTTCACTTTTCTCTTCGTTCCACATTGTCGCATCAAACTAACAAAAAAAAAAAACACTATTGGAGGAATTAACAACTGGAAAATGGTTCACCTTACAAATTGTGCCGAAAAGAAATAGCCCAAACTATTACTCTAAAAACATTTATATAATCTCTCTACTATTGTAAATTAGGAAGCATATGCATATTCTATTTTTTTACAAATGTACTTTTCTATTAATGTAACGTTTCAAACGTATTATTCCATTCAAAATTACTTTAATTGATCACTAAAAAAACATAAAAATGACCAAATTGACTGTCACTTAATAGATAAAATTTCGTTTTTTGATATAAAATATCAATTTGATAACTTAATTTTTTCTTACTTACTTTTTTTAACTGCCACACCATTTTATTTATTTATTTTTGATGTGGAAAAGAGGAAATTTTTTTTAATAATTGAGCTAATTTGGTCTTTTCTCGCCCCTTTTGACGGTCATTTAACAAAATTTCACAGCAGAGGGCTATATTTATTAGTTTCCAATACAGTAAAGTTGATTTGTATGGATAATTAACAAATTTAGCTGGAAAATTAAACTATGCACGTGCATGTTGTGAGAAATATTTGTCGGCACAATTTATTAGGAAAAAAACATCATCAACCACAACTTTTGTTGCCATAATCTTTCCCCACTGAATGAACCGACCCTAAACTGCATAAGTACTTTAGTGGCGCAATTAGTACTTTACTCTTTAAACTCAGAGTTCTCCACGTACTCCAAAAGCCAACATATGATAACAAAGTCAAACACGAGATTCACATTTTTTTCTTTATACATTGCAATTCTTTAATACATTTCAAAAGTTCGCATCACGGTTATCAGACGTGTCGTTGTTACATATTTTATAAAAAAAAATACGCTCCCCACCACATATATATATCACTCTTTCCTGTTATTGATTAACCGGCACTAAGCACTCTTTAATCTCTATTATAAAGAACCCTCTCTTTCATTCAATGGGCTGGCCATTGTGGCAGTCTCTCTACCTCATGCTTCCGTTCCTGGTGGCCATTGCGGCGGCCGTTTACATCATTCGCTACAGGATCATCCACGGCGCCGCCGCTGCCGGACGTGTCCAAGACGAGGGTCAACTTACGGTGGTGGTCGTGTCACCGGCGCCGGAGGAAGATAGCAAAGTTGTTGTTCCGGGGACTATAGTGAAGTACTATAGGCGCGACGACGACGACGATGGGAAATCACAAGAAGGCTGGAACGGTTGTGCGATATGCTTGGAGGAGTGGGAGGAGGGAGACGAGTGCAGAGTGCTGCCGGAGTGCAGCCATCGGTACCATAGAGTTTGTGTTGATGTCTGGCTGCTGGCCGTCGCCGGCGACGGCCACTGCCCCATTTGCCGCTCCTGTGTTTACCGTCCTTGATTCTCAATAACTGAATCACTTCTTTTAATTTTCTTCTAAATTGTGATGGTGGTTTGTGATCATGATGATAATGAGGATCAGTAGCTTTTTTCGCTAAGAGATATGATGTTTCAAAAGTGAGTGATATAGCATGAAAATGGCATTTGTCATACCGATTCGAATTTTGGATTAAAAATCCGGCCAAACTGGATCCATTCAATCCAATCACGGTTATTATTGTACCCCATCCGATTTAATTTGCGATTTATGTTTTGAAAAAAAATACCGCCTGAGTAATCGAGTTAATTTTACCCAAATTGGCCACATTGAACCATTTCCTAGCCCTAGGCACCAAGTATAAACATCCACCTAACTTGCAAGAATAATGAAGAAATTTAAAATAACGTCTGCCATTGCCAATGCAAGCTTGCTACGTGTATTAATCCCTAGCACAAGGAAGGAACCATATTGGAACAAGCAGTGGCGGAACCAACTTGTAATGAAGTGGATCCTGGCACTTACCTTAGATCTAGATTAGTATACCAAAACATCAATGATTGTACATAATTCATAATAATTGAACCCTACACCTCATGTCTACTAGTAGGGATGGCAGTCGGTCGGTTTCGAATTAACCGAAAACCGAAATCTCGATTATCAGTTGGTTCGCGGAATATTTTCACCATCGCAGTAGCCAATGTTGGTTGGTTCTAATGACACATCGATCATTCGGTGAAAGGATTTCCTTGAGATTTGGGATACTAACGTGGTAGGTACCCTCATGTGCATTGTGTTGCCCAGTAAATTTATGTGTAAATAGTGGTTGAATGAGATGGAATGTCAATTAAGAGAGTGAGAGAGGTTGTGAGATGGGTTAGATCATCGCCTCCAAAATTGGCTAAGTTCAAGGATTTTGTGGACTTCCACAACATCCTGTCCAAGAAGTTATTTTTGTCCAAATGTGCCCATAAGATGGAATTTCATCTACTTCATGCTCGAAGTAGTTATGGTGTTTCAAGATGCTTTCTCCAATCTTGAGAGGAAAGATACAAAAAATAAAACACGAGCTTAAAGTGAAGAAGTATAAGAATCAAGAAATTGGTATCTCAACATGAAGATTTGAGGAATGCAATAGTTTTGGTGAAACACCTAAGTTCTTCTATGAGTTGACATTTGACATAAATTGCATCCACAATTTTGGTTGTTACGACTCATTTATTCTTGAATAGTTTGGGAAGATACATTTTTCACATAATCACATTGAGAGCATGGTCAATAGTAAGGATGATGACATAGTACGGATAGGTATGAAGATGGAAGCAAAGGTTGACAAGTGTTGGTCCTAGAAAAAAGATGGTGTCAAACTTGAGAATGAACCGATTGGTTAATACTTAATAATAATGTGGTATTGGTTCTTGATCCAAGGCACACGATGGAGTATGAAAACATAAATATGAACAAAGATTTGTGGAGAAGATAGGGGCGAAAGTTGGTGAAAGAGTTGAATGAAGAGTTCATGAAGTTGTTTGATCATTATCAGAGTAGCGGTGATGATGTTTACAATGTTGATGCATGATGATATTGATCTTTATGATGATTACACACAATCGCAAGTTGGAGAATCAAAGACCGAGTTAGAGAAGTACATTATATTTCTCACCATAAATAAGAAGGTGGTGGTGCATCAGATGACTTTGATGTGTTAAAGTGGTGGAAGACTAATGTTATATAAGGTGGTATCCTTATGAATACTTGGTCATGGTGTTTAACTTTTAGACTTTGGTTGTGTGATTATTATCTTAATTTAGACTCTACCGTGGACTATGCCTATGTGAATGTGAGACTCTAACATTTTTACTTTTGGTATATAATTGCTACAATCTCAATTCATAGAACAAGGAATATGGCAGAAGCAGTATACTAGAACCATATTTCAAGCAACGTGTATACAAATTAGCTAGTAGAATGTGGCAATCTCCTTCATTCAGTGAAAGGGCCGAAAGCCCAATACAAGTGCAGCATCAGATACAACAGACAGTGACGGCAGTGAAAGGGCCGAAAGCCCAATACAAGTGCAGCATGAGATACAACTGACAGTAAAGTAACGGATTGAGGTCCAATGGGCAAAGTTTTGAGACCCATTTATTTACCAAACAACAGCAAACTCCAACCCAGAGGTTTACGCGCAAATCAAGCTCAATTCCAGTTCGCCGGCCGCCGCCTCACCTTGTCAGGCCGTCGATCCTCGGCACATAGCGGGAGACAACACAATAGGCTATGAAGAGGCTGACGAATCCAACCAGTATGGTGACGGCAATCATCCTCACCTGTCAAAAGAAAACAAGACCGATAACACAGAATTTAACGTGGTTTCCCTGAGTGTCAGGACTAGTCCACGGGAGAGTCGAAACCCTCCAAAGTCAATCTTATTACGTTACCAAAGCAGCTGTACAATTATCTATTTATATAGAGGCCACGCTAAACCCTAATGACTAAGGCCAATTAAATTACACAAAGGTACCTAAATTTAACACCCTCCCTCAAATTGATGTTGGGTGCGCAACATCAATTTGGCTGATAGGTACCAATGTCTGCTGGAAGCTAAAGCCTTAGTCAAAATGTCTGCGGGCTGATCTTCTGTTGACAGATAACTCAACTGTATTCTCCCCTCTGTCACCAGCTGTCTAATGTAGTGAACATGGACCTCTATATGCTTTGTGCGATCATGTAAGACTGGATTGAGAGCAATCTGGATTGCACTTGTATTATCACCGTATAAATGCATAGGAACTCTGCAATTAACTCCCAACTCCTTCAGTAATCGCTGCAGCCAAACCAGTTCAGAACTAACGTCTGACATCGAACGATACTCTGCTTCTGTTGATGACTTAGAAACTCGATCTTGTTTCTTACACCGCCAAGATACAAGTGATCTTCCTACTCTGACGCACCAGCCTGATGTCGATCTTCGTGTGTCCGGACATCCTGCGTAGTCGGCATCTGCAAAGGCTTCTATTACTTCCTCACCAGCCGAAGGGAAGAATAGGCCAACGTCCTGCGTATGCTTGAGGTATCGCAGGATTCGATGAACCGCATCCAGGTGCTGACTACGTGCAACTCCCAAAAATTGACTCACTACCTGCACAGCATAAGAAATGTCGGGTCTAGTGTGAGTTAAATAAATCAAGCTTCCTACTAAGTTGCGGTATAGGGACTGATCCTCCATTAAATCTCCACTGTCCCTAGTTAGCTTGAGATTCTGCTCCATTGGGGTTGAAACTGGTTTGCAGTCTGTGTAGTGTGACGTCTCAAGTAAATCTGCCATGTATTTATTCTGTGACACGAAAACTCCCTGCGAAGATCTCTGGACCTCCAAGTCTAAGAAGTATGACACATCACCAAGATCCTTAAGTTTGAAAGCCCCATGAAGCGACTTTTTCAACTCCTGAATACCATCTGAATCACTCCCGGTAATTATCATATCATCAACATAAATCAATAGAACCACTATCCCATCAACTGTATTCCGAACAAATAATGATGGGTCATTCTGGCTCTGCTCAAATCCAAGTTGCACAATAACGCCATGAAATTTCTCAAACCAGGCACGAGGTGCTTGTTTGAGACCGTAGAGAGAACGAACTAGTTTACATACCATATCAGCTGAACCCTTGGTATATCATGGCGGTCTCTCCATATAAATAACTTCTTTCAAGTCACCATGCAAAAAGGCGTTCTTCACGTCCAGCTGAAACAACGGCCAGTTTCGCATTGCTGCAACTGCAAATACACACCGAACTGTTTGCATTTTAACCACTGGAGCAAACGTCTCATTATAATCAATTCCATACTCCTGTAAGAATCCCCTAGCCACGACCATGGCCTTGAATCTATCGATCGTATCGTCAGGGTTCATCTTAATTGTATACACCCACTTGCTACTGATGACCGACATCTCTGGAGTTCTCGGAACTAACTCCCACGTGTGATTTGCATCCAGTGCATTACTTTCTTCCTGCATTGCCATTTCCCGTTCTGGATGACCCACCGCTTGAGCATAAGTTGCTGGGATAAAGATTGGTGTAGTAGCGTAACCCACGTAGTCATGTAATCTCAAGGGGGGTTGACCCAAAGTGCTACGATTGGAGCGCCTAAGAACAACCGTACCATTATTTTGATCATAGCCTTCTCCATTTGACATTTCCATTTCATTTTCTGGCCCATTCTCATCATTTGTCAACAACCCAGAGGAGGAACTTGACGAGTTTGACGAGGAGGAGGAGCTCCTCGTGCTGTTGTTGGACGAGCTAGAACCTGTTCCACTATGTGCATGAGGAGGAGATTCCCCTTCGGACGAGGAGCTTGACGTCGAGGAACTTGACGTCGGAGATGAGTTCCCAGCTGCTGTCGAGGGAGTATGAGGGTCATCATCATCATTAGTCAAATTCCCTCCCTGACCCCCATGCGCACTCGACGTAGTCATGTCCACAAGGCCTGGCACAAAATTCAGAAACTCCAAAGATAATGCATGTGATCGCTTGTCTTGAGGAGTAATGGGATAATACATGACATGCTCGAGAAACAACACATGGTATGCAATGCGCATCCGCTTACCAATCGGATCATAACAACAATACCCTTTATGTTTTTCGCTGTAACCAACAAAAACACATCTAACAGTTTTCGGAGCGAGCTTGTGACGTTCAGCCCGAGGAAGAAGAACAAAGCATGTGCAGCCGAAAACTCTCAAGCGAGAGTAATCAGGCGGACGATCGAAGAGCATCTGATATGGTGAAATTTGTCCCAACGTCGGAGTGATCTGTCTATTGATAAGATAGATAACGGTATGAACTGCTTCAACCCAATAACCATTCGGCACATGCGAGTGAAATAGCAGGGCCCGTGTAAGCTCCAAGACATGTCGATGCTTCCTTTCTACAAGGCCGTTTTGCTGAGAGACACCGGGACACGAGAGTTGGGTCAAGATGCCTTCAGACTTGTAGAAGTCAAGTAACTCTTGCTTGATAAACTCCCCTCCTGTGTCTGAGCGAATAGTCTTAATGGTTTTTCCAAATTGTGTTTTGATCAGCTGAACAAATTCCTTAGCCAACGAACACAATTCTGATTTCCGACGTAGAAAATAAATCCATGCATACCTTGTCTTGTGATCCACAAACATGGCAAAGTAACGATATCCCATACGAGACGTGACTGGCGATGGACCCCATAGGTCCGTATGAACTAAGTCAAAAGGCTCTACATAAACCGTCTCACTTGATTCAAACGAGTTCTGAGAAGCTTTCGCTTCAATACAACTCACACAATCTGACTGAGAACCCACGGAATGCTCAAATTTCCCAGGCAATAAGTTCTGTCTAAACATCGTCAACAATCTAGCCGAATTGGGA